CTGCTACCTGAGCCAGGATTAGCAAGAAAAGGGCGCTTGGCCGGGGTGTCTTGCATTACCCCAATGCAGGAGGACTTTCGAAGGAGGGGAGGCAAGGGGAGAAAATGATCCGTGGGCTTCTTTCCAAATCGATTTTTCGCGCTTTCATTTTTTTTTTCCCTCTTGCCCATCCTGCATGGATCCGAGCGGGTAGTTTAGCTACAGTATGCTTGGTATGCTTGTTCCTGAATTTGAATGCTGCGCTACACTGTCCTTGGCATGGTGACCTTGCTTATCCTGGTCGTCTTTTTGACCAGTTTGCGGATCAAAACTGTTAAATGGTCGTGTAGCCGAGCCTAGTAAGATATCCTACTAGTACACTACTTTGGTAATGTGCACACACCATGTGAAAGAACAGCCGCAAGATCATTTGGCGTGAGAAACCAGTTGATAACTTGTTTTTTTCTCTCTCCCCCTTGGTTGCTCCATGATAAACCCACCCATCTTGTACTAAGGAGTAAACTACCTAGCCCAGGTCCGCTCGAAACGTCTAAAGAAGCTCCGTTGCGACTAACCGGCTTGTCTTCCGGGGCACGCGACTACACGGTAGCTGCTAGGTAATCATGAGAGAGAAAAGCGAGTCACGCTTAGTAGCAACTAATTTAGACCCGGCAGAGATAAGACTACTTTGGTAGTGGTCTTTGCAACGGTTTGGATATACGCGCCTTGGCGGGTTGCCATGGGGTGATTTCCTAGAAACACTTCTTCGTCACTAATTCGGGTATCCATACTGGCAGGATGAGGCACAGAAAAAATAAGAGATAAATGTCATGATCCGACATAACTTGAGAGAGGAGTCAGGCGCATTCTGATATTGCTCCTTTGCAGAGGCGAAGCAGTGGCTTTTCTGCCTAGATTCAACAATTGTCAAAATCGTTATGTGAGAGTCGCCTTCCAGATGATACCAGTGACGCAATGATGGCATGGCCATTATGCCAGGGAGAGTGATACTGCGCCGTAGAATGAGCCCCAGTCCCGCCGTCTAGGAGTATGCTCATTGTGGTAGATCGCCATCCTGCAACTCAATAGATCCATGTCGGAGATATTAGAAATTATTATGTCGCTTTGGTCGTGTTAGTTGATACTTTACTAGATTTCTGATCTGAAGTTGTTTCGTCGAAAAATAATGTGACATTCGTACACTTCGGGCGGCTTCCTTATATCGAAGAAGTTAAGCTGACCCTCACCTACACAATTGTATTCACCATGGAGGCAAGTATGAAAATCATGACATTTCTATTACGGTGAAGAACTACGGAGTGCTCACGGAAGCAAATAAATCTAAATGACCGTTCATTCAAGGTATGTACATGCCCTAAAAATCAACATGGTACGTGTTTCTTTGGTGTCCAATGCGTTAAGCATACTATAAATATACTCATGATACATTTATAACCATGATCGACCTCAATACAGCATTCATGATTTTGTGCTACATCACTATGATATAAATTCTAGCAAACAAGCTACGACGTTTGCCATGGAAGCTGTGTGATTGTAGCCCGGATGACACTTCTCGTGACATTCTACAGTAATGAGTGCACACGCACAATTTACAAATCGTGGCTAAAAGATAAATAGAATACGCTTGAGAAAACGGATAAATGATATAATGTGCCAGAAGAATCGTGTGAACCCTTGCCAACAAAACCATGACTTCAGACCACGAGAGCGATTTCATCGTCAAAATCTCTTTTCAAAGGTGATTTCAATGCTTACAAAATGGATGAAGAGTAGGAAGATACACTATATATCTTCATAGCATGAAGTTACATTCACACGACAATCAGAGCGCAAAAAGGTGTCGGTAAATGGAAAGGGCGACTAAATACCTTTTTAGGAGGATATCGCGGCCCTTGTGATAGTTGGGTACAACCACTGGCGTCTTACATATACGCGTTGGTTTGGTCACGTTGCAGTAACCGCCGCAATTCTAAAGGGAGGAATATATCACACTGACTGATTCATCCAAGGGTGACACCAGGAATTCAATACACTGCACCACCAAACGTCTAGGCTACGCAGCATACGATGATTTTGATGCTCGCTAAATATGGATGCTATATTGAGGAATCGTATGTACCTACTTAGATCTAACGGATAGCCATATCAGACCATTATCGCTGAATAGTGTTTTCAAAGGCCCAACAGTGTACGGAATAGCCAGTGGGAGGATTGGACTTGTATAAATGTGAGAGCTCCTCGGCCGGGTTGTATTGACCAACCATCCCGGATCATTGGCCAATTTGATCCGTAAATCGTTGATTACCTCTCTCGATTCGTCCCAAATCTTGTAAGCATGCTGATCCATCAGCTCAGAAACCCAGATAATATCGACCAGAGCAGACTTCATGTCGTTGAATGTCTGGATTAGCAGACAACGATTAGCCAGCATTTCTAGATAAACCTAGAAGAGGTAGTCCTCGTAACTCGGATTTCCTGTGGACATCATGACAAGCAAAGTGCCGATCCACACATCTAACCCAGCGGCCTGTAAAAGCTGTTTCAGACTTGGGTCGAGGAAGTGATGTCTCAACCTAGCAAGAACACCAGACAGCCCGCAACAACTTGCAGTCCCGCTGCTCACCCAGCAAATGAACACAAACATGCACAGTGCTGTCACATTTTCGATGGGTGATGAGGTTGATTCATTTCCCAAAATCCAGCAGGCCAAATTGCCAATGGTAGATGCAAAAACATTCTGGTTCTCCAGGGCATTCCAGGCGTGATCTTTGTGTGATCGAAGCCAGGCAAATGCATCATTGACCAGGCATTCGATGGAGTATATCAGATCGAGTAACGCCTCATTCATGCCCAACACCCTCACAGGCCACAGCCATTCGCGGTTTGAATGATGACGAGCTGCGGTGTTTGTAACCTGGTTTCGGGAGATTGCCAGGCCAGAGGCTGGTTTCTCCAAATAAAGATGGGATATTCTCAGAACCAGGTCGATCTGCATCCCCAGATATCGCGTGGCCTGGAATTGGAATGCTTTGCGGGATTATGCAGACTAGACGGCAATTCTGAGCTGTACATGCCCATCGTATGATGAATGACTGCAGGGCTTGTGACTGGCCAAGGGCAACAGCACCGCCTCGCATAGCCAACATCTGCCGCAGGCCAGCCAAGTGAGCCGCCCTCTGGGCTATGTCTGGTCGTATATGAGCTCCAGGTGCCGACATATGTAGTGGCTGCGCAGTGTCGGGGCTCACCGAGTCTCTGGCTCATGAGCTGGCGCCATTCGGAATACAAGTTTGCGTGATTGAGCCTGGCTACTTTCGCACGGCACTTCTAAATCCAGACAATCACCGCATCCAATGTGCCCACCGTATCCCCGCCTACGACAATACCCCCGTACGTGAACACGGTGCTTTGATGAATCAGGCCGATAGCAAGCAGTTGGGTGATGTCGATGCTGCTGCTGCTGTCATAGTCGACGTATTCACAAGGTCTGGAACCATGGCCGGTAAAGACATCCCACTACGACTGGTATTAGGGTCAGATGTTTTACAGGGTATTCAGGAAAAGATTGCTAGCACAACCAAGCTTCTGGATGAGTGGAAACCGATTATTGTATCTACCGACCACAGAGACTAAATTACCTTCCTTGCGATATCCGCATTTGCAGCTGTCAAAGGCACTGTGGCATCGGGAATTCCTAGACTCTAAATAACAATAGTCGACAAGCTTCGAATACTCTGTCAGCATCTTAAAACCGTGGCGACATGAATTCAAGAAATTAAATACATAATGCCTCGTTGTTTGTCTATCCAACTGACACATTTTGCTACTAATGATAGTTGAAGACTTTACACTAACCTTCATGTAGATCACTGTGTTGTGAATTGAAGAACCTATTTGTCTAAGGTGGATTCATTCCTGAAAGTCCGAAATTCGGATCAAATAGGGAATTTCACTATTCAACAGATAGATTACAAACCGACTATAATATCAGTCGAACAGGATTATGAAAAGGAATAGAAAAAAAATAGTATTTTATGTCTAACCATAGTCTATCCATCGTGAAGTAAAGGACACCTTACTACTCAATAGACTGCCACAGAGAGGGGGAAAATCCTAGTGAGAATTTCCCAGGAATGCGTTTCCTGGAAGGTAAATTGATATTCGTGATTCATATAGTAACTCATACCAAGAAAGAGACAAAAGCTTTGTTAAAAAATTCGCTTCAAGCGCAAAATTATCCTGCCAGTGAATTTTGATTTGGGGTTGACTCTCGAGATATGGAAAATTTGAAGAGAAACAAGACACGGTGATACTCAGGATGCCAATGGGTAAATGGCCGAGACAATACTGATTGCTAAGTTCAAACGACTATTTCCCCTTCTCAACAGCATACGTATTCTAGAGTTTGAATATCAATATTGCATCCATTTATTCTGTATACAAACTTGAGAGTTTGGACTACCGAGTCACAACGCCGTATGCTTACCCTCGACTTGATCTTCAATTCGAACAGGTTTCCCAGTTAATACTTGCCTGCTGATCGGTGTTCTTAATGAGCAGAAAGTGTGCACTCTGTTTCGTGAGATAATTTGATGGTGATAATATTATCTATGATGATATATATTGACGAGCTCTAGATAATCACAAATGCTTAGATAGACACAACCACAGAGGAATCGTGAAAGCTGACGATCTTGTCGGTTGGTTTTTGCTCCAAAATAAGTGTTCGTTTCATATACGTGAGGGGAGTGTAAGCATATTATGCGTCGTATCCATATCAGCAGATTGTAAGCCAGATGAACAACAGTCGACTCGACTTGAAAGTGATCATTGTTCTAGACGCGTGGCAATCCAGTGATGATAGTTAAGACCGCTGGACGACGGTTGGTGGCAAAGCTGATCTTGAAATAGTAGAGTACAATGTATACGGGAAGGGATAGTTCTATTGGCATACCTCGGCTGTATCCAAACGGGTGTACTCAGCAATGGTTGCCAGATTACTTCTGGCGTACAGCCTTTGGCTTCCGTTTCTTGAATACCACGGCAGGTACATCATCATTACCTTCCGACGTCGCCTCTTGCTTGACAGCGGCAGACTCGACACTTTCTGGATCTGGCTTTATGACACTCGAAATACCTTGTCCTTCGTTGGATGGCTCTCGTTTGAGCGGAATACCAACATCTGCCTCCTCCTCTTTAGCCTCTTTCTTCACTGTCGGTTCTGAATTAGACTCTTCAATCTTGTCTTTCTTGATCGGTGCCAAAGTGCCACTCAGCAAGGCATCCAAGTCAGCGTCGTCTTTGGCTGCTTGTTTTGTGTCACGCCCCCATTTCCTGGGCTTCTTAAACAAGGTCTGCATGGCCTCCTCTTCTTCTTCCTCTCCTTCGCGCTTGACACGTTTTCGGACACCGGTAGCGACCGCTTCGACTTTGACATTGCCATCGGCATCCGTCTTCGGGGTATCGTCTATGATCCGAGTATTGGTTACCTGCCAGTCGCTGGCCATGGCCATGTCGCCGCGGAGTTCTGTTGGAATGTCAATGCCCATCTCAGCCAGTTGCTCCCATTGCTTCTGTCGTTGCGTTTCAGTGCCACGAGCTGTTGCTTGTGATGACTGCTTCGGCGCGACTGGCGCAGGACCGGAACTCGAACTGGGCCCAGCAGCATTGCTACTGCTGCTTGAGCCGACGACGCCATTGAGTCTCTCGATCTCGCGCTTTGCTCGGTCCTTCTCCTTTTCCTCCTTATCGTGCCCTCGGTGCAGGTCGCGCAGGAAGCGCTTCAAGGCGCTCTGATGTTTGGCTGTCGCGTCATGGTTGCTGCGCTCGAGCTTGGTATCGCGGACAAAGACGCTGCAGTGTTTACACCAGTACTTTGGTGTAGATTTCCAGTATTCTGACATTTTGAATCTTGGAAAGACGACCAGGAGAAAAGAGGCAGTTTCGAAGGTTTGGGATAGGTTAGGGACAGCCCCTTTGAGAGGGTCAAACAGAGCGAATTCGTACTCTTGTTGGATCTGAAGGTAGGTAGATAGATACCTAGGTAGGCAATTCTAAGGGACGTCGCGCTAGATAGGTACGTCAAGGCACGAGTAAGTGGTATGCAGATTGCCTTCATTGCATAATGTCTAAAACATTGCGGGTCCATCAAGATGATTCAGTTGTCAGTCTCGTGGCGTGCAGAATGAGAAGAAGCTGCTTTGGACCTCATTGTGGCGCAGTTTCAAACTTCCCGTGGCCAATTGGATCTGCATGTGGGAAAAACGGCCCAAGCTCTGAACTGCCCCTCCGCAAAACGACGCCAGAGGTGGGGTAATTATGAAAATCGCTGGGTTTCTGGCTTATCGGCGCTTATCGAGAAAGACCCCGAAATTTTGTTTACTGAAAATTTCTGCAGAGTGGAAGAAATTGTGAGGAGATTGGGCAGGCACGGGAAGCACTGGCGTGTCAATTTTTTTTCTTCTTCTTCTCTCCCTCCCTCGCCCTTCTTTCCTTTAAATGCGCTGCCATCTCTAGACCTTCCTTGATTTCCTGTGAGATCGAGGATCGTTCTTGACTTGAACCTCCTTTGTATTGTTGTAGCTTCCTGATCAGGATCAAGTCACAGCAATGGATCAGTCAAAGTTGGTTGAGCTGCTTCAGGCATCGACCATTCGTAAGTCTTATTCCGTCCTTTGGACACCTATCGCATTCGCCGTCGCCGTGGGTGCGGCTTGTTGACGAGTTTGCTAACGCTTCTTTTTTCTCCAGCTGATACCGTAAAGGTCAAGGCTGCCACTGCTGAGCTCAAGAAGAACTTTTACCCTCACCCTGAGTCTCTTCTTGGCCTCCTCCACGTCGTCGTCTCCCACGATGACGCCACCGTCCGTCAGCTCGCTGCCGTCCAGTCTTTGCGTCTAGTCCCCAAGCACTGGAAGAAGATCGCCGCCGACCAGAAGTCTGGAGTCCGTAACGAGGTTGTCCAGGCTGCTGTTCGTGAGCAGCACCCCAAGGTCCGCCATGGTATCTCTCGTGTCATTGCTGGCATTGCTGTCATTGACTTTGAGAACAAGGAGTGGCCCGAACTGCTTCCCAACGTTCTCCAGTTGACCACCTCTGACGATGTCGCCCATCGCGAGATTGGCTCCTACATCATTTACAGTCTGCTCGAGGCTGACCCCACCACTTTCGTTGAGCACCTGGCCCAGATGTTCGAGCTTTTCAGCAAGACCATCCGCGACCCCCAGAGCCGCAGTGTTCGCATCAACACCATGCTTTCCATTAGCTCGCTACTCCTCCTGATCCAAGCTGATGAGGACGAGGAGTCCGTGGCTACCGTCCAGGAGTTCGTCCCCGCCATGGTTGACGTTCTCAAGGACACCATCAACAGCGGCGATGACGAGGGTACCCAGCAGGCTTTCGAAGTCTTCCAGAGTTTCCTGGGCTACGAATCCGCTCTCATCTCCAAGTACTTCAAGGATCTCATCCAGTTCATGCTCGAGCTGTCTGCCAACACAAACGCCGACGATGAAGTCCGAAACCAGGCCTTGGCCTTCCTCACTCAGTGTGCTCACTACCGTCGCATGAAGCTCCAGGCCATCCCCAACTTGGCCACTGAGCTCACCCGCCAGAGCATGCAGATTCTGGCCGAGCTTGAGGAGGATGACGACGAGGATGACATGACTCCGCCCCGCGCTGCCCTGGCCCTGATTGACCAGCTCTCCACCGATCTGCCTCCCAGACAGGTGGTTGTTCCCATCCTCGAGGATCTGAAGAAGTACGCTTCCTCCGAGACCGTTGGAGCCCGCCGTGCGGCCATGATTGCTCTTGGTACCTGCGCTGAGGGTGCCCCCGACTTTGTCGCCACTCAGGTGGAGAGCCTCATGCCTATCATTCTGCAGCTTCTCAACGACGCCAACCGAGCTGTGCGCCACGATGCCCTCGTGTGCCTCATGCGCATGGGCGAGGACTTGGCTGAGTTCATGAAGGCCCACCACGAAACCATCATGACGGCTCTGGTTAAGAACCTGGAAGCCGCATCTGAGAACGAGAACGATGATAAGAACGTTGAAATCATCAGCTCGGTCTGCGGATCCATCGACACCATGGCCGAGGGTCTTGGTGGTGAGGTTATGCAGAAGTACGCCGAGGGCCTCATCAGCCGCGTTGGCCGTTTCCTCAACCACTCTGACGTCAAGGTCAAGGCTGCCGCCGCTGGTGCCATTGGTGCCATTGCTCTGTCCATCGAGGACGCCTTCAAGCCATACCTGAAGGAGACAATGGAGGCCATGTCGCCCTTCGTTGTTGCAGAGGACAGTGAGGATGACTTGTCCTTGCGTAGCTCCGTCGTCGATGCCATGGGTCGCATTGCCGTTGGTGTCGGTGCTCAGGATTTCCAGCCCTATGTCATGCCCCTGCTTATGTCTAGTGAAAAAGCACTGAACCTTGGCAACGCCAGACTTCGTGAGACCACCTTCATTCTCTGGAGTCAGCTCTCCAAGGTCTACGAGGGTGACCTCGGCGATTCGCTTCAGGGTATCTTCAAGGGTCTCTTTGATTGCATCGAGCTTGAGGAAGAGGACCTCGATTTCGATGATGAAGAGGTCGCCGGCCTCGTGGATGGTCAGCTCGTCACCGATGGCAAGAAGCTCAGAGTCAAGGCCGATGATGCCGATGACGAAGAGGATGAAATGGATGATGACGATGATGACGATTGGGATGACATTATGGGCATTTCCCAAGCTGCCATGGAGAAGGAGGTTGCTGTTGAGGTCCTTGGTGATGTTATCAGCCATGCTAAGGACAAGAGCGTTCCTTACCTCGAGAAGGCCATCGAACTCATCTCGCCCCTCGTCGAGCACAACTACGAGGGCTGCAGAAAGGCCGCCATCTCGACTCTCTGGCGTACTTATGCATGTGTCTGGCAGATCATGGAGGAGCAGACTGGCCAGAAGTGGTCGCCTGGTCTGCCTCTCAGCTTTGAGACTCCTTCCCACCTTGCCAAGCTTGGCGAGGTTGTCGCCACTGCTACCCTCCAGCTGTGGCTCGAGGAGTCTGACCGGTACGTAAACAACTTTGCATCACATTTGTTTTCACTTTTTTTTGTTCCTCCCCTACTATCTTTCTACATGATGAGTACTCTACGTTATACCCAGCTCACTCAGACGCAAAATGCGGTTGCTGAGAAAACGTTACATCTACTCCTGATTGAATCTGTTTCACCAAAGTTTTGCTTGAGCACTTTCGATAGAGCATCATACTAACTTTGAAAAGTGATGTCGTTACCGAGATCAACCGCAATGTCGCTGCTACTCTGAAGCTGTGTGGACCTGCCATTCTGTCGCAGAACGGCATGACCGAGCAGACCATCACCGTTCTCGGAACGCTGATCACCAGATCTCACCCTTGCCAGCAGGACCTTGGCGACGAGGAAGAGAACCAGGTCGCTGAGGGAGCCTCAGAGTGGGATTGGCTGGTCGTTGACACCGCCTTGGACGTTGTCATTGGCGTGGCCGCTGCCTTTGGCACTCAATTTGCCGAGGTCTGGAAGATCTTTGAGAAGCCCATCGTCAAGCTCGTCAGCTCCCAGGAGGCCATCGAGCGTTCCACGGCTGTTGGTGTGATTGCTGAGTGCACTGCCTACATGGGCTCCGCCGTCACTCCTTACACCAAGACTCTGTTAGCACCTATGCTGCACCGTCTTTCGGACGAGGACAAGGAGACCAAGTCCAACGCTGCGTACGCCGTTGGCCAGCTTTGCTACCACTCCACTGACAGTGCCACTTACCTGCCCGCCTACCCCCAGATCATGAGCAAGCTGGAGCCTCTGTTGCACATCAGTGAGAGCAGACTGCAAGACAACGCTACTGGCTGCATGAGCCGTCTCATTCTCGCTCACCCTGACAAGGTTCCTCTGGAGCAGGTGCTGCCTGCTCTGGTCGAGTTGCTGCCGCTCAAGGAGGACTACGAGGAGAACAAGCCTGTTTACGAGTGTATTGCTAAGCTTTGTAAGTTTTACCACCAAGGACCTATCATGACCAATTACTAACATGTCTGCAGACGAGCTCCAGAACCCTACCATCCAGGGACTGACGCAGCGTCTCGTACCCGTCTTCCAGCAGGTGCTTGGACCTCCCGAGGAGCAGCTGGAGCCCGAGACTCGCCAAGGTCTCCAGGAGCTGGTACGCAAGCTGGGTATTGCGTAAATGTTCACGTATGATATAACAATGATACCCACGAAGAGAACCCGAGGCCATATACCCCAGGCTGATGACGGTATGATGGCATGACTTCAGGCATAGGCATTGGGAGGAACATTTGATTGCGGATGCACATAAAACTTTACGATTCCCCCTGGTAGATAGACGCCTTTGTTTACTGTTCCTTTTGTTCATGGGTGAGCCGGCTACAATTATTCGAGCCCAGCCCCCAGATCTGAATATGTCGCGAGACAAATAAAGATAAAAATATTCCTATAATTATCGGCAATGATATACTGGGTCTTGCGTGATGTCTCTGTCAAACTTGTAGCAAAACAAGAAAATTCAACATGATAAATGATCGTTTTTAAATATATTCGTCCGTCAACGAACAGGATTTGGTGGCATGCTTAATATCATTGAATCGTTATGTCAACTACATTGTGTACCTATATATCGTGTACATGGAACACCTAAGCGCTTCCCCACTCAATCGTCAGACTGACACTGTGTGAGCTGCCAGAGTAGACCTTGCCCTGGGTAGTGCCGCTAGGAGTAGAATCGGCGGAGAAGGCAGTGCTGCCACTCGCCATAAGGTTGCTGCCGCTGGCAGTGAAGACGGTGGCGGTAACGCCGGAGCCGCAGGTGAAGACACCCGAGACGATACCGCACGAGCCCTTTGAGGATTTCAAAGTGAAGCCGCTGCCGCTGGCCGTGGCGGTGATGGTCGCGCAGGTACCACTGACATACCAGGTGCCGGCCGAGATGAGACATCCCTTGGTGGAGCCTCCCGAGACGACATTGAGGTATCCTGAACCAGAGAAAGCGGTACCATCACCTCCGCCATCGCCGCCGCCACCATCACCACCACCATCGCCCCCACCATTCTTGGGCAGATACCTGCATATTATTAGCTCCATGATCAATTTGCAAGAATTCTAGGCCCACGTTAGGGTCAGGCCAAAGGGGTTCAACGTACTTGATGCCAGTGGTCGGGCAGTCGGCGCTGTTGAGGGTGGCCACGGGGATCCAGGTACCAGACTGGACGCTGCCCTTGACATTGAAAAAGTACCAGACCTCGCTAAGCTCGGAGTCGCTGCAGCCGAGGTAGACGCTGGCGCCGTGGTTCTTGGTGAGAGCGGCCTGGATGGCGGCCAGCGTATAGGTCTTGCTGGAGCTCGGGGTGATGCCAGCGGCCGAGAGCCAGGTGTAGGTGGGCAGGGACTTGAAGAGCTCAACGACCTTGCTGGCAAAGTCAACGACCTCTTGGCCCGTCTGGTAGCTGGTGTAGCAATCCGGGTCTAGCGTCGAGATGCACGTGCCGTGCTTGTCCCACTCGTGCTCCCAAAAGGTCTCGGGCGTGCCGCTGTTGGACTGCCAGTACTCCTCCATGTAGGCGAGCAGCTCCGTCTCGCCGAATTTAGTCAGGATGTTGGTGATGCTTGAATACTCGCGCGACGAGTCACAGTTGGACTGGTAGGTGCCATCACAGTTGTCGGGCTATTTCCCCGCATGTCAGTTTAAGCATTGTCATTTTCCTTCCTTTTTCTTTTCATAAGAAAGTCTCGCATCATTGGATATATCATGTAAAAAGTCAAAACGCACCCAGAGACCGTGGATAGTCCAGCTGTCATCGGGACCAGTCACGGGGTCCGTGTCCCAGAACTGGGTCTGCAGCAAAGCGCCACCGGGAGCATTGAAGCAGCAGAGGTTAGTCTGGACCGTGGTGTTGTGGCAAGACTGCTGCGAGGTGGCCGGGCAAGTCTCGGAGGCGAAGGTGGTGAAGTCGCTCCGGTAAGCCATGTGGTCGAGCGGGCCCGCAAGGGCGCTCGCCGCAAAGAGAGCACCAAGTGCTGACAACAACATGGCTGTCGATGGGGAGGGTGACGATTGATTGATTATACAATCAGTCTTTCTTTTAACCAACAAAAGCAGTCAGCCCCAGCAGACGTTGCGAGGTTGCGGCGGTGGACATCGACACAAGGGGAAAAAAAAGCCAAGGCGTCATGGACCCTCCTCGCATTATGTACTGCTCACGATTCTCTATCTTCCCTTCGCGTAAACTCATGCGACGATCTGGGGGTGGGAGTTCCGTCTCATGGTTCGTCCTCTTGTGGGCAGAAGCAAGTTACCCGTCCGTCGGTGGTTGTGGCAAACCGGCCTTCCACAATGGTGATGGGACCTTCCGTCTGGAGTTTACGCCCAAAAACCAACACCAAAACCCACCCGACCCGAGCCAACTAGCGCAAGACCAACCAGATCAGACAGAACTCTCTCTACTCTCATGTACTATGTACGAGGAGGGCCAGTCCCGTCTGGCGGCGACTCCCGGTTTCTAATAATGGCAACGGCTTTTTGATTGGGATCTACTGGCACGCTCTTTACACGAGGCAACGTGTCAGCCAACCAGCAGATGGCTACGCTGCGGTGCGAGATGCCTGATCGGGCATGTGATTATAGTTGTGGGGTAACAAGAGTCAAAAAGTGGGCGGTAAATGTAGAGATAGATCTCGGGAACAAGCTGCAGGTCAGAACAGGTTCTTTATTCCAGGGGCTTGTTTGGTAGCTTAATCGAGACAGGTGAAGAGAAAGAAAAGAGAGACAAACCTCCACTACTACCGTGAACTATCGATTATTTGCTCGGATCTCGGTGGGTCAAGGCTCGGAGCATGAACCGATGAATGCAAGCAATATTTGGCCGTGGCCAGACACAACGATGTGGTTGGTTTAAATTGATGTTGTTGGATTAAGGTAGGCGGGTGATTTTCCCACTAAAAACAACTGATTACTGATTGAGCAGCCAGGACGTCTCGGCGCTACTGGTATAATATGATGCCAACAAGTTGCGATAAACTGTGGATTGACATTCCACTGCTAATAAATGTCTCCTAAGCGAAGCATTCTAGCGATTGTCATTGGCGGGTAAATGGGTCCTTAACATGCCTGTATTTATATAGCAGGGTACAGGCCTAAGCCGTGGGGTTCGAGTATAGCAGATCCGCCTCACGGGTTCTATATTTCATCGCATCTCTTCCGTTCTTCTCAAGTTTGAAGGCCTCTGATCTATAGGAACGTGCTCACGCATCTTCAAGGTGGTTGTGAAATGCGGTCTCAAGGGTTCTCGCGGCACATGCAACCTCCTCATCGCCATTGAATTTAGCAGCACAATGCTGCAAGCTGGTGTTCGTCCATTTGCCTTGCAGCCGGCTAATTACAGATCACACAGTCCTTTTCGGAGAAGAGTAACGTAGCAAACTTCGTATTGACTCGAAGGAGGTTTTGCTTTTTCCCTTGCGAATTCACGCGCGAATGGAGCAATGGTCAAGTATAAAAGAAGCAACAATATTTGAGATCGTTGATATCTAAATTTTTTCCCGTGCAGACAGGACCGCAAATCACAATATAACTCAATTGAGACTCAAACAGCTTTTTTTCGCTTTTTGATTGCCATCAAGGCCCGCCAGCTTCATCCGTTCCGAATAACCATGTATGCAGCGTATTGGACTGCGATAGCCGCTTCGGCTTTCTCCTTTGCCCTCGCTTTGCCTGACACGATTCGAGACGTGACAGATTATGGGTATTGGAATGTCAATGTCACTTCGAGCAGCGCCGCATCAGGCTATCGCTATGGCGACGTGTACGCCGAGTACTCTGGAGCTCAGGGAAACATTAGTCACTTCTCTTGGCTCTACGACCCATCAGTCAGGGCCACCACAACCACAACGGACAATCCACTGTTCAATAGCAGCATTGTCGATGGGCAGGGTGATCATAGTAAGTTTTTTTGACGTCTTTCTGCCCCTTGAGCACTCACTTTGGGGGAGGATGATGATAGCTGAGATTTGGCCACAGCCATCAACATTGAGCAGACTGTAGAAATACAGGCCTCCAATGTTACTCTGGTAGGAAGTGGCGCTCTTACTATGAAGTGTGGATTGGGAGGAGCTGGTCGAGGCTGCGCTGGATCGCTCACGATTGTTGCAAGTCCTGACCAGTCATGATTACCATGGCTAGCATTTTCCTGTGGGCAGAGAAGTGCATAGGTTGGCCAGGATATTCATCGTCTGGTTTCAGGCACTCCTCATTGATTTCAAGTGATTCCGGCGAAACCGAGTACAGGATAGTCTGTTTTCAGGCACCATAGCTGAATCACTACCACCATGATAGTGTGCATAACCAAGACTGGCGGCGGCTTGGAGATTTGTGACAATGGGCTCGGTGTGACTACTAGTATTGGCCTCTTAGGACTCTAATCAAACCATACCTTTAAAAAATCGCCCTGCATTATGGTAGATTGTGGCTGGCTGTAATCATGAAGGAGAGACGAGACCATTACAAAGCCATAGCTCTATCTAAAGGTTCCAACTCGGCAATATCGCACATGATAAATATGATCAACGACCAGAAATACCCCCCAAACGGGTATGTGCATGGATGGCGCTAAACTAGATACATCTTGTAGTGGTGGCGGTACCTTGCGCCTGAGTGCCTCGACTTATTAATCTGGAAATATTGTCACTGCAACCTCCTTTTCGGTCGAGTTATAGCACAGTTTCTGTCCGAATTGGTAACATTGCGACAGATCAAGTCGCGGACTTGGAAAAATGTGAGATTTTGCATGTTTCAATCTTTTCTGCAGCAAATGATGTCGAGTTGAATAAAATCCTGACCAGCTGAGAACAAAGTTGCAAGATTACTCATATTTGTCAACATTCGACCATGAACTTGGGCGCATGGAAACGGCGAGAAGAATCTACAAAAACCTTGCAAGAAATCAGGCCATCGACGGGTTTCGCGTTCCGTGCACTTGATCAATGTGTCATCGTGACTGATTTGGGGTGTGGTGCATTGAAAGCAACACAAGTCCAAGGCCCGGCCGATGACTTTGGTGTGGGTTTGCGCTCTTTGTGCGTGAACCTGAACCAGTCGCCGTCCCCCCCGGGGGCCCGCATCCGCGTGGCGAATTCAATCACGGAGCGGCAAGCGAATAATAAGACAGGCTAAATAGGCCGGCGGAGCATCGCTGATTCGTCACTTTTTCCTTCTTCCTGGTATTATTTGCATCAGCAATACCAGGGGGTTGATGGTGAGCACTCACACCCTAGGCCAGGAGTCAGCCAGGCCGCCAGGAGCCCTGCCAAGCCCTGCGGCTGCTCGCATCTATACTTGCGTCTTTTGTGCCTGAACTGTAATTGTCCCTAAGATGAGATGACTCGTCGATAGTGACAGGATGTGTCTGCCGGTTTCCGAATCGCTCTTTTTCTTTCTGGGGGAGATGGATGCAATGGCCTTCCACCCCTACAAATCTACTCTACCACGAGAATACTTGAGGTAAATGTGCGTGGTGCCTCCGCCATCGCGCAGAAGCTTGTTGGCGATGCTCAAAGTTTTTTCTTAGTATCGTAATAGATCCTACCACTTACAAACCTTCTAGGCAGCCCATATGTGAGGCATTCCAGAAACATCCTTTTTTTTTTTCCCTTTCCCCTGCCCTTCAAATACCATCCTTCTTCCACTGGCTTCTTCATTCATGTTTCATTAACCACGCCAGTATTCGCCGACAATCCACAGGGTAGCTCCTTCCATCAGTGTAATACGGCCATAGATATTTACGTCAACGACTTGGAGACAACAATTTCCCTCTTGTAAGCAGACGACGACATCGACATCAGACTCGGCACTTTCAAACCCGTCGTTTACCTGTTCGACAAACCCCACCATGGGTACTTTGGAAGCATCGTTATCCATCACTGGCATGACCTGTGCGTCTTGCTCAAATACAATTACATCGACACTTCAGAAATCAGGCTGGATCTCTAAAGCCACCGTGGACCTGCTGAACAACAGTGCCACTGTCGAATTCACTGGAGAGAACGACAAGGCCCTCGAAATTGTCCGAGCCATTGAAGACCTTGGTTACGAAGCACAAATCAATCAAGTCAAGGCGCAAGGAGTTTCACCAATAGTCGACAACTCCAGGACCGTTGATGTCCACATCGACGGCTTTCACTGCGAGCTGTGCCCTAGTAGAGTTGTCGCAGGCCTCTTGCCGCTCCAGGAACATGGCATCATCGAGGTCACGACTCAACCTACCAAGGATAGCCCGATTATGAGCATCAAGTACGCGCCGATACCCTCGAGACTCAATATCCGGCAGATTCTGGCGGCTATCCAGGCCATCGATCCATTATTTCACCCGTCCATTCACCATCCCATTTCAGCCGAAGAACGATCGAAACGTATTCACGCCAGGCAACAAAAGCAGATATCAATGAGACTTTTGGGCACCTTTATCATCGCCATTCCAACTTTCATCATCGGCATTGCCTACATGAGCCTGGTATCCAAACAAAACAGTGCTCGGCAATACCTCATGAGCCCCATGGCCGATGGCATCAGCCGAGCACAGATCGCCTTGCTCATCTTGGCAACACCCGTGTACTTTTGTGCCGCAGATCTTTTCCATCGCAGGGCTCTCAAGGAAATATGGATGCTCTGGAGACCATCAAGTAAGACGCCAATATTACAACGCCTTTACCGGTTTGGGAGTATGAACATGCTCATGTCTCTGGGAACAACAATCGCATACATATCCTCCTTGGCTCAAATCTTTGCTGCCGCGGTGCACCCACCCAACGGCATGGTGGATGACTCAAATTTCTATTTTGATTCGGTTGTGTTTCTGACACTTTTCCTGCTCGCTGGAAGGCTCATTGAAGCATACAGCAAAGCCAGGACAGGCAATGCTGTGGAGATGCTGGGCAAGCTGCGGCCCACAACTGCCATCTTGATCACTAACACAGACAATGGCACGGCGACGAGTACCATTGCTGCTGAACTTCTCGATAATGGCGACACTATTCAGGTCACCAACGGCGCATCCCCGCCATGCGACGGTGAAGTGTCCCAAGGCGAATCGCAATTTGATGAGTCCAGTCTGACAGGCGAGTCGAGGCTGATCAAGAAAACCCTCGGGGATGCAGTCTTTGCTGGAACTGTCAACAAGGGACATCCAATCCAGGTTCGAGTCACGGGCGTGGCAGGCCGGTCCATGTTGGACAAGATTGTCGAGGTTGTCCGTGAGGGCCAGACCAAACGAGCACCGATGGAAAAAATAGCCGATGTCCTCACCGCCTACTTTGTACCCGCTGTCACCTTGATCGCCATTGTTACCTTCATGGTCTGGCTCATCCTTGGCGTATCCGGCAAGCTTCCTGAAAGCTGGCTGAATGACGACTCCGAGTCGTGGGTGGTGTTTGCACTCCAGTTTGCTATTGCTGTTTTCGTTGTTGCATGTCCCTGTGGCCTTGGCCTTGCTGCTCCGACTGCCATTTTCGTTGGGGGTGGAACGGCGGCCAAGCATGGGATCCTCGCCAAGGGCGGTGGTGAGGCCTTTGAGAAAGCGAGCCACGTTAGATGTATCGTGTTTGACAAGACGGGCACTCTCACAGAGGGCGGTGAGCCCAAGGTCACTAACCACAAAATTTGCCGGGAAGACAGCAACGCGCATCTGCTCGAGGCCATCAGCACCTTGGAGCAACACAGCAGTCATCCTGTAGCCAAAGCCCTCCAGTCGTTCTGCAAACCGGACCAGTCACAAAAGTCCATGCTCGTTCGTGATGTTGAGGAGATTCCTGGCAAGGGATTGAGGGCAACCTTTGACGATCTTGAATTGATTATCGGCAATGCAAAACTCATGGAGGACTTTGATGTTGATACGTCGTCCGCAGTGGAACTCGATACTTGGAAAGGCAAAGGATACTCGATTGCACTAGCCGCCACCAAGGTCAACGGGCAGTCCTCGTACAAGCTCGCCGCGTACTTTGCCATCTCTGACCCGATCAGAGCAGAGGCGATCCCGGTCATCGCGGCACTCCAGGCCCATGGTATCGATGTCTGGATGCTCTCAGGCGACAACACCGTGACCGCACGCGCCGTGGCCGAACGCATCGGTATACCGGAGCACAACGTCATTGCCGAAGTCCTGCCCACGGACAAGGCAGACAGGGTGGCCGAAATCCAGGCGGGCATGATGGCCCGCAACCGATCCAACGACAGCCGCCCGCTGATAGCCATGGTTGGAGACGGCATCAACGACGCGCCCGCTCTCGCCGTGGCCGATGTGGGCGTCGCCGTCGGCTCTGGTACCGATGTGGCCATTTCGTCGGCCGACTTCGTGCTCGTCAACTCGGATTTGCGGAGCATCGTCACGCTGCTGGCGCTCAGCCGTACCGTGTTCCGCCGCATCAAGTTCAATTTCGCCTGGGCTTTGGTTTATAATCTGCTTGCTGTGCCCTTTGCTGCTGGTTGTTTTTATCCGTTGGGCGTCAAACTGGACCCCGTCTGGGCTAGTCTGGCCATGGCTATGAGCAGCATCAGCGTGGTTCTGAGCAGTCTAGCTTTGCGTTTGCAAGTGCCCTTGCTTGGGTTCAGGACAAAGGAGATTCCTCTGGAGGCTGTTTAAAATGTTTGATGGAGTGAGACATGGACTTGGTCAGAAATTGAGATACCCAGTAGTTTGATATTAATGAAAAGGCGATTAACCGAACTCATAGAGGAGCATGTTGAAGAAAGTTGTTTCACCCAACAAGCAGGTCACCATTGCATTTACTGGATCGTAAACCGTTTTGATAAGATTTCAGTCTAGGCCCATTACCTCGAGAAGACCTTGGGAAGTCTCGCATCATGTACATGCAGGAGTGGACTTTATCTGCAGTCATTTGTCGTATGCACTACGTGATAGATTATTCCTTTGCGCCTTCTCCATTAGTGGCCGTGCTCTTGGCAGTGCCCGGCCGACTCAGACTTCTCCTGAGCTTGTCCTTGGTATTGAACAGGCTCTTGACTCTTCTCAGTCTTGCCCATCTCTCCTTATCCTTGGCCTCTCGTGCCTTTTCGTCATCCTCCTCGTCGCCTCCCACGTCCGAACTCAGCAGCAAGTCGGATGAATCTATCGCTCCCTCGCTTGCGGTCGGCGCATGACTCCTTGGCCGCGAGCCCGGCGTGCTAGGCTCGGCAGTGCTCTTGCTCTTCCAGTGACCCGACGACCGGCTCTTCTTGGGAGTGTCGCCTCGAAGATATGCAGCATTTCTAACTGTCAAGACCAGCACCTCCCAGGCCGCCTTGCTTGGTTCAGAGGCCTTGCTTCCCGGATTCCTCTGTGCTTCAGGGTTCCTCCAGGGACAGAAGAACCGGTGCTCACGAACCGGATCGAGATGATCCATGGGTGCTGGCACCAGAATTTGATTAGTCTCCTGGTCGACTTCTTTGCTTTTAAACATCCACAACCCAAGCCTTCGCAAACAGGTCGAACATGAGGCAGAGTTAGGTACAGGCCCAATCTTTGGGTTCGTCAGACCGCCCCAACCGGCTAGAGCCAGTGCTAAAGCGACATCATTGATCTCTTTGGAATTTGTCGTTGACGCAGGAGGTGGCTCCGTGAAGAACTTTGGGGGAAGCTGTGATTTGACAGTCTCCAAGGACAAGGACTCTGGCAGCCTCAGGTTGAAAAAATAAGGTAGGAAAGCTGGTCGCGAACAAAGCTCATCGTATCGTTGCCGCAAAGCAGGAAGGGCGGCCTGCGCACTGGTGATCTGAAGACGAAGCAATGAGTCTAGACTCACTTGTTAGCATGCGTATAGTATACCAGAGGCAAAATAAACTTGCCGTCACAGCCTCTTTTCCTCCACAAACAGTCATCCTGGTGAGCATCGATTGTGAGTTCTGCGAATCGGTTGACCAGTGCCTGTTCCAGCTCCAATCCTCCTAGGACTGGCGTTTCTCGGCCGTCAGCTTCCTTTTTGTTCAACTTGACGACACACTCCTTGTGACAAAGTGTACACTGAACTGTCTCCTTGCTGCGGCAGACCCATCCTCGTTTTGCCCATTCAATCTCATTGATCTTGTCTGGCTTGGGCGTCCATTGAGTGAGCTCCTGGAACGTCCCGAGTCGGCGAATCAGTTGCTCTCGGTCTCCGGGGCAGTACTTGGGGGACTCTAATCGTGTAGAGTCAGACACCTTAACCTCCTTGCCAGCCGGCGTCCATTTCCTCATTGTAATATTTGTAATGGTCATCTTGCTTGATATATTTTCGCCGGCTGCCGTCAAGCCTGGAGTACCCATCCGCCGCCGTTTGGATAGGAAGTCGGCCGAGATGGCAGACAGCGGCGCTGCCGTTGCCGTTGTTGTCGAAGTCATGTTAGCTGTCGATGCTTGTGGTACTGAAATGGCAGACGATGAGGAAGGGATTCGAGTCAAGGAAAGAGAATCGCCTTCTGCTGTTGTAGGGCGGTCGCTAGAGAAGCCGTCAGGCTGAGGCGTCGATCGCGTACCGATGTTCTGAATGAGGCTGTTGAATTTGCGCTTCGTGGCATTCATGGTTGCGATGGGTAACCCTGCTGCTGCTGCTGATGCAATGGATTTATCCGATCTGATCTTCGTGAGAAGGGCCTAAGTTAGGCGCGATGACAACTGGCTAAGAGCCTGGGGATCGATGCGATTGGTTCGGGTGTTCGAGACAACTCGCCGAGTGTTGTGAACGCAACCCAATTCCTTGTACGACGAATAAGCGGTTGTCTCAATGCAAGTCTCGCGCTTCTCAATCGCTCATGAAACAAAATAAATTGAAATTAAAAGAAATTATAAGACAATATGCCCTCTCGCTCGACATTCAATTGTATCTCTTCTGTAGTTGCAGGGTCGCCACAGATAATGAGACTGCCGTTGCAAATTGTCACGACGTTGAATGACTCCGGATCTTTTGTTTAGTTCGACTACAGAGGTCCATTGTTCGGTCGGAGGGGCGACGGAGGCGTGGCAAGCAGGTACGTACTGGCCACCACAGGGGATGAGTTCTCCACTGGACACAGCACTGTTGTAAGCATAGGCCAATTGTTGTTCAGAAGCAGCGATAGCCGTCGATCGGTCCCCTCTAGGCCGCCCGAGCAGTACATGGTAGTATTGCGGCAGCTAAAACTTGCAGTGGGCTTGCCGAATCCCCTGTTTTTTCGGCTCTGACTGCTTGGGACGGCAGGCGGCTCTAACAGCTCTATCGCAGCCACGTGCGGATCCATTTCCCCCAGGCGCCAAGCTCTAAATTTCAAGGTCCCATAGTGCCCTGTCTGGCCTGTAGATTATTGCCGGGTGCCCTGTAGCATCGCCTAAAGTGTTTATCGCCGTAGCATCTATCTCTGAAAGGGTGCAGTCACCTTCACATGTGCAATCATGTCTACCTTCACCTACTACATCCGGCAAGAGAGACAGGTCTCCGGACTGAAAACTGTCCTCCTGAATCAAGTCCCATGAGACTCCCAGATTGGATTGCTCGTCTCTGGAATAAGAAGGGAAGAGCACTTCTGCTGCTCTTCTCTTCACTTCTTGTCGTCATCCTGGCGTTCCTCCTAGCCCGCGCAGTGCCCCGCCTTGAGCTGCTATCCACACATTTTACCCCCCGCACCTCTACGACGATGGGTTCTTTCTTTTCCAAACTCACGGGCAGTAGTAGCAGCAGCAGCATCACCAGCGCAACTACCAAAAATATGTCTTACGCAAAGGAACTCGAGGTTGCCCAATTGGCAGTGCAGCGGGCCACCATCCTCACCAAGCGCGTCTTTCACGAGAAGGCCAAGGGCACCGTCGACAAGAATGACAAGTCTCCCGTCACAATTGGTGACTTTGGCGCGCAGGCTCTGATCATTGCCGCGCTCAAGGCCAGCTTCCCCGACGACGAGATTGTAGCCGAAGAGGAGGCCGCTGGTCTCAAAGAGAACTCGGAGCTCAGAAAGACCGTTTGGGACCTGGTCAAGTCTACCAAGCTTGACGATGCCGGCGCCGAGAAGATCCTAGGCGGAGAGGTCAAGACCGACGAGGATATGCTGACCTTTATCGACTATGGTAACTCCAAGGGCGGCGCTTCCGGCAGAATATGGGCCATTGACCCCATTGACGGCACCAAGGGTTTCTTGAGAGGAGGCCAGTACGCTGTGTGTCTCGCCCTCATGGTTGATGGTGAGGTCACTGTTGGCGTTCTGGGCTGCCCCAACCTGCCAGTCGACGACTCTGCTCCATTGACCGCCGACATTGGCAAGGATGCCACTGATGAAGGCCGAGGTGTCATTTTCTCTGCCGTGCTTGGCCAGGGCGCCACCTCGCGCCCTCTTTCTACTGCTGGACTGGAGAAGGAGCGCAGCATCAGCATGCGCCCCATCACCGATATCGCAGCCGCCACTTTCTGTGAGTCTGTCGAGGCTGGCCACTCGTCGCACGGCGACCAAGCCGATATTGCCGCGAAGCTGGGCATTACCAACCCTTCGGTCAGAATGGACAGCCAAGCCAAATATGCTAGCATTGCTAGAGGTGCTGGCGACATTTACCTCAGACTGCCGACAAGCAAGACTTACCAAGAGAAGATTTGGGACCATGCCGCCGGCGATCTTATTGTTAGAGAAGCAGGTGGTGCCGTCACGGACGTTCATGGCAAGAGGCTGGATTTCAAGGTCGGAAGGACACTGGCGAACAACAAGGGTGTTGTTGCTGCTCCGGCCGCTACTCATGCACAGGTCCTCAAGGCTGTGCAGGAGGTTCTCAAGGTTTAATTGCAAATGGATACGACAATCGGGCCAGACGAATTCAATGGCGTTTTTGGTCGTTAAATAGTGAAAGGTAGTACATATGTATACATAGAGAGAATACACTGCATAGATCTTGATTTTTGGTCGGGTACTCCTGACATCCCATACCAAATAGTGTACATGATTTTTGTCGCGTTGCCGACCCAGGCATCTGAGCCTGGTGTATACAGACAATGCAATGTTGTTTGGAACAACTGGCATCTTCTCGCACATGGTAATAGCCCGTCTATTTGATCTTCTTCTGCTTCAGCTTGATCGTCTCGTCGTTGACAAAGATACCCTTGCCCTTGTAAGGTTCCGGACGCCTCCATCTCCTAATCCTCGCAGCAAAACTCATAACCTCCTCGCGGTTGATGCCCTCTAGCAGAATTCTTGTCGGCTGTGGCGTGCTAGCCTTCATACCCTTGGGCACAGGCTCCTCCACGGGGTGTGTGAAACCGAGCTTGACGCAGACAAACTTCTGGCCCGGGTATTCGGCCTTGTTGGGACGCTCCTCGATGCTGGCACGATAACCAACACCGACAAGGCGCAGGATGGCCGTGTGGCCTTCGGAGACACCAATGATGTGTCGCTGCAGGTACGCCCAAGTCGTGCCCCACATCTCCATCTGCTGCTTCTGCTCGCGATCCTGGATCGCGAGGACGACTTTGCGGTCGACAGGGTCCTGAGTAACCTCGAGGTACGGCGGGATATCGAGGTTGAGAGAGCCCAAGGGACCCGTTACCGTGGCTGTCCGCTTGGGGATGCGCAGGTACGTGGTTGGGTCCTTTTGGATGCGCGGCTCGCCAATGACGAGCTCGACGCCCGGCGGTATCGAGATCGGGGTCCGCCCTAGCTTGGACGGCCGTGCGGTCGTCTGGGAAAACTGCCGCCTCTGCTGCTGCTGTTGCGGTGCTACAGCGGCTGGCGTGGCAGCATTGTGGAAGGCGGGTACGAGGAAGCTCGGCAGGGTGACTGAGCTTGCCGACAACGACGACGATGTCGACTGCAGCGCCGCCGTGGCGAGGCGATTCCTACTGGGCCCCAGCATGACTGTCGATATGGGGCGATTGGACCGGGATTTGTGGGCTCAATCGCTGCGTCGCAAAGTGGTGATGGTGTTGAAGCTCCCAAGTCGAATGCCTTCCAAAAAATGCTAGCAATGTCATGTGACTTGGCGATTGAGGACCCACTAAATTACCTATGCGAACGTGAACGCGAGGTCATCCTATTTCATCCAAGAAGGCGCGACATAATGTGGGAGAACAACGTCAGACAGCCCTGGATTCATCTACAGCATACAATTTCATAGCATCGAAATGGATTCTAGAATTCAATGAGTTCTGTCAAAAGATTATCTCAATGCGTTTGATTGGAAATGAATAAGTTCATTATTTGACCCATTTGTCCTCCCCTGACTGAGAATCGATGAAAGAGCAGAGGCATCTCTCTGATATCGATCCGTCTTTTTACAGAATGTATAACCACTCACATCACTCACATAAGTGAGACCATTGATACAACGGCAACAGACTCGTGGTTTTCATGGTGACTCTCCTACCTGGCGAAACTCTTCAAAGTGGGAATGGACTGATTATAGTGCTAGTTGGATTGTCCAATCCAAGAGCAAGAACAGTTAGCAACTGTCCGAATGGGACACGACTCTTCCTTTCTGCGCTGCTTCAGTAAGGACAATGATATTCCCGTTTTTGTATCATATTTTCGCATTCCTACAATCAAGTAGCTTTGGCCAGAGTCCCCGATTGTTCAGTCGGTTTAAGACATTCCGCATTTTGAATACGCACACAAGCAACAAGTCCGATGGCTCCTTCCAATCTTTCACAATCACCTTTCTGCTCTTTCCAATTTTAATGCTTCTTTTTTTCTTTCTTTCACTGCTTCCCACAGAAGTTTCAATTTTCCATCCCATTTCCTCCCTACGGCACTTGATCGTAATTCTTACGCAAAGCAATTCTTCCGCAACTTCAATGTGCACCTCAACAACCTAACACTCTGCATCCCACGACTTTCCCACATTCAAATCCTGAACATCAAAGCGACATATATCAACAACCGGTGCATGATGGTTCCAGGCCCAGTATTCATTGCTCTGCTGGTGCTTGCTGGCTCGCATGTCGCCGCAGCTTTTGGCTGGCGAGGTCAGCCCAAGGTCAGCTCGCAGAGTCACGACAGTCTCCAGACACGATTCCATTACGACACTACCCGACAGCCAAACGCCGTACGCAACCCTATGACGGTGTATGAAATTGCTCTTCGAGAGCTCCAACAACTCGAGTCGGAGCCCGCCTGCCACCGTACGGCAGCTCGACTCCTCGTCGACAATTGCCAGGTTCTCGATGGCAAAGACGAGGCGACTATTCTGACCGACAGTGGCAGACAAATTCGAGACTTTGTCGATGCTTATGCCGCTAGCTTGGCAATCTGTGATCTTGAGCGTGGTAGCTTCATCATACCTACAGAATGCGAAAATTTCCGCGAGCCAACACTGCGACAACTCTCTCTAGGAGATTCAGCCCATCTACACGTCAGCTCAAAGGAGATCGATCGCTGCCTGTCTGGCCTGGGAGCTTCAGATTCTGGATGGAACACTTGGATCAGCTATCGTCACAAGGCTCTAAGATTCTGTGAGGCAGCTCGAGCAGAGAATGAAAAAGGTCTGTAAGTAAACATTGTGTTTCATTCATTCACTGCTGATATATCATAGCCGAGCACATTCGTATTTTCCAACGTGTTGCAAAGATCATGAATGGAATGGCAGAAGGCGTTGAACAGCAAGTTGAAAAGCGAATGGCTGATTTGGAACACAAGTTCCGAGCCACTGACGGCCGTCTGGAGCAACTCTCGCCCAAATTGGATCGCATCAGCGCTGGTCTTCATGATATTGACAGTATCATGACAGTTGATTTGGCCTCGGCTCTACAGGTATGCAATTACTTATCGATAAAGCCACAGAGGAATTGAACTGATGTTCTCAACAGCGATCAGCAGATACAGTTGACGCAGGCATGAACAGCGCAGCAAATTTGCAGCGAGCCCTGGAGATTCTGCTTGAGACTGTCCTTTCGACCATTGCCGAAGCCGCAAGTGCCCATGAAAAGTCAATCAGCATCATCTCTGAGAGGACGAACTCGGAGTTTTCCGTGTTCTTGACAGCAATGAATACTGCTGTCGCCTCTGCTTCCTCGCTGCAGAATCAGATTGACCTTGCACACCGTCAGAGTGCTGAATTGGAGTATCGACAAGCTCACCTAGAAGAGGTAAATTGGGCTCTTCTTTTCGTCTGTAATGAAGATGCTGATATCTTGGTAGGGTATGGTACGTCTCATTGACGTTACGGAGATCCTTACCGGGAAGTACGACCAACATACACATCTTCTACAAGGGGCGCAGAATATGACACAGGAGATTCTTGACACCCTAGAGGTCACTGCATCATCTGCATCCACAATTGGTGACACTTTTGCGAGACAATCTTCAGTCGCTTCATGGTGGCCGTACGTTTGGTGTCCAGCGGCGTCTTTAGTCATGGGATCATATGGCCTTGCTCCTTCTGCAGCCCGCAATCTTGCCTTGGTGGCACTAGGTAAATAAATAACATACTCCCTGAGCAAACTTTCCAGCTAATCCAAGAATAGGCGAGATCATGGGATTTGTGGTATCATCAGCTCAATCGCTTTCTTTAGTCCAGTTCTCAACCTTCAAACAGGACTTCTTCAGCGCGATGGTCCCTGCAACGTTCTTCATGTCCACCCACACAACACCAACTTATGATAATGGCACAGCATAGCCGGGACGCATTGTGATTCATTTTACCATATCACCTTCCTTTTTTCTATACATGAGCTCAGGTTTGGGATCAGGCTTTCTTTCTTTGCCACACCTATGGGTGGGATGGCTTTCATTTCATTTTCACTCTCAGAAAGCTCCAGAGAATTTCCGGGCAGATGAAAAAAATGGGTATTTTGTTCACGAGATACGGGACAAGATTTAGCATATTAGCTTCTTTCCTTCTTTGGGGGCTCATAAATCGCCTGAAAGACTAGCAGACAAATGAATTCATTCTAGATAACCGTGCCCAGTGTAGGAGAAGTCGATGTGATGGACATATGAGGACTCCTACTGAGTGATCTAATTCTCTCGGAGAAGTGCAGCTACCAATTAACACCTACGACAGTAATGCCACTGGAATTCAGGAGCTCTATCAACACTTCACGCAACCGATAGGAGCTGTAGAGCTCAAAAACTGGTCGCACAGCTCATGTTGTTGCTGTAGCAAACGCACTACTTTTGACAAAAAAACTGGTGTCTTGCCGGTTGCTCGGCCAGGCGAAAATACAACCTGGCCCAGACCATATAAGATCAAACAAACGACGTCCCTTCGCCTTCGGGCAATCGAAAAGAGACCAAGTGGTTGAATGGTTGAAAATCAAAAATATCCTTCTTAAATGTGAAAGTCTTGCGTTCAAATCTCAAAAAACAAAACTCGAAATCTTTTTTTCCCCTCCCTGTTCCTTCTCTTACTCCTTTGGACCTCGATAGCAAAGGCAATCTTAATTTTTCCCAGCTGAGCGAATACACATGATACCAATCTCAATGCGTTCCATCCCATAGCTCTTTAAACCATGCCTTCTCGGCCTCCTCAACTGCTCCGTTCTCCTCGCTGCCTTTGCCTACTTTTGCCTCCTTGGACAAGAGGTCGTCGGGCGCCCCGACCTCGACAATCTTGCCCTTGTTTAGCACAATGATGACATCTGCATCACGAATCGTGTCGAGCCTGTGCGCGATACTCAATATGGTATGATGCGAGAACTCCTCACGGATAATGCGCTGCATCAGCTCATCTGTCTTGGCGTCCACGTTGCTCGTGGCCTCGTCGAGCACCAGAATGGTAGATCGGGACTTGAGCAGCAATGCACGCGCCAGCCCAAAGAGCTGGAATTGGCCATGCGAAAAGGGCGAGGACTTGAGCGGAGCATCGAGGGGATCGGTCTCTTCCTTTTTCTTGGCTGCGTCCGCTGCGTCCGCTGCGTCCGCGCTCTCAGCGTTGCCGTTGCTGCCGTCCTCCTCGCCCCGGGACTTGATCACGTTCCAGAGCTGCACCTTGTCCAGAACGGCGACGATTTCGTCATCGGTTGCGTGGCCCGATGGATCAATGTTGAGGCGAATGCTGTCATTGAGGACAAAAGTCTCTTGCGGAATGGCGATGAGCCGGCTGCGGACTGTTTCTCTGGCAATGGTGGTGATATCGAGGCCGTCGATAAAAATTGTTCCAGATTCGAGTTCAATGAGACGAACCAGAGATAGAAGCAGAGTCGACTTTCCACTTTAAAATATTCTTGTCAGCGATGCGACACCCAAGACGCGGAATATACTCTCAAACTTACCTTCCTGTACGACCACAAATACCAACTTTCTGGCCTGGCGATATGCTCACTGAGATACCTTTCAAGGCAATCGCTTCAGGGCTTCATTTGATGGTTAGCTCTTATGAGGCGAATATCAACCCGTGCGGACTTACTTGTAAGCAGCAGTCACATCGCGGAACTCAATGGCCCCCTTCTCTGGCCACTCCTCAGGCGGCTCGAAATCCTCAGATTCCTGGTCCTCCGGGGCCAAGGTCTCTTCCAGCGTCTTGATACGAGAAATCGCACCCATTGATGTCTCTAGTTGCGTCCATTGCTCCATGAGACGAACAACTGCGAGATTAAGCATCCTAATTGGGAAAATATCAGTATACAATTCCCAAACAAATAGAGTCTCCAACGTGAAAGAGATGAAGCAAGACATAATTTTTCAAAAACTTACATGATGATATTCAGGGAAACACCAATTTGACCACCAGTAGTGGAAGAACGCAGCGCCACTGCGGAGGAAATGACGACAATGGCAATTGCAGCAACCACGAAATCAAGGACGAGGATGAGCCACACCTGTATCATGACCATGACATAGTGAGGCGTCTGAGAAATGTCCAGCTTCTCGATGTTTTGAGCGATTGCCTGATCCTGCCACCCAAATGACCTAATGACAGAAATCCCCTCCAGCTAAAAAAAGAAAATCACCGCAATCAGTTCCCGTTGGAGAGTCCATGGTGGAAAGGGTTAAGATTCAGGGGGTGGACAAACCGTTTCAAGGAAATTTGCATAAACCACTGCTCTCGACTCGAGATCGAGAAACCGAAGCTGTCTGGACGTATGAAGGTAGAATTTCTGAATGACATAGAGCACCAATACAAGCGGCGGGCCGCACACGAGGGTGACCGCCTGCATGATGAACATCAGTATCAATTGAGACAAGAGTCGAACCAGCTCTATTGTGTAATGTTAGTGACGTCTGTAGCGGCGGCTTTGGGGATTAGATGGTCTTCACTTACGCAGAACAACGACGAGAAGAGCAAATGGCAAGTTGCTGTCAACATAACCGATATCTTGGGTGAAGCTTTGAAAGGTTCATCAGACGAGAATATGACTCGAAGCAGGCTTTGGTACTTACCGGTTGACGATCGTGCCAGTCTCGGTGCTGGAGAAATAAGAAAGGGGAGCCCTGCATTTTGGGGTCAGCTAGCCTTATAATCCGTAGCTACATCTATGGTATCGAACCTCATAATGGTCTTGAGCAGCTTGTAGTGAAGAACTACACCAGCGTTTGCATTGAGATATATGAAGTTGGACCTGCGTCACGTATTATTAGCTTAGACAATGTGTTTCTGGGAATATGGTCAAGGGACATACACTATCACGCCAGCAATAAAACACATTCCCAGGATCGCTGAAAGACTGTACATGCCAATGTAGAACCATGTATCTTGCCCATCGGATTCGGACCACGCTCTGAGAATGTATGGCGAGGCCGCTGATGTTACTCCAAAGGCAATGTTGAACCCTAGGAATAGACCAACGGTTGTGAGCCCGGCGCTCTTGAGGTAGTACCCTAAATAACGTGAGCAAACATGCAGAAAAAGAAAACACAAGCTGATGAAGAGTTTGGGACATACAATACACAGAAATATCGCCCGTGCGTCTTGTAAGATCCATCAGATCGGTACCAGAAGGCGGCGTGGTGCCGGGAACAGTCGTCGGCTTTTCAGCAGCCGCGTCTTGGGCGGAAGATGAGCTTGCTTCCTTGACCTCCAGCTGGCTCACGTAACCTGTAGACGAGCGCAGCTGGGTCCAGGAGCCCTGCTCGGCCACCTTGGACTCTGCCAAAACGATGATGTGGTCGGCCAGTGGAAGGTGTTGCGCTAACCGACAAGTAAGTACATACAACATGAAATCTGCCAGCATCTAAACCTACAGGCATGAGTGATTAGAACAACGGTGGTACCGAGTTTCTGGAATACTCCCTTCTTTCCAAGGAGCTGCTCAGCCACGTGCGCCTCGGTCTTTGCGTCCAAAGCAGAGAGAACATCATCAAGAATGATGATGCTTGGTCGTGCATATACAGCTCTCGCGATTGCCTACACAGGCACTGTTAGTCACGGTCTTCTTCATCCTTCAGAAGTTTCAACCCACCACTCGTTGTCTCTGACCTCCAGATAGCGTGACTCCACGGCTACCGACGGTCGCTTTGTCGCCCTTGAAGTTTTCGATATCTTCGACCAGCCCGCAAGCATAAATGACAGTGTTGTACCATTCCTCGTCAATCTCCGAGTCCGGAATAGGCCCACAAACAATGTTCTTGATGCTGGCATTGATAAGCCAAGGCTTTTGCGCGCAGTAGCCGATGCGCTTTGACGAGACGGTTATGGTGCCCTTTTCGGGCGGAACATCGCCGAGAATCGCCCTGGCCAGAGTTGTCTTGCCTGTGCCCACAGCTCCACAGATTACATTCAAGGACCCGTGCAGAATATTGATGTTAATGTCCTCAAGGCATATCTTTGCTGTCGCCGCTGGCTTCAGACTAACATTATCGAAGCTGATGGCAACGTCGGGTTTCGTGGTGTTGTCTGATCCTGCTCCATTAGCGGTAGTCTGGCCATTTTGAGATTCGACTAGGACTCGTTTGTCCTCGCGAGATGGCTCAACTAGATAGTCTTGGATTCTTCGAAGAGTTCCAAGCATCGACCCCAACTGGGGATATGCAGCCAAGAGCTGGTTGGCAGGGGATGCTACGAGACTGATGATTGCCACGGCTGTGAATGCCCGTGTTGGGTCCAATGGGCCATGACCTCGGAGCTTTGCATCTACGGCGTAGAAAACCAAGGTGAAGACTGGAGAGAACAAGGTGACGGAATATGCTAGATGGAAAAGGGAGTGAAGCCCCATGCGTTAATTCAATTGTGCAGATTAGAGTCTCTCTCATGGAGACCACTCACCCAGACAGTTGAAGTAGGCCAAGGTCCAGCGAAACAAAGTGCCCTTGGCTACTTCACCTTTTCTTCCTTCATGAATCTTGGTCATGACTGTTGTCGCCATTCCCATCATCTTGATGTTTTTGATGTAATCAATCATGGAAGTGGTGATGGCAACGAGCTTCTGTTTTGCACCCATCCAGGCCATAACTTTACCTCCGATACTGGAGCCGATGAACTTGCTGACTTGTGAAGATACTGCAACACGAAAGGTTAGTCGATTTGTCAATCAAGGCAAACTCGGCTTCAAAATTGAGTTGCGTAAGACAATGGTCCTTACAGCCAACGATGACTAGTGGTGTCAACGACCACCATCCAAGCTGGTTACTTAGCATGTACATGCCAATAATGACCTCAATCGCATTTCCAAACACTTCTTGAAAGATTCGTGCAGTATAATCAACATTGTCGACATCGTTGCCCATATGAGTGACTGCTGCGGCGTCATCGTAAACTCCATCACGCATCTCAAGGCATTTGGCATGGATAAGTCCAACCAAAACACCTCGGGTTTTGACCTCGATTCGACCAGCGCCTTGCTGATAAATGTTGTTGCTGATCTAGAACAGTGTTACCATGCTGGAGCGACATTCGGATTGGAGATAGATACTACTTACAATTGTCCCCGAATAGATGATGATTGCGGCAAATATGATCTGCGTGCCGGTTACGTCTTGGGCGCCCTCGGACTCTGTAGCTGGTTGCGCAACGTACTGGATAGTGCGGTTAATGAGAACTGGCTGTGCAAAGCGAAATACCGTCGAAAAGAGCCGGGGAATGGCTATAACAAGCATGGTGGGACCCAGACATCTGGCGAGTAGCTTTAGCAAAGGCAACGCACTTTCGCTCCCATGCTCCGGTTTGGCTATAGTCATGTAAGTATTAATCCCACTTGATTTTAAACATCCGCCGTTTTGGTTGAAATTCGCGACCTACCTGTTTTCGCCCAAGCCTTTTCGGCGCGTGCCCGCAAACCTTGAGACTGGATGCCGTCATCTAGATTTGGCAGATCCGCTACAGACAAGAGTTTCTTATGGCCCTTCCAGATTTGCTGATTCATCCAAAAGAGGAAGATGCGATTGAGATCTGCCACAGTCTGCTCCAAGGGCAAGGAACTGTACGGCTCTCTCAGGTAGGATCGTTTATTCAAAGTTTCGAGGACAAGCAGGATCACTTTGAGCCCACTTGACGCAGTGAGCAAAGCTATAGTGCGCGTCTCTGCATGGCCTTCATAGACCGAGGCCAGGTTGATGCTATCGCAAACGATCGATGTCACGAGGTAGACGGTGAGCAATGTCGATGGCTTGACTGATCGGCCATGTTCGAGGAATGACAATACGCAGACTACCAATGCAGCCACGAATGTTACTGCATTGGTTATGATGGTAGCTTGATGGGGACGCGGTGTAATTGTCAGACTCAGGACAAGAATAGCTAGCTGTATCGCAGCAATAGAAATTGCGAATATCTGTTTCACGAGTCAGTGGATAACCTCTTGGTTCAAAAACAATAGGCATCACGAACAGCTTTGAGCAAGCCCCTCTTGTTAGGCAAGACTTTGAGGTCTGCCTTGCGCAAGTAAAACCATCTGGCTGGAAACAGTACAAGCAGCAGCGCTGATGGGACCAATAGAAGCCATAATTGCGATTCAGTATATGTGGTTTTTGGACTCTTCAAGGCTACAATTGAGTCGAAGTAGGAAACATTGTGTGGGAAGCCAGTCACTAGGCTAGAGCCCTCGTGAAGGCCGAGTACAGCCTGCGCGGAAGCCATCGCCAGTGAGAGGTGTTCTATATCGGATGCGCGCCGTTTAAGTGTCTACTTAGTCTTGAAGCATCACGACGAGACGACTTTGAGCAATGCAAATAAACAAGTAGATGAAAAGACGCGTCTTTATTCTCGGATAAAACAAGACGTGACAAGAAATTCACAAGAGGCTCTGAGAATCATACCTGCAGCAGCTCTTTGCTTGGCGCCGATCTGGTTCGTTAAGTCGAACCCATGGACAGGAAGCGGCACAGCAATGGGCTTCCCGACTAGGCATGGGCGGCAAGACCCTGTAATGTTTCGCCCCCAGGTAACACGATCAGGACCGTCTCGGTGCCGATGACTTTTTTGAATTCTGCCTGCTCTCGCCTATTAGCCTTGCATCGGCCAGTGACTCAAAAGTTCCTGAGATACCCAAAATGAACATGCCGCTACCCTCTGGGCCAGAAATCTGTCCAATCCAAAGTGAGATTTCAGTCCGTTCACTCGGGTATCGTGCCCCTGGCGCAAAGTGGTGGTCGCGAATCCCAACGAAGGAATACCGCCCTGCAAGCCATCCCGATAGCTAATCTCTCTGGGTCGGAGATAACAAATAACCAGCTGACTAGTACTTGATCGCGCATGTAACCTTGCTTAAAAGTGCTGTGCATAATCACTAGCAGACAGCTTAATTTACTATAAGAGTGTTCTGGTTTCGGACAAAACAAGAATTATTGAATTCCGAACTGAGCCAGGACAATGACGATATCAGATCATCATCATGAATGCCGCATCAAGCCCATTTTTGCGAGTTCAAGTGGGTGTTATACTGCCGAACATGTATTCCAAGGTAGTAAATAATTACCATTGACTTTCTAGGGTCATCTCAATCTCCATTTTGTATTGTTCTCTCGCCAGGACCACAAACACGGGCTTCTCTCTCTCATACCGATACGTGCTCCCCCTTGGACCAGAGACCGCCAAGCCTTCTGCGCCCAGCGATAAAGAGCAGGGCAAGTGTTACCGCCACAAACCACTCGGACAAGATTGGGTCGACAATCAGGTTTGCCCGTCTGTCAATGTGCTTTTCCTCGAGGTAAACCAGGATCGCGGTAACCATGTTCCAGAGCGAAGAGATCCAAAAGAAGAGACTGGCGACGAGAACGAGAACCGCAGTCTAAGCAGAATGAGGGCAAAGGGTTAGCAAGGGATTCTTCTCTTTTGCAAGACCACGCGCGAAACTATTTGGCTGGCGATGAGAACCCAACTCCATGAATACGTACCTGGCGATGACTTGCGTACTTGCGAGCCCGAACCACGACGACGACGGCCAAGCCGAGGAGAGCCGTCGCCGCGACGCCGAGCAGGATGCTGTACGTTGCCTGGACATTATACAGGCGGAACAGCGACGCTCCGTCGGGGTAGCCGTCGCCGCTCCTATCGTTCCTAATGTACTTGAACAGCGCCGTGTAGTACGACTCCCAGTAGCCCATGATGACGAGGGTGAACAAGGACTCGACCAGGACAAAGGCGTAGGCTGCCCACTGGATAACGGTGCGCGCCCGCCGGCCCGCATCCCAGCAGTAGAGAATGCCGAGGGCGACCTCGAGGGTGGCGAGAAATGTAAATTGCAATGCCACCTGGAGAAAGAGATAACTCCAATCGCCTACCCTGTTTATGATTTCCTCGCGGCGATAATAATCATCAGGGTCCGTGATGTACGAGTCCCAGTCAATGAGGCGATTGATTTCAGCGGCGCTCGCGGTAATAAGGATGGTACCACTGGTAAGGGAGAAGAAGAGACAGAAGTTAGTTTCTTTGTCATCTCTTGCCATACTCTATGCATTTGCAATCTCTCGGGATTGTACTTCGACTTACATCAACATCAAACCAAGTGCAATCTTCATCCATCGGAACCCACGTCTGGCCGTGTCCTTGCCTTGGGGCACGGTCCACAAACTGGATATAAAGAGTGGCAGGAGGACCACGATGGGTATCGCTACCAACACGGTATAGGCCACATAATACGCATTAGCCATGTTGAATTATGGTCTCTGAGAAAGCTTATAGCGATAAAATCTGTTTCTTGACAATAGTGTTGCGCAGACTTTGCAAGTGGCAACAATCTATTATATAGAGATTTCGCGGTGAGGTTTGTTCATTTCATTCCCACGTACGATGCTGTGCAGCACCTTGGAGGCTTAGACCGCTTGGCGCCTATTATCATATGATGACTATTCCTAGCCGAGGGTTGCCATATTTTTCCTCTTCTTCTTCGTGTCTTGTTTTGAGTGGTAAATTGCTGACACATCCTTCTCACGAGCGGCACATGATCCAGGCACAGTCAAGTGTCTGTATTCTTTTTTAGGAAAAATCCTTTCAATCGCACCAGTTAAAAACGTGGTGAAATGGCAAATGGCCCCAAGGCAGCCGTTGGAGAACAACTGAAGATTCTTTTCGTGTTCAGCTCCAAGGCGCTAGCAGGGTGCCCAAGGAGCCTGAATCTCCTGTGCCGCTTCGTTCATGCTGCTTATGTCGCCCGGTTCATGTTGAAGAATTTATGTCAGTCTACCAGTAACTTGCATAGTGACTCAAAAGCAACTCCTTGGCACTGATGCAATCCGACATTTGGAAATACGGGGGCCTCCAATGTCTCCATTGCATTTGTGATGGGGAGAAAAGGAAAGAGAAAAAAAGATACCACAGGAAAATAACTATAGTTGGTATTGAATTGAATTAGCCTTTGATTTTCCCTTTGGTAAAAAAACAAAACAAAACCCAATGCAGCACGCCGAGGTAACGTGAAAATGCCAATAGATAGATAATAAAAATAAAAGCTAGCCGAGATATCATAGATCGTCCCTTTCCCATTGACCCTTTTTGGGCCACAGCGTTTCGAAAATGGTCTTCATCACATTCTTCACCCGCGTCACCTGCTCGGGACTTTCCGTCATGACGTCGTCGTTGAGGCACCATTGGCCAAAGATCTCCCCCTGTTTAATCGTTCTCTCGAGCAGCTCCATCTGCGCCTGCTCGGCGTCCTTGATCATGACAAACTTCATGGCGTCAATGTCAATAATTGTGTGCTGGTACTTCTTCAGCGCCTTGATGATGATTTCACGGTGGTGCTTCTTGCTGGACTTGGGAGGCAGCAGGGGCTCAAGGCCGCGGGCCGTCGATGCCAGCAAGAACTTCATCATGCAGTCGCCACATTCGGGGCGCTGCTTTGAGAGGCGCGAAAAGATGTTGGTTGTGGTAAAGTCGGGGTTGGGTGTCACCGTGTCCGAAGCGGGAGATCCAAACGAATCGGCAAAGCACTCATCGACACTAAAGTCGGCGCACTTGATGGCACGGATAGTCTCGGGGCCGTCAAGCGATGTCCACAGAATGTGAACATTGACCTTGGGAGGTTGCAGGCCGGCCTTTTGGAGGATGTTGGGAAGGTGGTAGTACATGCGCTCGCGATCTGCCGACTGCGGCGCGGGTCGACCATCCTGCTTTACTGACAATTGGCGCCAGCCGGGCTCAATGGCCTTGAGAATGTTCTCACGCTCCGACCAGTCGAGGTAGCCGTCCGAGTTTGTGTCGGATCTCGACATGATGTATGACCACAATAGAGCTTCGCGGAAGCGCTCAATGGTGTAGTGAAAGTTGGCGTACCATGGGTAGATTTGGAAACGCGACTCGCCACGGAATCTTTCGCAGGCTCCGTTCTTCGCGGGTTCAGGGAACGACGCCATGGTCTCCTTCATGACGGAGCGTGAGACTGAGTGACCAAAGTGAGCTTGCACTCTTCTTGGTCGCTCACCAAAGCGGCGGTTCAAAAGGTACGATGTGTAGTGAGCAAAAGGCTTCTCGCCAAAGGTCGGACCCGAGCCACTGCCGAGCTTCTTCGCATTGACATTATAGCTGTCAGTCTTGAAACCCATGACCGAGCCAAAGAGCGGGGAGTAGAAATCCGACGCAGCATGCTGCATGCCCAAGAACATGTCATCTGAAAGAGCGACAAGACGATCAGTAGTCGATTGAGTCTCGTGAAGCTGGGCCTCAATAGACAGAGAGTTGAAGGTGGGCAAACAATGCCGGCTTTGCTCAGAAAAAAACTGTTCCTGGCCGAGGACTTCAACAAAGTCATTGGTAGAAGCATCGTCCTTCAGCCATGTCGGTCGCTGAGGAATCATGCCATGGCCGTCCTTGTTGTACGAAGCCTTGGCATTTACCGAGTTGACGAGGATCTGGATCTTGTTGAGAAACGTCTTGGCGTACTTGTTGACACTCCGCATGGAATATCTCAGTTCGTCCCAATCACGGTAACGGTTGATGCTGTGTTGCGCAATCCACTTGCCAGAGGGATCATTCAGTGGCGATTGGAGCTCAAAGCTGTGTCTGATCTTATTGAAGGACTCCTCCGAGCCATTGACCCAGTTGTACACGAAATCAATCTTGGGCTCGGCAAGCGGGCCCTCCTTCTCGGCGTCGAATGTGGCCGATGAGAACCAATCATCCTCCCAGCCATCAAGCTCAACGTCACGAACCGCCTCTTCAAAGGAAATGCGAATGACATCAGGAACCGGGGTGATCAATGTCCTGCCTCCCGAAGTCGATTTGCTCTCTTTTTCTGGCGGCGCCACCAAAACACCGGCAGCCGCTTCCGGCGCCGTCTCTGGAGCTTCGGGTATCACTGGGATCTCGCCATTGTCCACGCCCTCTTCAGTAGCCGGCAGCGCGGCACCGCCACCAACCCATTGTTGCGAGTAGCCGGCGCTGCTGCCAGCATTTCCCTTCCTCAAGGAGGGAAGCTTGTTATATGTCTCGTAAGACACACTCGCGACATTTCCCCACGTCCTGCTGAGTAGAAGCCATAGCACAGATAAGGCGACGAGACCCCATAAAGCTTTTCTTACAGGACGTGAGGTCAGAGTGCGGGAAGGGAAAGATGAGTGCTCAATGGGCGACATTGGGATCTTCAGCCGTGGTAGTCGGCCTGGCGACTGCATTGTAGCGCCAAACATCGAACTCGATCGATCAGGACGGGTTTTCTTGGATACCACCACGACTTGAGATCTCGAGAAGTCTCTTGGTGGGATGGTTGACTCAGCAGAAATTTGCTGAGATGTAGTAGAGGGGTGGAAGAGAAACCAAAAAATTGGGTTCAATATATTATGCCGAGGGGCAAAAAAAATACCATAAAGCTCCGGCCACCATACAAGTGGGTAATATTCAAACGAGTGTATGAATGATTAATGTAAAGGAATGTGCCGAATGAACCGGAATCTTGTAAAGTTGTCTGAACGTTCAGACGACGAAAGAGAGTGAAAGGGTATAAAAAATGTGTCAAGGAGGGACGAACACACGTAGCCACTTGAGATCTAGGTCTCTGGGGTTTATAATAAACTCCTTGCTCGCCAAGGAACCCGGGCGGCTGGATGGTAGTAGGTATCGTGGGAAAGTGAATACGGGCCACTAGGTACCGGGGTCTGTCTTGCCGGGGCAGGCTAAGAAGAAAATAAAAATGGATGCCAGAAGAGCGAGGGAACAAAGGTAGACTCGCGACCTCAGACAGTAGTGGGAGGCTATTCGTAACCGTGGCTAACGCAGCCGACTTCACCTAGACGCAGATGGGAAAAAGGTTAAAATAGATAGGGGAGAGGAAAGGTGAGCAGGGGCAAGAGAATAGAAAAAAAAAAATTCAAATCGTTCGTGGGAATCAGACACAAACACAAACACAGACACAGACACACACACATAGGACGGCACGGGAAGGGGGATCCAGGCCAGACATGGCACAAGGCAACATGCGAATCAGAATGGAAGAAAAGTTGGGCACGCGACGGGCCAACGACGGCCTCACCAGCCAAGCCAGAGGAGTGAGTCGAATGGGTACGGATACCGCAAGAAGCCAAGCAAGATGAGGAACGGCATGGAGACTCTATTCCGCAGGGGTCTTGTCTGATCCAGCGAGAGAACACAAGAGGGAGGGAAAAACAGAAAATGGCAAAAAAAAAAAAAAAAAAAGCTCTTTTGGTGCTGGGATGAGGAGTGGGCACGCGATCAGCTACTCAGGAGGGAACTACAGGACGAAGCTTAATGCCAAAAAGAGATCTTTGCAATTGACGATCCTTCCCATGTCCATTCCATCCCACCTATTACCTGCGATGAGACCCAGGTATTTGCCCACTTGGGAGGCGACACCAACAGAAGGGGGCTTGAGGGGTTCCAGTCTTGCCAGTTGCTCAGTGGTCCGCCGCTGAAGTCGCGTGCTTTTTTCTTCGCCTTTTCTGTCCCTGCGTCTGGCGTCTTGTCTGTTTCTTGCTGTTTTTGCTGCTCTGTTTCCGCTTAGGTCAGGGACCGATCATACACAAGCGGCTTGGCATTCTGGGGACCTTGTGGCTTTTTATGGATCTCCTTCACGGTACTTTTCAGGGCGGCCGGTAGTTAGCATGCAGCTTGTGCGAAGTACCACTGGAGTAGATAACATGGGTCAAAATGGGGGGTTGAGATAATGCCTGAGAGGATGACGATGATGTGGCTGCAAATGATAACCAGATTTCTGTGCGTGTATGCGCATTGATAGTAGTACGTAGATGGGTGTTTGTTGTACACAAGAGCTGCCTAGTACCTACACAGGAGCTGCAACAAGGGGATCGTCGACCGACTTGATCAGTCCTCAATGGCCGACGTCAAAGTGTCACGTCAAAATGGCACACTTGTTTCTTATCTTTCTTGTCTTCCCCTTGCATTCACCCATCCTTACACTCATGGCATGACATGTCGCGTGAGAAGACCAGCAGAAGAAAAGACTGATGATACGTAGTGGTAATTAAAAAAATTTAAGCTGCTTACCTTATCTGTATCCGCAAGCAGTAGCGGGCACGGATCCCCATGGATTATAGTCCAGTGTTCCTAGGCGACTGCCGTCATGACTGGCGAATCATCAAGTCCAATTGCCCCTGGCTGGTTCCCCCCAAAGCGAGGTGGTTCCCCCCCATCTCAGACGCCATTGACAGCTAGCAGGCCCTGTAATACAGCGTGTAATATACCTATGTGCATGTGGTTCAGGTGCCTTGCATGGGGGTTAGGTATTCGTTTTCCTACTGTCCCTTGCAGCCGCCCTGCAGCCTGCATTTGCCTTGCAGCCCAGTAGTGGTTGGAGCGGGCCAGTAAAAAGACGCCGGCCGCGGGCAGCTCCCACTTCAATACAACTGGCTCCCGCTAAAAGTCGTACCTAAATCCTTGGCCCCACGTAACCAGAGTCGGTCAGTCCCAAACCAGATGTGGAGAAGCGAATAGGTAGCTCCTCTTTTCCTGTCTTCTAATAGAGATCTGCACTCTGACGATAAACTCTGAAGATAATTGTGGTCTCTCACTCCCATGTCCCTCCGGTCTCTCAATCTCCCGGGCGAGGATCGCACGGCGTAACCCGTGGAATCCATGCCCAGTCACGTACACTACCCAAACGTCCACTTCCAGGCCCAGTACTATCGCCATTCACCAGCACTCATCAGCTCAGGAGTAGTAGTAGTAGTAGTAACATTTTTTTCATGCTCTATCGCTCTCTCGGTTTGTGTCTGGTTTTGTCATCTCATTACCGATTTCTCGGCGGCTATTTAACGCCAGTACATTTGGCGACACCGAATTTTGACAACTAGCATGGGAGAATTATCATGATGCCATCTCCTTTTTGCTCCAATATATCATCGACTTTTTTCAGCTCCTCCATGATTGCCCAGTCTGTTGAGGCTAGCTCTTGCGAATGCATAGATCAAAAGCTGAAAGAAACAAGGCCTTGCCCCTTTATCAGATCAACGCAGGAACTGATACATAACATCTGATAGTCATATACACACCCCGAACCTTAATAGACGAAACCAACCTTAAATCCACTTGCTGGCTTTCTTGCAACATTTCCCCTTGCAGCATATACAGTCAAGACTCAGATTTAAGCAAGGGGATTAGGGTTGGTTATTGTCTAGAAGACCCAAAAAGTAAATTCCGAGTGCGGCACATAATCCTTATTCCTTCGTGTTTGTGTATGCCTGTGTTTTCTTTCACATTTTCTATCCACATGTTATTCCTGAATTGGGACTATCAGACGTTCCTTTTGCCCCTCCCGGCCGCCCAAAAAAAAAAATAGTGATCATAAACTCATGTCTAGCAAGTGGGAAGCTACTACTACTACTGTCAGTCACTACGGAATAGTACCTTGCACATAGTCCCTATTAGTCGTGCGGGGACCCCCCCTGTTCTCAAGTGGATGCTCATATCTGATCACTAGATCTATCATCAAAAGAACGCTTCCTTTCTTCCATCCACCCAGGTCAGTCACTTACTCACTCACTCACGGTTGGTCTTCTTTTCTTCCCAATCAGACGTCTCCTAGCACAAAGTCAGTCATCTTTTTTTGTCGACTGGCAGAGGCACACTGAACTTACTGGATCGTTATCCAGGACCGCTCCTTACCTTGTTCACATCATGTATTCCTATAGTGCTGTCGCACCGCGCGAGGATGAAGAATCGCTTCTTCCAGGCTCGCCTACACTTCAACAACCGCATCAGCGAAGCGCAGGCCGCCGCTTTTGCTCAATGCCTTCCATGGGCGAACTCATAGCGAGGACTCTTCTCTTCATGCGCCCGAGCTTCATGATGAGGGGGACTGCCGCGGTTGAGGGCTCCGAGAAGGTCGTGGCAACAACAAAAAAGCACGGCACAGAGTACCTCGATGGTGTACGCGGTCTTGCTTCCTTCATCGTCTTGATCCTGCATTGGAGCCACATTCCTTATCCTGCTGTCAATGCAGGATGGGGTTACCAAGGAAACACATCCTTTTGGCTGCTGCCTTTTGTGCGCATCATTCACAGCGGCGCCGCCATGGTATCTGTCTTCTTCGTCATATCCGGCTTCGTTCTGTCCCATCGCTACATACAACGCATGCACCGCCGCGAGTACAATGAACTGTTTGCGTCGCTCACCTCCATCACATGGCGCCGAGCCATTCGCCTCTTTCTCCCCGCCTTCGTCTCGAGTCTGATGGCCTTTGTATTTGCTTGCGTCGGCATCATTGTTGTCCCCCACAAGGTCAATGGCGAGCCTTTTGAGCACAGCTTCTCGGCCTACCTCGACTTCCTCGACGCCGAATCCAATCCGTGGGACTGGACTGCCGAGTTCTTTGGCTTCTACAACCCTCAGTTATGGTCCATCGCGGTCGAGTTCCGCGGCTCCATGATTGTATTCCTCATGGTTTTGGCGCTGGCGAGAACTCGTACCGGCATTCGCATCGCGATCGAGACGTTCCTTATCATTCACTCATTTGGCCACAAGCGCTGGGACGTTGCTCTATTCATTACCGGTATGACCCTGGCCGAGCTGCAGGTCATCTTCCGAAAGCCCACTAGCGGCACGAGGATGAGGGTCGTGAATGGCATATTGATCACGGCCCTCATCATGGGCTTGTTCCTTGCCGGCTATCCCCGAGACGGCAACATCAAGACGATCGGGTACATGTGGTCCAAGAACGTCTGGCCTTACTCTGCCTATCGCCGCCGTTTCTGGATCGCCATTGGTTCGATCCTGATTGTTGGACCCATGGCCTTTTTGCCCTCGGTGCAGGCCATCTTCCTCACGCGACCAATTCGATACCTCGGACGGATCAGTTTCGCTCTATATCTCACGCACGGTCTCGGAAACCGAACCGTCGGCAAGTGGCTTCTCAACGGATGCTGGGACTATATTGGCAAGGAAGGTTTCTGGCCTTACACCATCAGCTTCATTGTTTCCACGAGTCTCTATTTTCCATTTATTTTCTGGATTTCTGATATGTTCTGGAGGGCCGTTGATATCCCCTCGACCGACCTGGCCAAGAGGCTTGAAAAGTGGTGCTCTTCGCCTGCCGAGCCTGAGAGGTGATCTCTCAAAGCACGTTAGGTTTTCCCTTTACAACTTTCCTGTACATAGGTATGTAAAATTAGATTACGCGGATATTTCTCTTAGAGATTTGCTTCTCATGGTGCAAGGATAGCGACAATAATGTGCATGGGCTGGTTGGCATAAGTACTCTCGCTCAGAATTCTTATTTCCATTTTAATGGCGTTGCAAGGAGAAAAATACAAATGAGTTCAAATGTTCAAAGGCTTGTCAGTATCTTTTTGTGACCCCGCAAATATTTCATGACAAAGACTGCGAGCAACCCTGTTGAAGTCGTCACCAAAGTGAGCTCTGACCCTCAGAAATCCTGGTGCAACTACGCAACCTCCCCACGTATTTTTATTACGCAGCGTGCAGCCTGCATAATGACTGGTGGAACCCTCTCCAAGACGCTGCACGACCCTTGGACAGTCGGTCTAAAGTCAATGGATACTACATACAGCTTATCAACGTGGGCCGAGTCACCATACATACATACACCAAATGTACTTGCGCAGATACATACCTACTTACATACACTGCATATACTTCCCGTGCAACGGGCAGGCAAGACAGGCCCGAAGGAGAAACTTCCGAGCGTTAGCGGACGCGTCACTCTATCGTCAAAGTGCCTGCAGGCGAAATCATGCTGTCCAGGCTGCCTGGAAAACCCATTCTGGAAAACATGATTGCCGCCAATCTTCTTGGCATTCTCTTTGCTATCTATACTATAATAGACTTTTGCGGAAGCGAAACGGCGGCTCAACGCCTCTTTGCACGCGCCAGTTTCTTTTTATTTCTTCGCCTTTTTCCCCCCCCTGTTGAAAGCAGCAGAAATTGAACGGTAGTTGCCTGCCCCCCACTACGGTTCGGTTATAAACTCCGATAGAGTTGGAACACCCCTGCATAGGCTGGGGAGGAATTTCCTGCCAGGTACGAAAGTCAAAAAAACCAAACAGACTTTGCTCGTACAGGAGTACAGGAGTACAGGAGGAAAGTAAACACTACACACAATAAGCTTGGCATATATATATAGTTCTTATTTTCTGACATTCTCCCGCAATTCTCTACCGGGTGCTGACTCGCGTGCTTCCAACCTCGTAGCAAACGAGTCAAACCCCCGTCGCGGGAAGAGACAAGACCTTGATGCTATCAGTGACTTTTTTGAAAAGCGTCCCGTGTATGAACCAATACTTTGGCATTTGCTGCAGCAACTCTGTTGAGGTATTCCCCGAAATGGGCAGAGAACCAGCCAAGCGGTTCAGGGGTGTTAGAGTTTCTTCCCACGTCCGAGATTGCTGCCTTTTTTTCCCCAATGGCGTCTGTCTCGTCTCGCGGCTCCACGGTTTCTGAGATGTCCATTGTAATGAAATGTTTTGCGCGACTTCTATTTATGGGATCTTTCTGGGACATACAAGTTGTCTCTCTATTCTATTCCATTCCATCACATATCATTTCGTAGGTAGCTTATAGTTCAGGTCTGCCGTTGGCCACCGAGGGGCTGGCTGCTTACCATATTTGAATGCCCGCAAACCTTTTGACGAGTCAGGTAAACACATGGTCTCTCACTGAATTGTCACAAAGTTCCATGATAACCGCATAGACCTGCCGTTCTTAATTCATCATCCACTTTGGTGGTCACGAGAGCAGAAGCCTATTGCGGAAGCCGTGCTTCAGCCTTGTTGCCGCAGACGAGCCAGTCAGCGTGCGTTATGCACCCGATGCGATCAATAAAGCCATAAAGAGATGACTCTAAGCTTCCCACGAGTTTTCATGTCTTATTTTACGTTTTGAAAGGCCTAGGTCTCGGCCATTGTTATCGTGTGCCGTCGAGCATCCCGATATCATGAAAAGGTAATGTCAGTTTGGGGAGTGAACAATAATTGCGGCACCAGCATTGGTGCAATACCCGCAGACAATACAAGTTCCCAGGGCTTTATCAGTGGATGTAAATTTTCTGTTTGAAGGGGGAAAAAAGGTAGGCCATATCGAAACTTGGTTCGTTTTTCCTCGAACAAGATTGCTGCCGTCATGTATTCCGTACCACAAAGAGTCGACATCACCATTTGTGGCTGCCACGGAAAACGTAGCGCAACAAGTTGATACAGAATTTGGGAAATTTATCTTGTTTCAGGGGCACGCGACCATGGTAAATGCCCAGTCATGTACTCAAAGAGCACGCGAGCGTTGTTATCTTGGAGTCTCCGTGGTTGCACTAACGGAACTGGTCACAAAAAGCAGCGCAGCTCACCAATCATATTCTGATTTGATAAGCGAGCCAATGTATCGCATACACTTTGTTGGCATCAGACAGACATTGATAGGACCTTTTTTTATTTTATTTTTATTGAGAGTGTAGTAATACCGCACCGTCAGAAATTCAATTGCACCCAACGACACATATATCAGCAAGATGATCACACCGGCCTCAGTAGTGAGATTGTCTGCATCAGATCTCTCCTGAAACTCGGATTTGCAAGACGACTATCTCATGAATCTACACGCTGGACAGCAGTTCGTGCTACGGATGCTATACTACCTAGCTCACAGCTATAATCGCGTCCTAGCGTATAAGTAGGTAGGTAGTAAATTATCGTGGGCAACGAGCTTGTCTTGGGCGGTACACATCCATAATTCAACATCAGTCAGAAGCTCGTAGAGAACCTCCACTTACTTTCCATCTCAAATACACCCAGTACTAAGAAGAAAATGCAATTTTTGTTACAAGGGAAAAAAATGCCTTCGCCACGTCCTTCAATGACTCGGCGAAGTTGTTCCTTGCTGCTTGATCGACTTGCGGTCTTTTCTACTGGTGCGGGGCTTGCGGAATAAATAGCGCTTATTCCTAGTCAAGTACAAACTAAATATGGCATAATGACAAAGTCCGAAGCTCTTCGGAGCCAGACGGGGTTTTGATTCTAGATTTATCAAGTATAAGTAAATTCTTCATCATCAATCTATATACTGCTCACAAGTCGCGAGTAGGAAAGGAAAGGGATCTTGTGTACGGATTTTTCTTCCTTGGCAAAGATGGCGACAGCTTCAAAGGATCCACCGACCAAGTTCGGCGTCGTCCTGTTCCCGGGATTCCAATCGCTCGACGTCTTTGGGCCCGTCGACATTCTCAACTTTCTGTCCAAGGGGCGAGACGAGCTGCGGTTTTCCATGCTCGCCGAGACCCTAGACCCCGTGTCCACGGCGCTCGAGCCGGGCGGCTTTGGCCAGTCGGTCATGCCCACGCACACGTTTCGGGACGCCCCCGAGGACATTGAGGTGGTGCTGGTGCCCGGCGGAATGGGCACGAGACGTGACGATGTCATTGCTCCGTCGGTCGAGTACGTGAAGCGCGTGTTTCCAAAAGTTCGATACTTTTTGACCGTCTGTACTGGTTCTGCGCTGGCGGCAAAGGCGGGAGTGCTCGACGGAAAGAGAGCCACGAGCAACAAGTTGGCATTTGAATGGGTAGGTTATCCCCTGCAATTACCCATCGTGCTTGAGAGGGAAAACGATACATGTTCCTGATGATTCGTCCAGGTCAAGTCAGTAGGACCAAACGTCGACTGGGTGCCCAAGGCTCGGTGGGTGACGGACGGCAACGTATGGACATCGTCGGGCGTGTCGGCAGGAATCGACATGATGTTTGCCTTTGTTGCTGATCGGTATGGAGAAGATGTGGCGGAGGATATTTCCATCCGCTCTGAATATCGTCGCAATCCGGACTCGACTGATGATCCTTTCGCAAAAAGTGCCAGCTAGGGGTTCATAGTTGGCTGTTGCCAGTGGTGTATGGCGTTCAATTCAAAGAGATTAAATACAAGATATGAGCATGTTCCGTCAAGAATGGCCGGGAAATTGGAATCGAATCCAAGGGCTTGTAAGTCTCGTGTTACGAGTCTGGAGGTCGTGGCTGGCAGGCCCCCCCCCCTCCTGGGCCAGGAAGATGTCTAATGTAATTGTGAGCTGGGGAGTTGATTGAAGAGTTGGAGTTTTGTACGACAAGTTCCTTGTAGAGTCGGACGAAACTTGAGCCAGATCTCAATATTCTGGAGGGGCGTGGAGAAATTCTCTAACGATTGCTTTTATGGCACTATCGCCTTCCAGCATGAAGTCTCGACTTCCTTGGTTCATGTAATGCATCGCATCGTAGGTTTCCACGGCCTTGGAAGCTGCAGTCGCCAGCGTCACGACCTTTGGGCGATGGTGATCTGATTTTGCTAGACATGCACAAACAAGCGCTCTAAGATCGTTATCGAGCCATGGCACGGGGTCCGCTTTTGTAATGTCATCTTCATCGGGTAGCAGCCCCGTAGCGACTGTGTCGTATTCCGGGCCTCCAGGAGTCAGTTTTGTCTTGACGGTTGGGTTAAATCGGTATGTGTGGATCCACCCATGCTCCAATGTTATTGCTGTCATCATTATCTGGACACCGGGTTAGAGTCTGCTTGCTGCTTGATCAAATAGAAGTCACTAGGGGCTTACTAGTCCTATGTCCCAAACATTTTCATCCTCCACGTTCAAGTCCCTATCCATTGTTAGCTGAATTTTCTAAAGATATTATCCAGGAAAGCGAGTAACTTACGATGGATCCTCTGTTGCCATTCCGAAATCTATCAACTTCAGCGCCGGGAACAGATCGTGTTCATCTTCGTCGAGGGTGAAGTCGTCAATCATGACTAAAAGAAGCAGATTGTATTAGTACCAACCAATTGGAAAGTGTGAAGGCTACTTACTATTACCATTATGCATATCACCGTGTGTAATTTTGGCTTCGTGAGCCGAAGCTCGCACACGTTCTTTGACCGCGCTGCCGTCTCCGGGATCCTCGGGAGGCCATTGCATCCCGATGCAGGCGCGTATAACTAAAGAGTCGGTCAGCATGTGTCATCACGGTAAATCGTGTTGGGTTGAGGGAAGGTTTACGGCATAAAAACATCCTCCACAACACTCGATTCGGCAGGTGCGAGATGTCATCGCTGTCTATTACTCGCTCTAGGAAGTCGTAGAGTTGGCCGTTTGGTAGACACTCCATATAGAAACTGATCTCGTTGCGATGCGGTCTCAAGGGGAATGGTGTCTGGAGCGGGTCATCGCCAATCTCCAGTATCCGAGCAATATGCCGCGCGAATCTCAATTTCTGCGAGCAATATGTTAGTCACTACAGAGAAAGTTGAAAGGCGTCTCGGGTAACGAACCTTCAACATGTTCACCTCCTTTTCCATCCCTTTGTCAAGTTTGGCCTTATAGCTCGACCCCTCAACGTAGTCCTTCTCGGTGAGAGCGTTTTCGATGTTGGTCTTGAGTATAATCTTTTTCTCATTTGGAAAGCCGCCCGCGGGGTTGAATTTGATAAGCCATGCCAATCCAGAGGCGCCTGCTCCCATCGCTTTCTGGAACTGAAATCGTTTCTTGCCGTCGTTGTCGAAGTATGCCTTGAGAAGCTGTCCGTATTCTTTAACCTGAGCTTTCCTTTCATCGTCGTAATCGAGTGAAAAGGACGACATGTTCTGGTGAACAATTCTAAAACGATCAAGTTCAATAATACCTTTTTCTCTCTTTCCTTCTACTCTGTCCTCTTAATTGACCTTGTTTTCTCCCGTCGCACGACGTTTGACCCAGGTTTTATGAAGAGGGATTTGGTTGCACAAAGACCACAAGTATAACAATGTGACAATCCTGAACCATTCCTCTTCCGGCATCAGACAAAACAATCAAAGCACCCATTGTATGATTTATAGAGCCTATGACATCCAATTGAACAATCGTGTCTTTGATCTTGTTGTTGGTTCTTTTAAATATTCATTATGCATTGGACCTATGCTGAAAGTTTAAATGCATCTTCCCAAATACGCGCCACTGTTCAAAAAAGCGAGCAATCTATGTCAATACTGAAACGGCAAATGGGTATCTATCGCAGTCTGCCTCTGACGAGTTCAACGCCAGACTCCCCAAAAATATTCAAATGATGTCAGCTATTGTATCAAGCCAGTGACGAAATCACTAGCTTGTTGCACCTTGCCCGTGTAATCGAGATGGGCTTTTGTGACGATGAGCGTACCGTCGCAGACCAGATCGCCGTCATTGCACAGAATGAGCGTCTTGGCCGTGTCGACATTGGGCACTTGGTCGTCGTCTTGGTCCTTTTGCGTGTCGCCAAAAGTGACGGCGGCGGCAATCTGGCCTAGGACAGTCTCGTCGTCAATCTGCTCGGTGGCACGGTGGACCATGGCGGCGCCTTGGCTGTAGCCCGAGAGCACAATTTGCGAGTCTGGGCAAGTGGACGAGATGTTGGCGATGAGGTCAGCCATATCGGCGGCGTCGTCGGGATTGGTGCCGCCGGGGATGAGGTTTTGGGCCAAACCAGCGGGATAGTCGACGCCTTGTACAGCGACACGGTCTGCTCCTAGCGAAGTCTGAAGTGACGAGGCCAACTGGGGACCCGGTTGATCGCCCTGTTTAATCTGTTAGTTGTCATGGTATCTTGATATAGTCAGGAGAATAGCACAACGTACAATGTTACCGTCTTGTGTGCTGCCTCGGGCGTAGACCAAAACAACATCCTTGCAACCGGCGTCAAGGAAGTCATTCGCGGTGAATGAGGAGTCCCCAGTGTCATTGGCTTGGCGTCGTACTAGGTTGTCTTCGCCTCGTGCCACCATTTCTTGGATGCTCACGCCATCGGGGATATTATAGCTTGTTCCGGTCGTGACGATGGGTGTTGCTGAGGCGTAGACAGCCAGGAGCCCGGCGCTAAGGATTGTCGAGAGCTTCATTTTTGATAGAAGTCGTGGAGACTCAGGATATTAGGAAGATTTTGAGGTTGGATTAATCACGCTGGCGCAAGTGTATGAACTGAAAAGACAAGCCGCACAGCGGGTTATATCAGAACGAGAGTACAAGAACGCGCAGCGATGCTAGACCAGCAGCAGAGAAAAAGACAAATATTGAGCACGAAGATATTCGTTGGTGCTTCAAACCATCGCCAACATAATTTGTGGATGGTTTTGCTCTATAAGAACAGCAGTGGACTGCAATGTCAATGGTGCCGCACATGCGCGAAGCTACCACAGCCACTCTTAGGATTGGCAAGTTCAAACGCGCCGGAGGTTTGACTGTGCATTGGATGGCACTATATATGGATCCCTCCAGTCTCTGTACTTCCGCTTTGGATCGATACGCCGTGCTTATGGTCCCTGTATGGAAGTTTTCTATGGCTTCCCTGAGTGGATCACACGGGTGAGGGCGCTTGCCAAACGCCGTTGACAGGACAAGATATTCGGAAACGGAGACACGTCGTGTGTCAAGGGGTCAATAATGCGGCTCTTATTTAGAGTTGTCAGTTATTCGAACCCCCCGTCTGCGTGGGCAGGGTCCTGGGTGCACTTCGGTTTCGGCGTCCCTGACCGTAGCAAGGATCAAGCGGCCCTCAGCGCTACATGCGGAAACCAGCGAGCGTCAACAGGGTACAGCCATGGAAGGTTGAGAAGCTTGTTCGATGCAAGATATGCCATTTTTCCGAAAAAGTTTGTCCCAATGGACCAATCAGTCACAAAAATGCAGATTTCGATGGCCGTTGCTGCATGCGGAAAGCGAATTGCCATTGTTTTCTGTGGCTCGGAGTTGATCAAAAGAGGAACTTGGGAAACTCGATGTCCATCTGGAGGTCAGTTATATATACCTTTCCGAAACCCATCATACCCTTAAGCCATGATATGCCCAATAATAGTATAGACCCTATCAGACGATAGATATATTCCGAGAAGTCTTCTTCGAAAATATGATTATGTAAGACCTCTAGTCTTGTACCTCGTTTTGTCCTGAATTATCCCTGAATCCTACCTTTGTAAAACTTCTGTAGAACCACATACGCTTTATGATAGCGTGCAACTGCACAGACGGTCAATGTTACCTTGTTGAATGAATTTCACCATCATTCATGCCCACAAGTTGCCCAGCATAGTATCATGTGAGTCTTCGAGTATTTGCATCTCATGTAGTGACCCAAAGTGACAATTGTGAATGACACCATGTCTTTTACACCCCACGGTCGCCGAATCACTTGACACGCATTTATGATGGATCATCTCAATATTGGAATCTTGTCATCTCTAACCACAGTTCAATTTCCAGTGCAGCCACGCTGTGGTGCCGAATTTCCTGTTGTGGAAGTCATTTGAGTCAAAAGTGAGATACTCCAGCCAAGTAGGTTCCATTGGCATGCACAGTACTTCGTACCTTGCATGTTGTTCACTATTTTACAACGCCAGATCGGGGGGGTGGAAGTACAGATCAAAAGACGTTTCGAACAACGATGACCCAATGTGTTTTTCTTTTCCTTTCCTTCATGTGACTGATAAATAATGAGATCGTGAAAAACTTGGATATATCTTCTTATGACCATGTACATTCAGAGGTACGAATATCCAAAGCAAAGAGCTAAACTGGACTCCCGGTCATGTTGTGTGCACGCAGTCGACTTAAGCTTCGACTGTCACTTCGTCTGAGCTTGGATTGACGTCAACTCCGCCCGTTCTAGTGGCCACATGCGACGGACCTAGACCACCTTTAGCCGCTGCTAGTGGTGAGGTGGCCGCTAATGAACATAGCTCAGGGGATTTTTCACAGCGCATTAGCTCCCCTGCAGGGCGCAAACAGATAACAAGTATGCTTTTCAGCTGCAACTACCTTGGTAGCTTTATCGCTCTGGTCGACCTTCAACTGATCTGCATTGCGCGACTCACACAACGAACATTGTATTGGCGCAAGCCTCCAAGCAATCCGCACATATTCGCCGTCGACAACTTGATGTACGATGCCCTGCAGAGGGTGCGTTCTTTGCGATAATGTCAGGAATGGTTGCGGGGGAAGGTGAAGAGGGCCAGATTCCTCGTGTTCTCGGCCATGTCGAGGAAAGAGCTGGACGACGTGTTTCTCGGGATGCAGGGAGCGCAGACAACATGCCGAAAGAGACACACCAGTTGCCGTCTCCGCGCCCATCTCCGTCTACCGATCCCTTTCCCGAGCTCGAAATGACTGTGTCGCCGCTCGTCATGCCGCTGGACGCAGCCGGAAAGGCGGACACGAAAACCCTCCCACAGATCAAAGAAGGAGAGGCCGAAATAATAGAGACGGTTCTGAATACAAAGGAAAACATTTCCTCGTCTGAAAGCACCTCGAATCAAAATAGTGATGAGACTTCGACCTCGAACTCGTCGTCCCAACAAGATCTTGCTCAGGCGTCTTTGGGTAATGCAAACAATGGGATTGATTCAACCAAAGCATCGTCTCCGGCGAAGAGGGATACCACCGGAACGGTCCGCAAGTTGTCCGCATCGCAGATACAGGCTCTAGCCTCTTCGCCAGAGTCATTGCCTGTGGCCATAGTACCGCCTCAGTCGCCAGCTGGTGCTCAATACAAACCGAATGGCATGGAGTACCCTCTCTCTGCCGGATTGGTAGAATCCGCCTCTCGGCTCACGGCCAACGAGCAGGTCCAGAATGGGGTTGGGCTTGGGATTCAGCCCGCCGAGCAAGACGCGGCCAGAGCACAGAATGGAAATGACAAGACATACTCGGAGCCTCTGAGATCTCGCAACTTTTCCGAAGTGCCCGTCCTCAACCGAACGACTCCCGAGACTAGTCGGCCGCGGCCAGGTCCAAGGACTCTCTCTCAGCCACCCATCACTCGCCGCCCGACTTTGGGAGCTGCGACTGCGACCTCACCGAATAGCTCACGGAGATTCTCGTTCAATCCTGCTGCTCGCCCACCGCCGCTGAACTTGAGTAATAACAGTAATACGACGCCGGCTCCGAGACGTACTACGCCTGCTTCGCGTAGGCCAGACAAGACGCCCAGCGAAGAAATCGGAAATGGAGAGGCTCTGCAACCTGCGGCTCATATTCAGCCAGCGACTCATGTACAGTCAGCTACCCATATTCAACCAGCAATACCGCTGCCTCCCATGTCCTTGCACACACATCTCCAACTCGAGTTGGCAGGTGTCCGACCCAGTCCGCTGTACATCTACCGCCACCAAACTTCCGATATTCCATACGAATCTAGCGCCGTCAAGTTCGAGCGTCTCTTGAACGCTCTTCTTGTTCCGCCCTATTTGGAGTCGACCTTGATGTTTGGCACGCTTGCTTGCTTGGATGCATTTCTCTACACATTTACTCTGCTCCCTCTGCGTTTCTGTATGGCCATTTGGGTTCTCATGAAATGGTGGGGCTACATGGTATGGAAAGAAGTAAAGTGGCTCACAGGCTTTGTCTGGCAAGGCATTTGGCGGCTGTGGAAGCGTGGCCGGAGAGGTCGATCGACCACGCGACCTTCAGCAAGCAGGGCACAAAGCAGCCAAGCTACGGCAAGCGAGAATGAGAGAAGTCAGAGTCGCGCAAGAGACACCGCGTATGCGTCGGATGCCACCACCGCTTCTCTTGACGCAGGGCGCCTGAATGGCAACGCTGGGTTTCATCCGCCCAAACATGCCATGCCAAGGCACAAGCCGAGCGGCTTCCGCCACCGGAGAACCAAGTCAATGCCGTCTGATCTTACACCTTACCACAAGGCCGACTTGCTCCAGGGTCTTGTCATTGTGTGCAGCTCTCTGGCATTGATGACCATTGATGCCAGTCGAATGTATCACTTCATTCGGGCTCAATCTGCCATGAAACTGTATGTCATCTTTAACCTCCTCGAGGTTGGAGACCGGTTGCTCGCAGCCATTGGCCAAGATATCCTAGAATGTCTGTTTAGCTCCGAAACATTGTCGCGCAACAGCTTTGGCCGTTCCAAGGTTCTTCTTCCGCTGGGCATGTTTGTCCTGTCTCTGATCTACAACGTGGCACATGCCGTCGTTTTGTTCTACCAGGTCATCACTCTGAACGTGGCTGTCAATTCTTACTCTAATGCGTTGCTCACGCTGCTCATGTCCAACCAGTTTGTCGAAATCAAGGGAAGTGTTTTCAAGAAAATCGAAAAGGAAAATCTCTTCCAGCTGACTTGTTCTGATGTTGTGGAGCGATTCCAACTCTGGATCATCTTGATTATCATTGGTCTTCGCAATATCGTAGAAGTTGGTGGCCTGTCCGTCCCCGGAGCAGGCAGCGAGATCGACCCATCCATGTCAGGTCCAGGGCCTATCCACACGGCCTCCAACTTGCCTGCGAGTTTTACTCTATTGCCTTCTTGGATGTTCTCGGGCGAAGTCTTGTCGCCTTTCCTTATTGTAATTGGTAGTGAGATGCTGGTTGACTGGGCCAAGCATGCCTACATTAACAAGTTCAACAACGTCAAACCAACCATATACCGAAGAATGCTTGACATTTTTTGCAAGGATTATTATACGAATGTAAGTTTGGGCATCATCTTCAGCACTCTGTATTCACTAAGCACAAATCTAGGCCTTTGGCGCACCTGCCCTCACGCGCAGGATCGGTCTGCCTCTTCTCCCTTTGTCTTGCTTGTTCATCAGAGCTTGCGTACAAATATATCACATGTTTCTCGCCACTCATCTACCGCCGCCGATGCCTACAGCGACTATGGACTTATCCCTCGAGTCATCAGTACCCTCCTCGGCTGCTATGCTGGCTGCCCTGGACCGGCTTGATAATCTGCTGCGGAATGCTTTGGGGCGGGCCGTCTACGGCGATCCATTTACCCAGCAAGAGGGCCATTCATCCTGGTCATTCAGCTCCGATGATGCCGTGGCCCTGATCACAATGTTGACATTTTTCCTCCTCGCCTGGCTTATTCTTCTCCTCGTCAAGCTCATCCTCGGCATGGTTCTTCTCAAGTATGCTCGGGAGCGCTATGCTGCTGTCCAAGCTCAAGAACAAGCGATTGCCAATGGTGACCACAAACGTGAGAGTTTCTTTCAACCCGGAAAACGCGTCGGAGGCTGGGGTCAGGTGGAGGTCGGCGACGAGAGGCGGAAACTGATTTATGCTGATGATCCGGATGGTCTCAGGCGAATGAGGGATCGTGAGAAGAAAGGCGAGCAAGCCGGCAAGAAGATGGAGATAGGCGATGATGGCCTGGAAAAGGTTACGCGGTATGAGATGATCGCCAAGAGGATCTGGTAACGACTATAAGAAGAATAGAACAGTGTGCATGCATGTTATATACCAGCATTTTAGCCTCATCTAGCATTTTGGGCAAAGCGGTGCGGAATTGAGCATTTACATCTTTTTACACATATACACGTGTATCGAATGCTCGAATTTGTCTTGAAAAGGCAAATCCTCACTGGAAAGAACAATTGAGACAGGCCTCATTTGGATCATATCCATTATCCTCATTGCATGTTCATTGAGGTTGCTTTCCGTGGTCTCTTATCTCGTATCTGCTCGTGCTGGTCTTTCCTTTCCACGCTCATCGCTGTCGTATACATCACCCAAGCCCTTGCTTATGAGTGCATCTTCACGACTCTTCCTCCCCTCGTCTACGGCGTGCTTCAAGCTCTTCGAGTGTCATGTCGTACATGTCAAGCAAAGCTTCCGTGCTTGTCTGCTTCAACAAATTCTGTGTGAAACCTAGGAATCTGCCAGTGTCCGCAGCTATACTAATCAGCTAAAGCGGCTGCTGGGGTTGTGCTAAGTGTATTTACCTCTCTTGAACGTGCACAGATCTGATGTGCTGTTGTACACGCAGTTGAAGCAGGCTCCTTGGAGTACATGCTTTAGACCCGAGAAGCATGTATCGCCTGGCCCAAAGTTGTTTTCATTGCGGCACTGTCCGCAGCAATTGACGCCTCGGTCAAGAATGAGCTGATCAGAGTCGAAAAAGAGATAATATGCTAATGCTGTAGCCTTATTCTCGTCGTTCAAATCAACATGTGCCTTCTCCCACTTGTCCTGTGGCTCATTTCTCTTCATCTGGGGGCGAAACAGTCTCTCAATTTTCTGCGCATGGATCAGCAAGACAGCACACCATGAGTCCCACCAGAATATTTACTGTTGAGTTTTCCAGGATAACGCGCGGCGCGTTGAAAGGGCATCTTCGCAGGTTGTCGACGATCCAGACCGTGTGGTCGAGAAGAGACTTGCAATCATCCCAGGATGCAGGCACATTTCGTAGTGGCACGCCATTCCAATGGAAGTCGCCCAAAGCCCTTTCGCCAGGCAACTCCGTGGACATGGTTGACTACTCAGCTGTGCTGGTGTTGTTTTCTGTGCTTGTGTTGTTTGTCTGTTGAGTAGTGTTGATATGCTGATCGAACTCGGACGTGGCGAGGGATAGAAACCTGGAACTTGGGTGTCTTGTTTGGACTTCCCCCGACTGTAGTAAACTTGCCATTGTCGTAATACCATTAGTACAAACGGCAGGCCTTGATTACTCGGTTTTGAAGCTTTTCGTTTGTTGCAATTAGTCCACTCCTCGGCCTTTGCTGTACCTTAGACAGTATACTAAATGCGCTATAAAACATAGTGGATATCCTGCTGGTACCTGGGAGCAAAGTGTCCGATTCCGGCTCTGGTGTTTGGGTTCCTCACCTTGCTCAAACACAGGACTGTGATACGCAAAGAAAAATGTCCAAGCTGGCAGACCAGGTCGTGTTGGTGACGGGATCCAGTCGAGGTCTCGGCTTGGCCACGGCTAGGGCATTCTGCGCCGAAGGAGCAAAGGTCGTCCTCAACTGCGCATCCTCCCTCTCACGCCCAGCGACCGAACAGGTGGCCAAGGAACTCGGAGCCGTCGCCATTGTCGCCGATGTCACGGACTCGGAGCAGGTCGCCTCGCTGTTCCGACAGGCCGAGTCGTATTATGGCCAGCCCATCAGCGTCGTGGTCAACAATGCGCTAGCCAGCTTCAAATTCAACGGCGACGCGCGCAAGAAGCTGGACACCCTCGAGTGGGAAGACTTTGATGCACAAATTCGCGTGGCGATCCAGGGCGCTCTCAACACCACTAAAGCCGCCATGTCCGGATTTGAGAAGCTCGGTCGCGGCCGCATCATCAATATTGGCAGCAACCTCGTGCAGAACCCCGTCGTGCCTTACCAGGACTACTGCGCCGCCAAGGGCGCCCTCGTCGCCTTTACCCGCTCCATGGCCGCCGAGCTTGGCCCCAAGAACGTCACGGTCAACATGGTGGCAGGCGGGCTCCTCGCGATGACGGATGCCAGCAGTGCCACGCCTCCATTCGTCTTTGATCAGATTGTCGCTGTCACGCCCCTGCGCAGGGTGACTACCCCCGAAGACGTCACGGGTGCGATTCTGTTCTTTGCCAGTCCTTGGGCCAACGCAGTCACCGGCCAGCAAGTCATTGTGGACGGCGGACTTGTCATGTCATGAGGGAAACTTGTCGCACAAATAGCGCAAATCCGCCCATCTGAAAGCTACGACCTGTAATCTGGCGCCCTACTCTCGCCAGCCAGGTCTGTTCTAATTAACTCACGCTGCGACAGGAACAGACGGAGGGTCCCATAGAGATGAATGTAACACTTTCTTGAGCGAGCCTCCGATAAGGTGGGAGCAGATAGTGGCAGAAGCCTTGAGCATCAAATGCACGCTACGGTGTTGATCATATGCGTATTTATCATGTACATTTCTCTTTTGTTCAGTGACATTATCACTTTCCTGGAACGTTTCAGAGCGGTGGTCGACTTTGTTTTGATCAGTCCTGGTGGTTGCGGTCCACAATATTGGTCAAGACATCCCAAGAGTCGTCATTGCCCGAGATGGCTCCTTCTATTGGAAGACTTTGTTCGGCAAGACCAGCCTCGACTGTCACGGCCCATTTACGATGCAGTACTTCTCACGCACAACGTTCATGGGAGACTTCGCAATGTAAACATCTCTTTTGTTCGCCAAACTCATCGCTCTTCTGCCAACTCAAGTTCTACTCGCTACCAAATTTTGTATCAAGTTTTGGCAAAAGGTCAATCACAGACATCATCTTGAATTCTTTCCTCTCTCGCTCATATCATACACACGCTCCGTCACACACTTAGCCGACTGCAGTCCGCGCTTGTTGCCCCCAATGTCATTCGCAATGAACTACCACATGTGTGGACGCGTCCTGTTTGCTAGAAGAAGACCTTGCAATTTCGCCCTATTCTTCATTGCCGTCTTCCTCCTCTGGGCCTTTGGGATCATTTCTATCGCTCGAAGGGAACCACCTCCTCTGCCGGTTAAGATCCCAGATTTGGAACCTGAGCACCCCGTCCATACCGAAGATGTGTACAACAAGACTCTTGGAGTAAGACTCCCAGGCATCTCTAATGCAGGCGGCCCTTTAACAATTCATTAGTTTGAGAAAGTATTCGTCCTAGGTTTGCCTGCTCGAACAGATCGCCGGGACGCCATTGTGCTGTCATCTGTGCTCAGCGATTTCGAAATCGAGTTCATCAACGGCGTCGGGGGAGCCGCGGTGCCTGACAAGGTGCTTCCTCTAGGCTCGAACGGCCGCCAACGACCTACAAATCTCGAGGTCGGGTCGTGGCGTGGACACATCAATGCGATACGGGAAATCGTGCACAGGAATTTGACTTCAGCTTTGATCATGGAAGATGATGCTGACTGGGACGTTCGCCTCCGAGAACAGATATTCAACTTTGCCAAGTCTACCCAAGTCCTACTCCAGCCAATGCATGCAACCAATGTGTACTTTGATACAAGCTTAAATTCAGGCAGCACGAATAGTCCTTATCGAAAAGAGGCGCCGCTCAATAGGTTGCCGTGGACCCGAGCACCCAGTCAGACACCATACGGCGACAACTGGGATGTTCTCTGGCTCGGCCACTGTGGAATGCAATTACCAACAAGAGAAATGAAGATTCCCCGAGCACTCATTGGGCATTATCCAGACTATACTGTGCCACAGAAACAATACCTCAAGTTCCTATCGCAGCCCAGTGACCTGGAAGAAGAATTCCTTGATCATACGCGTGTGGTGCACCGTGTTCAGGATGGATCTTGTTCCACTGCCTATGCATTATCTCGGCGGGGCGCTCGCAGCCTACTCAATGATGCTGGTCTGAAACATTTTGATGCTCCACTCGACATCATGCTCAGAATGTTTTGTGAGGGAACTGGTGGCAGAAGACGTCACGTCTGTCTAACATCATCACCAGCTCTGTTCGAACAACATCGACCGGCAGGTACCAAGAGCAAACAAAGCGATATCGCGGACCACAGAGATGAAATTGAAGAGCATGCACACACCGACAACATACGTGTCAGCATGAGAATGAACGCCGAGGCTTTCATGGCAATGCAGCCATTAATGGAGCAATATCCGGACGAACGGAAACCTCTGGACGAGAAAGAGTATGAGAATTACAAACATAAACATATGGAAATATATCCAGATCTACATCCAGAGACAAATCAATACGATAAATAGATCAGCTCTGGCCTACCTGGGCTTTTCGGATGCCGTGGAGAAGCGATCGGCATCCGTCGTGTGCTATACACTGTACGAAGCAGGATGCGCGTTTATTTGTTCATTGCTGCGGGTTGCAGCGGTCGGAAGAAAGCAGTAGGTATGTTTCAGCTGCCCTTTTCGAGTATAAAGCAGCCCCCCGACCGACCACATGCTGCATACATGGGGAGGGGCCGATATCACATCATCCCTAGTGGAGCGCCGGCGGTTTTCCCCATCCCGAGGTCCGTCGAGACCCAAAGACCCGGACTCACGCACAGTGACTCCGAAAGGCCGGATTGGATGTATGCTGATTGATTAAAAGTCATCTAGTCGTCTTTTTTTCCTTTTCTTCATTTCTTCTTGTATTATAAAGTTTATTTCTTTTCTTTGCACTCCTTCAGCGTTGGACAACAAAAGAATAGTATAGTTAAGAGTAGCCATGGCGCTCGAAGGTGGAAGGTTCTTCATTCAGGACAAGTTGGTCACCCCGGGCCCGCATCATGCCAGCTTCAAAGCTTTGTGGGAGACAAAATGGCGCGAACCGGCAAGTCATGTGCAACATCATAGCTGCTATCTAGCTGACATGTGTATAGTGCACTCTTGGTCTGTACCCGTTCATGTTTGGTGCACTTCAAGACTTTGAGCCCGTCGTGAAAGACATTATTCAGGTATGGTTACGAACCTGAACGTTTATGAAATTGCTAAAGTACTGAATACTCTTCAGAAAGATCTCAAGGAGCCGTACAATTGGGATGAATATGCATCATGCTTCTTTCCCAAAGCCGAGGAACTGGTAACTCGAGCTATAGCTGCGGAGAACTCTGGAGACCGGGCAAAGGCATCGGAGCTTTATCTGTTGGTTCTCACATCATCAGAATTACTATTCAGAACTAAGAAAGTATTAGGCGAGCTTCTGCTGTGTATCGCATTGCTCGTTTTCCCGTTGTGCGATCGCCAAAGCAGCAACATGCCTGGAACGCTGGCAAGGAGGCGGCGCGCAAAGGACTAGAGTAAGTTTCATGTCAAGCTTTTCGGAATGTCTGATTAACCTATTTTCGTAACAAGGCTCCATGAATTTCCCATGGTCGAAGTAGATATTCCCCACACCCATGCGCAACAAGGTGACCGCGATGTCCTGCCTGGCTTCTACCACCTCCCAAAGCATGCGTCATCATCAAACAAAGTCCCTCTAATCATAATTTTTACGGGTCTTGATGGTTACAGGACCGAACTAGCTGTTTGGAAGGAGGGTTTCCGCCAAGTGGGCTGCGCGACCCTCGTTGTCGAGATACCGGGCACTGGAGACAATCCCGCGGCACCCTCTGATCCTACAAGTCCAGATCGATTGTGGACAAGCATGTTTGATTGGATTGAGAAGCAAGAGGGTATTGATCAGAAAAAGATTGTCAACTGGGGATTTAGCACTGGCGGCTACTACAGCATTCGTCTGGCCCATACGCATGCACACAAGGTGAAAGGTGCCGTAGCACATGGTGGTGGTTGTCACTTCATGTTCGACCCGTTTTGGCTGGACCACGCCGACTATCTTGAGTACCCCTTCGAGTAAGTCACTCTGATGTCTGACATGTAACACAATTTTGGCTGACGCCACAGCAGTCTCTCGCACTCGCTCTGCCACAAGTACGGCTATGGAACAGATTTTGAGCGGTTCAAGAAGGAGGCGAGTGGAAAATTCTCGCTACTAGAGGATGGCACGCTGCAAAAGGACTGCACGAGGCTCTTGCTAGTGAACGGTGTTGGAGATGAGATTTTCCCCGTCGACGACTACTACCTGTGCCTTCTCCATGGAATGGCCAAGGAAGCGCGGTATGTATCCTTTGCCATGTACATTGCTTTCTATGGGAAATACACTAACGGGTGTGCAGCTTTGTGCCAGGCAAGAAACACATGGGTGAGCCCGAGTCGTTCAATGTCATCTTGCGGTGGATTTCCGACCTCTTGGAGCTCAATATTGATATCAAGCGTTTCATGTCTACTATTCCGTCTCGGCCAAAGTATTGATGAGCTTCTACGGGTATGGCCAATGACCTGGTGGTGCAATGCCATGGTTACTCGGTACATAGCAGCAGAAATCAATAGATGGGCAAACAATAAACATGCCAAGCAAGCAATGAACCATGAGTTGCCGATCGCTCAGAGGTGAAATACTGGCGATCAGTTCCCCATTGCGGCGCCCAGCACACGGATGGCATGGTTGCCGGGAGGAAGCTGAGTCTAGGATTGCCGATTTATTGGAGTCTTGGCCACTCACATCTACTGTCGGTGAGCTTATATCTCAAGATGTATGAGAGGTGATTGTATCGTGTCAGATTGCGCGATGCTAGCGACAATGACGAGCTTCTATGTACGCTGATAGACCCCTCATTTCAGCTCTTCGCACAGGCCACAATTTCCCTTTTCGGCCTTGTCATGATGACATGATCAGGTTTCACAATCCCCAATACGTATATGTTTGACAGCTGGAGCTGATAGGGTCCATCAGTCTTGGGAATTATATAAAGTAGTAGTGCTTGCGGGTCCTTTGATGGTCAATTTGGCCACGATTGAGCATCTGTTTCTACTATAAAAGAGCACGGGTACCGAAACCATGTCTACTATACAGCAAAACCTGGAACAGCATAATGCAGAGTATGCCTCTCAGTTCACCAAGGGGCATCTGGCGTTGCCTCCAGCAAAGAAATATCTCGTCTGTAAGTCTGCAACACAGTACAGTCATATAGCTTGCATGATTTGAGCTAATCAATTCATTCTTTCGGTCGTGTAGTAACGTGCATGGATGCTCGCATCGATCCAGCGGCAGCTTTCGGCATCGATCTTGGTGATGCACATGTGATACGCAACGCGGGCGCCAGCGCGCGGGATGCGCTGCGGTCCATAATCATTTCGGAGCAGTTATTAGGAACCAGGGAGATTATACTGGTGAGCAATAGACGAGGCGGCCCCCCCTCCCTCCCTCCAAAACACGAATCTTCATGACACGTTGGAGGCTGACTGGGCGTTTTCACGTCTGTCCCAAATAGATCAAGCACACTGGCTGTGGCATGTTGACATTTCAAAACGAGGATGCTCACGGTATCGTCAAGAAGAACTTGGGAGATGCGGCGGCAAAGAAGATTGAAGGGTTGGACTTTTTGCCGTTTCCCGACTTGGAGCAGGCCGTCAGGGATGACGTCGAGTTTTTAAAGAGCGTCGAGACTGTTCCAAAGGATGTCACTGTCAGCGGATGGGTGTATGAGGTGGAAAGTGGAAAGGTGAGACAAGTTGTCTGAATGGGATCTTTTTTCTTTTTTTCTTTTCTTCTTTTTGGGCGTGGAAATGGCTGAGGAGTTCTTCGTGGGATCGAGGACAGTGTATCGGTATCGGCCGTGGGATTGGAGAGCGGTCGAATGAGCGAGCGTGTTTGTGATTAGGATGAATCGAGTTACTCGCTTGCGGTTCGAGTGACTCCTCGTTTGGGAGTCAAAGGGAGGGGGCATCAATTCAAGGAATTCGCGAGAAAGGGAAGGAATCAAGGGGGGAAAAAATTGATCAGATGAGAGTATTCCAAATCCCACAAGAGCGATATAACTTTTGGTTTCCTGGGTTTAGATTAGTGAGCCTTTTTGCCAAGACCCTCTAAGTCCTCTAAGCAATTGCGGTTCTTGAGATTCCGGGGCGGGAGCCTTTTGGAATGCTTGGCGCTTGGCAGTATTGGTGGCTTTTTTCCGAACCTCTTTTTTCCGGACTTGATCTGTTGGATGCTTTTCATGCACTTGAGAAAAGCCTGGGGCTTGAAGCTGAAACAAATCTATTTGTTTATTTTATCATTTAAACTTTTGTTTGTTCTTCTTCTACACATTCTATGCCTTGTGGGGTCTCGTTCATCTTGACTGCTCCTTTCTTGTCGGTACTTATAATATAAATTCCTAGTTCGCGTGCTACCTACCGCCTAGCTTTGGTCGGTTCGGCATCGCTGCCTTCTGGTCTAGATTGGCCTAGAAATAGATTTCCCATCTTCCATCAGATCTAGGCTGCTGATCTAAGAGCTAAAATAATCTGCTAGTTGATAGCTTCGGGCTGTTTTCCGTAGTGCACTTTGTTTGTCAGATCTGAATCGGATTCACAAAAAGCCCATATCAGTACCCAATAGTCAAGACTCGATGTTTTCCACGAATGGCAGTCAGCCCACACATCAGGGCGACTTTGCAAAGGGGTCAGGTATGCACAGGACACGACCTCATGATGGAAAAGCAGGGTCAGATATGATTTATTGAATCTTGGCGTGCAATACACTCATGTCATGTTTGGGTTGGTGGTTTAGCAAAAGTATATACAATAGCATCTGCGGGGTGCAAGAAGGTGAGAGAATACTACTAGAACCCCAGGTGCAAGTATGCTTATCTGGATCCTTGTAGATCTGTATAGGGTAATATAGCGTGTACAATGTTTCCTGTCAGGTACGTCTAGGATTCTCAAAGTCGCATTGCCAGGGTTTGGGTTCTTTGATGTTCCCCATGTGGTTGCATCTCATCTCGAACTCTCCAGTTGTGGAACACCACCACGTTGTCCAGCAAGGTCTGGACTGAGTATCTAGAGACATATCATGTTCACAGGTTATTCTCTATACGACTCTTTCCAACATGTTATATTAACCACTGGAACATACCGAAACGGAAAATTTGTATCCTCCAATGGTGAGCATGGCCGGCTGACCCTGTAGTATGAATTGAGGCTCTATGGACCATGATCATGAGTATAAGTATTACTCGACGACATTGAATTTCTTGACTGTTCAATGATGGTAGCAGTTGACCGAGTTCCGTCTTGTTGCTTTAGTCTATATTCTAGAGACGCTTTCTAGCCTCATTCTCTCAAGATGCGTGCATACGCCCTTATTGGTCTTCTCCCAGTCGTCCTGGGCTGTTCCAACCCGGACAGCAACGCTTGTGCGAGTTACATCAGTGCTCATGTCACCGTGTGCTCAAAGTACCTCAATACCGCCGTCACGGCCACGACAGGATTGGACAGCTGGGCAAGTAATTGCTCAAACAAGCCGTCCCAGATCTCCAAAGAGTGCAGCTGCTAGTAAGCAAATTCTTGCCGAGTTTCCCTGTTACTTTTGTTCATCAGGATCGACACATATGATGTATTCCCATGTGCTATTTGGGGAAAATATCATATTAGATAGAGCCCCAAGGTCACCCGTTTGAAATTAAAGCTAATCCGTTGCAGCACCACTGGTGGTGGTTCAGGGGCGACGTCGACTTCAACCGCCGGCGGCACTACGACCACTAAAGCAACCTCGACCACCGCCGGCAGTGGCTCCACGTGAGTTTTTTTACTGTTCATTATTGTGGATTCAAAGTCATGCTGACACTACTGTCATGCAGCCCAACCGGGCTGACGACCAAACTGCCTGCTTCTTCAGGTGCTGTCTCGACTTCCGTAGCCATTACAGTTAGCGGCAGCTTTGACGGCGGTATGAAGAAATACGATCGCTATCCGGTTGTCTGCGAAGAACAAACAGAGACTGGCGAGGCAGACGCTATATTTGTCCTCAAGAGTGGCGCAACTCTATCCAATGTCATTGTAAGAAATTTCCCCATGATATTTTTGAAGCATTTCGGATAAGGCTCGTGAGAATCAAGCGCCTCCCCAGGCGGTAGTACAACATACAGGTTGGCATTAGCAGCCTCAGAGCCGACTTGCCAAGTAGCGCTAATTATAAACTCCATCTGTATATGAGAAAGAAATTGCTAAGTCGCGTCGTTGTAGATCGGACCTGGCCAAGCCGAAGGAGTGCACTGTCAAGGCACTTGCACTTTGAACAACGTCTGGGTAAGCAACGTTCCGGTCGATTCTTGCCTCTTGCGGATTACATTAGGGGCATGAATTACCCTATTGGACCAATTCGGGGCGAAGTCTGACGCACTATGGTGGGAAAAAAAAAAGGCTTCTTTTGGGGCCTCTATGTCTGAATTGACACTAATGACTCGGGACTGGTATAGTGGCAGGATGTCTGCGAGGACGCCATTACCTTGAAGCAGGATAGTGGGACGTCCTACATCAACGGCGGAGGCGCCTTTGCCGCGGCGGATAAGATTGTCCAGTTCAAGTAAGTAAGCCCTGCAAACAAAACGGCATCAAAGGCCCGTTGGGCGGGACCAGAACATACACATGCTAATCTTCTGGGACCGAAATAGTGGATTCGGCACCGTGAACATCAAGAATTTCTACGCCGAGGACTATGGTAAAGTTTCGCGCTCTTGCGGCAACTGTGACAATAACGGAGGAGCTCGCCACATTGTTATTGACAATGTAGTTGCGGTTGACGGCGGCGTCCTCTGCGGCATCAATGGCAACTATGGCGACTCGTGTACCATATCCAACAGTTGCCAGGACGACGGTAAGAGCTGCGATAATTACAAGGGAAACAACAATGGCGACGAACCCACAAAGGTCTCATCAGGTAATGATGGAACTTACTGCATCGTTAAGAGCTTGAGCAGCAGTTGCTAGGGTCTGTTTCATGCTTTTCTTGCCCATTGGAGGCAAATCAAGGGCACGAGGTTTTCTTTTCTCATGTTGGCATTTAGTTAAAATATATAGCCTTTTTTTTTTTTTTCCTCAGCAGCAATCCCGCTTTTATCCGATTACATTTGGAACCTGCTGGTCCTGGTACCATTTCCAAGTCCCCGAACCAAATACCGTGCCGAGTCCTGCTGGTCGGCGGCGGAGACTTTCCGGAATCGACTGTCTGCTGTAGGGAACTTTTTCTCTGCAGGTAACTCGCATCGCAAATATTTCACACTTAAGCGACCGTGGCAGTGAAACCAACATCATCGGTGCGTCTCAAAAGTTGCAAGGATCTTTTGAGCAGTTCATGGTGAATTCATCCCACCTTGAGGTGCTACTGGCAAGGTAATGACTGCCAGGTCCAAACTCATATTTCATGATTCTTAATGGCAAGCTGCTACTCTACAAATGCTGCTTCGTCAAGTCATGACGTTCCTTTGGATGAGCACGCAACGACGACGAAATGCGAATACGACGGGTGATGGTGTGCCATGCCAGCAGACGGGTTGTGCGGCTCGATTATGCGCATATGAATGATCAAGTATTCTAGTTCAGCACCACAGATTGTTTTTTCGTGCCTACTTACTCCAGTGGCGCAGCCATATCAATAGGACACAGCTATCCTGATATGTCTCTTGGCAATATTTTCCAGTGAAATTCCATTTGAATCGACTCACTGGACTTGACTGCCGAGGAGAGGGTTTTCGACCCACTGGGGGTACCGAGCGGGGGTGTGTCTCAACATGCCGCACATTATCATGGCTCTCAAAGACACCGGGCTTCGATGGACAGGCATATAAAAATTTTCAAGGAACGGAGAAGAGGGGACAAAAACAAAACTTGTACCCTGATATTTCGTGCTGCGAAACTCCAGCAAGGTTGTTACCAAGGCAGCCCATGATATTGCAAGGTACGATAGATATTTCAACGGCGGTGCTTCTAATCGCGGACAGCTGCAGCAGCATCAAGGGTTCAATGTGTCCAAACGGGGTGACAGGCTCGGCCCGCGAGCACACAATCAACAGACATAGTAAACCGTTGCCCCCGAACGGTCTCTGGACATGGGAGATTAAGCACTTGGGATTAGCTGCGACGGACTCTAGTATGCATAGATAGATGAGCTTCAAGACCACCAATTCAGAACGTTTTGGTATCCACTTAGATTTGCTCAAAATCTCAACGAACATGCTATTTTGCCCTATGTGCGTAGTTTGCGGGTACATCGTATGATAAACGGAGACTAGAGGCTGGCGGCAAATGAATAATAGCTTGATGTGATTCAGATCCTGACTAGGTAGGTATAGTTGCTGATTAGTAACCGACTCGGGCCTGTATCTAAGATCATGGCCATTATTCCGTGAACAGCTACTGCAAAATGATCAAATTACTACGTAGTAAGTGTCTGGTTAACATGACGGAGAGTTGGAGATGAAGTCATGTTGTTGGGCAAAGCAATGCATAGTCATCAAGCCTCTTGATTCTTCCTCTCCATCTGGGATTATTGAAATCTCGTATATGTGCTCAGATGCCATCCATGTCTCTGCAGTTAGTATATCAACAGCGATCAGGCCTGGAAATCTAGATGCGCAACAGACGGCATCGGCAGCTCGTGTAACTAATCATTGACCCGACAGTGGGGACCGTCTGAGGCCGAGATTCGAATAATTGTTGAGATATGACCGATATTGGCAACGATGAGAACACCTTGATAATCCCTCGGACCATGATCGGCTCCTCATGACCGACATCACGCCGATCTACCTGGCTGAAGATCGCAAGAACGATCAAAGGCCGACTGGGTCAAACAAACAGGGGCCATCGGCAACCTCCGGCATCAGGGCCAAAGCATGTGTCGTAGGAGAAGGGCTTTGGTGCATTCTGTGAATGAATCAGTAGTATAGTATTAGTAATATCTGAGTTCGGCTCGAGCCCGCACAGAAGCCCGCACGACAAACCGGACGGTTCAGGACTTATCTTCCGGGAACAGAACGGGCTCGAACGGAGGAGCGTGCGGCACTGGTCTTGGTGGCGGAAACATGTTCTCAGCAATTCTTCTAAGCCCTGCCAGGCGCCTTGAATCCCTGACGAGCCTGGAAGCTTGGATCGGCAAGGCTCGAAATTCACTCAGACAACGTGCTCGAGGGGCGATGCACGCAATGATGGATTCCAGCCTGATTAATGGAGCCAGCGTATTCGATCACCTGGTTGCTTTGAATACTGGTCATTCGTGGACTGTGCGTGTGTCCTGTAAGAGTTGCCTTGGAGAGGGAAAAAAAAATGAATAAATAAAATGGTAAGGCGGGTCACGGCCCAGGGCCCCCCGGGATTTGTGCCAAGCGCTGGGAAAAGCGGCAATGGGTGGCACAGCGTAGCGACCACGCAGCCTGTGCGAGTCCAGCTGAAGTAAGCGGAATAATAATGCTGCAGCAGGTTGATAGACTCGGGCATGAATATTTGGGTAAATCACAGACAGCCTTCTACGTAGTGTCGACCGACAGTCTGCATAGTATCAGGGTATGTAGGTTTTGATAGTGGCAAAGCAGCAGTAGAAGCCGTCTGGGCCCTACCTTGTGAGACGGTGTTGGTGGTGGTGGTGGTGGTGGTGGTGGTGATGGTACGGAATCATTTGTTTCGTTTCTGGCATCGAGATGCCAAGATGCTCATCTAGGATCAAGGATAGCCTCCTGTGGAGAGGAATACCGTTGTGCTGCTGCTGCTGCTGCTGCTGCACGATCCATCCAAGTGGCTGGCCATGGTAAACGTCCGTCCGTAGAGGTCCACTAGGGCAGCAAGCATAACCCTATGACCAATCTTGCCTACACAGTACATTATTAGGTACCCTTCGAGCCACAGAAGCGGTCGGATCTCATGATCGTGCCAATTGTGCAGATTGTGATAAAGACTCTCTAGAATTGGCGGGCAATGCGTGGTTGAAGTATACCGTCATCGAATATGTCGGCAGTCCCATTTTGTTGATTCAGATGTCCATCGCGGCAACTAAAGCAAGCCACGTCTCCAGTCTCTATGTCTCTGCCTTCAATGGGCTGTAGTGACACAGCGTATGGGCAACTGGGCGTAAGTCGTAATGCTTGCTGCTGCACGTGCGAGGCAAACAATTCAAATGGTAATTGGCGCGAACTCTAATTGACCCTGCTCCCGACGGTCCACGAGTAGTGTAGACTTTGTGATCTTGCAACAAAGTCCCCAATGAGGCCGATCGGCCGAGTCCAGACTGGTCCTTTGAAATTGGGAGCCGCCCCAGGTCTTTTGAGCTCGCAAGCTCAAGTGAAGAAGTAGGTTTAGTTTACCTGCCGGCTTGCATGCTTGCTTGCCTGCCTGCCTCCTGCCTGCCTCCTGCCTGACCTCGCTACCTGACCTCGCTACCCCAAGTGGTAGGTAGTGTTGTATTGCTAGATGGGTATGTGACTGATTGAATCCGGGGAATAGAGCAAAATCTGCCACCTGGCCGACTGACTAGGCTTTATATAGTGGTGTACACATCACTTTTCCTCCATAGGCTTTTATAATATGTTTGGCTTCATCGATAAGGAATATTTCCACATCGACTAGCTAGCAAGCGTACAACGTACTGACTACATGGATACGGTTGCCCCCGTTATATATCGTCCATCGTCCTCTGTAATAAGCACCCACCGATCCACCACCTTGCGTACCCAGACATGCTCGGTCTAGTGCACCGCCGGAAGTCCCGAAAATGGAATCGGTTGTCGGGTCGACGGACTAAAGGCGGACAGGAACCCTGCATGGTGAGCGACAAGACGTCGACGTCATCAAGGGTCCAGCCGTTCGTCCATGCATGAGGGGAGTGAGCAAAAAGCAACAGCAAACATAAAGATGAGGCCGCTTGGAGGCCATAGGAAGCCCGTTCGGATTGCACCCGTGCAGCATGGATGGTATGTTTTATCAGCCACCATGGGCCTTTTGCTCGTCACGGGGGGTTGAGGGGATGGCATTTGTCGCAATACGAGGAGGAACTCCGCATTGCAATGATGGATGTCTTTTGTTTTCCGTTTAGTTCTAGAACATACGCATCCGCCGTCTCCTTCCCAAGGTTGCAATATATGATTGGCCTAACAATTCGATTCAATGCCAAAACATCGATTTGCAGGTTTGGATTATCCACCCACAGCCAATGGCAATTTGAGTTGTCTAGGCCCCGTAGACCCCTGGCCACGGAGTCGGCTCCGCTGTCCACTCAGATTGGTTGCGAAGACGTCACTCAAGTGACGTTATTAGATACACCGGTAACCGACCTTTACACGCAGACCCTCAATGGCACAAACCTCATGCTAGTATCGTGATCGATTTACAGCAAATGATCTGATTCCCCTTGAATGGGCGGCGGCAGCGGCTGCGTACGTGCGCCGCGTGCGTACGATTGTGCGTTTGTTATGTGCTTGACCGCGTGCTTTTTTTTTTTCTTTCCTCCCACTTACCAACCAAGCCAAAAGAGCCAAGCAACAACAGCAAGGCACCACGGTCACTCTTGCAGAGGGGGGAAAAACAAAAGACCAAGAGGGAAAAGAAAAAAGAAAAACCTATATTGATGTACACACATGCGTTGGACATCAATTCACCTCCGCTCGGCTTGTAATATTGTCACATCAGTAATAATCCCTCTGCCATCCGGATCCACGAAGACTTGACCATGTCTTGACCCACCAGCCCAAGCAAGACTGATCGAAACAAGAATTGCAAACAACGTGCCCAGGGTATCGTGATGCCTGGCTTCGCGCATTTGTGCATGCCGTTTGAGTCGTGGAACCTGATATTTAAAAGAAGAAGACGGGAAGCTTCCTCGTAGTCCATGAACAAGACGAGAGCATGCGGCCTCTGCTCCCTCGTCCGGGACCCCCAGCGGCGGCGGCGGCGGCGGCGGCAGCACCGGCACTTGCTATCTACGACTCCTCCATCCCGCCTGTATCAAAGACATTGACCGCCTGCAATGAATGCCGTCAGAAAAAGACCAAGGTGAGTATGTCTCCTTGGTGTCGGTTCGACGGCGTACCTTTGACTAGGACTCTTTCTCCGTATAAGTGAAGGCCCGAGTCCTGTCCAGTCTAGTCACTTGGAACTTTACTGATCCCTTCCGCCTCCCCTAGTGTGATGGAGTCCGTCCTACGTGCTCCAGGTGCCGTCGTTCTAGGGCTACATGCGTATACGCCAGCGATTCCATCGTGGCGCAAAATCACCTGAAGCGAAAACACAAGGAGTTGCAGGAGCTGACGGACTTGCATAAGGAGCTGGTCAACATTCTGCGCACAAGAAAACAACATGATGCTACCGCCGTTCTCCAGCGGCTACGGGCAGGTGAATCCGTCGAATCCCTCGTCAGGTTCATCAAACATGGGGATCTCCTGCTTGAAGTTCGGCTGCCAACTGCGACTCAAATGAGATATAACTTTCCCATGCTCCCACCGACATCCTTGCCGCCCTGCCTCGAGGATGTCAATAATCCTTATGTCCAGTCCATGCTCTATTACAAGACGTTCTCTGAACGGAGAAGGCCAAATATTCCCTCAAGTGCATCCCCGCGCAATGTCCCGGCGTACGAAAAACAGTATGAATGGCCATACCATGCTGCAGAACTTGTCGAGCCAGAACTGACCCATGTGCGTGCTGCACAATGGACCAGTGTGACAGACTCGGACGATCTTATTCGAGCGCTTCTCAAGTCCTATCTGTATTATGATTATCCCTCCGTGGCCGTCTTCCAAAAGGAGCCTTTTCTCCAGAATTTGGTTGCGGGGAAAAAAGATTACTGCTCGTCCCTTCTCGTGAACGCCATCTTGGCTTGTGCTTGTGTGGGTGTCCCGGGCTAAACCACTATTGATTACGGGACTACTTTACTAACAACTCGCTAGCATTCGCACCGAGTGCCTGGAAGTTCTACTGATTTTTGGAATCCCCGAGAGCTACGTTATCAGTTCATGGCTGAGGCCAGGCGGCTCTGGGAGCGCGAGCAGTCGCGGAACCACATAGCCAGCGTCCAAGCTGCGGCCATCATATCGTACGTCCTCAACTGCGATGGCGTGGACAAGGTTGGATTCCAATACTTGCAGCGCGCCATCCGCATGGCAGACGATATGGGCATTTTCAAACAATACAACATGGTGGCAGATAGCACGAGGCAGGCTGTATACTTGACTACCGCGTGGGCACTATACGGCCTACACGCGTAAGATCTTTTTGAGCTTATTTAACTGGGAACACCCTGAAACTGACATGACCTCGAAAACAGCATGCAGACATTCCTGACTCGTCAGGCTCCCATCTTCTTCGAACCGCCACCCAATTTCCTGGTTGACGTGCCGTCGCAGGATTCCCACCCGGGCGAACTCTTGGTTCTTTATCCACAAGCATCCGCGGCAATCCCTGTCTACCATAGTCTCGTATTCAGCGCTCTCTGCAGACTGATGATCATTATGCACGACGTCGTCATACGGTCATTTGGCTCGGGAAGATTCTCTGGCCCGATCACTCTAAATGAAGCTTTGCAGTATCGCGAAAGGCTCCTAGCATGGGAGCAGTCGTTACCTCCTGCCTTGCAATCCAGTCAAATAGCATGTCCAGTGCATATCAAACTCCAGTGTGTACATCTGCTTCGCAAGCATCCCTTTATCACATATGCTCCTCCTAGCTAACACGGCTCTCAGCATGCAATACTGGATTCTGATCATCTTCCTCTTCGACCGCTTCAATCAGGAAATATATACAGGCTCGCAAACATGCCGACCCGACGAAACACTAAAGGCGCGGACCATTGCAACTGCAGGCTGGAATTGCCTAGAGTCTCTGGTGTGCATCTACTACGCGAGACACGGATTTGAGGCATGTGACCCCCTTATCATGTCCTGTCTGCATTTCGTGGGCTTTGCTGCCCTCAAAGATCTCTCTACCACCACTGGCCCTATGCGCACCTCTCGACTTGCCACCGTCTTCCTGTGTGCCAAGGGCTTGCGTGAACAGGCATACCACTACTACATGGCCGAGGTTGTATTCGCTCTGCTCCGCGACTCCCTGTCACCAGCAGACGCACAGCACCTCCGTCAATTTGCGTATATTGAAAACGAAGAAAGGCGAAAACGTTTCATGGCGGAACATGTATTTTCGCACTACGTGTTGAGAAGTACTGACAGCCACGACGAAACGCAAAAGGGCAGACTCGATGAGCTCATGAAAGCGTATCAGATACTGGACCTGGAAGATCACGCCGAGAACCGCGACCATCGCGATAGTGGACGCGATGCAATGGAAGGCATTGACTACAGCGACCGTGAGTATAGCAATAGCACGAGTCGAAGCCCCAGCTAGACACCAGACATTCTACAGCCTCACGTCCGGGGGTGCAGATGTATGTGTGGCACAAACGATGTACAGGTTTGATTTTCTTCATACTGTCTCGCATGAGCGTTTTCTGGATTGGCTAAAAGTTCCAGATACCAAGATGATGCATATCTAGATTGATGATGTTTCATCGAATGCAGATTTTCTTTTCTCAACCTTCTAAGGATTTCCAACGCTTGCGCATTATTGTACGGTAGATTTCTAGTTTAAATTTTAGCCATATGAGAAAACCCATTACCGAAGGAGATGCCGTGGCTGGATATAAGGACACGAGGCTCATGATTCTAGAATAGAATAATGTTTTTTTTTTTTTTTTTTTTTTTTTGCGCGCATTTCACAGTCGCAGAATACATACCTGATATATACAGAAGATCCAATAGGAAACCTCGTGGACTGCTTTTAGCTAGGGACCCGAGCAAACTTTCTGCAATTAAACAAGAATACATTATTCCACAGGCGCTACACCGACAACAAAGAAGCATTATTACGCTGGAAGGAAACAATTGTGCAGAGGATCGACACAACCCGCGTCGATGGCAATCAGATCCTACATCCACAATGCTGCTAAGTTGCCAAACGTCACGCCTATTAGTTTCTGGCCTTCGCACTTACAATCTGCAACACAATCTAGGTTCCGTCGAAGAAAAAAAAATCCTTTTTTGTAGAACAATGCGATCTCGGCCAACCACACCACATGGATTGTTCAACACCATGGCGAATTCCATTATTGTTCCAATTGCTAAGAAGATAGGGTGCTCGATTATTCACAAGTAGAAATAGAGCATCCTCAAAGCTTTTCAAGCTCTACACAAAACTACACACAGCTTTGGTTCAGCATATTTGTACATAGCATCACGGCTAATGATCGTTCTTCTCCTGTTAGAAACTGAAGTTCATTCTCTCCTTCCAGTCTTCGTTTATCTCACAAGTTATCCTAATTCAGAGCAATGGCAGACAACCTCGCCCTCAGTCTCTACGGCCTCTCGGCCAGTGAACTTCGGGAACTGATCCTAGCCCTCTGCATGGAGAAGAAGGTCAAGGATGCAGCAAGATGTCACATTGATGTCATGCGCGGCGCATCCGTCTCAACAACCCCCACTGCCAAGATTGCTTCTTCCCACTTTATTCCGTATACTCTGCCAGCAGCTGCTGCCGAGACGGATCCCTTCGGCCCTTTGCACTTGGCAACACCTCCAACCTCCCAAAGACACCATTTGCCGAGCCTCTTGACTTCTCCTCTCGATCCTGGCAAGGTCACCAAGACGCCATCCAAGACGAGTGCAAAGAACAAGAAGAAGCTGCAGGAGCAGCAGCAGAACCTTTCGCCGATCAAGGTGAAGCGCACGACTCTCTATCACACCTGCGCAAACTGCAACAAGCGTTTTAGACAGCAGGACAACGGTGTACACGCCTGCTGCTACCATCCCGGTGAGTTTCTGCCCCATGGTGGAATCTTTGTAGACTCTTTTTTTTTTTTTTCAATTCAAGAACCACCCAAGCTGACGCCATGGAGCAGGTCAGCTGGTGAGTAGCAGCACTCTTGATTTCGCCGATGATTGGACTCGCACGTCGCCACGCACCAAGAAGTACAGCTGCTGTGGCAGAGGCGAGAAGGCAGTGGGCTGCCAATTTGAGAGACACGTCGCAGAGGCGTCCGATTAGTGATGGAATTGGTCAACTCGTGCCTGCACCTTTTATGGAATGGTATTCATATGGATTACGCCGACTGAGCCTGAGAGATGGAAAGCGCATGAAGCTGCTGATCTACACACGCCTCTCATGGTGGGCTACATGATAGCTGGTAACACACACCTGTTGAAACACTGTGGTACGGACTCACTGAAACTGTATCGCACAAAGGCTTGAAGGCAACTACTCGGCATCTCATGTTTTAAGACTCACAGGCCGGTACTGAAACAATTTATTGTCGGTCAGCCTCGATTTGAGACAAAGGATTTAATGGATTTACAAGACGCTCTGTAGTCACTACTTCCTCATTGCTCAGCATCCGCCGTTTACGTCTCTCAATACTGGTATCGCGTATCCCCGCACGAACAGTCTATAAAATACCCACGTCGGTATTGGAATCAACACAAATGATGGCATGTTGAACAGGTGATAATCGTACGTTATACAATCTATGTCTATAACTTTTTTCTACCAAATTGTTTCGCTAGCGGATTCCAGTCGAAATTCTAATCCTGCTGAGCTCTCTTATATGACCTCGATATCACACCTACTTTTCACGACTCTTTTACTCCTTGACCCGGTGCAATTGACGGCCCTTGAACTGGAGGAATAGAGTCGGAAGTACGGAGAAGACGACCATCATTGCAGTCGCAACACCAGCCGTTCCCCGAAGACCAGCTTTCTCAATCAGTTGAGGGAACCTGAGAAATCGTTAGTTTGGCAAGATAAACAATGGGACATTGTGATCTTGTTGCCCAAGAACTTACCAGAAAGGACCGATGAAGCCCCAGATCTGTCGGACAAAGGTAATGAACACACCGACACCAGCAGCGTCCTCCTTGTAGCAGTCAACGGAGTATGTGATGTAAACAGTGGTCACAAGTTGGTTGCCAACGGCAGCAATGGTTACACCGACCAATGGCGTAATGTTCCATACACTAGATGCTGCCGAAGTCTGGATCAGAAAGACGATGACCCCAATGATGGCGAAAGCCTGACCGGGGTAGCTAAGCCAGAGGCGCCACTCGGGTGGCACCGAGGCTCCCGTCTTCTTGCGACGATAGTTCATCCAGTAATCGGAAAGACGGCCACCAATCTGCTCACCGATGATGGAGCCAAGGATGAATGCGAGGAACTGCAGTCCAACTTGCTGTGTGTTGAAGCCAAATTGCTCTGGGAAGAGCGACGGGATTTCGATCGAGCACATGATGATGGCCCAGAGGAAAATCATTGCGTACGACATGGCTGGAATCCAGACTGCCGGCCTGGTGAAGTAGATAAAAGGGTGCAAAAAGTCCCGCCAAGAAAGGGGATCTGGGTTGATTCGACCAAAGGCGAAATACTTGTGCTTGAACTTTGGGCTGCTAGGTTTTACAGCAAAGTCGCGACGGTACAAGGTCTCGGGGCCGAAGAAGAAGTGCAGGACGAACTGGACGAAATTCGTAATGGCTAGGATAAAGTATATCCAACGGTAGTCCACCCGTAGAGCGACGAAGCCAAAGAGAAAGGGCGCAATGGGGATACCGAGCGTGACCATGATGGTCCAGGCGCCCATAAAGGTTGCGCGCTCATGTTTGAAGAACATCTCGGACACCACGGCGCTGCCAATGGCCGCGGCTGGACTGATGAAAAAAGCCGTTATGGCACGACACAGGGCCATGGTACCATAAGAAGGGCTAAACCCACACCCGATATTGCCGGCCATGCTGCAGATCAAGGCGATGAGGAAAATTGGGCGGCGACCATAGTAGTTCGACAGAGGCTTCCAGAACAACGGCGCACCGCCAAGAAAAGCGATCACGAGCGAGGTGAGATAGGTGGCTTGCTGAACAGGTATGTTCATGTCCTCGGCAATGTTGACATAGGCTGACTGGATTGCAGCGGCTGTGAAGGGTCCCATCATGGCATGGAAAGCCACCAGAATGAGGGTAACAATTTTCTTTACAGGCGTCAGCTAAACCCGTTCACACTCATTCGAAGTAAAACACCATTAAACTCACTGTCCTTCGGGGCCAGTTGTAGGGATCTGCCGGGTCCATACTGGGAACAGGTTCAAGAGCCAAGGATCCATGTCTATCCATCAAATACTGACGATGGTCGGCGGCTAGTTTCTCGATCTCGTGCTATGTTGGCCATGTATGTCAATGAGGAACTGAAACCTTTGAAGCCGTCTGCTCTCGAGGATTGCTTTTCGACTTACAGACACGGGTGCCTTTGAGGTGTCACTCTGGCCCTCAACATCTTGCGTCCGAGTCTTCTCCATCCTCGTGCTAGACTCCATCGTCGACATGAGGTGGCAATCAAAGGTATTCAGACTGGAACAAATTATGTTCGGCGGGTGTGCCGGAAGAGAAACAAACTGGAAAGCTCTTTGACGAGATACGGCACCAAGACTACAAGAATGATTCGGACTCAACGTAAGGGAAGGAATGATAAGTGACCCATTCCATCCTTCATACTCTAACCTTTTGCGGAGGTGTGCCCCCATTTCTCACGAAACTTTAGACCATCATGGCTGCGGAGTAGCTCGGGATGCTGCAACTACACAACAGTACTATTTTCTGCAGTGGGCAAAGTCAACAGACTGCGCCCATAACCAGTCAAGTTCTCAACAAAGATCCACCATTGAGTCCTAGACTGCGATCCTCGGCGAGGCGAGGGGGCATGGTCAAAGTGGTGCGCTGCAAGGGGCGGCGTGTAGATCAAAGAAACACCATCGCCACTGCTGTGGTGGGAGGTTGAGTGGTTTCTGGGTAGTTATGTCCACATTATTCCGTAGATCCAGAACAATCTCCGCGCGGCCGCCTAAGGCCGGGGAATAAGAGAGCACTACAGAGGAGGGAGAGGAGCTCCCTGATTGATTGGATTGCGTTGGACGTGACTCAGCTCCATTGCTGGTGTCCTTTCCCCCACACGCGTGCAGGATTTGAATTCACTATTGCTGCTATGTATGTGCGTACTACGCATAACTGCTTAAAATTTTACGGAGTATTAAAATCCGGGGAACAGCGCGAGTCTTTGGGACCGGTAATGGCCGTCGGCAAAGGTAATCCCTAGCGCCAATTGCTGATGGTGAGTAGGTAGGTAGGTATCCAGAGAGGGAGTTTGGATTTGGGCTCCCCTTTTCTCTCACACTTTTTTGTTGGATGAGAATATCGACTGGGAAGACTTGAGAGATATAGATTTGAGTACTGCGACAAGTGCTGCTTGGCATCAGATAATTTCCGCCTTGGTCTCGTTCAGGATGGTAGTTAATGGTATGTAATGATTTAGTATCCCAAGTCTCGGCGCACATCTACCGAGCGAATCAGCTTTGGGCGACAGTGCCAATCGAGCCCGAGAGCCCTCTTTTGGAATTAAAAAAAGCGCTCAAATTAATAAAAACAGCAAATCATTCCCCAGCTGTACGCTTAGGTAATCTAAACGTTTGGTTTTCTCACCTTTTCTTTTACTTGAAAACACTTGTCGCAAAAAAGCAGGTACTTGAGTGGTGTCATGCATCGCAGAACAATACAAGTCATTCAAGTTGCTTATTCCCATTGTAGCATTCATTGCTCTTGGCAGCTGTGCACACTACTGTGAGCTGTCTCGCTGTTGCAGAGCCGGGTTCCGAGTAACCGAAGACGCGACAGGAGGGATCATCTCATAATGTGACGTTTTGGTTATCAATTGCAGATTACACATGGCACTTCCCACCATGTGCATAATTACATGGTCCCGTGTGTAAGGGTCGTGGAAAGCGGGATCATTCAAGCATTGCAGATTTCTAGAGATAACCATGCATATGTTTGCTAGCGAGCCCTCATGCCAGTCTTTGGGTCGATCAAATTTGTATTGTGTCATATTTGCGCAATAAATTGCCTGTGATTTCTCGCCGTGGGTATCACAACAGGTCTTGTCACGCATAAACTCTTCAGACAAAGGGAACAGCTGTCACCTGTTCGCGCCATGGACATGGCACGAGCTGCAGAGCCACCGGACAAGCGCTCCGTAATAAGAAAAAAAGAATGCCTGTGATTGTTCATTATATGCGATATTCGTGCATTTCCGTACTTCCGAAGCTCCTAATCCAAGCATGGAGGCATTTCCGTAGGTATATTCTGTCTGCAATGGCTTCGCGGCAAGCCTACTACTAGGTAGTAACACCAAGGCCGTGAGCCATGGCGTAGCGGGGCGAGCCGGCTGGGCGGACAGAGCACAGTCGATAGTCACGTTTCCCCCAAGCGAATTGATGCGCGCAGCAAGGCTGTGTGTCAATTCACCCAAATAAAATAAAAATAAAAACTAACGTATTGAGGAGGTACCTATGATGTGTGACTGGGGTATTGCTTGCTCCTACACGATAGGCGTTGCTTGTACAACCCCCAAAAATGTGCCTGTCGACCCGAGCGCGGCTGAAGCATTCGCAAGGAGCCCATCCGATTGGGCTGGCCATGGCTTGGCTGACGACTATTATCTATCGCTGCTATATCGACAAGCACCTTGTCTTTCTTTCTTTTTTTCCCCCTTGGAGGAGAGGTGAACTGAAAGTGACAATGACATTGGATTCAATGAATTGTTTAATTTGGAGAAATAGTATCTGATCGGTAAAAGCTGGATGAGAATATTACACCTGCTTCAAGTATCAAGGTCCATTTGTCTCATGTTTGGAAATGCAGCATTCCAGAGAGGCTCGACGGAGTCTACCGAGTTCTCCCCTCTCCCATTGTTCAATCAACGAGTTGCTAATTGCAATCAAATATTCTTTGGCATTTACCGAAACAAAGTGCCGAAGCTGGAATCTCCCACCCCTCCCTACTAGTAGCGGTTCCATAATGGTCCGTCTGGGGTTCGGAATTCCCACTACCATCCCACACTTCACACATACACAACTGGGGGAAATCTCCATATACCTAATGTTAGTGATATGGATCGAGTCCTTCGCAATAGGGCATCCGAAGCGTGGTCAATAGATCAGCTGCGAACCCGCAATTCTTTTTCTCTCACCAATCCATGTTCATCTGTGCCATCGTTGGCTCTTCTTCCGCCATGGGACCCCCTGGCCAGTGGACGACGAGTCGATCTGCCTGTACCGATGCTTGTTTCCGAATGGTAATCGGCACTCTGTAGCCTCTCAATGGCGAAACAGACACCAGAGGGGCAACTCCGCAATAGTTCTGGGGCAGAAAAAAAAGAAAAGAAATTTGGCCCATTTCAGAAATCAGGGGAATATGGGGGAATTCCACCGCGGTGAAAATCCGGGGTTGTTGCCAATGGAGTACGCGCAATCTGTTGATTTGCGTTGGTAGTTGTCTCGGGCCGTATCTTCTTTGTGCGGCTCGACTATTTCCCTCTCTCATCATCATCTTTTGTCAAACGAATCTCCTACTTTGCAAAAAAAGAAAGAAAGATTGGGGCCGTCTTGCTTTGAAAAAGACAGGGCATTCCTAGTCGCTCTCTTTTGGGTTCCCCCTGTTTTCTAAAACGAGTCCGCGCAAAGGTTATCTCCCTTACTCTACGTCCCAGTATTTACCTGCATAAAACCTATTGAACGAACCGTTGCGAGAAAATATCGGAACACGACCTTGACAGAGCCGCATTCTCTAAAGTCCAACTCCAGTCTTATGCACATCCACTAGGACGAGTCTTGGACGCGGCGATCCCCGGGATTGATCGGACTTGATGAGTTTTCTGTAATGGAAGAGCGAGTATTCTGGTTCAACATTCAGATGATCAAGGAAAGAGGGGGTGTGGGAATGGCATTACCATTGTACACTGAGAATGCTTCCCTGGGTCCATGACAACAACCAGTAAGATACTCTTTATCTGCCCTACTGCTGCAATTCAGCAGTGAGCTTCCCAACTCCGTGTAATGAGCATCAGGTCGGGACGATTGGGTACAGATCAACCCTTTGCAAGCTTCCGTCATGTGGACTAAGAGGGCTGTCGATGCTCTTGGGCGATTTCTCTTTTCCCCCTTGAATGACATGTTGGCCAATCACGAAAAAGAAAATGCACTGCAATTGGATGAGTTTTAATTTTGTGTATAAAAGTATCAAATCCCAAATCCCGTACGCCAGTTTGATTCCAATTTGACATGATGTATTTAGTGTCTAGGACCCTTTGCACCAGTGACTGGGCAGACGGCGTCAGCCTCGGCAGCATCAACAGACGGGTGCGTGGTGACCTTGTTCTAATTGCAAAAGTCAGTAAACCTGGACGTGAACCACGAAAGGTCATTTTATAAGTGCTGCACACCTTGTGGTGGCCTACAGTGGCCTTTGTGACGGGGCAAACATCGCCCTCGGCTGCGTTGGCCGTACTATTCAAAACATGTGTTAAATACTCGTTCCACATATGTCTCTTTTTTTTGGGATATTCTGCAAATTTGTCTCACCTGGGGTGGTCCGGAGGCAGGACAGTCGTAGCGGTACCCACGACTGGGCAAATCTTGTCGTCCATGGCCTGGCTCTCGGGCTCGTTCACGGCCTTGTTGAGCACTGGGCACTTTTGAGCATCTGCCTGGCTGGCCTCGGGGTGGCCGGCAGGGAGAGGGACTTGAGGGTGCTTGTGAAGATCTGATTTATCCGTATTAGAATCTTTGTTTCTTCCTAATCTTGTGATCAAGGCCACTGTGACTGACTCAGGTGATGATCGGTCTTGGCACCGACGACAGGGCAGATCTGGCCTGGCTTGGAGAGATCAATCTCTGTTGCAGATGTAGGTCAGCAAACGTCGTTGATGTTTTGACAGCGATATCGAAATCGGAGAATGGGCACAGACGTACCCGGGTGAGATGGAGGAAGAGTATCGTTGGTCGTGCCTGATGAAGAGTAGAAACTTGTTAGTACTGTGGGATTTCCGTAGCACTGGAGCTTGAGATGGAACAGGATATTCATTACCAACGACGGGACAAGCAGCAACGGCAGCCATTTTGCAGGATTGTGGGTATGGAGACAGGTCTTTCGGAGGTGTGATGGAGATGATCTTGATGGCAATGATCAAGTAACGTATCGGAATGCAATCCAGATGAGGAAGAACAGGAATCTGGGGAAGAAGGAGGCTTGTCAAGGTTATCAACTGATGCGAACAACCCCTCAAATCGAAATGCGGGTGGATGCTTTTCTGGGCTGACAGCTCTAACGCTGGTGCTTTTTGGTTTGGTTCTAGAAGTAATTTAGCCTCAAAGTCTTTTGCTTCGTGATACACGATAAGGCAGGAGAAGGGGTCTCAGGATGGGGCACCGCCCCTCTTTGGCCTTGAAGCTGTCGATTTTCTGTCTGCGTTTTCGACATTCCAGCGTACAAAAAGTCCAGGATCATCGCAGTCCACCGTTGGACGCTACGTCATGATCCCTGTCAGAGCTGCCCTGCTTATTAGCAGCGTTGTGATTGGTCCAGAGGAGGAACCAAATTTAGAACTCCCGTTTGAAGGAGCTGCAAGGACTTTAATTATTTGACACATGTATCTGTCTATCAAGACCGTCGTCCCTAGCAATGATAGATCTAGGACCTTGACTGACCTGCAATTGTGCATGCGAGATTATACACTGAGCCATGTATGTATAGGTGGCATTGACCGATACTACTGAGTCGTTATTGACAGGTTGGGCCTAGTGATTTCGTGCCCGTTAGAATATAAGCTGCCCAAAAGAGCATGTGGAGATTAATGATACTCCATCCTACTGTGTCCAACACGGTTAAGATTAAGAAACAACTAGAGGTGATTCTTTAACAGTATTTCCTCTACTACAACGAGGAAACCTCCATATTATGAGGCATAATGCGCATCCAGAATGCAGCGCAGAGAACGAAGCAATATTCAATTTAGGCGGCTGCCATCGCATGACAACAACAAAAAATGCAGGACCAACTGCATTCTCAGTCTCCAACTCCAGAGGGGTAACCCGGGATCCATGACATGTTTGCCCGCGGATCGCCTGAATTGCTGTGCGGCATGCGGAACACGATAGCCAAACAGGACTCCAAAATCAGCCTGCCCCTCATTCAAAGCAAACCCCATCGGCGACGGGCTCTAGCCACGAATCCGAACAATGTCTTTGCACATCCTGCCAACCCAACGCCCACCGAGGCATCTGCCCAATCTGGCAAGCTCTGGGTCATTATTGGTTGGGCCAAGATCTATAGAACCACTTCTCCACGATCACAGCGCGCAGATGCCATGCAAGCGCAGGGGGCATATCTGGAGAAACCTGGGGAGCGGACTTCACCCCCGCACTCTCCCGCTTCAAAAGTGAAGCTCGGCAACTGTGATTTGGGGGAGCATCTCAGGCACGTCGTCCAGCCAGAGGAGAAAGAGATTGCACACGTCTCCTCCTTTCCCAAAGACTCTTGACAACTTTCTACTTTTGACGCAAACTTCAGGAACGTGTACTATTCATCTTCATTCCAAATCACACATATATTTACAATCAGAAAGAGCAGAAGAAGAAAAGGGCCTACTACCATTCGTTCAAAATGGGCAGTGTTGAAGATACCACCACTTTCGAAATTCCAAAGGAGTGTCTAGCCGGTGTTGTGGTAAACGAGGGGCCCGACTTTCATGTTGAAGTCAAGAATGTCCCAGTTCCTGAAATTGGTTCGTCAGCAAAAGATCAAGAAAGGTCAAGGGATGCGTGTGTGAGATATAAATAACACTAATGTTCATTCTTGCAAGGCCCCGACGATGTCCTCATCAAGCTCAACGCGACCGGGTTGTGCATGTCCGACGTGCATTTCATGCTCAACGACTGGGCTCTCCCGGCCATGTCCACATTCAACACGCAGTGCGCCGGCCACGAAGGCGCCGGCGTCATTGTCAAGGTGGGAGAGAATGTCAAGCGTCTCAAGGTTGGCCAGCGCGCCGGCTACAAACCGATCCAAGATGTCTGCCACTCTTGCTGGGAGTGCCAGAATGGTCGCGAGACGTACTGTCTCAATGGTGTCCTGACTGGCCTGCACATTGATGGTATGTTTTGTTTTGTTCCCGCGCGTGAAATCTGTCCACGTTTTCCCTGCATATTAAAACGCATCCCAGGTTCTTATAAGCAATATGTGAAATCCCCGGAGCGATATACTTCCCTCATCCCTGATGGTGTGAGCGACCATGTCGCAGGTCCCGTCATGTGCTCCGCGTCTACCGTGTACACGGCGCTCAAGGAATCCGGTTTGCGCCCCGGCCAGTGGGCCTGCTTCCCAGGCGGAGGTGGAGGTGTCGGAATTCAGGGTGTGCAGCTTGCTGTTGCCATGGGACTTCGCGTAATCGTCGTCGATACCGGGGCCGAGAGGGAGGCACTTGCCAAGGAGATGGGCGCAGAGGTCTTTGTCGACTTCAAAGAGTTTGAGAACCCGCCGGAGCGTGTCATGGAGATCACGGCTGGTGGAGCGCACGGCGTTTTCGTTACTGGTCAGTCTGCAAAATTTCAGGTGCATTGCATGCCATCATTCTCTAACATGTTTTCGCAGCTATCCAATCTTACCCGATCTCTGTCGACTACCTCGGACTTCGCTGCAGCGGCGTTGTCATGTGGTATGGATCCAGACCAGACCCAGAGGCTTGAGCAACTCGTTGTACTAACCAATTGTACAGTATTGGACTTCCTCCAGCTGGCAAATTTCACGTCGACGTTGACCCTACTCGGCTGATCTTCCGTAATCAGTCAATCAAGGGAACCTGTGTCAGCAGCCTAGCTGACATTGCTGAAACTCTCGAGTTTGCCGAACGAGGTGATATTCACTGTTTTGCCAAAGCATTTCATGGATTTTCTGACATGAGAGGGTACAGGTAAACTTCGTCTGAAGCCCACAGTAGTTGGACTCTCGAAATTCAACGAGTCGGTTCAGAAATTGAAAAATGGACAAGTTGCTGGGTACGTCGTACTCATATTGCGCCAGTTGTATCTGCCAAGCACTGACTTTTATTTATAGCCGTATCGTGGTTGACTTCAACTTACCTTAGCGGGAAGCTTAATGGCCATTCATGCATGTTGCACCCAGCCAACCAGCCCGGGTGCATTTGAGCCTATTTGTCACGTAGCGAACGGAACCGAATGGTGGACGAGAAGCAGCGACATTTAGCAAATATGTTCTTTTTTGAAGAATCCAAGTTCAGAAATCCAGCTCATGCGAGTTTATCCTTATCAGAAATTCAATCATGTTCATTCGGTTCGAGGTGAACGAGATGAATCTGACATGCTTGAGAGATCCGCTCGTTTTCGGTCGAACTCGGACGGACTCTTCGACGCGGACCCCCGCGGGACTACGGAGATGTCACAACGCTAAACCGATTTAGGCCCAGTGGCGCTGATGTTCAACCTTGATTTATATTGGCATCCCTTGAAGGTCTCGGTCGAAATAGTAATGGCCAGTAGACTGGACCGATAACTATGCGGGAGCCCAAGTCCGGGCTCGTCCGCCGATGACACGAATATAACAGATGTGTCTCGGGGGTATGGGATGAAATCTTTGTGACCTCTTGTCTTCTATTTATTATATTGTAATTTGGTCTGTCGTATCAAACAAATTTTTTTTTTTTGACTCTTGACATTCAATCTAGAAATTCCTATACTCTTCACAATGGCAGACCATGCTGAAAAGCCAAGCAGAAAGAACATCCTCATCCTGGGTGGCTCATATGCGGGCATGTCTGTGGCCCATTATGCACTGAGGCATATCGTACCAAAGCTACCTGAGCCAGACGAGTACCAAGTTGTATTGGTTAGCATTGGAGCCGAAGTCATGTGTCGCCCAGCCTGTCCGAGGGCCATGATCTCTGACGAGTTCTTTGCACAAGAGAAACTTTTTGTCAATATTCCCAAGCAGTTTGAGCAGTACCCCAAGGGGAGCTTCCGCTTTGTTCAGGGCGCAGCGACCAAGCTTAATCACGAGAAGCGCACGGTCAGCGTCAAGCTGGCAGGCGAAGAAGGTCCTACCAAAACCATCAGCTTCCATTCCCTCATCATTGCTACAGGGGCCGCTGCTTCGTCCCCCTTGATCGGGTCTAATGGAGATCAAGACCGCCTCAGGTCAAGCTGGCGCGAGTTCCGCCGAGCTCTGCCCACGGCCCGGCACATTGTGGTTGCCGGAGGCGGACCGACGGGCGTCGAGACCGCCGGTGAGCTGGGCGAGTACCTCAACGGCCGAGCATGGTTCTTCAACTCCAAGCTGGCAGACCCCGACGTGAAAATCACCCTCCTGACGTCGTCGTCCAAATTGCTCCCGGTGCTGCGCCCGTCCATTGCGCTCAAAGCGGAGAAGCTCTTGGCCCAGGTCGGCGTCACGGTGGTCAAGGACGCCCCAGTGGTCAAGGTGTCGTCATCTGCGGCCGCGACCAGCGGCACCGGGGAGAATTCCTCCTCGGGGGAGGAAACCGCCTCCTTCTCGGCGGGCAAGGTGACGGTGGCGCTCAAGGACGGGACAAGCATGGAGGCGGACCTGTACATTCCGGCGTTTGGCACGACGCCCAATACCGCCTTTGTCGACGGGTCCCTGCTGGCCGCCGACGGCCGGGTGCAGACCAATGCGGCGACGCTGCGCGTGGACAAGGCCGGGCCCCGGGTCTACGCCGTGGGCGACGCCTCGACGTATGCGCGCGCCGCCGTGCACCACATTCTCGGCGCCGTGCCCGTGCTGGGCGCCAACATGCGACGAGACCTGTTGGCGGCCGTGGGGCGCAGCGACAATAGCATTGACCGCGAGTTCAAGGAGGAGAAGCGCGAGATGCAGATGGTGCCCATTGGCCGTAGCAAAGGCGTGGGCGCCGTGTTTGGCTGGAGAATGCCCAGTTTCATGGTCTGGCTGATCAAAGGCAGGGACTACTTCCTTTGGACTACCCCGGCACTTTGGAATGGGACACACTGGGCTAAGGAATCTTGAATAGAGGTCTCATGATCCGTAGTCATTTTGGTTGAAGCGCTCAGCACTGCTCTAATCCACGTTGTGTTAGATTCCTTCGGGCACACTAGAATACAGTGCATGATTTTGAAGTCTATAATAACTTTAAATAAACGACTTTTCAATTACAGGTGTTTGCTGTATCTGGATTTCTTTACAACATGAACTGAGATATATCTTCTATGAAGCGAGTTATGCTCGTAATCGCTACGGTCCAACTTTGAATGGGTTGGAGCATAGAATTGTGACGGCTAAGTTACTAATCAAAGGCACAGAACCTCATCCGAAGGGAAGATGGCAATACTATCCAAGAAAGACGTAGCATACCCGTCTCCCAGCCATTGCGCATCACAATGATAGTAAAACGTCAAGTCAGCAGTGCTATCCAATTGTACAATATTATCAAAGGTGTACTGCAACCAAACTCCCTGATTACCGTTGGCTGTGTTAAAAGGCAACGAGGCAATTTGAGAGTCGCCCCAGCTAACGTCGAGGTGGCAGGCTCCGTCGATACCTGGGACGCGGCTGACGGGACCCAAGTAGGATGGCCTGTACCAGAACGTGACAGTGTAGATGGCGCCAGTGGGTATACCAGTCAGGGTCTGGTACAAGTGCATGGACGTTCCCGAATTATCCGCGGGGAAACCTCTATGATATCAATCTCGGGTTAGCACTGGCCTATCAATGGCAGAGGGAACGACATGAAATTGGAGTTCGAAATCAACCACTTACGCAAAGTTTGGTTGGCTGACCGCGATAATATTATCCGATGAGAAGAAGGACGTTCCAAATCCACGGTCACTGGCACCAATGTGCCATGGGGCAATGTCCCAATCCGGTGCATCGCCATCATCAAAACCTCCGTTTAACACAAGATTGGTAGTGGCGTCAGCCGTGCACAACGCAGTGGAGATGATGGTGGATGTAACCGTCTAAGTCATTTGTTAGTATCATTTGCTCCATAGGAGAGAGTGTCTTTGCCCAAAGAGGACTGCCTCTGAAAGGGGGGTCAATCTTACAGCGGCGCCAGCAACGGTCTGTAGCTCTGTGATTGTCGCTGTTTCAATGCTATAACAATTGTGCGTAAGCATATTTATCAGTAAGAGGAATGTATTGAAAAGTAATTTGTGCTGAAAGGTCAATAGGTTTTGAACGAAAACACTTACGGATCAATGGAAACGGTGGTTGTAAAGGTTGGTGCCACCAGATCCGTTGTAGTGACAGTAGAGCGCACAGGATCCTCAATGCAAGAGCACACCGAGGTTAGAAGCTCGGTGCTCGATGCTTGGAGATATGCCAGTTCAGCTGCCGCTTCCGTGTCAGGTACCGGTGTATGTGTCGCCCCTGGGCCATAGTGAGGGTTCACTTGATAGCCTTGATGACCACCGTACACCGGCAGACGGCCACCATGAGTGGAAGACCCACGGTGAGTGCCGTGGCCGCCGTGCCCGTGACGACCTCCGTGTCCATGCTCAAACGGAATGTCAGTTGGGAAGCTTCTGCGGCGAAATTGTAAATTGGTGGAGATGACGGTACTCTAGTACGCTTTTTCATTTAGATACAAAATACTTTCAATATACACCAGGATGTCCACTTGCCGTGATCACAGCCTGCTGACCTTCAGATTCCGTCGTTATAGCAGAAGTGACAGTGACTGTCTGGGCTGCCTCACCGACTGTGATTGTTGTGGTCACTGTGGCATCGAGAGTGACCGTCTCGGTGCTGGTGATGAAGGATATGGGCAGTGGGATAACCCTGGAGCAATACGCGAGAGCTGGCGAGTAGGTAGACAAAATCGAAGCCGCGCTGACTACAAATTTGTCATCACAGTCGACAAAGGGGATCAACGGTCCCAATGCGGCAACAAGAAATGAAAAGATATTCGTCAAGAGAAGTAGACGTGTGAGGATCAACATGATTCACGATGCAGGGTATGGATTCCAGAAAGACTGTCGAACAAGTAAGAAAGTTCCACCTAGTAGTAGCGATTGGACTCACAGAAGACTATCTTATATAGTTACAAAAATTGCCGGGCTTGACTCGAAGGCGCCTCACTTCATAGGTTCCTTGTGAGAATGATCATAAGCCAAGTAATGTCTGCCGGATTCTGCGAAGCAGAATTGAGACTCTTGCCCGCTTGGGACAAGATTACATCGCATGCCACTGGCGATTCTATGGGACCCTCAACGGCACAGTCATGTCTCACGTAAACCGTGCCCTCAAGTGCTTCGGTAGTTCCTTTTTCGCTACGGCCTTCCACACAAGGCGACCTTATTCTATTCCAGTCACATTCGTTCATTTGTTTCCAAAAGCAGATTATTCAGGACATGGACACAATAGTCACCATCGACCCTGAATCGTTAAAACTTAGGATGCATTTTGAGTGGCCAGGTTATTGTATAGATCCAGAAAACGGTGAAATTGACCGGCCATGTATATAGGGGGTCTATAAAGTGAGTACAGGAGGACAGCGGGACAAGATTCGAGTGAAAGCGGCTCAACTCCTGCCAATTTCCCCAGAAGGCGGGCCAGAAGTCAAAATTTTCCTGTGTTGCGTACTAACGGATATCCAGTGCCGACAAAGCAGTCTTGCGAGCTGATTCAGTAAATCCTCGTGATTGCTTCTTACGATAGTCCAAAACAAACGGTACCAACCTGGTAAAGTACACTGTCTAAAACTCTACACCGTCTCAGCAAGTATGGCGTCACCGAATAGTCTTTATTTCTTCAATGCCGCTTGTAGTGTGCGGATGACCAGAGAGTACGCAACCTCTCGCTGCTCGCTTTGCGGTGATCCGTCGGTGCAGTCCTTGTCAAAGCCATGCGGCATCCCGGGCAAGGTCTTGTGTACGACAGCTTTGCCTGCCTCTTCGATTCTTGACGCCAGCGCTTTAGCTTCGGGGGCCAATGTATCGCCCTCACAGGTGATGATAGTCGTGCTCAATGGGAAAAGAGACGGCTCCGCAAGCGAAGGGGAGACCCGAGGATCCATGCGCAGTGTCGACTCGGGAGTGTAGCAGTCGTCAAACATGGCTGCCGTACCCGCCGGAATGGGCTTGACCGGGTTCGGCACCTTCTTGGACGCCGCGTCTATCGAGAGATCCGTCGGCGGATAGAGCGCGGCAACCGCTAACACATGGACTCCAAACTTGACGAGATCTTGTCGGAGTGTTGATGCAGCTACCAGAGCGAGGTTGCCGCCGGCACTGAAGCCCGACACGGCGACCCGAGTTGCATCAAATTCGTCTGGCTTGGACGCAATCCATTTCAGGGTATCCTCCACATCATGGACAGCGGCCGGAAAAGGATTCTCTGGTGCTTTGCGGTAGTCTGCATCCAAAACAACAAAGCCCGTCTCTCTGGCGAAGCGAGTACAAAAGACTCGATCCGAGCCGTGGCATGGGAGGACGAAGCCGCTTCCGTGCCAGTTGACCAAGATTGGACGCTTGGCAGACGTGGTCGTGCCAGACTCTCCAGTCGGATAATAGAGATCCCCGACGATAAATCTTCCTGGATCTCGTGAAGGGATGCGAACTCGACGAGGCTTCATCTCGCCAAAGCGGATCATGTCGCGTTTGGCGACCGATCTCATCCGGAAACCGAGGATGAATCGTATCAGGTAGACCGTGAGTCTGATCCTCAGCCAGCGCCAAATCCCAATCTTAGCCATAGTGCCTCTCTCTGTCTCTCTCTGGCAAAAAATGAGAATGCGGATGTTTGTTATGTTATGTTGCTGTTCTTCGTTGGTAGTGGCAGCAGATATGAGAGGCTGGTGAAAAAGCCAGCTACCTCATAGTACTGTTCCTAGCGACCAGACGCGTGGGCGGCGGCAGCAGGAACCGAGGCAGCCAGGGTGTTCCTGTCGCCGAAGGGCTTAGCGACACGCCCTAGAACAAACGCCGGCCCCACTGTGGCTATTAAGATTTAATACCCTAAGGAGGTAAAGTAGTAGTATTGGTATATATGTAGATAGTCATAAGGTAGGGTCCTCTTATATATCATATAATTCAGTATCAATCAGATGATTTTCAAAGCCAAATAGTAATTGGATTGCAACCGGTTTTTCCTTTGGCATCAGTTGTATACTAGGTTATTACCCGTAAGATTCTAAGGTTAGTGCTTGTGTGCCGGCCGCACTAATACCATCGGCGGCCGTCGCTAAGATAAAACGGCCAAAGTAAACCGAACTACCTAACCTAGGTAGGTATATTAATCCAGTCGTTGGCCAATATTGAACTCATGGTACCAGACATTCCGGATGCATCCCCTGACGACCTTCGATGCAACAGTATAGTCCCGAGATTAAGTGACATGTTATGGGCCATGTGGTTTACCCAAGAATTCCTTTCTGACAAGGAATATAGTTACGAAATTCGATCACGCGAAGCGTCATTGAAGGCAGAATATTAAGCAGTATAATGATGGATCAGACTTGTTTTCATATGGCAGGCTCACCCAGGCGGCTCATCTCCTTTTCAAAAAGCCATCGACGACTAAGATGCGACAGGATCGCGATGTCTTGTTGGGTTGGCTCCTTTACAATTTTTGTTTAAAAGAGAATGTAGCTAAAAGGTTGTAGTACAGTGGGTAAACATATTGCCAATGGCAAATGCCACGTGGTATAAGCTCTTCAAGCAATTGAATCCCTTTGATCTTCTCGTACATAGTTCATGCATCAACAGCGCATTCTGAGGGCCCCATTTTCGGCCGTGGTATTGGAAGTGCTTTTTCGAGGCTGGCCACACCCTCATTCACCATCCACATCTTTCTCAATCCTTGACGATATGAGTCTGGCCGTACTTATCCGTGTAGGCTGACTCTGATGCAAGTAGCCAAAGTCCACGGTTCTGCGGTTCGGTAATGTTGACACCACCCTCCTTTCCATATATCTTCTCCATTTCGAGGCGGGTGGCACTCTTGGGCTTGTTCTGCTTGACGCGTAGCTTCTCAAAGAATACATAGCTCCCGTAGAAAACGGCACTGGTATTGCCGTCCAAGGGGCCCTTCTTGGCCAGAAAGTCGTTAAGTTGCTTTGACTGGATCTTGCGCTCCGGGTTGAACGACTTGCCAATTTCGCGCAGGAATGCAGCTTGGGTGACATCGTCCTTGCGCAGCTGTGCCCGGATCTTCTTGCGAACTTCATCGCAAGTATCGTAGACCGGAACCGGCCCCTTGTCTTCACCATCGAGGGTGACGCCGCCAACATCGAGCGAGTCGGGGACAGTCTTGCCTGATGCTTTGGCCGTTGCCGTTGTCTTGGCCTTTTTCGGCGCAGTGTTCTTCACACCCTGAAGCTCCCGCTTTTTGAAGAACTTCCAGGCATTGTAGTACATGTCGCTCCCAGATCCGGCGTCAGTACCATTCTGATTCATATAGCGGTAGTACTGGACTGATCCAACGTCAATAGCCTTCTGGAACTCGCCAACCTTCATGGCACCAGAGTCAATGAAGCGTCTGACCTTTGCGCGAACCTTTTGCGCGCTCTCATCAGGGTAATCGAGACGCGGGTCATCGTCGTCGATCTCAGGGACAGGCTCAGGCTCAGTCACGGCATCCGATTTACGCTTCCTTGATGCAGCCTTTGTGGCAGCTGCAGTCTTTGTTCCCTCCGTAGATGGCTTCTCGCCAGAGGGCACTGCAACGGACGTGTTTGGCTTTGGGCCTTGTGGTGCAGGCAGTGCAGGCTGGATGTTCTCCTTGCCTGTTTGTGGAGCAGGAGGAGCCTATTGAGATTTCAGCGACTTGTTCAAGCAGTAACAGCAGAAGAAGCCGCAGCAGCAGCAGCAGCAATTCATTCTGCACTTTCAAAGGCAAATTACAATCTGTTGGTTTGGAGGCAGAAAAGGACTAGACGAGCTGCCGAAACTTTGGCGCACAGTGGCAGGATCCCAAGACCACGAGGAAGCCATCTCTTTTTAGGGTTTGTGGACGGATGAGCTTGCTGCTTCTGTCTTGTCCAACTTGCTCGGGTACAGCAATGAAATGAGGTAAAGTGAGACGACGTTGATGTTAAAATGGAATGAAACCAGTTGAGTGGTTTCTGCGAGGCACGACAATACCAAATGCTTGCCGCCGTGGGAAATTTTGATAATTGAAGATGGATTTACAAGTTCGATACGACCAAGATCGCGTTCTGTAACCCGCGTTTGGGACCCGCGACTGAATATCAACAACTGATTGACGTCAGGTCTCCCAGATGATCCGTGCTTTCATTAGCGCGGCCACACAACGGTCGCTATTGCCTATCCCAGATCTCGGTGGTGCTGGAGTGAAGAAGAAGAAGAAGACCTAGCGGCGGATAAAAAAAAAGAAATGAAATGAAAAATCTGTTCTTTCTTCAAGTGAGTATTGTTCACGGTTCAATATGATCTACATGTCATTTTAGCAGACCTTTCACAAAGTCTGCCATCTGTTGGGCGGGAAGATGATCCAGTGCATGCACTCTGTGTCTTGAGTTGTAGCTAGTAGGCTGACTAGGTGCTTGGTAGGTAATGTAGTCACCGCGCACTGGCACATGCAGTCCCTAGAGATATGGGGGTACCTGCCAGAGTGTACCAATGGTAAATAACAGTACATTAGCTAGTAGCTCAAGTATGCATTCTTTTAAAATTATTCCATGGGCAAGGCCCCAGCCAGAGGTTAATAAATTCTGTCGAACAAGATGTTGGTTTGCACAATTTGCAAACCAAGCAAGGATTGAAATATCCGTCCTCAGTAGAAATCCCTTTTCGCAGTTGCAGCGTCCATTTGGAGTTTGTAGTCACCCAGCAATATCTTGACTGACCCAAACTGGGTACTACATAGGTACTAGGTAATTTTGTGGTATTGATAGGGCTGTGGTGTAGTTGAAAATGTCAAACCACCAGTCTTGCTTACAAGCTCAGTGAGTATTGCATTTATATAGGTAGGCATCCTACTCGTAATCTCATGAATATGTTCCACAACATTTTGCAATATATCAGCAACCAAAATTGGCCAAAAAATCCGAAGGCCCCTTGACTGGCGCAAAAAGGATGAACCTGTTACCCAGCTGGCAAGCAACTGAACTTCCCCGCAGCCATCTCAACCCTTCTGTTTCAACCAACTTCAGATAGATTGGGGTTTGCGCGGATCACCATTCCCGTAAAGTGCTTTTTTACTCACACTACCGCTCAATCGCGCCTGTTCTCACCCAACTGCTACTCTAATGTTTATATTCTGCCGAAAGCCGAGTCCACTGATGCAACGGAGCTTGGGATCAACCTGGTTGCATCGTTTTAAGGCCCCTCGGCGCGGAGCTTGGCGGTCCTGAGAAAGAGTATCCCAATCGGCGCTTTGCACCTTTGTATTGCTCAATCCGCTGCTGTTGGGATATTGTTCTGGGACGATAGAGTCATCCCTTGGTATCCACTAGCCAAATCCGTGTTCTCACTTAGATGCGGCTCAAATTTGAGTACTCCGTTCTGAGAACGTGGAAGATCTGCAAGCAGCACATCCTGGTCGTCATGTTTGTAGATTTGGTCACCTTCATATAGTTGCTGTTTAGGCAAAATGGTCCTCCCGAAAAAACATATTTCACTACATTCGCTTGCCTCTCTGTCTTCTGGGCATAGACCGACACTGTTGGCTGCACCCGTCTTCTCTTCTCTGCAAGTCCCGCTGGCGCGACGTCCTTTCATCGGTTCTTATCTTAACATTCGTTATATTGTTCTTGCTGGCAAGCCTTTGCCCTTCCCAGCTTGCTTTACCCATATCGCTGCCCAGGCTGGCAACTAACTTATTTACAACTGTGGTCAATCTATGACGTCTCTGTGATCACAGATTTGCTGAACTCACAATGGCTTTCTTGAAGACAGTCCTACTCGCTGCCCTGGGGGCAACTACAGTCTCGGCCCACAGTTATGTCCTTGATATCGACATTGACGAGAAATCATACGTCGGTTTCAAGCCCATCAACGGCTCCATCAACGATCCCGTCATTGTTGGCTGGAAAACATCAGCGTGGGATCAAGGCTGGGTTGGAAAAGACTCCTACTCGACTTCCGACATTATATGCCACAAGAATGCATCCAATGCCCAAGGCCACGCTCCGGTAGCCGCTGGTGACAAGGTGCACATTCAATGGAATGGATGGCCCCAAGGCCACAAGGGACCCGTCGTCGATTATCTCGCCCCATGCGGCGCCGAGGGATGTCAGTCCGTGAACAAGACCAGTCTGGAGTTCTTCAAGATCAACCAGGGCGGCCTCGTCAACTCAACGGCGATGCAGCCATTTGGTGAATGGGCTACCGATCAGCTGATTGCAAACAACAACTCCTGGCTCGTGGAGATCCCCGACACCGTCAAGCCGGGCTTCTACGTACTGCGCACCGAGATCATTGCCCTGCACAACTCCACCACGGGGGCACAGCACTATCCCCAGTGTTTAAACTTGGAGGTCACGGGCAACGGCACCGAAGTTCCTGCTGGCATTCTCGGCGAGCAGTTGTACAACACAATGCAGCCAGGTTTGGACCAAAGGCTCAACATCACTGCGGGAATCACCAGCTATCTTGTCCCTGGTCCGACAATCATTCCTGATGCCGTCTCCATCTCCTTGACCAACCCGATTCCGACTGGCACCGGCTCTGTGGTCACGGCAACACCATCGATACCGCCCAACTCGTCGACCAGCCTGGCAGGTGTGGCCGCTACAACCACGAGACACAGGAACGGAGGCGCGTTATTGTCCCGACCGACTCCCGGCCCTCATGTCGATGCACGAAGGTGGTATCATCAGGGACTCGGATTCTAAGCACAAGGCTTTCGATCAAACCTGTCGTCGCTTACTTTCTTGTATATAGTTGAGAGACTTTGAAAGGTCATGGTAAATAAATAGACACATGTTGGTGGTGGATCAATTGAATGATACTTGAACCATTATCTCATGGCCGTTGCTTATTCGATTGCTGTTCTGAAATATCTTGCACGCTTGTATGTTGGTTGCGAGGCTACTGGCGGCTCGATCCGTTGTATGACGGTCATTGAAGTGGTTGGCGCTGTGAGCTTGAACGTAGATAATTGTAGTGCTCAAGGGACGCCTAACAAAGTACCCAACCAGCGGATGCAGTAATTAGTGGCGTCGGATGCGGGCAAAACACTTATCGATAGACTACAAGCGGTGATTGAGAGCCCAAAAGTAGCAGAACAGCAATTGCGAATGGCCATAGTGTGGCTACCGTCAATTGAGGTATACTTGCCATGATCAAGCAAACTTCTCTGTGCTTCGTCAAAGTGGGATGCAGTTCAATCACCTCATCTGTCTTGGCGTCAACTGGCTTCGTAATCGTTACCCGTCTTGGAAAACGCGAAGAGCCGACGACGCTGGCGACGGCCCGCTGTACGCCAACTTCTAAGGGTCGACGCTTTGTAATCTTCTAAGTTGACTTAGATTTAGGTACCGACCAGTGCAAATCTCGGTGACCTTTGCAGCTAATCGGTCCCGACTGGGCTTCTGAACAGAGGCTACATTTGTCACCAAATATTCTTAAGCTATTTGGGCAAGTATGTGATCATTAGAAAACGATCAGATACACAATTGACAGAAAGCGCTATATATTTTGCTTCAGCTTCCATTTTTCTGAAGAACTTATTGACCATTACAAGCAAGAAACTCATTGAACCAACGATTCGCTAGGATTTACAACCCTGTCACCCGATTATACAGCGCAGCATACCCTATCTAATGGCGCAAAAGCCCGTCATCATCTCCGGTGCGGGGCTGGCCTCGCTGCTCCTGGCCCAATCACTGAAACGATCCAAGATTCCATTCCAAATTTTCGAGCGCGATGCTTCTCTGAATTTTCGCGGTCAAGGTTACCGCCTCCGTCTATCCAACGAAGGACTTGATGCTATCGAATCCGTCCTCGATGCCGCTGCCTGGAAGCGGTTCTGGGACCACTGTGGACAGACGGGCGGCAGCGGATTCTCTGGGTTCAATGCCATCACGGGAGAGTTGACCGAGTCAGCCACCGGCGGCGAGTCGCTAGGATCCCGCGATGGCAAGATCGTAGGAATTGCGCGGGGTGATATGAGGAGACTCTTTATGGAGGGCGTCGAAGACCAGGTACATTTCAACAAGCACGTCCAGTCGTACGAATTGGTAGAAGATGGAGTAAGGGCGGTTTTCAACGACGGCTCCAAATCCGTCGTAGGATCTCTCCTTGTGGGCGGTGAGGGTATCAAGTCGACCGTGGCCAAGCAGGTCTCTGGCGGTCGGCTCAAGGTGTACGACACTGGTGCTAGAGGTATCCACGGGCAAGCCCCGACCGCTGCCTTTAAAGATCTCGGCGAGGGCGTCTTTCGCATCACCGACAGCAGCCGCTCGGAAGGCACCGTGTCAATCATCACCAACGTCCGCCCCAATGACATGGACAAGTCGCATGTCGAGTTTGGCTGGACAATGGCCGGGCCTCCCGGTAGCATAAAGGCACCGAACGATGACTACGCCATTGTGGGCAAGACAGCAGCCGATCTAGCCAAGAACCTCACGCGGGACTGGGATGCACGCTTCAAGCCTCTATTTGACCAGATGAACGAGTCCGAGGCCGCGTTTTGGAAGATCACTTGCTCGACGCCCACAGGTGTACCTGAATGGCCCAACGAGCCTCGTGTCACGGTCATTGGCGATGCGGCACACTCCATGACCCCGGCTGGCGGCATAGGAGCCAACACAGCTGTACAAGACTCGGCTCTCCTCGGACGGCTTCTGCGCGAGGCAGGTGGCTACGCAGAGGGCGTCACGGCGGCTTATGAAAAGGGGATGAGAGTCTACGCCAGTGCGGCTGTAGCCAAGAGTTATGGCCTAGCGACAACGCATTTCAAGGTTCATATTGATGAAAACAGTGCAACTGTGTAAACCATACATAGAGGATTGACGGAAAGCGAGCTTGCAAATAGAATTTAACCCGTAATACACAATCATTGATACATCAATTGGGGTAGAGCTACAAATTTGGTACTCGATCTTTCTCAACGCCTTGTGATCAATCAGCTACGTGAATATCCAACTTGGTTGCAGAATGATCATCGCCTGTAACATAAGGACTTTTTTTTTTTCCCCTGATAAATAGTTCCATATTTAAACACGGCTGTATTGCACTTCATGGCTAGTAGTAATGTAGTAAGCCGCATTCACGTCCATTCGAGCCAGAAGGTGGCTTTTGGGTTTTGAGACGAAACCCGCCCAAATGTCAAAATGACGAATGCGGTTCAAGCCATCAACGCTTCACTCTCGTCATGACCTTATATGTGTGCTGAGTATCATCCACCAGATGAGCCATGGTCAAAGACTGTGCAATAATCATGTTGGTGTCATCTCGTTCAAATCGCTATGCGGCATATTATGCCATGGGACGAGCCGAGTCAGGCACGAGCCGGATCAACTTTGCACATAATATCTTGGACTTGTATTCATTGTATTTGCAAGAGGCACAACCAATTATGTAACCGCGCCATGCTCCTCCATTATCGAAGTTGTGCGTCTCACCAGAGTCATACGGATGCTGCGGCACAGCTGTGCCAAGAATGGTGGAGAAAACACGAAGAGAATCTCGCCAAAGTGCATTGAAAGCCTTACCAGGCAACATTCGGCAACCCCAGGATGTCAGATCGATCGACGGGGAACAAAAAGCCCCTACAGGGCCAAGGAATTTATTACCGTCTGACAATAGCTCTTATTCTATTGCTCTTGGCGCAGTCATGCCAATGATCTTTAAGCGCCCACTGTGTCGCTGAGCCGCATCCATCGGCCAGACATAGCCCCATGTGCATCAGATCATGCTACAAGACGAAGGAATGCGCCGTCTCTCGTGGCCAGCGAATATAACCTGACTCTGACAGGAGCATGTTTCCACTTTATAAAGTAAACGTCACTCTCGTAATGAAGAGCTAGAAAAGCTTGGAAAATATAACAACGCTGCTACACGCCATCCAGAATCCATTTCTTGGCTGACATCCTAAAACTAAAAGTCCTTGAGCCGGGAACCTCGCAAAGTCATATAATACAAGTAAGCTCTTTTAACACCAATGCATATTCCCAAATTCATACAATTTCGAGGTGCACTTCTGCTAACACCTCTCAGTGAGTCAAACACATGTAGACTGTGTGTTGCCAAGCACCACCTTGGCAGCTTGCCCGGGGTTCAGAGTAACATCGAACGAGCATGAGCTCCCCACGCTCACCAGCACGACTGTCGCGGAGACCGGCACCTTATTCACCACGTCAGAGGCTCATCAGCACGGCACCGGGCGGTCTAACGACACAACATCCTCTACGAGCAGTATTGTGGTGCTGACCGTCACCAACTCCAACGGAGACGTAATTACGAGCACTGCATCGCTTTCGGACGCGACAAAGACGACCGTTTCATCACCTGTGACTCCGTCGACTACGACGCCGAGCGCAGCAAGCGCAGTCGGTGGGCGGATCATGGGACTCGGACTTTTACTTGCTGTGGCAACAAGCGTGCTGTTGTCGTTCTGAGATATCACAATTCTTTCTACTATGCTTTTCAAGCCTTGCATATTTAGACAACATATCCGACAGCCAATTCCGAAAAGTCTCAATCGCTTATGAGCCGTTCTTCTCGAGAGCCTCCCGGCGCGAAACCGAGTTAGGATCAAAGTACGGCTTCTCTCCAAGCGACACAACTCGATTTCCCCGGCGCTTCCCGCTATAATCACTAGACAGAGATGTTAGCCCATGGCGAGTTTGCGCTCACGAAGCCAACTTACTTTGTGGCTGTGTGGAAAACGGATCGACTGCATACATGTTAGAAGGAATAGAATTTGAAAGGCGCTGGATTGATGCTTACTTATCCCATATGGCGAGGTCATTCTTGTTCCAGCGGAAGCGAACCTGGAGATCATGGTTTTCAAAGATTATCTGATTGACTAAGACGCATATTGTAGTTAGCATTACCGTGTACGAATAAACATGCACAAAACGAAATTATGCCGACTCACAGTAATCCTTCAAGATTTCACTCTCTCGCTCCGTCACGCCGTTGTACCAACCGGCATGTACCTGGTGACCCGCGCCAAAGAGACTCTTCCAGCCAGTGACTGGATTAGTCCGAATGACGGGGCTTGTATTGTTCAGCTCGGGCCGCCTTGATTGTACACTCCTCAAAGTGGTAGACTTACTGCTCCGCTTGAAAGTCGAGCCCGGTATTCTCAGGTGCCCCACGGAACTCGTCAATCAGATCTTCACCAAACTTTTCCTTGACCTCATTGAAAGCTGGCTGGTAATGGGTTGCCGTTATGCTTTCCGCGAGCCTCTGGAACGCCGGGGACAGCCGATCGTAGGCCTCGTAGCCCGAAGCCCACAGCGTGTCACCGCCTGCATCCTCGGGCGTCTGCACAATCTTGAGGATGGCATAATCAGAAGGTATACGTTCAAACGTGATGCTATTCGTCATATCAGAAATTTTGTTCTCTTTGATTGTAGGTCCCTGGCCATTTAAAAACTTACTCGGCATGCCAGCCCAGACTTCCCAACTTTTTGGACTTTGCCGTGTATCGGTCGTTGTAGAATTTGCGATTCTGCTCGGACGAAATTACTGATACCTCATCGTCGAGTTTCCCGTTTTCGTCAACAGCGATGCCTCGCTTGCTGTTGGACAGCGCATGTCTGTGGAGGCCGGATGTGAGCGGCTTCCCGGTCAACTCGCCAAGTTTCTGACCAAGGATCTTTTGATCATCGATGCCGATCTGCTGGTCACGAAAGAATACAACGCCACGTTGAGACACTGTATGCAGGTCAGAAACACTTTCACAAGTGGGACGGGTAGAATTTACCTAGAATTGCCAAATCGCGGATTTTGTTGTCATCACCCAGGATATCAATGAGTTGCAGGCCTGGAAACTCTCTGCCAATGACCGATGTGACATCAAAGTGTTCATAAGAGTCGAGACTCCCGGAATATGTCAGTGGCCCAGCCAAGCGCGAAGAGTTGGAGGTCTTCTTGAGCAAAATGGCAGGGGAAGATTCAGAATGCAAATCAACTTCTGCAGATGGAGGAGCCATGCTGAATTCTTCCTTTTGTCGTGTGTACAGGAGTTCTTTCTGTGATGCTCGATGAAAGATGCAAGATTTGCTTAGACTCTGGACAATCAAAGACCAACATCTATTATATGCATCATTTCATATTCTGATGGTAGCTTGGCGCATCTTCCAAAAGAATGAATAATATCGTGATTAGGCAAAATTCCCCTCATCTTGCGTCAGATTAAGGACCATCATTCATAGGACAAACACCGGTATAGGCCAAGATGTATTATACATCAAAAGCACACTGGCAACCTCCATTGAAAAGCACCTGGCCGTTTGAAAGTATAATTGGACAAACCCATATCTATCACAGACTATCTGATAGCACGCCATGGGCCAATGCCCAATCACAGCTGACCTGACCCAAAACGTCATGAGCTCCGATCATGGTATCATAGCATCCGGCATTCATTTTCATTATAATACCAATCATGGTACAGTGAATATTACTAGTCGCACACTATGGGCTCTTCGATGGCCTAGGATCTAATGCTCTGCAGGGGCAGCCACCCTTCTCAAGGCTTGGATATCTCTCCTCCCAGGAGTTCCTCAGCAATTGCGCGCCCAGCTGCCCGGCCGGAGAAGATGCAGCCGCCCAAAAACGTGCCTTCAAGAGAGCTGTAGCCATGAACGCCACCGCCGCCAAAGCCCGCAGCTTCACCGGCGGCAAAAAGTCCCGGAAATGGTTCGCCTGTCGACTTCATGACATTGCTCTTCAGGTTTGTCTCCAAGCCACCCAAGGATTTGCGAGTCAGGATGTTCATGCGCACCGCGATCAAGGGTCCATGCTTTGGATCGAGGATGCGATGAGGTGGTGCAACACGACCTCGAGCATCTGGCCAGTAGTTTCGCGCATTGTGGATGAGCATGGCTTGCGCATCCTTAGAGTAGCTATTGTCCATCTGGCTGTCGCGCGCGTCGACAACCTCCTTTATCTGCTCATAGTCGAGCACAGGGCCGTCAGACTTCTGAGCTAGCGCATTCATGCCTTCGACCAAATCTTTGAGGTTGTCTCGAACCACAAAGTCTTCGCCATGTTTCTGGAAATTCTGGACCGGAACTGTGCCTTTGCTTCCGAAAATGCGTCCGGTGATGAATTGCCAGATGCTCTTGTTGGTGAGATCCGGGTTCTGCTCCGATCCTGACAATGCAAACTCGCGCGCAATAATGGTCTGATCCAGAATGAACCAGGTATAGTCATAACCTGTCTTGCCAATGTATTGAAGAGTGGCGAGGGTGTCGGTGCCTGGAAAGAGGAATGGAGGAAGACGCTTGCCTGTGGCGTCCAGCCACAGCGACGATGGCGCTGGCAGTACTCGAATGCCGTGAAGTGGCCATATTGGGTCCCAGTTGCTGAGACCTTCAGTATAATGCCACATGCGGTCTCGGTTGATCACATGGGCACCAGCCTTTTCTGTAATGCCTATCATCCGGCCATCCACGTGAGCCGGCACGCCAATGACAAACTTCTTTGGAGGTGCGCCCAAACGTTCGACGGGCCATGCTGCTTTCACAGCTTCAATGTTGCCGCCAATTCCACCAGAAGAGATGACCACGGCAGATCCCTCAAAATGGAAGTCGCCCACTTCAGTGCGCGATGTCTTGACGCCTCTCTCGGATTCGTCGGGTTCCAGGATTCGGCCCTTGACGCCAACTGCCCGGCCGGTGCTGTCGACTATGAGTTCGTCAACCCTATGGCGGTATTTGAAATCGACGATTCCCTTTTTCGCAGCCTCGAGGACAGGCTCGCGGAAAACCCTCACAACCTCTGGTCCAGTGCCCCAGGTTAGGTGGAAGCGAGGTACGCTATTTCCGTGGCCGTCTGCCAGACCATTGCTTTTGAGACATCAGCAATCTGCTTGAGCGGGAAGAAGAAGAAAATGAACAAGAAAAAGAAAAAAAATATAAACAGACATTACCGGACCGTGTAGACAAACAAAAAATTGAATGTTACAATCAAAATGACTTACCCTCGCTCCGCCCATCCCACATTAAGTAAGAACCCCATACCCCGAGCCTTGACATAGTCCTCCATCTCGTCGGTAGCAAAGTTGACGAAGGCCTCGGCCCACTTGCGGGGCCAGTAGTCCTCCGTCTCCCGGTCGAACCGCGCAGTGCCGAACCAGTCGCGCATCGCCAGCTCCCTCGAGTCCTTGATGCCCATGCGTCGCTGATGGCTGGAATCAACCATGAAGATGCCGCCGAGCGACCAAAATGCCTGGCCGCCCAGACTCTTTTCATTTTCCTGGTCGACGATAAGCGTGGGCACGTTGCGCTGCGACAGCTCAAAGGCAGCGACTAGACCCGCTAGCCCGCCGCCTACAATGATGACCGGCTTCTGCTGCTGCATTTGTTCACTATTAGACGCCATTTTCTTCTTTTTTTATGAAGATACTTGAGCACTGGAAAGTCAAAAAGGACGAGAATCACATTTTGTTACAGCCATAGGATGATTTAATGGCGCCACCAATCTCCTGATTACTACCTCCCATCCAGGTACCGCGGCAAGTCACATGCTCATGTCAGGGTCAGGGAAACTTAGCGCCAAAAGCATTCGACTAGTTACTGCATCTCAGCCAAACTGCCAACCACCAAATTTCATTGTCAGACTTGACGAATTTTGGTGTGAATATTGTCGTGCAAGAAAAGCCGATATATGCATTGATACTTGGTATACTTTGAAAGGTCCTATGATCGAAGGTTGTTAATAAAAGAGTCACAAGCCATCAATGAAGGTCACCTACAAGCTTTCTGCTCAATCATCCTGCTATCTTGAGTCTTCGTTGGCAGGATCACTGAGCTTCATACACACTCCAAGCTTTCTGCAGTACCTTAGCGTTGGAATAGTCACATTTTCATCTACCATTTCTATAAGTCGGTGAAGAAAAGTGGTTACGCATGGCGTGGAAAGCAAACGTCAAGGTTGATTGTTGATGTAAATAGCAAACAACCGGGGAGAGACTGGGCGGCGCCCGTCCACTGTAATTGCCATCTTGTGCAGAATACAGACAATCATGTAATATCTAGTACCTGTGTTTAAGTGGCTGTAGCGAGAAATGTAAAAGGGGCAGAAATAGTCTCTCACAAAGAAAATACATGACTTGCTCCATGAGCATTGAATTTATATTCTTCTGTCGTCTTATAAACATTATTCTCTACAGCAGTGTCCGAATTATGCTGCCTCGTTTCTGACCGCCAGTGGGGGACTAGGCGAGCTCAACAGGCGAAACGTCATGAGACACGCTGGCAACGCTAGCGGCGCCGCAGCCCACACAATCTTTTTAGTGCCCTGAAGCAGCTTTTGGGACACCAGATATAGCGCCCAGTTAGGTGACTCTAGACGGCGAGTTTCGCCCACGCGGCCCCTCAGACCAAAATCCCTCGAAAGAGCGCCATGGGTAGCCGTTGACCTGAGACGGAAAAATCGACGCGCTCAGATGTGAGTAGAATTAATGCCTCCGTCCATGAGTTGCATGCCGATTGGCACACTCTGCTCAATGGAATTGTACTGACTGACTTTTTGAAAGTCTTGGCCATCACCATGCCTACTGTTGAGAGTTCTTCGATTCCGCCAATTGAGATCGGCTCATTTGATGCCTTCAACCCACAAAAGAGTGAATTCATCGGCAGCTCCAGCGGCGTCTTCTTTGTGAATACTGTCTTTCATACATTCGCGAGGCACCGGCGAGCTGCGCCTCAAGGGGGCATTGAGGCGCCAGAGCCAGCCGGGACACCGTCCGTCCACGAGTACGTTGGCACAGCAGAGCCCGAACAGCCAACAGCCACGCCAAGACCTCCTATCAACGATCTCAGCGGGCAGGCACATTCAAATGCCTATGGCATTGACCTACCAGGACTTGGCGAGCCTCCATGTGAAAAGGTGGCAAAGAATCTTATGAAGCACTATTTTCAATACTGGCATCCGTTTTACCCTTTTCTTCATGGTCCCACCTTCTTCGACAGTCTCGAGTCTATTTATCATAGCGAAAGCTCGAACCCGGAAGATCATTCTCAAGCCTACCATGACAAGCTGTGTCGAGCTGTCACCTACCAATGCATCTTTAATATAGCTGCATCGGCGCATCCTCACAAATTGCCAGAGGCTTCTCAAATTCGATCTCCGTCGGTTCTGACAGACATTGTGGGAACATTATCGGCTCGCCATGACGTTGCTTCCTTTCAAGCCTTGATCGCTGTAGAGCTCTACCTTATCTCGATCATGTCATTGAGGCCGGCGTCTACAGTCCATGGCCTCCTGGTTCGTCTCGTTTACCATAGCGGCCTTCATCGTTGCCCATTTCGATATATCCAGTTGACACGCGAGATGTGCGAAATGCGCAAACGAATCCTGTGGTCGGTATATACCATGGACAGGTATCTATCCCAGTCACTCGGTTATCCTCTCGGACTTCAAGACTCGGACATTGATGTGTGTATACCTGGTGCCGAAGAGCTACACAAACCCGTTACGTTGAGACTTGGTTCTGGAAACCCTGCACATTCTTCTGTCGAAGATACCCGGAGTCACTTGCCTCGCAGTCGCTCCACGCCTAGGAGCACTGAAGACAATCAATTGGTTCCACAAACACTGCAACAAATGCCCAGTACAATCAGCACTGGCTCAATCGGCCATGGCGGCAATGACCCTCCTGCATCCCAAACACCGGCATTCCGCGTTCAAGGACATTTTGTTACATATTCTCAGCTTGTAGCTGAAGCTCTGGAACTTTTCCATAAATCCCTACATACGCGCTCTGCCACCTTGGAAAAAATTACAGACTTGACATGCAGGATTCAATCATGGTGGAACGGACTTCCAGTTGAGTTTCAGGATGACGATATTCTTGATGGGAAAGAAAACGGATCACATGGGCCTTTTGTTGCCTTTTTCACAATTTCTTATCACCATTTACTAATTCTCATCAATCGTCCATTTCTCTCACTGAAGCAGGACACCATGGACTTTCGCTCGAGCCTGCAAAGAGCCATTGGGGCAAGTCGTGGAGTGGTTTCAAAGCTCAGGCTCATCTCTCAGGATCCATTCTTAACCAGCTGTCCAGCCATACTCTCTGCAACCTGGATGGCAGGACTGGTCCTCGCTTTCGCTACAATGCTAGATATGTACCCTCTTTCAAAAGCAGACATGTAAGCGCATTCAACATGCTTCTGATATTGTACAGACGAGAATGCTAATCTGATGTGATCGCCAAAAGTGAAATCAATAAATGCCTTGTGGCACTCCGGTCCATGAGCCCCCGTTGGACCAATGCTAGAAGTTGCCAGCATGCTCTCAAGGCACTTCTAAGCCGCTTGCATACACCATCCATCACTAGCCAGACCACCACAACTGAGCAAGCCGAAAACGGTGATGACCGACAAAGTCTCAATACCGATGCGGCAGCCGCTGGCGAGACCGAGGAACCTCGCGCAACGAAGAGAAAGAGGATAGAAGATGCCTCCAAGTCAGCCACGAGCACGCGAGTACCTGCAGAGAATCTGAATCAACCTCTGTCAGAAGATATTCCCGCATGGCCCACATGGACGCCCGTTCTTCAATACAATGGCCCAGATTTTGGGTTTGATGCCTTACACCTCGGGTTTCAGCAGGGCGATGGTGAAGGATTGGGAGAATTTGATTTCAGTAATGCGCCACTGCTTACCGATATGACAGTAAGTATTGTATCTTCTTTAGACAAGATAGAAAACGCGCATTAGAGGCTGTGGTGTTATTATTGCCCCAGGTCAGAAATCGCACTATATACTGGCACGGCGACTTGACTCAAGGAACGATTGCTGACCCATGTTTTAGTGGAATAGCTACAATTACGACTTCAGCGGCATTTGACATATGTCGCTATCGCGCTCATCATATTTGCTTCGTCATGTTACCAAAGATATTGCTGGCGAAAATCTTGTGAGACGGCGTTGATCTGCTCGTCATTGTTGGCAGAATGTTGGCCATCATCTGGCTCTTGTTGACGTTGCTGAATATGGCCAGAATATGTCACAAAGTTTGGACCCAATGCAGGTGCCGAAGATCCTGGTATACTGGAAGTCGTTGTTTGTTGGGTGTTTGGGTACCTGTTTGCCGACATTAGACCTGTGTCATCACCTGCGGCAACTTGCGGCAGATACTCTGGATATCCATCCGCTTGAGCAATAGGAACAGATGCGGTGTCCTCGTCTGTTCCATCGATATCATCTGGAGAAGTATGTCCACGTGCATCATGAACAGCGTTTGACCACGCCAAGATATCATCGGAATTTTCCAAGGCGAATTCCTCCCAATGTGCCATCAGTGCAGACTTGTCCTCGGAAGATCGAATATGGGGGGTCTCCTTGACAGCCGTGGTCGTGACCAAAGCATCCCTTACTGGGCCTTGCCCATCGTTGGAGGCGAAAGCAGTATGAAGGATAGTTGGATCAACCACAGACAGAATTCGCAGCAGAGCATTCTCGGTAACCTCCAATCTATGCTCGAGAGCTTCTGTATATCCCTTGATCGGTCCACTGGAGATTTACAATCAGCATTCGGTTCTGATATGGATTTTCTTAGGATATCATACCGCTTTTGTGCAACAGGCCACACACATGATCTTCCCAGCCTCCGGCACCTGGAACAAACTGGTCTTCAGAACAATCAGCCGAGGTCGTCATGGCAGTCGGAGATGGGTGCCTACTTTTCTTCATCACACTACCCGACGCAATCATCTCAGCGAACAGTTCAAATGTCACGTAACTTCAGACGACTCACCTTTTGCTTTCTATGGCGGCAGCCGTTACACGCTGCTCGACTTCGAACCGGCGGCATCGTGCTACGTCGACGCCAGCAGATTGCCCTCTGGGGGCGGTGCCTGATACAGTCTGTGTGCGCCCACGATTCAAGCCATGTACTAGACAGTCAAGTGTGAAGCGAACCACGAACACCACAAATGTCACGTGGAACAGATACGACACAGAGTCTCCCACCCACTGCAACAGCAAGTTTGCTGTCCTATTCGTCTGGCGGCTTGAGATTTACCGCGGCCTGAACGTCATAAAAAAGGGCTAATAAGATCTAATTGGAGCGTCTAAACTATCAACCGATGCGGGTCAAGCCGAGGTCCCACTCACCAAATCATCCATAGGGCGTAATAGACCTCAAGGGCGTGTATTGTCTGGTGTACTACTGAATGACGATTTATACCTAAGTTGCCCAGAATCTAATTTCCTCGACCTTTCATATTTCGACATCTTGAGACATCTATAATCACATATCAAAAACACAATGTTTGACGGTTTCAAATCATTCAAGCTGACAACGCAGAGCGCCCCGCAGGTCGACATCTACGGCCTAAGGAGCGGGGACTCTTCCTCGGAGAAGCCGGCTTTGCTCTTGTTGCATGGATTTCCGCAAACACATCACATTTGGCATCGAGTTGCACCAAAGTTGTCTGAAAAGTTTACACTGGTGGTGCCCGATATCCGTGGCTATGGCGAATCCTCAAAGCCGGAAGGTGTAGAGCAGTATGCCAAGAGCCTGATGGCGCGGGATTGTATCTCTGTCATGGACCAGCTGGGATTCAAGTCCAAATTCTATGTCGTTGCACACGACCGCGGCGCCCGTGTCGCCCACAAGTTGCTGGTTGATTTCCCCGACCGAGTGCACAAGGCCATCTTGCTAGACATTTGCCCTACCTTGGCCATGTACGAGGCAACAAACTTTGACTTTGCCAAGGCTTACTTCCACTGGTTCTTTCTGATTCAAAAGGCCCCTCTACCCGAGACCATGATCCTCTCGGACCCCCAGCAGATTGCAGAGATGTTCATGGGCGGACGCCAGGCGGGCGGGCTGGAGATCTTTGAAAAGGAGCCATTCGACGCCTACGTCAAGGGCCTTGCGGACCCCGCAGGCGTGCACGCCATGTGCAACGACTATCGAGCCGCTGCGACATTGGACCTGGAAGAATCGCGCAAGGATCTCGACGAGGGCAAACTAATCCAGGTCCCGCTGAGGGTGCTTTGGGGCAAGTCTGGTGTCATTGAAAAGTGCTTCAAGGCTGTTGAGGAATGGAAGAAGGTCTCGGCGGAGAATGTGCATGTAGACGGCTATGCGGTAGAGTCTGGGCATTATATCCCGGAGCATGTGCCGACCGATCTGCTGCAGAGCATTGAAGAGTTCTTTCCGTAGAAGTCATCCACCTTGATAAGTAACGTTGGAGTAATTATCCATGTATTGGCCCATCATCAAATGTTTGACTTTGATATCTCTTACTTTGGGATCGAACCATTGTGCGTGAATGTTGTTGAAGGTTATCAACACAACGACAGTGATCGCTGTAAATATTCCGTTCAAGTTTGTATCCTGTGTTAGCGTATTCATAGAGTGCCCCTGTGGTAACAGAGTATAACGAGTGCCAAGGGACACGAAATCTTTGCATGTTTGGAATCCTCACGAGCGAGTCTGCATCACTCTTGAGATTCTCTAGATGAAAACGAAAGTATGAGATCAGAAGTTCTCTACATTATTCATGAAATGATTGTACGGGAAGAAATCCAAAGCACCGTGAGTGCAGCGTCGGCTTTAGGTTCAGGCGATGCGATCCCCCGGACAGCTTTTCCGGGGCGGGGTCAGACTTCCTTTGGAAATTGTCGGCTATTCTTTCGACCGCTCCATGACTTATGTGGCGATGCTTATAGCAACGACAGTGAACTAGATTGTATAAAATCAAATATCAAAGTCTCAAATGAAAACAAGTGGCATACGTGATCACTAAGCAATCGTCAAAAATACGCATTCAATCACAAAGATGTCATCCAAAACCCTCAAAATCGCCGTCATCCCGGGTGACGGCATTGGCGTCGAAGTCATGCCCTATGGTGTGCAATGTCTAAAAGCCGCCGCCCAGGTCTTTGGCCTCTCGCTCGAGTTTGAGCACTTTGACTTTGCCAGCTGCGACTACTATGAGAAGCACGGCGACATGCTGCCGCCAGACTGGAAGGAAAAGCTCTCCAAATTCGACGCCATTTACTTTGGCGCCGTCGGCATGCCCAGCAAGGTGCCCGACCACGTCTCGCTCTGGGGCAGCCTACTCAAGTTCCGACGCGAGTTTGACCAGTACATCAACCTCCGGCCGTGCCGACTCATGCCGGGCGTGGCGTCGCCGCTGGCGGGGCGCAAGCCGGGCGACATTGACTTTTGGGTCGTGCGGGAGAACACCGAGGGCGAGTACAGCAGCATCGGTGGCAAGATCTTCGAGGGCACGGAGCGCGAGACCGTCATCCAGGAGACGGTCATGACCCGGGTGGGCGTGGACCGCGTCCTGCGGTACGCCTTTGACCTGGCGCAGAGCCGGCCGCGCAGGAAGCTCACGAGCGCCACCAAGAGCAACGGCATCAGCATCACCATGCCGTACTGGGACGAGCGGGTCGCCGAGATGGCCAAGTCGTATGGCGACGTGAGCGTGGAAAAGTATCACATTGATATTCTGACTGCGCACTTTGTCCAGCGGCCTCAGATCTTTGATGTCGTGGTCGGCAGCAACCTGTTTGGCGACATCATGTCCGATCTGGGTCCCGCCTGTACCGGCACCATCGGCATTGCGCCCTCTGGCAACCTGAACCCCGAGGGCAAATTCCCCAGTCTCTTTGAGCCGGTACACGGCAGCGCGCCAGACATTTACGGCAAGGGCATCGCGAACCCGGTGGGTATGATTTGGGCGGGACAAATGATGCTCGAGCACTTTGGATACAAGGAGGCCGCGGCAGCTATGCTTAAGTCGATTGAGAATGTGCTGGCAAGGTCGGATCAAGCCATCATCACGGGAGATATGGGCGGAAAGGGAACGACAAAGAGCTTGGGCGATGCTATTGAGGCTGAGATATTGAGTTTCAGCAAGAACTAATGTAGTAGACGATTGGAATGAAGACGAGTTACATACCATGTTGTCACAATGTACTTTTTCTTTTTTTAGAGCTATCAATACTGTCAGATCAAGAGTCAAGCTGAGATTGCCAATTACTCATGGATGTCCACTCTCCCCAGGTCGCAAGCCATAATCTTTCACTTGTGCCATTTGTTGATGCAAGAAGTAGTGATGCACACCTCATTGATTTGTCTCTTTTTATTCGGCGAGTAAAGTAACATATTATGTTCGCGAATTTATTGATACTCCCGGAGCCTAGAACGCAGATCAAGATCAACTTCCAACTATCCATGCAATCGCACATCGCCTGCTTCTACATCCAGTACCACTTTATGCCCTATTTGAGCACGTGGGGCAACGCGAGAGAGCATTTCTCAAGTCTCTGCTCGGTGCTGCTGTCAGCGACTGGACGATTTCAAGGCTTGATTTCAGTTTGTCAAAGCAAAACTCCCTTCTCATTCCCGACGTACCGAGACCGTTGGAAATCCAAACACACCCTGTACAGAAGTTGGTTTTTCTAGATGTAAGGGCAGATATATCGTCACTGCCAAGATGTGATTGAGGTATCAAGTTTCTTACATCAAGAGGCAATGCCGCCACATTAATGATCGACATACGATGCCAAGAAAAGCCTTGAGATGGGCATTCGGCAGTTGGGTCGGAAAATTTCCAGTTTGGGCTGTCGGATAGTCATGGAGCATCTTGGCATGGCATTTGAGCCAAGCTGACTCGCTGGAATTTCAATGCGGCGCAACCTCTGACGACGTCAGGTTTCGTTGTAATCATCTCCAATATATGATCACGCATTGCTCGCCACCTCTATTGCTCAGTTCTTGCCTGTACGTTTGACTTGAATCTGACATTCTACGCGCGATGCCACGATTGGTACCGTGTCTAGAAAGTACGTAAAAGATGGACATTGTTGGACTACCTGGTTTTATTGTTAGCAACAGGGTATGGCGCTGTCGTTCCCGTCCCTGCTCTCATGTTTGGAAAGAGAAACGAGACAACATGGCAGCTCATTGACCTAGCATCCAGTCATGGTGGAGTATTATAGAAATATTTTGGGTAATACTCCAGAGTATTTAAACACAGCGCCATGTCGCTTAGACGATCAATTCTAAATTTGTGGGCAACGGTCTATTGTACGCCTTTATCTTCAGTTCGCTCAATAAAGGTAATAATAATGTATATTCAGTGGGTCCCTCGTAGAATGGTTTAGCCGGCACGGAGGCGTGAGCATGCATGCGACCGCCGTGTCTGGGAAATGACTGTAAAAAGTGAGAGTCGTTCAATCAAGAATTACAAAGACATCACTCAGCTGCCTCTATCCTAGGCTATCGTTTCATAACTTTGGTAATTTGAGTTAGATTGAAGGCCGTCAGGCGGAGCACGATACGAGAAGAATACCCGTGGACCTTCGAGGCTCTTTCGATTTCTTAGCGTTGCGACGTTGCGAGCGTGGCCTATGCGCCCTGGGTAATATATTTGATACAAGACAAACCAGCTATTTTCCATGACTCCTTTTCCAGAGCGCGACGATGCGAATCTACACATCAAGGCCAAAGAAACAGAGCAATGAGATCAGAGTCGCCAAAAAGGAAAGAAAAGGTCGCCAAGCTAATTCCATCAGTCAATGTCCGACTTGTGCAAGTCAATGAAACATCTCGATTTGATGACTTTTTGCTGCATGGCCACGCGAAACAAACAACGGGGAATTGCTGTTGGTACTTGGCGCTGCAAGCCACCCGTAATCCATCTATGCGAAGCAACAGGGCAGGGATGGGATGGGATCCCCGACTCTCTGGGACCTGGGTACGCACTGCGCAGAACCACATCTACGGCTGTGGGTGGATGTGCACGTCAAGAGAGAATCTTCTATTCTTCTTTTGGTGATTGTAGAGAATTTATCCGCCAACAAAATCGCGTCCCCGACCGCTACTTGTGATCATATTCTGTCATGTACTGCACGGCTTGCGTGGCAGACAGCAGCCAAGTCTGGAGAAGACTCGTGGGTTAGGCCTGGCACTTCCCCGCAAAATGTGACCCCCCTTCGCTGTAGGGGCAGAATCACCCACTATAGCGCCCCTGGCAGCCAATCGAGCCATGTCACTATACACTAATTCGGTATTTCTGCCAAGCAATCTCCGTGTGCCACAACCATAGACCCCTGGCAGAGCTATCCAGAGTCGTTTGTCAACTCCACCAATTAACATCTTTCAGACGGAGCCGCATGGTCACTGATCATTTGGTCTTGGCAGGGTCTGCCTTTGGGAGAATGCATGTTGGAGGGATCGAATCCCATAAAAGGTTGCAATGTTTCTCTCTTTTGTTGTCTTGGCATCACTTGTCAAGTAGTAGTCTGGTGTCTGCCAAGCCAACCATTATCCTTCTCTTCACTCCCTGTACATATATACATTCATTCTCTTTTCTTATACCCATCACCATGAAGTCAGTCCTAGCTAGTCTGGGTCTCGTTGGCCTTGCCGTGGCAGAGAGCCGCACTTCTGCTCCCTCAGGCTGTGTCACTGTGTCCAGCAGCGGTGGTGACTACACTACCATCCAGGATGCCGTCGACTCCTTCTCGACCAGCTCGAGTGAGGCTCAGTGCATCTTTATCAATGCCGGCACATACAGCGAGCAGGTCCTTGTGAGCGCCCGTTCCGCGCAAATGACCATTTATGGATACACTAGCGACACCTCGAGCTACAGCGGCAACAAGGTCACCATCACCTCCAGCCTGAGTCAAGCTGATGGTCTGAGCAATGACGAGACAGCCACTCTCCGCGTCAAGGCCGACAACTTTAAGCTGTACAATGTCAATGTCAACAATGGCTACGGCTCCGGCAGCCAGGCCGTTGCTTTGAGCGCCTACGCCGCCAGCGGCTACTACGGTGTCCAACTCACTGGTTTCCAGGACACCCTTTTGGCTCAGACTGGTAATCAGATCTATGCCAACAGTCTGATCCAGGGTGGCACAGACTTCATCTTTGGTCAGAATGCTCCGGCCTGGTTTGAGAATGTTGACCTCCGTGTCTTGACTGCTTCCTCTGGCTACGTTACTGGTAAGTCTACATTTGAAAATCACCACATATGCACTTGAAACAAGAAGACTAATTCCGCGTTTAGCCAACGGACGCTCCTCGTCCTCTGGCACCTCTTACTACGTCTTTAACAACTGCGACATTGCCGCCGCCTCTGGCAACACCGTCAGCAGCGGCGCCTACTACCTGGGCCGGCCGTGGGGCGCCTACGCCCGCGTCACCTTCCAGAACACGGCCATGAGCAGCGTCATCAACTCGGCGGGCTGGGCCATCTGGAACACTGACGACGAGCGCACTAGCAATGTCGAGTTTGACGAGTACAACAACTCGGGCACCGGCTCAGAGGGAACTCGTGCTTCCTTTGCCACCAAGCTCAGCTCTGCCGTCTCCATCTCTACCGTCCTTGGTAGCAGCTACAGCAGTGCTGGCTACTACGATTCGTCGTACATGTAGATAGTTCCTCGATGGAGCTTCGGTCCTCGGGCGGACAGTAGGAATAAGCCGTTCTACGTTGGAATCTTATTCTTTTTTCTATTTTCGTGTACATATTTCAGACAATGCGTTTTCTCAGAATGCACAGAGTTGAACTCCATAATATCAATGCACCTTCGTCCATGAAGAGCTCGTTCTCCCAAATGTTATATGCACAGTCGTGTGGCTCAGAGCCGGGCCCACGTCATGGTCCATCCTCCAACGCCATTGATGTACAATTAAAACATATCGAGTGGCTCTCTTGAGATCTCCTCGAAATATTGCTCCAAGGGATGGCCCTCCAAGTTTTGGCACCAGTTCTTATGGTTAGATCTGAAAGTAGAACAGCGACACATATTATCATTGTGAGATCCCAGGAGGTCCAATCAGAAGCGCCAGACGACATGAAACTACTGAGAGTATTTGTGGCTCTGGAAGAAAGTAATTCTTCCCCAGCTTCCCGCAATCCACTGACGCTGCAAATGCCGCGCAGCGAAGTATCATTATTGTACCAAGTGTAGGAAGTAATAATCGCGCATTAGTTGGTGCTCTGTGAGAGCAGGAGACCGAAGAGAAAGGAAGAGATGGAATAGGCCCACCATGTCCTTGTTCTTTTAGCATGAACTCTTTTTGTAGTCGATTGGTCATTGCTGAATGAACAAGTTATCGAAGAGAGTGAGATTCTACTGTATGCCGTCAAGGACCACCTAATCTCTCGAGCAATCTGATCCCTTCTATCATTTCTGTCTCAACCTCCGAGTCAAGCGGTGCACTTTCCTCAGTCCGGCCATAGCTATTAGCGTCTTCTTTCCACAGAGCTCTGGATTGCTCGCTAGAGATCAGTCATCGTTTCTGGCTTAGACTGTCTGCGAGAGTTTGCGGTATGCTCTGCTTGCCAGGCAAAGTGCAGAGCGCCAAGCTAAATCGGCATTCAAACAAGATCCTACATAAGCGGTTGATGCTCCAAAAGGCCCAAGAATTTTTGCGGCTTCGTTCTCTGCGACGTTTCTCCCAGACGTCCTTGGTAGAAACCAATGGCCCTCTGCCCGAGGTCAAAAGCCTAATGTTTCCGGTTCAATGAGTCGAAAACAACGGAAGGTCATGCAATTACAATGACATTGCGCCGGAGATGTAACCAATCAAATCAACTCTTCTAGATCGGGTCTGTCTTGCACGTAGATAATGTTTTTCTTCTCCAGCATGGCGATGTGATGTCTGAAACCGGACGACTTAGGATGAAGAAATGGCAGACCTAATTCTGGCGAGACCACCTAACTAACCTAGTGGGGCGCGCGCGTAGAGCGCAGCGATAATAACGTGGCCGTAGAACAAGAAAATGCGCTGAGAATAACCATTAACCCATTTTGAAATGTATTCCTAAACAACATCCATTAAATGAACATTTCGTTCCATGTTCATAGAGCTGTAAAGTAACGAATTATACCAAGGAAGTACCATGACTTATATGTAATAAATTCTGTTTCGTGTCAAAGAACCGATAGGATATATCATCAGATCTAAGCTCACTTAGCTTTGGCTTCCATAAAGGGTATGACAGGTGGCCCCATTATTTACAGATCCCAAAAACAGCAGAATTACTATAAAACTAATAGACTGACAAAAGAAATTGCCCTGCATTCTCGGTTTTTGGAGTACTGCGCACCGTTTGCGCTTGACGTTAATGTCAGGTACCTGAGTAGATATTGAATTAAAAGGGGCTAATCTGCATATGCATCTATTCGCTACTCAGTGTCGCTGCGACACATGGAATTGTCGTAGAGAAAACGAGCTCAGCCCCACTTGCCAAAAAGAGCAAGGTCTGGGGTCGACTTGTAGGTGTCGGTGCGATTTGATGGCCCCCAACTTTGTAATGTAGTTCTCGAGCCAACTCAACAAACAATATTTATTTAGTTCTATGGACTCTCTAATTGCTCTTTTTCGGCGTCTCGTAACCAGAAAGTATCATCATTCTCCGGATTATACTCATCAGTAGCTTCTGCTACCTGTTCGTGATGAATACAGTTGATCAGGCAGCAGAACAGTACCAGCGCGAGCTGGGCGAAGAACCCGCCGGTGTGCCCGAAAATGATTTTTGGGGCCCAACTGAGGACTCCTGTCATGATATCATTCCTTTTGGTGAAGGTCATGATATTTTCATCCATACGATGGAGCCACCAGCCCTTCAGCGGCAAATAGTCGCAAGTGACGCTCGAGGCGCACATGGTCAGATTCCAAACAGTACAGCATCGGTGAGAATGCCATTTGGATCCCAACTTTGTTCATCAAATGGCTGACCTTGGGAATCATTCCAGTTCCTTACAGACCAACGAGAAGATCTCATCCCCAACCCGTATGAGTCTCCAAGGTTCAACTGGCCACACCACACGACGGAAGACGTGGCGATGTGGAAAGGTTTCGTGCCAGACTCATCCAGTGCACAACTAAACGCACCGGACGGTTCTGGGCATTGCGCGTCAGCTACTGAGCGGGTTCTTGATGCATTCGAAAGAAATCATGCAGGCTTACGCCACAACCATGACAATACCGTTTCCGCAACTACTGATTTCCCCAGTGCTCCGGAACCCATGCTTGATATTGAGGCATTACCCAATGATTTTTTCAATATTCCGGGACTCATGCCTGGCTCTGACGAGTTGAGTGATCTCAGTCATGACTCAAGTCTAGGGGCAATGGTGAATAAAAGGGATCATACATTTCCCAAGTCTCAATGGAGAAGCTTGAAACGTGATAAGGTAAAGCAAACAAACAGGCATCATTAGCAATCTGCTAATACGGCCTTCCGTAGTATGGTTGTATACCATGCCGATTTTCTCGCATTCCGGTAAATTCTTTCTTCTTCTTTTTTTTCTTTTCTTTTTTTTTTGGTGCGTCAGCGTCGGTCTTTATCTTGCTTATTTAGTGTTCTTTAGTGTAAGGGCACGGAGGGCAGCAAGTGCTCGATGTGCATCAAACATCTCGAGAATCTAAGAATGTATTCCTTGAGATCGAACAGCCCTTCTATCAACCACATCGATATCGGCCCAATAAAGCTGGGAACTGTGGCATTCTACGAAATCAGTCAGTAATTGTTCATTTAAAACACAACGAATCTTTTGTGATGCTGATACTTGGCAGATGATATGCATTATTTACTTGTCAAGATACGAGAAGAGATTGACAGTCTTTACAGTCCCAGCCAGAATGAAACACTTGAGGCTTCGTTCAAAGGCGACTTGATATGCCATATTTCTGATGGAGGGGTAAACCCTCACTCCATCACCGATCCTGCTGTCCCTATACCCATCCTGGAGCTATCTACGACGAGTGCAGCTAGGCGTAAGACGAGAGGACAGAGCGTTGCCCCAGCACTCAATGCACGACAGCTTGATAGGTTCATTGATACTAAAGCACCGCCAGGGATTTTCTCCAAGCTTGAAACATCTGACGTTGGTTTCACTATACCTACCCAACCTTCTTCCCCTGCCAGGGCTGATGTTCTACAGACTAAAATTCTCAACTGCGCCTTGCGATCCGCCTACTATTTTGGCATCCTCTTCAATTGGACGAGTAATATCATACTCTACGATCCCAGGGAAATGAATAAAGTCGCTCGAGGATCTTGTGGCAACGGACTTCAGCTGGCCAAGAATCTCGTACTAGAGACTCTCTACTCCATTGTGCATAGAATCGACTGTCTCGTCCATCAATTGTTCGAATGGGTTGGCGACTCTTTCAAGCAACACCGCAACTCGCCCTCGGACCCTGCGACAATTTCTTGTGCATTGTGGATTTTGTACAGCTCAGTGAACAAGTTTCAGAAGTTGGATTGGAACAGCATTCACGTCAACGAGCTTGTAGGTTCCCTAACCACTCCTTACCCATGGCAGCGTCCCAGACACAACTAAGACCCGGACAGAGAAAGTTCTTGGACGGACTGAGAGACAGATCGAAAGCAGCTTTGGTTTCAGTTCAACGCTACAACTGGATGGTTAGCTACAAATGCTGCGGCCAACGAAGCGACTACCTCACGGAGTTTGTCGATCTTGTGGAGAAGGCGAAGACTCCAAGTTTCGTTGTGAGCTTTGCATACGAATACCAATACGAAAATCCATTTTTCTTGAGTCTTCATGGCGTTGGGTATGTGACAAACAATGGTTCTTAACCAAAAGAGAAGAAAAAAAAAAGACTAATAATCCAATGCTAGGACTGGCCAATTGGCTCGACTATCATATGTTGATGTTCTCAAAAAACGAGGAGAGGAGGAAGACCCGATCGATGAGTTTTATCGGCTGTCGTCTCGGTCTCCGGCGTACAAACCGGGGTCGAAACAAGACGGTGCAAGATACCCCCGCTTTACTCAAGAGCAGGGACGCTTCGATCAAGCAAGTCATGAAGGAACCCATTCTAGTCTTACGCGGAGAGATCATCGATTCCGCTGCGAAGACAAATCAAAAGCAAGAAGCGTGACACGTGAGGATATCGACAAGTTCGCAAACTTGTCTACAACTCACACCAAGGCAAATGATCTGGCAATTTTGTCTGATGATTGGGAATCAAATTGTACCCGAAAGCGCCAAGCATCCAGTTCAGTTCAGAGCATTACGAGTACTGGTTCAGGAGAGGAGGGCCTCAAATCAAAGGATGTGATCGTTGCTTCCCGACAAAAGCGAATCAGAATGTCTAGAGAAACACCGAGGCCTACCCCTTTCTTGGGATCCTATAAGAGACTTGGAGACATGTTGCAATCTGTGTTTGGGAAGATAACTGGAAATTGAGATGATGATGCTGCACATTGAGGAAGTTATTTTGTAGCTGTCGATACTATTACATTGCATTTCCATGGTTCCAAGACGATGGCTAGCCCTGTTGAATCGCCACTGTATTTCTCATGGAGGGCTCCTCGTATTGAGTTGTGTTTGCGAAAGCATAAACCAAGTTTGGTCCGTTGGAAGTATCATATAGCAACCCGTCGATCCGGCATGGGTAGTTCCGAAGCTGCTTCTAATAATATCGAAATTAATCATACGGGACTATCCTTGCACTAAATAGATCAGTTACCCCCTCGTCCTTTGAGTGTCTCTGCTCTTTTGCGCCCAAACGGAACTCGGTATGACCACAATGGCCACATACACTACCACGATACTTACTAGGTAGGCATCGGGGCACAGCGATCAGAGAGAATACCGTGAAACTACATAACACCTTTCGGAATAATACATTCCCTTTCAATATATGCAAATATATTCCTGACTTCACCCTTATCCTTGAACAACATGCGCAACACTAATATGAATCAAGGATTTAAGGTAAAAATGACTTTTATTGACAGATACACTAAATCGCATAGGACTTATTATTGTCTTCTTTTTCTTTTCAAACTGATTTCAATATCCGCTTATTCGGAGAATCTTCTGACAGACGTCAGGCTCTTCTCGTCCGGCATATCTTCGAATCGATAGTAAAGATATTGTTGTTACAAAACGGTCTGACCTAGGTTGGACGCCCGTGGTAGTTCTCGTCTACTGAGATCAAATCATTATAGCTCTGCAGTTCCGACATTGGTTCTGGCCGGGAACGATACACATTCTGGACAAAGGACCTCAGCCCCGTGATAGTCCCCCTCGGAACAGTTGGTAATGGTTGTTGGTAGGGGGAATCGTTGCTCACAGACCTGCCAAATTGTCCCGAGACCTCCTTGGTGGACTGTCCTCTTCGGCCGCTCGAAGCGAGGCGGACGAGTGAAGCCCAGGAGGAGCGGAAATCGGTAGCCAGACGGTGTACAACGACGTAACAGACGGGCATGCAACAGCAGCAGATTCCAATATTAATCTCTGCGGCACTGCGATTGCGAGCTTGGTCATTAGACATACTATCGGTAAAGGTGGTTTAGAGGTAAGGGAAATACTCACGTTAGTGAAAGTGCTATGGTGATGATCCAGTTAAAGTCGTCGCTATGGAGCAGCTGGAAGCGGTAGACGGTCGAGGCAATGGAAAAGACACATGCGCTGAAGATCGCAGATGTCAGTAAGTTTTGACTAGGCTCTTCTATACGGACAGGCTGACACATACATCAGGCCAGTAAGAAATATGGCCGACACACCAATCTTGCGCTGTGTGGGTAGCTTGATGGTCAAGATAAGCCCGATGGGGATGGCCAAGACGTAAAAGTCAGTGATAACACTGACGAGGCTCATGGCGGCCGAGAGAACAATCTGGGGATAAGCACAGCCGCTGCTCGTCTGGATCTGTTGGAATCTGCCCAAGTATTCAAGCAAACTGAAGTTTTCCGGGTCGATCGTGGGTATAACCCCATTGCGTAAAGCTGAGCCGCATTTGGCCGAGTCTATGATGATGATGAGAAGGTAGAAGAGGTTGATGCAGACCAGCGAGACCCATATCAGAATCCGTGCTGCTCTAGACGGCCCGAAGAGACGTAGATAGAGGACCAAGAAGGCTGATTTTAGGAACATGGCAGCGAGGGCGTAAAGACAGACGAATACAAACGCCTTCTGCATCTGATAGTTAGCAACAGCCAACGCGATTGAGACCTGGTCATGAGAGATGTCTTTCTTACGTTCAAAAAATGTTCGGTTTGTTTGATCAACGGCACGTCCCACTGGTGTGGGCCGAGAGGGCTTCCAAGAGCTGGAATAATTAATACAGGGCATCGCCATGAGACTCCTGATTGCCCGGTTGCACCCACCTGATAGGACGACACCACAATATGCAGTATTGGTGGCCTAATACATGCAGTTAGTAAAGCTTGCTTTTACCCCACGGATAGAGTTTCGTACCGCAGACATGAGACAGAGCACTGATTAGGATCGGGTCAGCAAGTGGGCTCTTTGCAGTTCTGCAACAATGAACAGCGTGGGGCGTCTCACAGTCATCTGCACCGAACGCCGACGTCGCTACAATACGCGTATATAAGCGTAGACATAGCAAAATGTACATCAGTCCAAGAGACAGGCCGATGATGACTCTGGCAGCCGGACCTGTCGTGGCTGGGTCGATAAAGTTGGGAGTGACTCCATCGGGAGGAAATGCACTTGGTACTTGTGCCAGCTGTTCTTCAGGGCTGAGACCGGTCCCGGACCAGCTAAATGGACTTGTTGCCATGGCGGATTGTGAGTGATTTGTTTACGAGAAATATTGGTGGAAAGGGCAAAAGTGCTGTGTGGAAGCTACATGACAAAGTCCAAAGGTTGAGACGAATTAACACCAAACCACAAAAATTAAAGAGCCAGTCTTCCTGGGACCCTCTATCATATTATAGGCTGCACTTGCAACTAAGAATAGGCTTGATTCAGAAACAGTTGTCAAGTCGTGGAAGGGTGGCACGATCGGTCTAGCAGTTTGACGATAGCACTGGCTTACGAAGAGATGTTACACTGCGTTCATGTATGTCAGATTGTGCAAATGAACAAGTCGCGCACGCAGCCTATCACTTTCGGCAGCCCAACAAGGCTGGGCTATCTCGTCCCGCCATCCCGTGCATCCGAAACTGGGAAGCGCAGTACCAGTTTCTAAGAAAGCAACTGTCGCACTGATGCCTATAGTACCACATGGTTCTTTGGCATCTCTTTTGCGTAGCTTGATAGGATTAACTCAAACTTCCTTCGCTGCTCTTCATTTCTTCAATGTATTCACCATCGGCAGCTTGGAAATGCGACCCTTCATAATAGTGGCAGGCTGTGAAAACTGTGTATTGGGCTACTTAATCTACCGTGAGGGCTACATCTGTGTTCAGTGCACGAAGGGGGCATAATCGAATCATCTGCCGTTGAACAAAACATTTGCCGGAGATCCACGTTCTTACCTATACCCCAAGAGTGGAACAAGGTGGCTTGGGTGGGTGCGTGCAACCCACAATTTTATTACTGAATATAGTGGGAGCTTTCCTCAAGCTTGCTGTACCAAGCTACTACTGGCCAATCAAACAAATATTGAACACATTTAAGCTTCTGACGCTGTGAGAGCTCTAAAGACATCATCCTATGGACGGCAGAGACTATAAATATCTTTATGGCTGAGCTATGGATTGTAAAGATATTAATTGCTTTTTGTTGCTACATGCGCTGTGTGCAAAACTACATGTTGAACCAAAAGGCAGGTAGAAGCGTGGGACATCCGGCTGTGTCAAAGCATATGATACGCCATGAGATATGATACTATGATTTTCACTATTGCTATCTCAAAGCCTGCAACGTTTGTCATTCAAATTCTGTCCCGTACCACATGGTTTCGGGGGCTTCTGAGCTCGCAAACGTTCAGCATAGCCCGGTATCTTCAAGTACCTCCAAGGGGCGGAAGGGTTGCAACTCAGCAGCTGAAGATTGTGTAACCTCGCTTGGAGGGCGTTAGCCCCCGCCCGCCGACAAGCAAGGGAGAATGGGAGCCTGCGCACCGTTTAACTCATGTTCCCGCCCACTTCGCTTCTGAAATTATTTCGCCCTGTGAGAATCTCTTCCACCTGGATTTTCTCAAGTCCACCTGATATCACCATTGACCAATCAATCCGACTCACCACCACGTCGCCGACCGCCACCTCATCATGACATCCCTCCGACCTAAATATGAGTTTGGGGGCCCGTAAGTCAGCCCAGGAAAGCAAAAAATGTCTCTACTGGCCAATCCTAACATTCGTCTACAGGCTCGGCGCTGCCGCCATAGTTCTGGGACTTCCTGTGCTGCTCTTCGTCTTTCATCTCACGTGCAACGACGTGAGCGGTTGCCCCATCCCCAGTCTATTGAGCCCGACGACATTTACCTGGGAAGACTTCACGGCCCAAACGCCCTGGCCTCGGGATGGATTCCAATCACTGTTCTCTTGGGAGGCCACTGGATGGCTTCTGGCATACTACCTAGTCAGTATGACTTTACACCGAGTTCTCCCCGCCCAGGAAGTGTATGGCTCCAAATTGCGCGATTCCGGCCTGCCTCTCAAGTACCGCTTCAATGGTAGGTTTCCTTGTATCTTGTGGAAAGTTCACCGCTGACCAAGAAAACTCAGCATTCTCCGCCACTGTCATCCAATTATCCCTCTGTGCCATTGGTACCTACTTTCGTGGTGCAGACTTCATTGTATGGACATATGTTACGGATAACTACCTCCAACTCCTCACATCCAGTACAATTCTTGCCTTTGGCATCTCCATGTTTGTTTATGTGTTGAGCTTCCAGGTGAAGCCTGGCAACAGCAATCTTCGGGAACTCGCCCGAGGGGGCCGCACCGGCAATTTCGTCTATGATTTCTACATTGGGCGCGAACTCAACCCTCGGCTTACACTTCCCTTCTTTGGTGAAATCGACCTAAAGACCTGGTTGGAAATGCGCCCTGGACTGACTGGCTGGATTATACTTGATCTAGCCTTTGTCGCCAAACAATACCGCGACTATGGATACTTGTCTGATAGCATAATACTTACGTCCACCCTGCAAGCATACTATGTGCTTGAGTCGCATTATCTAGAGGCCAACATCTTGAGCATGATGGACATAATTGCAGACGGTTTGGGGTTCATGCTGACCTTTGGCGACATTGTCTGGGTACCATTCCTCTATTCCACACAGTGCCGTTATCTTGCGACGTATCCCCTCCACCTCGGATATGTCAACCTTACGGCTTTTGGTGCGATATTCACCATCGGCGCATACATCTTCCGCGCCTCAAATGACCAAAAGAATCTCTTCCGCAGCAACCCCAACCATCCAAGTGTCTCTGGAATTACTTATCTACAGACCAAGCGAGGTACCAGGCTTCTCACTGGCGGGTGGTGGGGGATCTCGCGCCATATGAACTACCTGGGCGACTGGCTGCACACTTTGCCGTTCTGCTTGCCAACCCTAATGGCTGGCTATCTCATCCTGCCAGCTGGAACGCCAACGGATACCGTGAGCATCGAGATGCTGGATGGAAAGCAAGTGGTGCAGGGCGACGCAAAAGGTTGGGGCATGGTATATACCTACTTCTATGCGATCTACTTTGCTGTGCTTCTCGTGCACCGAGAGAACAGAGACGATGTCGCCTGTGCTGAGAAGTACGGAAAAGACTGGGACAGATACAAGGAGATTGTTCGCTGGAGAATCGTGCCAGGTCTGTACTAGGGGCTTCCTATCCTTCGGCTTCAGTACCTTGATGGCGCACCAAATAGATGCTCCGCCTTGGGAAAGGCTGGTAATGAGTCAGGTATCATGCGAGACAGCTATTGCGGCGTTGGTGACCAGAAATTATTACGAACGTGTTGAGCAACTCAGCAGTAGTTATTTGATCAATCATTTCTACTTATATGCTATTAAAGGGATAACTCGGCATTCGAATGGGTTAAGTACCTAGTCATCACCAGACACCAGGGATCAAGCGCCACGCGACTCGTCGGCAATACTCCTCCCAGGCCGCTCCATATTTGGATGATCCTCGCGCCTCATCCCTGACACATCGGTGGGCAAGCAATACAGCCATATATATAACATAAAACCACACCAAGAGCTTTCCGCTACCAGCCAGAGCACACATTGAAAAGCTTAACAAGAGATCCCCCACATAATTGGCATGTCGAGACCAACCCCACCAACCACTGACGAGCAGGAGGTTCTCGCCCCTGTTCCCGTCCGAGGTGTGATATGGTGCTTTGATGCACTCTGCAGGCTTACCCCAGATCAAACAATTTCCGAGAGATCGACGCACCAGGTCTTTCTGGTGGTTTACAGAACGGAAGAGAGCATAGCCTGCGAGGCCCAAAGCAAACATGGCAGCTTCATACGCTGTCAGTGGTGCAGGGCGCTGCTGGCTCAAATATTGCGTTTGTAGCGTGTACGTGGTGGGAAGAAACGCAAAGCAACCCCACGCAAGATAAAAGCCGTAGTGCTCGTGCGCAATGTCAATGGTTCCAAGGTACCAGTGCTCATGGACAAAAAAGTCTAGAACGTAGATCATGTGCAGAATGGTCACAAGAATCATTGAAGAGCCGATGCTGCCGTATTCCTGATACTGAAATGCCATGTTGGACAGGTCGCTATAAACTCCAATTAGCACTTGCACTGCAGTTGATTTGCTTGCATCTCAAAGAGCTGGGCAGGAGAGAGAGAGGTCACCCACATGACTGTCCAGGCCCCCATACCAATCCTGCTGTTTGTGAACAGTTTCAAATCGAAATTGTCCCCAAGTCTCGGATTTAGCTCGATGCCCATGTAAAAGTCGTAGGCGGAGCAGCCGCTGAATCGTCTCGCTTCGGCAATGGTGGGTATGAGATGCGCCTTTGCGAATGCCAACAGCGAGATGGAGAAACCTGCCAAATTCATTGCGCACACCAACGCACCCCAGTTTCGCGGCACGAAGGCCGGGTCCAGAATCCCATACCAGCAGGCATAGGCCAGGACAAGATGAGTGACGAGCCATGCACTGAGCCCGTTGACACAATACGGAAGGACATGGCCTGTCGAGGTTGGCTGCCCATACTTCTTTGGACCTGGTAGTGTCAGAGCCAATACGGCTTGTAGAACAATCCAGCAGCAGTGGGCAGCCGTGGCCTTGAGAGTGAAACGCGGTTGGTACGCATATAGGACGGCGCCGAAGCCTTGTTGCACGACGGCGGTAGCAAAGTCAGAGAGCGAGCCATCAAACTCGGCGAGCGTGATGTAAAAGATGAACGAGGCAAGCGGTGCTAGAAGAACAGGCGTGGAAGCCACCAGCGAGCGAAACCAGGAGCGCCCAGTAATGTGCCAGCGGGTGCTCCTCTTCTGCAGACGGACTGTTTTGGCACTGAAGACGGTCCTTGGTAGACCTTCGCGTCCCTCCAGAAGAAAATGGCTTTCATCTGCCGAGACAGCAACCTCTGATGCCATGGTAGATTGTGCCATTGCCAGTTTATGGTGAAAGTGGTGATGGATGGTAGTTCAAGAGCAGCTTACAGCATCTCACTATGTCTCGAGATAATCAGCTTGACGATAATATAGTGCCCGGAATGAGAAGACCCACAAGGCGCGTAAGGCAATGCTTTCCAAGGCGATTAAGCTGGACTCTGTTTCGCCAGAGTACTGAGCTTTCTGCCGCTGGCTAAAGGCTTGTGCATGCCCATGGATCAGGGATGTCGATATTGATCGGTGTACCTCGGAGTAATTCTCAGACAGAACATGTAGCGCTGATGCAGATATATTGTAGACGTCACGATAACAACCCACAGCTAGAGCACTTGAAGCATGTGATCATGCGAATCATTCGCTGTCGCTTTTGTTCCATTTTAGGCGTATGACACTCTGTTACGCAAAGAGCTCTGCATATGCAAGTGAAGCGTCGCTTTTTGTTTCTGATTCGCAAGTTGACACAGCTCAGTCTGCAGTGTCTGTAGGATGGAAGTGCTTACTGATGTCAAAAGACCAGTGCATAACATTGCATGAATTACTTTAAACGAAGACTATAGGTGTAACCTTCTGATAAACGGCCCCATAATTGAGAATGCAAGGACATGTTAAAGGAAATAAATCGCCGAATGGAACCCATCAATGAATACGTGTATGGAAGGCAGAACGCCATGCCGCAATATATCCTGCTGTGTCACTCTTCTCACGTCAGCAAGGCTCCGTAATCACTATAAGACACCTCACTAACATAATCGAATAGCATCTTCTACCATTGTGAGCACTATCATATGCTCCTCTCTAGTACCTCTTCTGAAAGTCATGGAGTCTTTGGTACAAGGAAGAGCCGTGGTACTCTTAGCGGTGCCATACACTGCATTTCTCTTGCTCTACGCAGCTACTGTGTCCTTTATCAGTGCTGGAGCGAGGCTCGCGCGCCTATTCAGTGTCGCTGTCCTGTCAGGTCTAACTTGGCTGCTCCAGGGCGCCATCATACAGCTTTGCGCGAATCAACACTGGGCTGCGGCTGCAGTGCCGCTTTTGTGGTTAGCAACCCCCAGAAATGCCCTTTGTACTTCATGAGGCCTCCTGTTATCTTTACTTTTTTTCGTGTCATCAGTGCAGAGAATTTGCTAATTCCAAGTTTGAGCAGGATTCAGCTTTTGAGTGCATCGGAAATATTGTTGATATCCCGGGTTCATGTTGCTGACATACTCGCCGATCACAGCGTCCTGCATGGCGAATCAGCTACGAGCACACGCATCGAGGCGAAGATGACTGCAGCAATTGCCCTGCTCTGGAACCTGCGCCGCATAGGCACAAGGTGGCAGGCCAAAAATGTCCCATGTGCATCAGATGTGGTCGTCAGTCGGGCGTCGTTGGTGGGCAGGCGGTTGGCGAGTACCATCATTGCCCTCACCATCCTGGACATTATGACCTCTGCCCCGCCCCCAGACCCCGCCATGGTTGGGCTGGAGAATCAATCGCTAAGCGGCATGGGCTGCATGTCGCCTGCATGTCTCGCCTTCCGGGTGATAGGCACTGTCTCGTTCTGGCTGAGTACAGCTCTTATCAACCTGGTGATGGCCAACACTGTGACCTTACTATCGGTCCTGGCGGGATGGACCCTACCGACCGTGTGCCCACCCCTCTATGGTGACCTTCTCGAGTCGTACAGCATACGGAACTTTTGGGGGTAAGCATTTCTTACCGAAAAGCGGCTTGCCTATACAGGTCTCGAGAACAAGGCTGACTAGCAGAGTTGCGCGGCCAAAGGAAGTCATGGCATCAATGCCTTCGCCGCAGCATCACTGGTCATGCAGACCTGGCCACACACTACATGTCGCCTAAAGAACAGCACCAACTAGCATCGCGCTACCTGCGTCTCTGGGCTGCCTTTGCAATATCAGGGCTCGTACATCACAGCTCAGATCTTGCAATGGGGGTAGCTTCCTCGGACGCAGGGGCCTTGAAGTTCTTCCTTCTGCAGCCAATCGGCATTATGCTCGAAGACGGCATACAGGCTTTGGCCCGGCACGGCTCGATCCCAAAGTTCATTCGCTTAATGGTTGGCTATTTTTGGGTTCTTCTGTTCTTATCTTGGTCTACTCCGACATGGTTCTATCCTCAGCAGAGGCTCGGCATCAGGTCAGAGGACTTGCTCCCAATCCACGTCTGCACATATTGGAAGATAATTCTACCGCTATAGACCATCAGGTCTATGAGTATGATTGATACTTTTCTCATATATTTTGCCACGGCTTTTAGCCCTCTATCTGCGGGCAGCATGAGAAGACGAGAATAAAAATTACAAGACTCCAGTACTTTTGATGTTAATTATATTGCCATAGTTTCAGCCACCAAAAACGATGCTTGATTAATTGTATGTAGACCAATATTTTTTCCCGGCACTGAATTCCCACAATGTCTACTTATTGTTCTTTTTCGCCCGTTAAAGGACCGAGTAAAACCTCGAAATAATCTAGTAGTGGGTGAACTCGCATCATATAAGTCACAGGATAGAGAGGCGATTGCGAGTTATTCATGTGAAAGTCAGAATCTACCTGGGTACCTACCAGTGAGGTGGCTTTTTAAATGAATTTGGTAAGAACATGAATCTCTCCTGTTTTTGCTCTAGGTGAAGGGACATACGTTCGTTTACGATACAAAAAGACCTAGCATCCTTGACGCATCCGCACTGTGGCGCGCCAGGAAACACACCAAAGTCATTCACCCCCGACCATCAGGGTCCATACCTTATAGTGCTTACACGGCTTGTTATATAGTCATTCCGAAATCAACTTTGCATCAAACAATTGAAAGCTTGTCTGTCTTAATAATGATCAGCCTTGGTAGCAAGCAATACTGTGCCCAACATGCAATACACGGCGGTATCCGAAGTTTCCACGCTTGTCTCGACCGCTTTCTCCACGAAATGGAACATGTCGCAATTGTTACCGTACTGCGTTGCTATTGTAGCACTCTTCTTCCTCAAACTGTCCCTCTCTAGCCAGCACAGGTCCACCAATCCAGCGGAGCCCGGACAGATCCAACCGCGTCCTTGGTACATTGGACATATGACGGGAATGATCTCGAGGCACACACATTACTTTAACGATCTTTCGTGAGTCTCGTGGTAGTTTCACGCCCTTGTTGAGCGTGGTTGATGAATTATGTCTGCAGAAAAACCCATGGTGTCGACATCGCAATCCTTCCCATGCCTCTTGGTAAGATATACGCGATATGGGATATCCACCTGATCCAGAGTGCCTTGAGATCGAGCGCAATGTCGTTCGACGCAATCATGATGCAGCATGCGCGGGGTCTTCTAGGGCTCAATGAAAGATGCTTGGAAGTTGCCCGCACTGGCATGTTGAGAGATCTGATGCGGCTCACTACCAGCCTCTTGTCAGGTCGCTCTCTCGCCACAATCAGCGTAGACTTTCTCAACCATGCTGCACCCGTCCTCAATGAGCTGGGCGCAAGACCAACATACTGCATTTCTGATTTCTACGACTGGGTGCAGACCATTGCGACATTGGCAACCACAGACACACTCTATGGAGAATTGAATCCATTCAGAAAGGATGAAGGCCTCTTAGTTGATGTGTGGTGAGTCTTTTCTACGGACAACGACCTACCGATTGATACATAGCATTAAACCACGACAGGCTTTTCGAGGCGGGGCTGAGAAGGCTTGCCATGAATATATTCCCGGCCGTGACCGCTCGCCGACCTAGCCATGCCCGAGACCGACTTGTTCGGGCCATTACTCCTCTATTCGACGAAACCATCAGCGACCAGTCGCTTCTTCCGACCTTGACACTCAAGAGAGTTGAGGTGATACGCAGTCATGGTATCACGGATCCTGAGCAAGTTGCTCGCATTGAGCTAGCTCTCCTCCACGGCGCGACCGTCAACACCGTTCCTACCTTGTTCTGGACCCTGACACATGTGCTAGCATGTCCAGAGCTTGTGCGGGATATCCGCCGGGAAGCGCGCACCTACATTCAACCCGGGGCCGAGATTGTCGTCCCATTCAGTGTCCTCAGTGACTCCTCTCCCCTCCTCATGTCCGTGTTTCGTGAGACGACGCGTCTGGTCAACTCGGCCATGTCCACCCGCTTCGCCATGAAGGATGCCCTGATTGCCGACGAGCATGGCCGCGAGTACCTCATCCGCTCCGGATCGACCGTCATGATGCCCGCGACCGCCCACCTGTCGACCGACGTCTGGGGCTCAGACGCCGCCGAGTTCAAGAGCACGCGCTTCTACGGGTGGGACAGCCGGGACAAGCCCGAAATCAAGAAACGGCGTGCGGCATACATGCCGTTTGGTGGCGGTAAACATCTCTGCCCGGGCAGAAATCTGGCACAGTACGAGATTCTTGGCATGGTCCTTGCCATGGTCATGGCCTTTGACGTGGAAGATGCCCACTCCCCAAATAAACCTGTACAGATCCCTCAATTAGACCCGGCTCGCATGGGCCAGGGGGTTGGGAAGCCGACTTTCTCGAAACCTGGAAACAGGCTTGCTGCAAAGCTAAGTGTACGGACTGGATGGGAAAATGCTCGATGGAGATTTACAGTCTAAAAACCTCCGATAAGCTAGGTATAAATTCGACGATGGCTTCGAGAATTTGACTGTCATTATCCACAACGTTTTCCCTCCATGAGATATGTGTCAAGCGTCTACTGTGATGATATCCTGTCAAACAAGCGCCGTTATTGCGATTACAATCATTACCTTGATGAGCCATTTTTGTTTGAAAGTAATTTGATGCCTCAAGAGAATACGCCTGAGACAACTTGTTAATCATTTGTTAACGGTATGACCCCTACACAGTGTGAGGACGTCAATTTCTCTTACACTTCTAGGTACATAGCTATGATCCAGGCCCAGGGTCCGCCGATTGCATGAGGTTTGGGGGCCAAAGCTAGCAGTGTTGCGTTGGCCTATTTGCATGGTGCGTTAGGCACAATGTACTTTGGGGTTACTCTGCGTGCATAAATGTATTGTCCTTTTAGACGACCAATCTGCAGGTCAAAACGTGAACTTGGTAAGGGCTGCAAGCTGGACAGGTCTTGCATTATCTATTTCGTCGTCGACATTTGCCTACATCCTACAAGTGTTGCCCGAGCAGCTGGGGTGAGCTGCAAGGCCTTTTGAGCATCCGTGCCGCGTCTCCCGGTAAGGCTTTCCCATGTTTTCATACAAAAATCCTGCATGTATGGGAATATTTGCTGTCTTTGATAAGTGGATGTAGCAAAGTGCCCGGATTGAGGTCCACCTCAGATGGTTGCGACCATTATTTGTAACCTTGAGACACAACCAGTCAGAGTGGACTCGAATGCCCATGCAGTCAGTGGTGGTGCACCGAGATTGTGTAGTAGCTCAATGTGTCAAGGATACCATCGCTTGTTCCCAAAAGCCCTACGCCAACGCATTGATTTCAGCAAGCCCAAGGTATGCTCATCATGGCCCCTGAAAGAGTATAGAATGGGGGCCTTGACGTATTTCCCAGTGCTACACCAGAGACGTGTAAGACGAAGCGGGAAATCCCATACTCAATCGGTCGCAATCCTTTTTATTTGATTTATTTTCTTTTTTCCTTTTCGGCGGCTGTCTAAACTATCTGCCATTTCAAATATTTGAGTGTACAATCTTGAAGGATAGAATTCAAGCCATTCATGGCTGCTCTCGTCATTTTTCTGGGCTTGGCCCTATCCTATGGGCTTCTCAAGATGCTCGAGATCAAGCTCTGCAAATGTGACAAAACTGAGCCTCCTCTCGTTCGGTCCAGAATACCCATCATTGGGCACCTGCTCGGATTGGGCAGATTTGGTGTCTCATACTATAAACAACTAAGGCATGATTTCACTTCCTGGTCGTAGTATCACGATAGTCACCCTGCTGACGCTTCACCACTATTACAGGGAGACTACCAAGTTGCCAATCCTGACCATAGGACTCGCATCTCAGAAGCTCTACATTGTCAACTCTCCTACTCTCATTTCACAAATCAACCGCCGTCAAAAGGTAATCGATGGTGGCCCACCATTCCTGGAAATCGTCTTCGGGAAGCTCTTCGCCTTCAGTTCCGATGACATGATGGCCCTGTCCAAGGATTCCCCAGGCAATGGAACTCTACGAGGCGACACGCAAGCACTCGAGCATAGTCTCCTAGCGCGTGGGATGGGTTCCCTCGATGAAATATTTGATGGAATCATTACCGCTGCTGCGTACCAGCTGCCAAACTTGCCTGATGATGGCCAAAGAACTATAGAACTTGGCGCTTGGCTACAAGAGGCTTTGCCCATGTCCACTGCAATCGGGCTCTTTGGGCCAGATAACCCATTTTCCCACGATCCAAGCTTGTTACAAAGTTTCTGGTATGGCTCCTATGATGGCGAGGTCCCGGGACTCGTCCCGTCTCCAACTAGCTAACCGATACGCCAGGGAATTCGAAGGCGGCCTCAAGGCTCTGACCATGGGTCTCTTTCCATCCTTGACAGCCTCTGGCCCAATGCGAGCGCGCCGCCGTCTGGTCGAAGCCTTCAAAAGCTATGTTGGTACCAACAAAAATTACACCGCCACGGGCCAGATGCCGTGCCAGCTGGTCCATGGGCTTGGTGAGGTGGCCAAGCGCCACGACCGGGACGACGCGTACTTGTCTCGCTATCTATTCGCGTCATTCTCTGCTTTCACCATCAATACAGTACCGGTAACCTTCTGGTGCATAGGACACATTGCCATAGATCAAGCACTATTATCCGAGATCCGGAATGAACTGAACGCAGCTCTGGCTTCCAGTTCGTGGGAGCATTCTGTCGAGACGGGCACTGGACCTCGAGATATTTGGATCAGCATCTCTGCTTTGCGCGAGCATTGTCCAGTCCTAGTGTCGACTCTGAACGAGGTCCTGCGATATGTCTCGTCTTCGACAGGCACTATGATGGTGCACGAAGACACGTGGATCAATGACCAATATTGGCTCAAGAAGGGAGCACTTGTTCAAATGGCAGCATACGCTATTCATTCAGACACGAAAAATTGGGGCCAAAACGCACCCGAGTTTGTTCCAAGGCGGTTCCTCGAGACTGCAGACGAACCAGCCCACCCATCTGCTTTCCGCACGTTTGGGGGAGGTAACACGTTATGCCCTGGGCGTCATCTAGCCTGCGATGAGATATTAGCATTTACCGCCATGTTCTTATACTCCTTTGACATTGCGACCGCCCCGGAGACTCCAAAGCTTCCCCAGAGGAATGACACCAATATGCTAAGTGTGCTCAAGCCAAAAGGGCCTTTCAAACTTGTCATATCAAAACGATCCAAGGCTTTGCGCGTTGCTGCACGTAGAACAGTTTAAGTCGTCTTGGCAAGCGACTGGTTCAAGTCATTACTTACCTAGGTAATAACAAGACCTACTATATTATTGAATCTCATACAATTGTTATTTTGCCAATTCTTAATGTTCGCTTCTGCGCTATATTGACCCACTTATATCTGTACACTTTGAGACTCTCACAACGTGAATCTAAAACAACAGTACAGAGTACTCTGTAGAACCATGTAATGTGTGCTTCTCTGAGGAGCATGGACTGGTGGTAGCACAACAGCGGGCTGAGTTCTTGTGCAACACACCGTGGCTAGTGGGGGGCCTCATGCATGGCCAAGTTGTATACTTCGTACTACTCTGACATACATGAAGTAAGCACGTTACATCTTCCTCATATATGGCTTTCGCGCTATTGAAAGCTTGTCTAAATTTATCCCTTATCTACCAGAGGCGATCAAATGCAGCCACCTTGCAATAGGGTCGGCCCTTTACACACCTATTCGAGTCCCAGTTCGCCCGGTCAGAAGAGCTACGGATACTGATGAATTATTGAACAGTCAACGGCTCTGCCTAGTGATGAGCATTCAATGCTTATGAAACCTGTTTTTTTTTTTTCTCCAAGGCATTACTTCCCCTCTAGGCCTTTCCTAACCGGTCGAGGCGTCAACATTGCTGTGCCTATACAATCATCATGGAAAATTTGTCCAACGTTAGAGCATTATCTACATTGATAGCATGGCTGGCAATAGCGACAATTATCTTGCTCAACCTAGTTCAAAAGTTCACGAGGAGTGCTAAACTTGAGTCAAGTACTATCCCATTGCTCAATCGACCGAACTGGTACGATATCGGTGGCATACGAGCGAGACTCGCCTTTGTGCTGAATGCTCGTGAGCTCTTGTTGCGAGGTGCAGAGAGCGGACGGCCCTTCCGGCTGTTGACCGACATGGGCGAACTGATTGTGCTTCCTGCCGAGTACGGTAAAGAAATTCGAAATGACACCAGGCTCAGCTTTGGTGAGGTTATAGAACAGGTGAATACCATCGTCCAAGAAAGACACACGTCGGCTCAAGGTGGAAGTGACGCAACGAATTCATAACTAATTAATAGAATTTCCATGCGCAACTGCCAGGTTTCGAGGGATTTCGACAGGGAACTGCAGATGCTCGCCTGACCCGTGATATCGCAAACAAGCAGCTTACCCATTCCCTCGGTGAGTGTTCTATGGACAGCACTGAAATCTCTTGATATTTTCTTCTCCTTTTTCATCCCCCCGCTTTCATAGCTAATAGACACAGCGAGCGTAACGCAAGCGCTGTCAGAAGAGGCCGAGACTGCATTACAAGCACTTTTCCCTGATTCAAAAGGTAAGCAAACCTGGACACACATATCCATTCTTTTCTGACGAATTGCCTGATGTACAGAGTGGAGCGATGTCCTGCTTCGCGAAAAAGTTCTGCAGTTGGTTGCACGGCTCTCCTCGCGCGTATTCCTAGGCGATGAAGGCGCACGCAGTCAATCTTGGCTTCAAATCACGACCGAGTACACCAAAACTGCCTACATAGCAGCTTACATACTGCGACTTTGGCCGCCTGTTCTCCGTCCCCTTGTGCATTGGGTTCTCCCGCCATGTCGGAAGCTGCGCGGACAAGTCGCCCAAGCGCGACGCATTATTGTCAAAATCATTGAGCAACGGCGCAAGATTGGTGAGATTAGCAAGGCCGCGAGGGAACCCATCGCACAGTACAACGATACCATTGCATGGTTTGAGCAGGACTCCCTAGAAAAGGACAGCCAGTATGATCCCGTGGTGGCCCAGCTCATCTTTGCACAAGCGGCAATCGAGACCACGGCGGATCTTCTGACTCAGGTCATACTGGACATTGCAAAGAACCCTGACCTATTTGAGCAGCTGCGTTCCGAGGTCAATCGCGAAATCGACAAAGGCGGATGGACCAAGTCCTCTCTTCACAACATGAAATTGTTGGATAGCGTGCTCAAGGAGAGCCAGCGTCTAAAACCACTTGCAATGAGTACTTGCTCCCACGCACCACTATTGTCACATGAAAGTTCTACGCTTACCTGAAGTTAGCGTCGATGCACCGCCTCGTCCTGGAAGACGTTGTATTATCAGATGGCCTTGTTCTTCCCAAAGGTGGCGTAATTGCTGTCTCTGGGGACAGGATGTGGAGCACTGCAGTTTATGAAGACCCGGATTGTTTCCAAGGCGACCGCTTCTACAAAACCCGCATGGAAGGGGGCACTTTGGGTAACCAGGCGTACTTTGTGAGCACAGGTATAGACCATCTCGCGTTTGGGTACGGCAAACACGCGTGCGCAGGGCGTTTCTTTGTGGCGCATGAAGTCAAGATTGCAATGAGCCACATGTTGCTCAATTATGACTGGAGGATAGCTTCGCATTCTTCTTCCGATGCCAATCCTGTCCAGTTTGGATTGACAATGATGGCCAACTCCAAAGCCCAGATCTCCATCAGATCGCGTGCACACAAAGGCGGCTGAGTCCTGATGAGCCAAAGTTTGAACGTGATTATGCTAGAACAAGGCATCTTGGGTAGTCATTAGGTATTAATTCTGAAGCTATAGTCATTCGATATCATAATCATGCAGCCGACAATCAATATCAGCACTCGCCATAATGCTTTTCATTCCGTATCAACGCCCACCCACACCGCACCAACCAGAACATGGCAAACAATGGTGTCGTCAGGAGACCAACCGAGGCCCCTAGAATACCCTTGAACATCATGGGCACCCAGGTGTGAAGCGACGGGTGAACAGTGCCGACATAGGTCCAGTCGCCGCCGTTGCGCGTGCCCACCAGCGTCATGAAGCCAATGGTGGGGCCAATGAAGAGGGCAAAGGTGGCGACGGCAATGAGAAGGGCGCGCAGGACCTGCGAAAAAAGAAACACCATCCAGTGCGCCAGACATCCGCCCTCGTACTTTGCGTCGTCGGTCCGGTCCAGAAACATGAACCAGCGGATCAGGCGATTTTTGGGTTCGCTGAAACTCCCAATGGACTGGACGCGCGAGTGCTTGAGGTCTTGGTTGACCAGCGCGAGCTCCGCCAGCCAGGTGATGATGCACTGCAGGATAATGGTAACTGTGGCATCGCCCACCAGAGTGTTGGGGAATTGAAACAGGTTGATAGATTGTTTTGTTGTGCCGTACATTCCTGCCCCGAGTGTTAGTTGATGGAGCCGCGTACACACAGACCCTAGGCTCAAAAATTCATACCAACAGCAATGGCCAAGTTGATGACCCCCGATATGATTGCAGCAATGAAGCCATGGGGCACGAGCAGGTAAAATATTTGATGGCCAGTGATCTTTTCACTAGGACTCAAGAAGCCTTTTCGTACGCTTTCAGTTATTGGAGCGGAAGCCTCTGGATCTGGACTCGCCTGCTGTCGTGCAGTGAAGAATGGATTGGCTGCCCAGGCCATTTCTTGATCGTTTATGATTGTAAGGCTTGAGAAGTGGTGGGAAATCAATAGAGATGTCAGGATCTCAGAGAGGCATGATGAGGATACTAGAATCGAGGTGCGGTAGATAGGTACCTAGGTATATTTTATAATTCCAGAAATTTTCGGTCGCAATAGGTAACGAGGACGATGCGGTGACAAAGATTTTGGGAGTGCAACATGGATATATGGAATGATCTGCCACCAGGGTATCTTAGGTGCCGGGTTGGCGTGATTGAAAGACAGATTAGTGAGAGATGCCCCCATTATTCCCCATTTGTTCCCCCCAATCGTCTCTTTTTTCTCTCCTTCTTGTGACTAGGGCAACTTGAGCAACAGACCGCAGATGTTGTGGTAATGTCTGTCGCAGAGCCTTCCGATCAGTCCCGTGGTGCAATGAATGGCGGTTGGTAAGCCTGCTTCGGAAGGCCGGAGGCACGTGAGGCGAAAGTCTTACAAGACATCCGACATTTCCATTCCCGTTACCTACAAACGCCTAGATCTTGTGACTCATTTTGGCCCAACACTATCTCATGTGCAGTCAACAGAATGAAAAAGGGAGGACAATACGCTGGCCCTTGCCTCTCGCACAGAACTTAGAATCCATTTCTCAACTAGGTAGGAAGTGGTAAATCCATGGATGAAGGGAAAGAATAAAAAAATACAGAGCCCAATGCCGGCGGGGCGAACATGGAAGGAGGAGATCGCCGGTACAAATATGCAGGGACCATTGCCGGTTTGGGGAGATTGGGCCCAATGCAGTGGGGTCAGCAGTAGTACAAATATTTAGCGCATGTAAGGGGCAGGCGACCGAACAGGCGGCGGAACAGGGGGTGGAATTCCTGAAAGAGGGGAAGGTGGCCGTTGAAACCCTTTATTAGATATCCTATTCTTCTCTGCCTCCTCCAGCGTCTAGTGACGCGACTGTCGACGATGCTTTGGTAAGCTGTGGAATGTACAATTTTCCATCCGCTGATTATGGGTGGTTGACTGGGACTCGAGACCAGGAAAACGTTGGTTTTCTCCTTGAATCTGTCGCTGGATTCATTCCAACTACTCACTTTTAGCGCTGGATTTAGTGCACTTCTTATCGCCTGAAGCGGTTTGTTAGCACTTCTAGAAGGAAACCACATGCAATCATGCTTGTGTCAAAGTACCAATGACGCACTAATCCTGTGCGAAATAGGTTAAACAACAATGCAACTTACAGCGACAGGACGGTATGGCCGGGGCTTACCTTGGTTTTCCGTGAAGAAGTAACGACATGGCCAACTCTATCTCCCTTCGATCCAGACCCAAGTCCAAGAGGACATCATCGCCAGGTCGATGACCCCCGCCGCGGATCTGTAGACAAGCACCCTTTTGGCCTTTGCACAAATCGCAAGATGGGCTTCTCGAAGACGTTGAAATTGACCTTGAAGGCTGTAAAGCTGGCATACTCCAGCTAGTCAATCAGAAAGTCCGGCCACCATGGCATCTCAGACCCCAGTCTGAAGTGTGCCACGATGCGCGGCAAGTTCATCCAGTGCGTTCGGCGCCGATGCCCGGCCGAGCTCACGTAATGGATCCACGACGACAACTCAAAGAGCTGACTATGCCGTGCCACTATTCAGACTACCTTTAAGCAGGCACCATGTAGCGAGCAGTAGCCCCATGTCACCGACTCTAACAAAAAGTCGAATTGTGATGAATTGGGCGACTCTTTGCAGCTGAGCACGCAGCCCATTAGTAGTAGGCTTCATGGAGAATTATTTCCAATCTCAACATTGAACGAACATGGTGATGAGAATAACTAGTAGGCATGTTATTTGCATATTATTAGACTCGCGCACATTTGAAGCATATTTGGCAAGACCTGCTGAAATGCTGAGCCAAGGACAGAATACAAGTCCTTAGCACTTGTCCTTGACTATCCACCCCACTTACTGTTTACAGAATCGAAGAGGCTTTGGTTTATCGGCAAAACGCTCCCATGCCTTAGGTTGGATGGAAATGCCGAGCGACTACTCGCTGTCCACGAGTTGCCCATAGGATTCGTGCTTTCATATGGCCTATAACCATCGCTGCCATAGAAATCGAGGAGTACATGAACCTTGCCGTCGACCTGATTGTCTCTATACGCCGCAGGGCCCTCGACCGCCGATGTGATGATACCGGAGCTGCCGCCCGCCCGCGTCCACGAACCAAAGAGGCCCGATGTCGAATACTCTACAAACACTGTCTTGGCTGTCTCGTCTTTGAGAAAGCGCAGGTAGTTCGATCCGGTATTGTCGAGAGGCAAAATGTCCAAGTCAATGACATTGAATGTAGACTTGTCGATATATGTCTTTGGGGAGGTAAAGGTCTTGAAGTCACTGGTGTAGGCATATCGAATGACAATATTGGATGGACTGCCAGTATGAGAGGCGTCTGATGTGGAGTACTGCGAAACCTTTACTTCAGCCACGGTAAGAAACAAGAGGGACTAGAAGTATTGACTTACAAATTTAGATGCCCAGTGAACCAAATATTGGTCTGGTTGGTCAGTGCTCAGCGTCAACAAATTTGAGGGTGGTATTGAATCCTACTTTTCGAAGCGTCCCATATCGCTTCGGGCGCCCAGACCATTCCTGCTGTGGCATCTTCAACTACCACCAGCCTTTCGCCGGTCCAATTGACCAGGTCGGTGCTTTCCCATACAAAGATACCACGAGAGCCAGTCCTCTGAGCAGCATCCCAGGTTGTCTGTCATTAACCATCAGTTTACACTCATGCATCAGCAGAATGGCTTTGGTGCTGTCCCTGTTGTACCTTGCCGATATTGAGATCGGTGCCGACAATGTACCACTTCTTTCCGGCTTCGGCGCCGCCGCCCTGCACAATCGCCGGATCCCTAACGCCCCCCGTCCCCTTGGTCGGCTTGAGGACCGGCTGGCCCCGGTTCAGGGCCTTGAACGAGACGGCATTATTGCCGTTGCTCAGGTAAAAGTACACGTACGGGTCGGCCCCGAGGAAGAAGGCTCCGAGATAGCCGACAAGGCTGGAGTCGGCTCTGTTTGCGATGGGAATCCCAAGTTCTCCGAGGTCAATCGGATTAGATGTGATGAGCTGCGCCCAGAGGGCAAGAACCAGTAATAATCGCAAGATCGAATACATGATTGTGACGATCAACGTGAACGGCGGAGAAATCTACAAGCCAGCATACAATACATCTCATGGCAGGGATTGCAAAATCTGACCAGGAATGGGAGGGTTTCGCGGTCAGTTTTTACTTCTTTCAAAACGCCAAGAATGGTTCCAATTTGGGTTGCGGAGCCTGGAGTCCCATATTAGCAACATAGCTTGCGGCAATTGGAGGCCAATGGACCCCCCAATATGGTAATCAAGGGGGTAAACGTCGGGCCTGGTATCTTGTTATAAGTGGTGGAACATTTGAAAATGGGCTGCACCTGACAGTCTTGGAACAGAGAAGCGCGCTCAATTCATTTCAATAATGATACTTTGCGTAGGTACTTGGTTGATCTGCAATGGTTGAATGTAGCTGATGAAGCTGCAGTTGCATATGCATAAGCCATATACAACATGAACGAATTTGTTGTTAAAAAGGGCACAAAAGAAAAAGCAACACCATGATTCATGTAACATTCGGAATGTATCCGAGATCTGTGCCTAGGAGATAAGCACTTCAGATCGACCAAATCGCCAGTAATTGTGCAGAAATGCATACTATACCAACTTGTGCACGGCTTCCACGTTGTCTTGGCACTCTAAGTGATGCTGCTTGGTGGAAAAAACATCACTTGGCAGTGCCCGTGGGTCTTGGGCCCCCTTATAATCTTGTATACCGACATTGAAATGTTTATAAAATGTTTCGATAGTCTCTGCTCGAGGTCCCAGAAGACTTGCTGGGGCGACCACTTTCGACTTGCGATCACGACCGGCTTCTCGAGCTGTACAACTATATCAACATGGCCAAGTTCTTGAAAAGCTTTGTCGCCATCGGCTTGGTGACGAGTGTCCTGGGACACGCCGTCCTGCAGACACCGCAGCCGAGAGTTGTGAGTGCAAAATTTCCAGGTGCTCAAATAGTATTATACTGACCAGTGAGATAGAGTGGCGACAAGCAAGTAGAGCTATGCGGTGCGGCAGTGACTACTGCACTTAAAAAGGGTGAGCCTCATCAGTAATCCTTCTCGTGAGATTGTCGTATCACTGATAATCTTCATCACCAGACCTCGCGGGTCCCATTGAGGACGCACTGGCAAAAGACGATGGCACATACAACTGCAACGCATACCAATGCCGAGGTTATCAGTATGAGGACAACGCCGACAATGTCTACAACTACACGGTTGGAGAGTTCATCTCCTTCCATGTGGACTTGGTAGCTGGTCATCATCCTGGCTGGGCTGTACGTTGAACTGCGAAACTAAGTATTTCGCCCCCGCTAATTGCAACTAGAACTTGTCCGCCGTCGACCTGGCCACGAACACCATCATCGGAGATCCGCTCATCACCTGGGCCGACTGGCCAATCTCTGGCACAAATGACGACAGTAAGTCGCTCTGTCGGTGTTGTTAAGAGAATAATTATTGACATATTTCGCAGTCAACTTCAACACGACTATTCCGGAATCTTTGGCTGAACCATGTAGCGAGGCTGGGGCATGTATTCTGCAATGGTACTGGTGGTCAGACAGCAACAGCCAGACATATGAGAGCTGCCTTGACTTTTATGTCACGGCATAGATCCGAGGGCTGTTGGTCATCTTAGGGGCCCAGATATTCGGCATCTCGCTACAGAAAAGGTCATATACTAGCCCAAGTGCCGACATCTGATATCGTCGTCACAAGAGCACATTAGTAACAAGGACTATTTTGGCAATGTGCTCGATCAGACACCAGTATGTCTTGTAAGTGACCTGGCTTAATTTGTGAATGATTTGAGAATCAGTAATGAAGTTGATGTTTGTGGATAACTGTCGCGACCAAGTAGAGTCAAGGTACGTGGCTTTTTTTTTTTTTTTTTTTGTTAGGCATACTTCTTCGCAGTTCATTGATTTGGCACGGATTCGGCCAGGTGCATACCAAGTTCTTCTTTATAATGTATAGATTTGGCACTGATGTTGGTGTCGCTCTCATGAAACGCGATTCTTTTGAAGAATCCTAATGTAACATTGCACACTTCTTTGCCGACGGGGAGAAGCTGTCGGCTCACAAATATGTGACCAATGGTAAATTGGTCGTCGTCGAAAGGGCGCGCGGGGCCCCCCAGACACATTCCTAGATTAGATATGCATCTAGCGGCTCTTCCTACCTGCATATGCGCATCTTATCTAGCTCATGCAATAATTACTGCATTTTCTCGCATTAAAATTTCAACTATCGAATCTCGTACGACTTCTACCACGATCTTTTCTGACTGAATACGAACGGACTTACAACACGCGAAATCGTCCGAAAAAGAAAAATTGAAGAAAGGGACAATCTTTTCTTTCACACTTCTTCTTCAATCTCGAATCTTTCTGTGTTCCAACTAAACAATACTGGCAGCATGGGCGACGCTTCGCCAGAGACAGTCGCCAACGGCAAGTGCCAAGGCGCTGACTGTGAAAACGATGCTGGCGCTTTGCAGTGTCCTACATGCCAGAAGCTGGGCATGAAGAATGGCTACTTCTGTTCTCAAGATTGCTTCAAAAAGAACTGGGTTGGTTGAAGATTTCTGTTATAATAAGATTTCCAGCTAATCAAGAATTCTTTTTTTCTGCTTTTAAGAGTCAACACAAAACTCTTCACAAGCCAGCGCCAAGCAAAACACAAAATGGAACCACCTCCGTCACGGGTTTTTACAATCCCTTTCCAGGACATACTTTCACTGGCTCTGTGCGACCAGTTTACCCACTGTCTCCTAGGCGCGCAGTCCCCAAGTCGATAAAACATCCCGATTGGGCAGTCACTGGCATACCCAAGGGTGAGAACAAGCTGAGCAGGACAAAGATCGATATCCTCGACGCCCAGGGACAAGAAGCAATGCGCAAGGTGTGCAGACTGGCTCGGGAGGTACTAGACATTGTGGCTGCGGAGGTCAAGCCCGGTGTCACCACGGACTATCTAGACGAGGTCTGCCACAAGGCCTGTATTGAACGTGATGTAGGCTGAACCCACCTGAATATAGGCATATCTCAGTCTTTGGTTGCTAACCAGCGCAGTCATACCCTTCGCCACTCAACTACAACAACTTTCCCAAGTCGTTGTGTACTTCTCCAAACGAAGTTGTCTGCCATGGCATTCCTGATCAGCGTGTCCTATTGGATGGCGATATTCTCAACCTCGATATTTCCCTGTACCATGGGGGCTACCACGCCGACGTCAACGAGACCTATTACGTGGGCGACCGAGCCAAGGCCGACCCAGAGTCGGTCAGAGTGGTCGAGATAACGCGGCAGTGCTTGGACGAGGCCATCAAGCTCATCAAGCCCGGCACGCCGTTCCGCGACTTTGGCAAGGTCATTGAGAAGCACGCCAAGGCCAACAACTGCAGCGTCGTGGCCAACTGGGGAGGCCATGGCATCAACACCGAGTTCCACCCGCCCCCGTGGATCCCCCATTACGCCAAAAACAAGGCTGTTGGCGTTTGCAAGCCCGGCATGACCTTTACGATTGAGCCCATTCTCACCGTGGGCAAGCCTCGCGAGGTTTACTGGCCAGATGACTGGACAAATGCAACAGTTGATGGAAAGCGAACTGCACAGTTTGGTGTGTATAATCAGACCGCCTGAGCCATTACAAAGTACTGACCTAATTCCAGAACATACCTTGCTCGTTACTGAGACAGGTGTCGAGATCTTGACCGCGGCGACAAAGGATTCTCCCGGCGGCCCCGTACCCATGCCAACCACTGCAACTGCTTCATGATGCAAGGCCCTAGACAAGGCTGTTGACGACCTCAAATTCTCCGTGGGCTACGAGCCTGACGCGTCCACCCTTGATCTTCCGCTCTGAAGCTGTGCGCTCGAGGGGCAAAAGGAGATTGAATGTCACAATGAAGGCTTGGGCGAATGGCATGATACCTAGTAGAAGGGACAAATATGCTGTATGGGCTGTCTGGAGACATGCAGGGTGGTATTTCGAATGGCCAGCGCATGAGATTCGTAATGTTCTGGGTTGTCGTCGGCAGCGCTGTTGTGCTGGTAGAAAAGCACATGCCATAATGCATTACACGTCGAGCAAAGGGTCCAGGAAGAGCGCAGCCAGACATGAGATCCTGTCTGATATGATGAGATATTTCATCTGTTTGTTAAGCTCTGCATTACTGGTCTTTTCAGAAAGCCGTGTACCCGTGATCTTGGCAGAGTCATGAACCAATAGAAAGTGCTGTAAAACGTAATACCAAGCATCGCCAAAGTTGTGCCCCTGTGGAAGGATCGCACGCCATGAAGTAGCATGCCGGAGTGGGTAAGTCCTGGTGTAACTGTTGCATTTTGTGGCAGATATGTTGTCGACATCGCTTTCTTGAACTCCGTATGGAAGCAGGCGGCAATTCGACCCACTGCAAGGATCGCGCCCGCTGAGCGTCATGAAAGCCGGGCGCTCTCCCCGGCAGTTGGCCGGAGGCAGAGGAGTCTGGTTGGCGGCTCCGGCACGGTGTTGAAATGTTTCGGTCTGGTTCCCGAAGGTGACTGTGTTTCGCTTGGCATGCGGCTGTTCCCCCTGCATATAGATCGAGACTTGCGTAAGCTACCCCCTTGTCTCTGCCGCATCGAGGAGGTCAGATATGGTGCCAAGGACTATTTGAGAAACGGCTATGCTCAAATGCTACACTGCGACTCGGTTAGTCGTGGCGTAATACCGAGCCGGAATGGACGTATCGGACGCCCGGCAAAGAGCATTGCACATTATAAACACTAAATAGAGTTTAGAGTTACTTTGACCTGCATCAGCCAGGGTCATCAAATTCGTTTCTGTGGGGTAGACGGGCGCAAGCGACACTATATACAATTTCTTTTGCCAAATGCCTTGTTGTGATGATTGTGTAACTACTAGGTATCCATCAGTGACTCTGTTATCACAAGAGGAATCATGGAAGAAGCCCATGCGGACTTTGGGCGAGAACGTGGAGGCAGACTGCCCAGCTGCTCAAATATTCCACTTGTTGGTCATTGTTAGTGTCGATTTTGAGCCTCAAATGAGTCTCATGGAACGAAGAAAAAATGATCTCGAATCTAGACATGTTATACTCGTGCGCTAGCCAAATGTGTAAGGTCCAAGGCAAGTTTCTCAGCGGCCAAGGATCAAAACAGTGGCAATTCGATGACATCTCTTAATACTGCCAGTATTATTCAGCCAAATAGCGAATCCATCCCAGTTATTGCACCCCGCATAGTACTCTTAGGCATGCGTATGTCCCTAACCTTGCGAACGGCCAAGAGTTACTCTTAAAGGACAGTAGTTGGAAATAAGATGACCCCCATTGGTAGAACACACGACTCGGCCTCTTGGCATTAGAACTGCAAATCACCATATTCTGGGCAAAGATGATGTATTCAATGCTACATGAGGGTGAAATTAGACGACTATAATATGAGACCAGCTTGCCAGATCTCATCTCTTGAAATGCTCCTCCTCAGGTCCTTCTCTCATTCACTGGACAGCATTCGGAACAAATTGTAGCTTCATCTCGAGGCAGTCTTTCATTCAAAATGGTCAACTTTAAGAATATTGCGGCCTCTTTGGCTGTCTCTTCCATCATTGGAAGCGCTATTGCTCACCCCGGTGAGGTGCAATCTGCTAAGCAGATCAAGCGCGAGATCGAGAAGTACACCAAGGCCCAGCACAAGGCTGTCCGCTCCATGGCCAAGGTTGAGAACACTCCTCAAGCTTTGGCTCTGAAGGCTCGTGCTGCCGAGCGCCGTGCCGCTACCGTTGCTGCACTCCGCGAGAAGCGTGGAATTACCACCAGTAGGCTCAACTGATTCAGACTGTTGTCTGATAACCAAGCCACAGATAGGCATGCTGACCATGCTACAGAGTCCATGTTCGGCAAGCGATCCCAGACCGATCTCAACAGATACTTGGCCGAGTCCCACGACCTGTCTGCCTTGGGCTACACCCTCGACACCCCTCTGGATGTCATCTTCGGCTCCAACGCCACCAGCGGTCTGGCTCCTGAGGTTACCATCGGCCCATACTTTGTCTCTGGAGAGTACATCCGTACAGATGTGACCGATGGCTCGGAGGGTGTTCCGGTCCACCTTGGTAAGTCCTCATGTGCCAACTATATTGCTGTTACAGACTTTGTTTTCTGGATCAAGTATTGAAAAATGATCCATGACGAGTATAAGGGTTATTACAACAGTGGCTGATATCAATTCGTCATATAGACCTGCAGTTCATTGACATCAACACCTACACCCCGGTCCCCGAGGCTCTTGTTGACATCTGGCACTGCGATGCCGTCGGCGTCTACTCGGGTGTTTCCAACGGCGGCCAGGGCGGCCTAAACACCACCTTCCTGCGTGGTGTCCAGCAGACCGACAGCGATGGTGTCGTCCAGTTCGACACCATCTTCCCCGGCCACTACCAGGGACGTGCCCATCACATCCACCTGCTCGTCAGCGAGGACCCCGAGATCCTGCCCAACCAGACCTACATTGTGGGCAAGACCGACCACATTGGCCAAATCTTCTTCAGCCAGGAGCTCATCACCGAGGTTGAGGAGACGTCCCCCTACAACACCAACAACCAGGGACTCGTCCTTACTGCCAGCGACGGGATCGCCGCCGGCCAGGCCACCGCCGACCACGACCCTCTTGTTGACTACGTCCTGATTGGCGACAGCCTCGAGGATGGTCTCTTGGCCTTCATTACCATTGGTGTTGACACCACTGCCGACTACTCTGACAACTACACCCCCGCTGCTCACTACCAGGAGGGTGGCGGTGTCGACACTGGAAACGGTGGCGGCGGCCCTGGTGGACCCGGTGGACCTGGGTCAGTACAATCCCTTTTCTAGACCTCATTGGAAAACAGAATCCCATTCTAGTTTTCACAAGAGAAGACATGCACAGAATAATTACTAACTATTTCCATAGTGGCCCCCCTCCTTCTTAAACGACAAAGATCCTTCGCACTTGTCAACAATGACGCCTGGTAGAACCTGAGTCGGTGTACAAACGTGCTAGCTAACGATATCTTGGTGGGAAAAGTTGGTAAATTTGATCATGCAAACCATACTCTTTTTCTAGTTTACTAAACCAATTCACTCATTCATTGACTTCAGTCAAGTTCTGTCTGTGTTTGAAGCCTCTAGTATACAAACCAGTGAATACAGAGGGACACAAGATAGGCATGCGCAAATCGTAGAGAAGTCTTACTTTCTTAAGTGAGGAGTTGAATGACAACTTCATTGAGCCCTTGAAACTTGTTATTTAGTTGAGCAACAGGCTTATCTTTCATGCGCGGCAAAATCAAATGGACTTGAAGAGACTTTAATGCACTGCTACATGGATCACTATATGATCAAACTCGTCGTTCGATGTGGTCATGTGATGAAAACTTGTGTTACATTTGAGCGCACGTCGCTCCATGCGATTATGCTGTGACCCACAAACCAACTGTAAATCAAGAACCTCATCTTCCACATCCTCAAGGTCGGCGCCTTGTTCTGTATCACGAAATAGTGATTCATATTTAAAATTTCTACAAAACTCGTTTTTACAAAGAGAAGAACCCAGGCATTATTCACTGAAGGGCGCTTAGGCCCTATCTATAAAAAGCGAATCATTGTTTCCCGTGACCTAAACACTATCTAAACCCTTTTCTGGAGAGACAATCCTTTCGATCGTTAAGAAATCGTCAACATGCCCAGCCCAGGTGTCTACTTTTCCTCAAGCAGAGGGACCTGTAATCAAGGAGAAAACTTTCAGACTGGTTCATTGGGTAGCTCTTCCGCGAACACGGAGGCGACGAGTGACCGCGCAGCCATTCCTCCACATATCCTTGAAGGCAATCCATTCATTAACAATTACAGGCTCAAAAATCTGTTTATTCATTCAAAGCGCAAGGAGAAGGAGCAAATAAAAAAAGAAAGAAGCGAACAAATGCCATTTTTGCCTGCAAGGCTTCTCAATATCGTAGATACTTCGCTAAACATAGAAAGAGCATTGCCTAGAGCAGACATAGGTTTCGGCTCCTGTTGTAGTAGCAAATTGAAGTCGAGGAAGCTCTAGCAATTAAATTTACGAAGTCAATAAATCACTTTATCATTGAGACATGACTGACGATGGCAATGCTCAATCGTACAAGTCTCGAGCACCACAATCTGTGCATCTCTTGCCTTACATCCTTTTTGAACCGTGCTGATCTCGTGTCCAGATGTGCTTCCAGCAGACAGACAGCAGCGAGTGACAACACCAGTATTTGGTTGCTCGGCTTTCATGCGTCATTGCAGCTAGTAAACTATAGTTGCCGAGTACAATCGGTCAGACTATGGCCACTCCTTTATAGAACTAATCCATTGCCGACATGCAGCGGCTTCTTCTCGTTCCGGTCAAAAGTGCAGTCATAATTTTGGATGATGTTAGCTGAACAAGAGAGAGCACGGATCTTCAATGTCTTTCCCCCGCCTTGCATCAATCACGAGGGCCATGGCGACAGAACTGCAGTGCAGATCACCTGCTGGTATGAACACAACACTTATAATTGCCCATTATATTGCAGCATAAACGACCAGGACTCGGGAGAATAAAAGACTCGAACAAGGCTCGAGCTCCTCTGCATGTGGATCGACCCTTGTTGGGAGCTGTGCCCTTCCACCGGTTCAGCAATTGTCAAGATGGAAAATGCTGAAGGCTGGGGGGTGGTGTTTTCCCACTGGCTCCCCCCACCCACACCTACACACCATATTGGTATAGAATCCCCAATACGGAAGTCAGCTCCCGCTACCACGCAGACAGGGCCAAGACACGGGTTTGGCATTTTGGTTGTTGCAATCGCACCCCCTCATTGGCCGACATGACACGGCTCGAGCCATTTGCTTTGACCCTCTCGCTCGGAGAAAATGAAACTCTGTATGTTGCAGTATCACTGCAAAGTGTGCGTGCGGCTGCATTTCCAGGCTATTGGGCTTTTTTTCCGTTTATTTGTTTTCCGTATCGTAGTGGAGGAATGAGGACTATATCATCTCAATTGCTCCACCTGGTCATGGAGGGTGTTTTGAAAATTCATGTGTTTCGCAACTCAACAGCAGTGTACAGACTTTGACAATACACGACAAGAATCTGCACCGCGGGGTCGGTAGGGGCCTGGAAAGATTCTGAAAACATGTTGGTGACCATGACCTGGCGATGGATCCTCTTGGCCACAATTTCCATCCTTGTTGATAGATGCGTTTCGAGTCATGTTCAGAATGGCATCGTGTCCAGCGTCATCAGTCAGGACCAGACGGGACCAAGAGCATGGGTCACGGTGGCAGCAAATGGCGAGGCAACTACTATAGTCCCCAGCCTCACGACAACCGACGGGACCACCTCGACCATCTCGCCGCCGCCGCCGGAGCTGACGCAGACTGCAGTATGGACCTTGACCATCAGTGGCGCCACCACGACGACTACAGGTATCAATCCTGTAGCCACGGTATCGGGACTCGGGCAGGAGGGTTCCTTTTTGCTATGCGAAAACTATCAAGGGGAGCACGCCCCAATGTGCCAACCTGAAGATGGCAGCAGTCTTGATCCTGGACCCGTGTATTACGGTACAACCATTGTGTGAAAAAAAGCCTATTAGAGGCCATCAAACTGACTTTTCTCATAGTAACATGGAACGCAATGTACTTTGCTTCAGACAATGCATCAGTTCAAGTTGAAGGAACATTTGCAGATGGTGAAGGCTTCGCTTCAGAAGCAATACCCGCGACACTAGGGTTTTATACATGGAACACGACAGGCATATCGCAAAAGCTGGCGTCGGACAAGAGCTTTCTGGAGGTATCCCTTTCCCTCATTACCCTAGACACCAATGGCTCCAACACGGCGAGTCGGCAACAAGGGCCTACCGTCATGTTTAGCAGCCCGAGGTCGCACGGGTCCAGCAATCGCAGGATCGACGTCCTGACCGTCGTTCTACCTTCGATACTGGGCGTCACGATTCTCGTCATCATGTGCGCAATCTGTGTCATTCGTCGAAAACGGGCGTCCCTGCCGGGCTGGCTGACGCGACTGTTCACCGCGCCGCCGCCTCCTAGATACAACCACAGCCCGCCGCGTGTCATCACGTTTGACACCAAGCCGCCCAGGATCGACAGTGCCATACCGCGCTACGAGCTACAGTTGACGAATCGGGATAGTTGGTCGGCTACGAGTCTAGGCCGTGAGCCGCATCCGGGGCGCAACGTGTTCCGGGAGGAGATGATGAGGCAGAATAGGCAACGTGGATGATTGGTTTGTGATTCATACATGACAAGTGTTCGCCATTTCACTCGAAACAGCAGATTCTCAGGATAGAGATCCGTGGCAGTGTAGTTCTCTGTCACTTTGAAGTTTCATGATTTCAAGTCGAGTGTAGCATTGAGCATTTTCCAAAAGGAATAGCATAATTTAATAATGATTGCGCCTACAAACTATAACCTATCTCTGCCAAATTCTCAATATCATTCTTCGTGTTGACCATGCAAGAGCTTCGCATACGAGAACGAGGTAGGAAACCGGCGCTGTCCTGGCAAAAGTTGGCCATGTTACTCATAGATGAGTGGTCTGGTCCAACGTTAAGTTAAGATGGGCAGAAGTTGGCTCTACGACAAAGGACACGAGATGACAGGTGCGAATGGTAGTAAAGACATGAACAAATTATGCTTGAATAGCGACAGTGGTCACTGGGAGTCATACCGTGATTCATTGTGCTGGGTTTTACTTCTTTATTTTATTTTTGCGTCAAGTCGTTGAATGTACCGCCGGCTGGCCTAACGGCATGATTATCGTGGTCTCATGAGCCTGAGTGCTACGTGGGTTGTGATCACATCAACAGATGACCACTCTATCTTCACAAATTGTGTCTCTGTTCACATTTGTGTGCGCCCTGAACGCCCCCATATGCCCCGTCATCTTCATAGAATGGTTCCGAATCCAAAAGTAGTCTTGATGCTTCGTACGTAGTATTCCAGCCAGTTGCGCTTGGTCACATCCTCTTGGCCGATGGGCACACCAGTCCAGTTGACACGCATGACAGTAACACCATCAACGTCGTTTTGGTCAAATTCAATGACCTGCTTCGAGTAGTGGCCGGCGGGCCACTGGTTCAATCGCCATGTCTGGACGATCTTCTTGGGCTCTTGGAGCTCGACGTACTCTCCAGAGACGTTGCCGTCAAACAGCTCCCACTTGCCACCCTGCTTGGCACCCTCGAATTTCTTCGGAGAGGCACGTGTAAAGGCAGCCAGGCGCTGAGGGTCGGTGAAGGTCAGGTAAAGCTGTTCGGCAGTGGTTCTGAACTCTTCTTGATCTGACACGGTAGTCGTGTTGACGACGCTGCCGGCGTTCTTTTGGGTGCCGGCAGCGGCAGACGACTGACCGGCAGCGCCGCTAGGAGCGTGGATCTTGGGTGTGGAGAATCCGCTCGAAGGGTTGGAACCGGGAGCATGCTGAATGTCCTTGCCGTGCTCAGCAATTAGAGCTGGCGTCAGCTTGAGGAACTCCTTGCGAAGCTTGGGCACGAGTTTCGAGCGAACCAGATCCTTTACGGGCTGCTTCTCCTTGGACTCGGAGTGGATGTCGATGTCAAACTAGCTTGGATCAGCGACGAGTCCGGACATGTGTTTATCCAAGGCAACTTACGACGAACTCATCCTCTTCAGTGTCGTGAGCAACCTCCGGGACGGTGATGGTGCCAGACACATCCTCGATATCGGGAGCGGTGCCTAGTATTTGGTCAGCACAAAGTTCGCCAGTGCATCAACGAGTAATTGCGACATACCAGAGTACTCGAGGACGAGCTTGACGTCGAAAATAGTGATAACCTTGCCCTTGCGCTGGCTCACGTCGACATCACCATCCATGCTGACCACCTTGGTGATCTTGGCATTGACACCCCCCTCTTCGGCCGAGACCTTGGTCAAGTTCTCTGACAACCATGTCTGGGCCCAGTCGCCAGCATTCTTGCTGACCCAGTGCCAGTTGTTGGGGTTGTGAAGGGCCATGTTGGTGGTTGGAGCGTTGAATCGTGGATGGAAAATCTGCGATTCGCAAAAGAGAATCGTTAGCGCGGGTCAAAGACAAATTGTTGCAGTCGACAAGTGCGATTGGTAGAAGAATTGTATCAGAGATAGGTCTTAGACCACAGCATTTTGGTCATCAATGGAGGGAGTACAAGTCGCCCTATGACTGGTGCCAGCTGGATGTCTCATCATGTAGGTAGAGCGTTAAGTGTGGTGAAAGGACGGCTAGGCAGGGAGAGGTTGGGAGCAAAGTTGCCGGCGAGGGCATCGAAGCTCTTTTTTTTCTCCTTCGAGATAATGCTTACTTACCAGTTGGTTGGGATGTCACAAAGTTATTTTGTTCAACTACTACATATGCGTTGAATGAATAGCAGGAATGTGCCGAACAAACAAACGGCAAGTAGGTAGGAATAAGCGAGTAGGATTATGTAGGCAAAGGCCTGAGTCGGCAACGCAGGGGCACAAACGGCCACGGCAGAGTAAGAGAGCTTTCTTGATAAATTCTAGAGCTTTCTGAAGTTCTTTTCTAGGCTGGCTGGAGTGGAGTGGAGGGGCAGAAAGACTCGGTGAAAGCTTTTTCCTGATTGGTAGGGCCCCACTAGCCAGGTGTCTGTAAGGGCTCCAGTTGGTGAATTGTTTTGCACTCAAATTAGCCAGCTGCAGCCCCGCCCTCCTACGCCGTCGCCCTATTATACCCCACCATCCATCTTGAACAAGGTACCAAACGCTCACCAACGGAACACCGCGCACTACCGACGGATGCAAAGACAGTTTGTTGACGAGATGCCAGGTACAACATGCCATGATAGTAAGCCTGGACTCAACAATAATGCATGTGAATTGCCGTTGCATCCCGTTTTTGCATAGTTGTATTTTCTGACCTTGGGTCATGTCATGATCTTGACAACCTTCTAGAGACACTTCGGCAACCCACATTGTCTTTGATATGCAGTGAAATAGGTGTGAATACTTGGGGTTCGGCCCTCCAAAGACTCAAACATGTCTTGCAATAGGTCCCTACTAGTAGCTTCAGAAAAAGAGGTCTGCATTAAGATATCCCGCCTTGGGCATCTCTTGATTTGTGCTTGCGTAGGTATGGCCAAGTCTGCCAAACCCTTATAACCACAGATCGACTCCGTCAGCCATAGACACACAAACATTGGGTCATTCATACTCCCCTCTGTGTACGTATCTACTATAAACAAAGAAGAAAAGAAATATTCCTACAAGAAGATCTTGGGGATCCTTGGCATTTCATCACTACCTTGTGGATACCAAGTAGGCATCCCTCAGACGAACGCTGATGCATCATTGAGCAGTCAGTGTTGGAGCGAGGTACATGTTGGCTTCTATGTTTTGCAGAAACAGTCTTTCCATTATTTGTAAACTGGGATATCAGATTTCTCGACAATCGAGGTAAATTCTGACAGCCCATATAAGGTTTAAAAGACTGCAGTTAGGAGTTGACCAACACTCAATCCTCCCCCATTGGTGCACGCGGCCCTGCTTATTAGCGTCTTAGTCAATGTCGTCACCAAAATAAGCATTTGTGGCCGCTTCCTAGTATGCATCTGACCAAGACTGTCAATCGTATTGCATTTTAGTATTTCCTGTTTTTGATTTCTGTAAATTATTATTTCCAGAGGCCTCTGCGAAATAAATGTATCTTGTCAGTTTTGCTGTGAAAAAAATATGTCTTATACCAACGAACGCACGCGACTACTCCAGGACCGGAGAGATGAGGCGGAGGAAGTCCAGTTTGCCAACGATGATGAAGAGGATCCTCGGCAGTGGCCACTCCGTTGGAAGTATGTTCAGATTCTCATGATTTTCTTCATTGGCTTGGTACTCCCGATGGCGAGCTCCATGTTCGCACCAGCCATAGATGATATTGCCCAAAGCTTTGAGGTGGACAAGCAGCTTGTCCTGGGCGGGCAAACAGCATTTGTTTGTTTTCTCGGTATCGGACCGCTCTTCTTCGCCCCCATGAGCGAGACGTTTGGCAGGAGAAAGGTGTACTTGCTAAACATTTTGCTGTTTTGCTTGACCCAAATTCCGACGGCACTGGCCCCCGAAATTAAGACATGGCTCGTCTCCCGGGCCTTTTCCGGGCTGTTCGCGAGCGTTGCCATTGCCAATGGAGGTGGCACAATCTCTGACCTCTTTAATGCTTCTGAGCGGGCCACGGTGTCGGGGGTTTATTTCCTGGCACCTTTGTTGTCGCCAACTTTGGGCCCATTCTTTGCTAGCCTCATACTGGCCAGACTCGACTGGCGTTGGATCTTCTGGATTCTCTTCATAATCAGTGCGGGCCTTTTTGTCTCTTGCTTCTTCCTACTTTTTGAGACACAATCCATGGCGATCCTCGAACAACGAAAGTCCAGTCTTGAAAAGAAAAACCCCGGCAAGAGATATGTGCTCAAGGGTGGATCTGAGCAGTCACTCCTAGGGAAAATCGCCAAAAACTCGACTATAGCCACAAAGATTCTGTTCCGGCAACCTATCGTAATGGTCATTTCCATCTACCAGGCCTTGATATTTTGCACCATGTATAGTTTGTACAGCAACTATAGTACTATCTGGTCCGGCGATCCCTACAATTTCGATACTATACAAGTTGGTCTGGCGTATCTGGCCCCCGCCGTTGGATTCACCATGACGGCACTCATTGTCGTCCCATTCATGGACCCGGTATACAAGAAAATGCAGGATCGCTTCAATGGCGGCGATGGTAAGCCGGAATACCGCTTACCCTTGGCAAATATTGGGGCGATCTGTCTACCAGTTAGCCTCTTTTGGTTCGGATGGGCGATCGAAAAAGGTCTCCATTGGACGATAGCCTTGGCCGCGATGCTATTCTTTGGTGCTAGTCAGATCTCTATTTTCAACGCTTTCCAGAATTACTACATTGATGCGTTCGAAAGCAAGGCGGCCTCTGCTCTTGCTGCCGGCGCTGTCCTACGAAGTATGATGGGTGGGATTATTCCACTGTTCACCCCAAAGATGTTCGAGAAACTGGGTTACGGGTTGGGCTTCAGTGTCTTCGGAATAGTCAGTGCCATGCTTATGCCAGCTCCTTTACTATTTACTCGATACGGCAGCACATTGAGAGAGAAGTTCGCGGTCGAGGATTAGCTGTTAGGCAATACATGATTTGGCCAAAACGTGGTCAAACATTTCTCAAACCTGTGCCTTGTTTAGCACCTTTGAGTCGATCCAGTTTCGATGGGTCATGTGAGAATTCATCTCCTCTGATACTGCATCGGCCTCGAATAAGGAACGATGTCCTTCACAATTGCACATGGCGATGCCTCCAGCCGTACGCGTACGACCACATCCAGGGTCATCAGACATGCAAAAGAAACACTCTGACAAATGGCGCAATGATCATTGATACATATTTGATGTCGCGTCAAGCCACACTCTGTTCCGCTCACGAGGCCTTAAAATAAATTTACAATTAGTAAGCCTTCGTCTCTAGTACCTATATGACTGACAGCCGGAACGTGCGCCCACAAACCGGAATTTCCGAATGGGGGTGGGTCTGCCATTGTCGTAAACGAGTACTCGGAGTTATCAAGTGGTCTAGAGTAAACCGATAACACGCTATCTTGCGACCGAAGCTCCGAAGTTCGAGCGAGTTATTAATCCTGGCAGATCGTTTCTTTAATTAATTGTCACGAGTTTCACATGTCGGTACATATCAAGACCGACGGGGAAGATATGTGGCGCGACTATAAGTTGCACGCTAGGGCGCTTCCGCCATCGGTTCTACTCTTGGCTAATGAATGAGAGTCATTGATTGTTGCAAAACTATACCTTCAAGATGCACGTTTTGGGAATCAGCGCTGGAACGCTGAATGGCAATTCGGAAGTTCTGCTCAAAGCTGCGCTGCAAGCGGCAGAGCAAGCACTCCCGGGGCTGACGACATCCATGGCCCGTATAAGGTACATGCGGTCGCCGAGAAACGGCAAGCCGTTGCCGCAATCAATTGTGCCGCACATCACCACGTATAGACCAGATGCCCCAGGGACCGACGACGTCGATGACCGGCCGGCACTGTACGATGCCATAATGAAGGCCGACGCCATCATCGTTTCGACCCCCGTGTACTCGCATCTTCCCCCGGGCCACATCAAGTGCTTCATCGACGACACGCTAGGCCCGGGAGCCGACATTGCGCTGGCGCTGGCCACGGATGAGGAAGGGCAGGGACTGGGTCGAAAGCCCAGGTCGAGCATTGATCCGCGTCTGTACAAGGCCCGCGTCTCTGCTTTCATGGTTGTCGCCGGGAGTCCGGAGGACATGCCCGAACAGTGGACGCTCGGCCTCGTAGGGCTGCACCAAAGCATGTACAGCATACAGGCAACGACGGTCGACCAAGCCTGCTTTGCTGGCTATGGACCTCCAGGATCCGTGTGTTCGGACGAGAAGAACACCATCGCGCGGGCACAGCTGCTGGGTCAGAGGGTTGTTAGCCAACTCGGCCAGGCCGTGGGCGCTGCGCAGTTTCTTGGCGAAAGCCAGGAAGGAAGCTGCCCCTACTGCCATCTTTTGACCATTAGTTTCCTCGGTGGTGGCGACAACATCATGTGCACCACGTGTGGCGCACGGGGCCGTCTCTTGGTACTCCCTGGCGGCTCATTCAAGCCCGAGTGGGAGAAAGACTCGGGTGTGAGCCACCTGACGCTGAAGGGGAAGAGGAAACATGTCGACGACCTGATTGTCAATTCTCAGAAGGGCATGCCTGATCATGACGCCCAACGGAAATACACATACTGGAAGGAATTGGACGTTACACTCGTTGGAGATGCACGACACCAAAAGTCGACGCTGTAGTAGCATTGCAGGACTCAAATTTGTGGAAGAGGTTTGAGGTGACGTTGGCAAAATGTGTTTCCATAGAAGCAACCATAGACGTGCAGTAGACGTGATAGAATGTGTTGTAGATGCAATGCTCCGTATCTGGAGTCGCTAGAGATAGACGGCTATATTGAATGGGTACGTAGGTAGGTAGTGAGCGCTTAGGTAGTGGATTATTGGCATGGTTTCATCCATTATCCTAATCCATTTGCCTACCTTACCTAGGTGGTCCATTGATTCATCACCAACTGATAGCATTCCAATGTAGAACGAAGGTCGTGATGCCGAATTGTGGGTTGAGCCAAATTCACTCAGAGCAGCAGGGCTCCCTTCGTGGATATTTCTAAATAAAGATTGCCTAGCAAAAAGAAACTAGGTTGTCAACTGGCACATTGATGAAAGCTTAAGATAGCAGCAAACTAATGTAGGGACGGCTCATGCAAATTACAAGTTGGGGGACGAAATGCAAATGCCGACCCTTCTTTGTGGAACTCGATATGTGTACTACTGTAGGTATCGATGATCGCACGGGACTTGGCGATGCCGGCGCATGTCAACCTGCTGTTGCTATTATTTGAGTACAGGTTGATCAACGGGGGCGGCATCGACTGTTGGGTATGGCCTGCCCTACCTTCTACTACACTAAACAAGGTATCGCTGAATGGGTCCGCTTCCCTGAAAAGCTTATCAGCATGGCTCCGAGGTTCATACAAAGGATAGTCGGGTTCGTTGAACTGCTGTTGTTGGTCCAGTGTAGGTCAGTGCGCAGAATATATACCCATCTTCATGCAGATTAGGTAAAAGTCAAGATGCCTCGGAGGGTGATCGTTTCTTGGAAGGTAATTTGCCCACTATCATTGCCCAGGGACAGATCAAGGTTATGTGCACGACAGCGAATCATGAATGCCGCTGTTGCTGGACTCAGGGCACCTCTAAGCGCCGGGTGTCCTGATCGAGTAACCACTAAAGACTCGGCCAATAGCAGTCCACTATAGGACTAGGTGCCTAAATATAGAGTACACTCCACTGTGAAACCCGGCCAATGACAGGCTTAGATCTTTTACCCTTGACCGCGGGCAGAATCTTGTCCCGTGTCTTCCCATTTGTTCGATCATGCTGAAGCTTGCCCCTTCTTGCACGCTGTTGGCTGCCCACCGCTATCCGGTACAGGCCAACAACTATCTGCCTGTCTGCTACTGTTGGCTTTGAATATGGCCATGCAGCTAGCAAGCAAGACATTACATGGGTATGGCGACCAGATGGACCGGCCATTGTCGACAGCAGGGGGGCCGACGCGGGTCCACGAGCTGACCATGCAGAGAATCTGCGTCGCGCAAAGATGGCAGCCGTCTTCCGGTCGTGGATTGCTACCCACGAAAATAAAGGGTTACTTGATGACTGCAGCGCGCGACGGGAGCTCCCATCCCATGGACCCTTGAATGATATTCTGTGAGACAAATAATCTCGATTGCCGTCTGAAAGATTGCATACATTGAGAGGAAATCTTGGAGCAGCACATGTTTGGCTTGCTGCTGCCGGGGTGCAACGACCACAGAGTACCACCATCGCTGCTCAGTTCAGTCCAGTTCAGTGGTCCCCCCCGACAGACATCCATCTGTGCCTGCAATACATATGCACGTCGACAAGACAGGTCAAGACTGCCAAGAGACTAGAAGAAGCCCATGTTCTTTCAATGTGACTGCCGACACTCGCTCAGTCGTACCATTATCACTTTTTCTATTTCCTGCATCATTTCTTGTCTCTGTCTTGCGAGCCCTGAGTAAGCAATATCGATCTTGCGATCGCTACTCTGGTGTTACAGGTGCGCCCGTCTGAAGTGTACTCAATATTCCAATTGAAGATACACACCAAGGGACATCGATGGGATTTGAGTATACCGCAGGATCCTCTCGCTTGTTGTGTTGAGTGAGGGGTACGGACCTCACGCCATATTGTGAGGTTGGGGGCTCAAGTGCTGTCCAGGGTCGGTTTCAGTGAAGAACGAGGCCTTCAGACCCTTCAGAGATCAATCATCGCACAACCTTCGTGTCGCTTTCGAACTCGGGTCTCACAGCCAACAATCCGCGACCATGACCTCTGCGCGTGAATCAACCTCGCGACTCCGTCAGACGCTCAATCCGCTGCGTACATCGTCACTCACCGGCTTCCAAGGCCAACTGGCTACGCCGCACTCGGCCATTTCGGTATCATCGCCTTATGCCTATTCCGCGGTACAAACTCCGGCAAGTTCAATCCAGCCGTATAATCCACAGCAATGGGCTCCTTCTCCGGCCGTGGAGCGGACACATCAGTTTCCCAGCCAAGCGCCCCATGAGCCTCCACAATGTAAGTGGCCAAAGTCTGAATATAGTCAATTCGAATCACAGTGAACTTATATATTCACTGTAGCCTCGCCGCTCCCGCCGCCACCGTATTCACCACCGCGCAGTCAACAACCCGCTGGTGAAGCATTTGAGACACCACCGCCAAACTCATCAGCCGCCCGTATACAGCCGACAGCTGTACATAGGCCGTCACCCGAGCCTCCGCGTCCTCAGAACTTTCCGCCACCTCCTAATGCCTCAGGCCGTGGCCCTTCGCGCGAGAGGCGATTTGGCCTCCCGTCCTTGACCAGGAGACGAGACAGAGATGCCGCGGAAGCAAGCAGTCCGCCTAGTGCTCATCCAGTGACTCCAATATCGAGGCCTCAGCCACTATCAATACAAACGGTCCAGCTGCCCGAGAGGATTGAGCCCATGCAATCATCTGCGCCTCCCAATGCTAGAAGAGCCGCCTCGGCAAGTGCAATTGAGACACCCACATCTGCCCGATCACGTTCTTCATCTCAGTCACGATGGGCTCCCGGATTACCACTGCCCCCTCCTCCACCAGGGCCGCCCCCGTCGAACTCCAGGTCCCAGAGTCTGAACAGAACGATCGATCCAAATCCAATCTTGTCTCCCCCAACAAGAAGACCGCCCCCAACCGGCGTGGCTACTCTTGGGCCAGTCCCCCCAACGCCGGCGGATTGGGTGGACGATGATCGACAGCAGGCGAACCGGGCGGCACAGGCCGGCCTGAGTCTAGACACGTCCAGCGCCTCCAGTGCGGCTTCGCAACCCCCCGAGTCTGCTACTCCTGGGTCAAGTCCGTCGGGTGGTAACCTGACGAGAACCGGTGCTGTTCGAGGGGAAAAGTCGCTCCGCGAGAGACGCAACGAAAGTCGGACCAGACATACTCGGGGTGAATCATCAAGTTCCAACATTCCCCCCTTGACGGATATCCTAGTGCCGCAAGGCGCGGCTAATTTGTCGCAAAAATTCTCCGTGAATAAAGGAACGCCTCGAAGTGGAGGTCGGTCTGCGCACGATACAACCTGGTCCGGCGACCTCAACAGTGATTCTAGGAATTCAACCCCGCGCGTCGAGAGTGCTGGCCTGCAACATCCCGAAACTCCGACACCACCTTTCTCGCCTCGGCCACAAAAGACTTATACAGGACTGGAAAATGCACAGGCGATTGCACCCAAGGCATTACCAACCCCTCCGCCTCAGAGTCGATCAGCATCCAGTGCAAGCGTGACACGGCCAGACATGCACAGTTCTATAAGTAGTCTAAATATTGGCCCAGCTCCATCTACGCCAATGACCAAACAAAGCGTCATCAGTCAGACGGCCGACCAGTTTTGCAAAGGCACGATTGAGCGGTTCCGAAATTTTGCTGAAAAGGAATCTGCCGCAGCTTCGGATGCTGACCGTGTCAAGCTATTCGCTGATTTCATCGTTAACGAATCTCGCCTACGCAGAGAGCGGTACAATTCCGCCATTGGTGCCATGGGCTCCGAGATCTTTGATCTGACCCGGGATCTTTTCCGGCCAATGAAAATGAGGCGCGACTCTGACAGTTCTCAGGCAAGCGAATGGACACCTCAGGTCTCAGCAACGCTCCCACGGAGCTCGACTGGCTCGTTATTTGGAAAGGAGCCGGCCAGCCAGCCAAATTCGGCGCCTGTCTCTGCGGGAGTACCGATCTCACCGGTTGGACCTCCTCCAAATGTGAATTGGAGCTCTGGGTATAAGCCAGCTCTGTCACCAATTCTCAGTATGAGCGTCAGTGATGCGTTTGATGAAGCCGATTCTCGGGGCCGCCCATCAAGCAGATGGTGGGAAGCAGACTCGGCGGGTGAGGCCTCAAATCGAATGGAGAGGTCGAAACGGGAATCAAAGTATATGGGCGTCCCCAAAGAGGCACGAGAAGCCCTTCAGTGGCGCGATCCACCCAACAGCGCGGAAGCCTTTGCAAGTTCGAGCAAAGGGTACGGTCCGGATGAGTACCCAGCAGAGAAAGTTGGATGGCACGAGCCTGAGCTGTCAGGTACGCCCCAGAACTTTAGGCGATCGCTGCTCTCGCTTCCCGCCTCGACTCCAAACACGCCCAGCCCTTCACATGTAGATGTATCGCGTCTGGTGACGTTACCACCGCCGTATCCCCGTCACCATCCAGCTGTGAACAATAATCATCCAGAACTGACCGAGATTCGCACGCTTGTACGGACCTTGTCTGATATGAAGGAGTTGGAGGAGACAAGAGAGCGCTTCTACAAAGACAGCAAGAGAATGAGGACTGAAGCAGCCGATTCTGTTCAAGGCAGTCGACAGACCCTGAGAATGAATTTACGTCGCGAAGTTAGTTCCGGAAGCATGTCCTACGCTGACGCCGCCGCCATTGAGGCAGATGCCGCCGAGGTGGAAAAGTCACAGTCCAAAGAACTAGAGAAGAAGGATTTCGATCGGTTCCAGACTGGTGTGGTCATGCCCTTGAATGAAATGCTTACTGGCCGCATTGGACAGGCGACTTCACTATTTGATGAGCTGCGATCGAGACTTTTTGTTGACACACATACGAGCGATCCCAATCTGCCTCAGGAAGAAGGCGACGAGCAGCCAGAGCTCTTGGAGAAATTGACACTGCTCAAATGGATCTTTGAGGCTCGAGAGATGCTTCACAGGGCGATTTTTGATTTGCTGAGCGAACGTAATGATCGCTACAAGGAAATGGCCTTGATTCCCTACCGACTGTCTGGCAACGACGAGAAACTCCGCAATGCCGAAGGCTTCTTTGCTGAAGATGCCGAGAAACGTCGAATCGCATTTGCCAAGGAAGTCATTCAGCGCACCGTCGAGTTCCGCACCGTAGTGGAGGAAAACGTCGAGCGCGGCGTCGACATGCAGCTGAATGCCTTTTGGGATATTGCGCCTCTACTGAAAAGTCTCCTAGAAAAAGTCCCCACGGACCTGAAAGATTTCCGCATACAGATTCCAGCTCATGAGTATGAGGAGAATCCAGACTACCACCCACATCCAATGCAATATCTGTATTCGTTGGTAATGCATACAGAGAAGAGTACTTACCAGTTTATCGAGAGTCAGACAAACCTGCTGTGCCTGCTGCACGAAGTCAAGGAGGCAGTGATGGGTGCCAAGGCCAAGCTCAGTGAGGCCGAGGGGCGCGATGGGCAGGTCATCGAAGAGGAAAAGAATAGCGAGCAAGTGTATTTGTCCGACGACCTCAAGGAAAAGGTCCGAGTGGTCCAGAGTCAGTGGACCGAGGGATTGGGAGAAGGAATCCGTCTGGTCAAGGAACGGCTCGGCGAGTGGTTGCTGAGTACGGGCGGTTGGGACGAGTCGCTTGAGGAACTCAGCATCGCATCCTAAGAGTTTGTCTGAAATCTGATGATGCGAGAGGACCTATAGCCGTACTTTTTGTGATTTACCTTTATGTCGCTTGATTGATACCCCTGCGAATTTTGCATGGTTTTATGATTCATATCGAGAATAGTTGAAGAAATTCATGGGACCTGTGCGGACTGCATATTACAATCGAATAGCTTATATTGATGATTCGTGTCATTTGATTTTAGTCTTAGATGATGAAGTCATTGTTCAGCACTTTCATCGAATAGTATGGTGTTAATGATTTCGCAGCGACCACCTCCACGAACTTCATCCCATTATTTTGACACACAACCTGGCAAGGTGATCTATGCCCTTGGGCCATTTACTCGCGATCGTGGCCATTATGCAGAGCCACAATCGTAGGGTCAATTTATTTATGATAAGGCGATCGCCCTAGCCAGTAAGAGATACATCCCTTGAATCCGACGCATATGACCTGCGTCAATGCAGCGCACTCACGCTATAAAGTAGGCAGCCGGCGGCCTGGGCGACATCTGAGTCACCATGCTAAGATGTTTGCCTCAGAGCAGGTGCATCTAGATTCCAGTTCAAGTAGTCTGCTCGGTAGCTAGTCTCGATAGAAGATAACTATAATTGAGCACTTGGGGCATCTAGTCAGCGACATGTGAGACTATAGTACTTGAAGTTCATATCTTTAGCTTGAACTGCCAGCCCAAGCTCCTTTGAACGTCTTCAACTTTTCTTCTGCCTCCGATCTGGATTGAATTAAAGATTTTGTAGACTCGATACTGGAGGACTGGCGATTTGGTGATGCCGGCAAGTACCTGGTTTACTTAACATCATTCAACCAAAAGAGCACTCATAATGTTCGTCAAATGGAGTTTATTTTCCTTGATTGGTCAGACCAGTCCTTTTCAACAGTTCATATGCCTCCAATGCGCTCAAACAACGTCAGAAAAGCCGGTTGAGAGTCTACAAACTCGCCACATTCGACGTGAGCGCCACAAACAGACCAGACCGTACCAATGGGCCGTGGAGGCAACCTCGGCCAGAGACATCGCGGCGACTGGGCAAATCTGATAGGAGGTTAAAGAATCGAGATTGGTCGTTGGTGGCGCCAAACATGTTGGGCAAAGAGACGATTGAGGTCGCCGGCTAGGAAAGACTCCCTTGTCTTGATATCGATAATGCTTTGACCTTGCAGCGATAAGCACCGTGGCGCAATAAGGTTTCTGCGGGCGGGCACACCGCGACATATTACTTGCATCCTATTGTTGGCTGCCATGTTTCAGAGCTGGGAGAGAGCATCTCGGTCAGTATCACGCGCAAGAGGCGAGCTGAGACCTACAGAGCAGATTTGTCCACTAGTCCGTCAGGATTTGTCTGAGGCGGTCATGGCCACGACTCAGCCAAGACAAATTTCTCCAAGGTGTGGCATGGACCATAATCGAGATATTGTCTTCTCCCCGCCTCATATTGTGATTGAGACCTCGATCTGAAAGAAGAATTGAACAAGTTCCTGCTCAGTCAGTGTAGTGCAATACCGCCAGTGTATGACACGATTCTTCCACAATTCTTCGTATGCAGTTTGCGCGACGCAGTATATTGACTGCGTGCGCACATTCGTATCTTTGTCATTGAAACAAATCTCCGAAATAATTCAGCATTCCTGTTGGGTGACAGTATCGGAAAAGGACCTAACGGCAACTCTCACCATTTCGATTTGCTTAGAAGTCTGCCAAGGACATCAATACGCAAAGCTTCATCCCATTTTGCGCCACTCGTTTGCAAGATCTTGATCCGATTCCTGTTACTCCTTCCTGATATTATTGAGAGATTTTCAAAGATTATAAACTGAAGAAAGCAACAAGACAAAAAGGAGAAATGCATTCTTTCCAAATTGACAAGTCCTCCATCCGGACAACAGAGCCGCCGAACCGAGCACTGGACGACTGGCATCACCCAAGGAGCAGATCAGTACTGATATCTCTTCGGGCGTATCCAAAAATTGCCTTGTACTCGTTTGCCCTGAGTCTTTCGGCCTTGCTGGTGGGGTACGACGTTGTTATACTTGGATCCGTCGTCGCTTTGCCGATATTTCAGTAAGTCTCGAATTGCATAGTTCAATATGTTTGAAGAAAGAGATACTTATCAATCAACACAGGCGAGACTTTGGCGAACAGTATGGACATTCATCAATCATACCATCCATGTGGCTCGCCCTCTGGAATGCGTCCAGCTTTATCGGCCAAATGTTTGGCGCCATCCTGGGCGGTTGGGTGCAGGACAAGAAAGGCCGACGAACTTCTTTGATAGCTGGCAGCTTGGTCTCGGCCGCCGCCGTCGCCATCTGTTACACTTCGTACTTGCCCGAGGACGTGGACGCGCGCCGGGGCATGTTCCTCGGCGGCAAGGTGGTCATGGGCGTCGCCCTGGGCATGCTCATGGCCACGACGCAGACCATCATTTCCGAGATTGCGCCGCCCGATCTCCGCGCCTCGGCCCTGGCGCTCCTGCCGACCAATATCCTGCTCGGCCAGTTCCTCGGGTCCGCGGCCGTCTTTGCCCTCTCCAACGACGGCACGCGGCGGTCGTACCTGGCCGCCCTGGCGACGCAGTGGCTCTTTTTCCTGCTCGTCTTCATCGTCGCCGTGGTCGCGCCCGAGAGCCCTGCGTACTTTGTCTCCAACAACCAATATAGCAAGGCGTTGCGGTCCCTGGCCCGGCTGCACACGTCGCGGGTCGATTTGCCCGCCATGCTGGACCAGGTTCGGCATTTTGTCATTCACGAGGAACAGTTCTTCCGCGACAAGAAGTACTTTGACAGCTTTGGGCGTAGGCACCGGCGGCAGACCATGATTGTGCTGTTTGCGGGAATCATACCACAGTTATTCGGGCTTGGCCTTTTGTCGCAATCTGGATATTTCATGCAGACCATAGGCATGCAAGCCACCCTGAGCCTGGCAGTCCTTTCTTTGGGGATCATCCTGGGCCTTGTCGCCAATATCATTGGTCTTTGGACCGTGAGCAAGGTTGGCAGACGAAAGCTGATTCTAATTTCCTTGACCATCTCTGCCTTTTTGTGGTTTGGCATGGGAGTCGCCGGTTTCTGGTCTGGCACAGCGACTATGTGGTAGGTCACTTTGTCTATACTCTTTGGCGCCGCCCTCTTCACAACAGCTAACCTTTTCTTTTCCCACTCTGTCAGGTACTCGGCAGGGACCTTCATGGCAGTCGTGGTCGTCAACGGCCTTGGCTCGTGGCCGGCTTCATATGCTGTTGCGGGTGAAACGTCGTCACTTCTGCTTCGTGGAAAGACGCAAGGCCTGAATTGGTTTGCCAATAGCTTATTCTCTGGAATTGTCAGCGTCGCTCTCCCCCTTCTATACAACCCAGACGCAGGGGCACTGGGCGCGAGGACGGGCTTTATTTTGTTTAGCTTGTGTGTGGTGGGGGTCTTTGTAAGCTGGCTCATCATTCCGGAAATGAAAGGTCGGGACCACGCAGAGATTGAAAGAATGTTTGAGCTGCAGGTTCCCACTCGGGCCTTCAAAAGGTGGTCCGAATCGGAGGATACGCAAGAGCTTCGTCAAATTTAAGATGGGTCGCAGTTCATCGCGCGCGAGACTTGGTGGTTTTCGAGTCGCTACGATATCATGATAAAAGCTGGTTTTATTTCTTCAAGTTTCATTGTTTCGCAGACTATTTCGTCCGTGCATAGCTTATTGAGCTCGATATTGCTGAGCCTTCCTTTCTCTCGTGACAGCTGCTCCGTCTTCATCTTTCACCTAACCCTATGTGCCTTTCAAATGACTTTTCTGATTTAAAGCGTACAAATATCATGTTGCCAATATCTGTGGCGGTTTTGTACAAGTCATTCAATGCGAAGAGGAAAGGTAAGACAAGTTGAAACGTCAAGAATGGGAACTCTGGTTGTCAAGGCTTAATTTGTGCGTTTACTTCTGTTTCAAAAGTCGAATAACATTACCTGACTCGCCAACACGTATTCAGATCGACCGAGTTGTAATACAGGAAATGATAAAATAAGAGGACTGCAGCCAAGGTCATAGAGCAAGACTTTTTTTTCCAGCTTTGAATCCAAGACTACTCCGTGTCGCGCGGGATCTTTCAGAGTAATTGTTTGTTCGTTTAATGCTCGTGTACATCGCGCCTCCCAAGCTTATTGGGAGCCATCACGTCAGGAGTGCTTGGGTGTGGCGATTTGGCCTGGGTTCATTGGAAACACGATACGTCTTACAGATGTAGTATTATTTGAAGAGATGATGCAGATATAGGTAGAAAATTGTAATAATTGAATGTTTCTATATCGTGTGCAGGCGGTGAATAAAAAGCCTATATATAAAAAGTGAAAATTATATACATGGGAAGTAGAAAAGGTATCTACGAGGCAGTAATGGTGATGGTAGTGTTGCCCTTGATGTCCTCGACGGAGGCTCCAATGGACAGGGTGTAGTCACCAGAGGCAATAGCCCAGTTCTGAGCAATGTTGTCCCAGTGGCTGATATCACGTCTGCGCACGCTGATGGTCACATCAGCAGACTGGCCCGCGGGGATATTGACCTTTTCGAAACCACGGAGAATGCGCGGCGGCTGGGCGGCCTCGGCCGGGAAGCTGATGTACAGCTGAGCCACTTCGGCACCGTCGACATCGCCAGTGTTGGCAATGGTTGTCGAGACGCTAATGACCTCGTCGAAGCTACCCTCGGGTCCACCGAGTGTGATGGGGCCGGTAGGGTACTTGGAAGCAAGCGCAGTTGCGTTGGTGACGGTGGCGGAGACTTCACCGTACTCAAAGGTGGTGTAGCTAAGACCGAAGCCGAAGGGGAAGCGGACCTCAATATCCTTCTGCTGGAAGTACCTGTAGTCAATGTAGATGCCCTCGGTGTAGTTGCACTGCTTGGTCTCGCAGGTGGGAGTAGGGTAGTCAGAGGCGTTCTTGGCAATAGTGTGCGTCAATCTTCCGCTGGGGTTGACATCGCCGAACAGGACATCGGCAATGGCACGGCCACTCTCTTGTCCTAAAAGTCCAGAGTAGAGGACAGCCCTGACGTTCTCGAGCTCAATCCACTCATCCAACACACGGGGTCCGGCAAAGTTACCGACGACAATGGTGTTGTTGCAGTTCTCGGCCACGGACTTGACGAGGTTGTCTTGGTCAACGTTGGACATTTCCTGACGGTCGGCACCCTCGCCGGACCACGAGTTGATAAAGACCAGGCAAACGTCGGCGTTTTGAGAGTAGGCGTCGATGCTGGGGGTAGCACCAGTGCCGCCACCGAAACCACCTCCGGGGCCACCAGGTCCTTGGCGGGCGACGATGGAGTTGTTGGTGTTGCCGCCGCCAGGGCCTCCAGGGCCACCGCCACCGGGACCACCGCCACCAGGGAATCCGCTAAAGTCGGAAGGAGTATAGGTGTTGTTCAGCACCCACCAGATCATACCGCCATCATCAGCGATGCGAGGGTTCAGAACCTCGAAGGGGGTAATGAGGTACGAGAAGGATGCGTCACCGGAGCCGCAAGCGGTGGCAAGATGGCCCTGGTAGATATCGCTCGGGGTTCCGCCAACGGAGAAACCCTGGTTGGGTCCGGCCATGCAGGGACCAGCGTGGGCACCAAAGAGGGCAACAGTTGCTGGCTTGTTGAGGGGCAATCCTCCGCCAGTGGACTTGTCGTTCTTGAGAAGGATGAGAGCCTCATCACCGACTTGCCTGATGACCTGCGAGTGGTTTGCGCGGACACCGCGGTCGATCATGGAGCTGCCGGCCTCTGGCTGGAGGCCATCATCGAGACCAACAAAGTAGTAGCCAATAATGTTACGGACGGCCATGTCGTCCAGACGATCTTGGGTAAGGTCGCCGTCCTGGAGACCCTTCAGGATTGTGACTGCGTTCCACAGTCCGGCAGAGCCACGGTCCAGTCCACCGTTGGCCGATCCAAAGGCAGTGTGTTGAGAGTTGACGTCGGGCATGACCAAGCCGGGGAAACCAGCGTTGGTCTTCAAGTAGCCGTTCAGGCCCTTGTCGCTCTCGCAGGAAAAGCTGTCGTTGACCTTGTTCATACCACACATTACACCCATGAGACCGTTGTAGACGGCATCAGCAAAGGGCCAGACATAGACCTCGCTCATGGTCTTGTCGTTGGCATTGGCAGAGTATCCTCCGTTCATACGGTTGGTCTCTTGTTCGTTGAGGATGTAGTGTCGACCGACACCAATGACACCGGCAGAGTTGATACCAGCGGTAGCCGCGCCGAACATGATTCCGGACAGGTAAGGGTCAGGAGAGAATCCTTCGGGCGATCTTCCACCCAGAGGGTCACGACCCAAAGGGCTGGCAACCGGACCCATGATCAAGTTGTAGCCGGAACCGTAGAACTCCTCACCAAGAGCCTTGGAGTGCAATTGGTACAGGGTCTTGTTCCAGGTCATTGTTGCAGCGTTGGGCTCAGCGAAACCGGAGACACTGATAAAAAAAGATACCGATTAATACATTAATTCCAGAGATACTTGCAAGTCTCGAATGACGGCAGGATTTGGCATCGGTAGAACACAGGTAGGAAATTTGCTTACAAGAAGTTCTGGTTGATACCAGCAACACCGTCCTTGCTCACGAGACCGGGCCAAGAGATATTGGCGGAAGTAACTCCCTGTCCGGTAATGACCTTGACCTTTTCAGCATTGGTCATTTGGTCAACCATGGCCTTTGCCTTGTTGAAGGCGTCGGTGGCCATTCCGAGCGACACTAACCATTGAGTTAGGGTATGAGCGGATGCTAGTATTGACTTGGGATAGTAGCAGGCTGTATGATTACTTACCAGTGCCATCTCCAAGGATCGGGGCATGCGAATCGGCGGCAGTGACTGTGCCGTTGCCATTGCTTGGAGCGGAAGAATTGGTGACTGCCAAGCTGCCGGTGATGCTCGAGAGCGCTGCGAGAGCGCGGAAGCTCTGGGCGGCCTTCATCGTGAACGACGGTGCTGTTGATTAGTAGTAGGTGCGGACAATCGGCCGGTGAGAGACATTTCCACAGATGCGAGGATGTTCTTGATTCATATACTCTTCGAGGATCATATAATTCTACGAGATTATTGCCCGGCATCCTATAACATGCAACCGAAAAAAGAAAAAAAAAAGAAAAGTCGTCGTAGACTCGTAGGGCCATTTGGGCCCCGCCAAAGCGACTGGGATGTTCATCAGCAGTTGGAAGATACCCTCCTGTCTGGATGTGTTCTCCGAGTATCTGGATCGCACTCAGTGGCACTCACTATGAAAAAATTAATATACAGAGTTGCGGGTTCGGCAGACGTTCCAGATATCGGAGATATTGCCCGAAACGCCAAGGCGACCCTCACGGTAGTTATCGTGCAAAATGAGACGCTACTAACTGAGAAGGTCACTAGGCGTCGATCCCACCGATGCCACTGCAGCCACATGTGAAGTGGGAATTGCAACAGCTCGGCAGCCAATCTCAAAAGTCGAGACCGATAGCAGGAAATCCCGGTTGTATTATAGCGGTGCCAAGTAATGCTATAGCTGAGGCGTCCAATCCCAAAGGCCCGGCTTTTCCATCGGATAGTGGGGGTCGCTCAATACCCTCAGGCGCCTTCCATATAGAGGCGAACAATCGCCATCTGGGCATTGATCGCCAACAGCAAGAGGTTGTCGGGACGCGTAAACCTCTTCAATCTCGTAGCATCAGAATCTTCTTTGTCATCTTTCAACGTGACATGTAATCACTGAGCAACTGCTTTTCTTGGCACTGGTACCTGCCAAGACCGCCTAGTTTGCAGATGAAGGGTCTCATCCTGGTCACCACGTGCAGCAACGAGATCGCAGTGCAGCTCAAAGGGTCCGTCGTTGGCTGGGACTGGATGTCCTATGCAGTCAGGATTCAGGAACATGGACGTTTCTCATTGTCGAGAGCGGTATTTGTGTCCATTATGCTACAGTATGACCAACCAGTAGCTGACGATTCTTCGCGCAATCAACCGTATTATCAATACCGGCGTGGTAAGCATCCGTCGGTTAGCGACGCGAAAATGTAACCGAAAATTCACCGCAAGGTAACAAGATAGGAGGAAAACAACCTCCAAAATCAACCGTAAGCGAGACTTCCGCGAGGAATTGATTCTCCGCTCGTAGATAGATGGATGCCAAGGCCGCGTCAGTCTTCCGTGTGAGCGCGCGAATGGATAGCATATCAATCTCGAATTGGACCAAGAGACGCCGTGCACGTGTTTCCGATTGGCTGTGCAACTATACAGGCTCGTATCATCTCGTTATTCCCAGGGAAATCCGATATATACGAATCCATACATAGTATAACCAACATTGGGCGTCAAAGCTCGCGTGCTCACCTCCTCGTCCTGGCTGGAAAGAACGCCGCGACCCGGAAAACCGTGCGAGAGCAGACTTGGTGAATTTCATGGTGCCTGCCAGAAACTATCCATGTGTTCAAGTCACAAGAATCATATGATTCAAATTGACCATAGAAACTGTCTCTTAGATAACGGAAACCCTCACAGGACCCTCCTCTGTCTGCAGCATATGACACTTGCCTCGCGCTCTGACAAAGCATATCAACAACCACCACGGAGCTGAGGTGCACAGCTTAGTCTACTCTCACTGCAATAAGGTCCATGCTGACCAAGAACTCGCGAGTGAGTTCCGGTAGTATCCAATAGTAGTACATGAGAGTTCTCGAAAAAGCTGTATGCTACATCTCAATGGGCGGGATCGAGAGATGCATGCCTGTCACCAGCGTATGGTTTAGTATTCGCAATAGCGAAACGATTTACAAGAGCTTTGATAGCAGGGAGATAGTATCAAGAGAAAACTCCTTCAGACCAATAGTCTGGGCGGTAATTGCTTTAAGAATCTAAGAAGGCAAATTGTAGAGTTCAGTAACATGAATACTTTGAGATATCGGTCATTAGGACCAGATTATGTTCTTGCTTCTGTTAATTATTACTAGCCACATTGTCACTTACCTGGCCAAACCCTAGATCTTCCGCCGATCACTTCTAATGCACTTCTATCACTATCGCTGCCAGCCATCTCGCTCTTTTGTTCTTCACGTCTTAATTTCATGCATTTCGAAAAAATCAACAGAAGTTGCAAAGTCCTAAGCGGGGCTGTTTGCATCAAATCAATTCTGACTTTGGGAAAGCAATTTCGCCGTCGAGCCATCAGCGACTGGTCATTTCACTGCGGCAACACCATGTACAATTCTTCTTAATTCTTTTATTTTTAATCAATACAGACAGGAGTGTAACATGATCAAATCAATTCTACCCACTATAGGCTTATATGGGCGACAACAGAGCTTGCATTCTACCTACCTACCAATCAATCACAAATGCGATTGTTCAACAAATGTTGAACGTCTCCATTGGCGGCAAATTGCCCGACTCATGCCTAAAGAAATCACTCGTCATCCTTCCATGGAGATAACATTCGCCCATGAAACGAAACAGCGTCTTTCTAAAACCCTCGTGGTCGCCCTTAAACGTCCAATCCTCGCCCTCAATGTCAGCCTGGTCCTCCATGGGTCGCAACACAAAAGGAACACCAGATCCTGGGAGTGCAACAACAATATCGCCCGGCTCCACATCTGGGGAGCACATGCCCATGTGCTCATCGTCTGTAATGAAGAAGCATTTGCCATGTCCGAGAAAAAGGAACGGGAATTGTTTCTCCCTTGGAATGCCCGACTTGAATAAGTGATCGAGCAAGTGCTTTCCAATTCTCGGGGGCAGGTACTCCATCTGCGGGTCGAACTGTGCCCATTCCATAGCGAAGCTGATAGATAGTTCTGGATCATCCCAAGGTCCAGGCATCAGAGTGCCGTCCTCCGATTCAGACGATTGAGCCTGATCGTTTTGTTGTTCATTGTCAACCAATTCGGTCGGGCCGTGATAGATTGGACTGAGCAAGAGAGTCTCGAGGAAGTCTCGAAACATGTGTTCCCTCTTGCCTTCATATCTACCCCCCTTGCGCCCCAACCACTCCTGAGGGCGTAGGGGAGCCACCTGATCTTCTACTTCGATGACATTGACCATCGGCCTCTCGAGATAACACCAAAGGGGGATCAGGCCTCCTTTCATTCGGTCACCTTGAACATGCGGCGAGGTGAGACTTATGGAGATATGCTTTTCGTGCTTGGCCATTTCCTTCTCCATCGGCTCGGTGGCCCACTTCTTCGTGATGATTGAACGCTCGGGGGGCTCTGAATCTGCAAAGCAACGGATTGGCAAATTGAAAATAGATTTCACCACGCCGATTCTCACGCCAGCCCACCTGAGTATGCGGTTCACTATGGCGCTGGGCAGCTCGTATGTGGGGTGCTTGAGTAAGTCGAACTGCCGAGTATCAAGCCTTGATGCAAGATCATACTTGTGCCCACTGTGCTGTTGAGCCTTTGCCAAACTGCTTACAGTCCAAGACCCGCCAGTAGTTGGCCACAATGCCCAGGACGGGTGTAACCGAACATCGAGACAAGCCTTTGGCTTTGGCAAGCTAGGATCGTTCAGCATGGGATTAAAGGGAAATAATCTCCGCGGGCCACCGCACAAGAGGCTGAGTACTTCGAGACCTCTACCATGCATTATGCAAAACCGGGTGAAATCGATGAAAACCTGGCTCAGGGATTTGCTATAGTCGGGCTGTATGAGATCGGGTATTGTGCCTTGGCTTCCATTTCCCTCTGCTGATAAGCCTATCAATGCAAAAAGTTTGTCTCGCAGGTCCGTCGCGTTAAACTCTTCATAAGTGTTGATGAAAAGATCGTACAATAAGTGTTTCGAGACTAAAGATGGGGTGCGTGGTTGGATAAGCTTCTGCTGGATCAAATTTGCCCAAATCTGTGGCAATGAACCATTTTGGCCCGTTGGATATATCTTTCGCCATAGCTGACGGAAGCGATCAGCAACTATGATCCATGCCCAGGGCACATGGGCCACTGTGACGAAGACGAACGTGCGTGCTGGTATTGCTGTTGCCTCTTGTAGCACCCATACACGTTTGAAATATGGATTGTCGAAGAGTGAGTCCAATATTTTGAAACAGCTCTCTGGTCCAAGCAGCTCTCCATCTAACTGGTAAGGTGTCCTCAAGAAGTGACGCATATGTTCTTCCTTTGGATCGATGGGGTCAAACTCATCTCCCCATTTCTTCCGTGTCAGCTTCATCATGGCATGGATCATGTTGAGTCCTCTCATGACGGCCTCATCTTCGCCGAGCCAGATCCAGACAAAGAATGCCGACGAGTAAATTTTGTTCATCATACCAACTTGATGATTACGTTCTTCAATGAGCCCCTGGTTGATGCATAAAGCATCTATCCATATTGGCTGGAAATCAAGTAGCGGGAATTGCTCCTTGACTCTAGGAGTGGCCTTGCGTATGCTTTTGAGAGCAGAGAATAGAGACCTAGTCACGTTGAACTGTTGTTTTGTGGAGCGTTCCACCGATATCATGGTAGGTCCAGAGTCTTCTTTCGATCCTTCCAGGTCTCGTGCCTTTTGGGTCTCCTCGGGTGCATCTTGGTATTGGTGGATGACGCTGATGGTCTTTTGGTCTCCCAAGTCGCCCCAGCAGTACGAGAGTGCGATGTAAACTATTTGGCCTTTTTGCCAGATTGGTGGCACGTCGAATAAGGCGCAGACGATTTCCTCGTCTTCATCTTCGCTCTCTGGTGGGAGAATCTGCATCAGACGGATTTGCTCATTTCCTGGAGTTAAGGTGATTGGGCGGTAAGCACTATAGTTGTTGGGAACACGTCGACTGGAGATATCATCATTGTCTTCAACTTGCAAGGACGACATGGCCTCGCCCGCTTGTTCTATGGTTGTTTCGCTTTCTTCCATCCTATGAGGCTATTACCGATCTGCCAGGTAGTGTTTGAGTTGGTTGCCTCGCAGAGACAAGATGCAAGAGCCGCAGAATTCAGGAGAAACGGACTGAGGAAGTCAGCATGAGCTCAAAATTCACAGTGATGCGCACCCTTGCGTGCCCGACGAGGAGTTGTGCAGATACCGCCGTACTGTGGCAATGAGTGCAGCTGCTCTTATATGTCAGTCTCAACAATCCGGCACAAGTGCTCCTCTTGTGTGTCAATTCAGCGGCGACGTTCCAAAAACTGCAAAAACTGTCAGACGCAGTGGCTGAGCTTAGATCATCGCCAGCAGGCAGAGATGTCAAAAGTGGAGGACTTCTTGGCTCACTCCACACCATGGGCAAGGGTTGAGTCGCCGCTTTCCTTGGACGACTTGGTTCACCTACAGTCTTGCGCTGACAGGCAGTTTATGTTCAAGGAGAGTCCTCTACGGTTTGCAATGATTATCATGTAGCAGATCATGACCGATAATCTGCTCATCATGACCAAAATTGCTGCATCTCACCTTCTTCATCTTGAAATTGCCTGCTACGAACAAGCGGAGGACAGATTCACAACGTGGATGGAAGCACAATGCTACAAAAAATAATACTCGGCAGTGTCCAAATGTCATTTACCGTGATAGGCAATCACTAATCGAGCGACTTTTATTCGTTATAGCTTGCTTGGGCGCGAGTACTAGTATATGAATGGACATACACTATAATGAGCCCCGCCTTCTTCCCCGGAAAATAAATGCTGAAGATCTATGCTACCTAACCGATGCGCGCTAACGTGAGGTTATGCTGCTGTGTGACGGCGGGATCTAGCAGGTGATTCGCGCAATGCTTGACCAAAAACGAACACGAAGAACGCGTGTATGGGTCTGTTCATCGGTTACGCTGTATCCGAAAGGCTTGTTTCATCCAGGACGTCATGTTAACATGATGAGATGTTATGCCCCACCGTTATGATAGGAAAAATGGGTTGCCGTTTCTCCATCTCCCTATTCAAGGTTCAAGCTACGGACTGTCACGAGACATGATCCATTTGTCGCCGGATGTTAGCAAAAAGTGTTCATCATCGGTATTCCTCGGATCCAAGAATTCATCAGGAATAGATTAAAGACATGTCGGTGCTCAACAAGATCTTTGCTTCAGGCGAAATGGCCGCTTCGCAGTATGCTGCCGCTGCTATACTCTTGGTATACACTCAAATGCTGTGCTAAACGAGTAGGACGCCTTGTTGATATGTGTAACAGATCTTTGGATGGCAGTTTACGACCATCTTCTATAACCTCTATTTACATCCGCTGCGCAAGTTCCCGGGGCCCGTCACCAGCAGGGCCTCGGGTATACCTTGGGCAATCCGCCACGCCACCGGTGTGCAAGCATTTCACACTCAGCGATTGCACGACAAATATGGCCCCGTCGTACGCATCGGGCCCAACCACCTGTCCTTTACTGACCCCCGGGCCTGGAAGGATATTTACGGGCATCGCGTTGGCGCCGAGTATGCCATGCAGGAAATGCCCAAGGCCAAGACCTTTTACAATGTGATCAAGAATATTCCTAGTTCCATTGTGAACACGGATCGCGACGAGCACTCGTCCCTCCGTCGCGCACTGTCGCATGGCTTTTCAGATAGTTCCATGCGAGAACAGGAGCCTCTGATCCAGCGCTATATTGACCTCCTGATCAAGAGGATCCACGAGAATTGTGATGGTGGTCGGACGACTCTCAACCTCGAAGCCTGGTACAACTGGACCACATTTGATGTCGTGGGTGACCTTGTTTTTGGTCAATCTTTTGGCTGTCTCGAGAATGTAGACTATCATCCATGGGTCGCCTTCATATTCAAAAGCGTACGCTTTGGTTCCGTGGCTGTGGCACTCACCTACGTGGGACTGAGCAGCTTAGTTCAAGCCATGTTCAAGATTAATGCTTTTCTGGCCATTAGCAAGATAAATGACATGATTAATGGATTCCTTCAAAAACGTCTCGATACAAAAGGAGAACGGAACGACCTATTTGAGGGCATTGTGAAGCGGAAGGAAGAGTTGGTAAGTAAAATAAACCCATCGTGTTTACCGTTTGATGCTAAACATTTGCCGAACAGAACATCTCCTTTGAGAAACTGTCCTCGAACGCATTCATTTTGACTCTGGCAGGATCCGAGACGACTGCCACCACCTTGTCAGGCGCTACATATCTACTACTTACTCATCCAACCATTCTGCAAAAGCTCATTGACGAAGTTCGTGGCAGTTTCAATAGCGCCGACGAAATCAACATCAATTCTGTCAACAAGCTCAGCTACATGCTCGCGGTTCTGAACGAGTCACTTCGCCTTTATCCACCCGTGACGTCGAGCTTGGCGCGAATGGTTCCTGGAAAGGGGGCAGATATAGCCGGACAATTTGTGCCTGCAGGCGTACGACACCTTTCCGATTTCTGCGAAACGATATGAGATTCTAACATGATTTATCAGACGTATGTAGAAATTCAACATTGGGCCATGAATCATAGCAAGGAGAACTGGAGCCATCCTTGGACCTTTGATCCCGAGCGTTTCCGGGGCGAATCCAAGGAGGCTTCAGAGGACAAGTTTGAGGCTCTCCAGCCTTTCAACGTGGGCCCACGCAATTGCATAGGGCGCAAGTACGTCAACTTGTTGACCATTTGAAAGGAGAAGATCCTTGCTGACGCGCACCACTTAGTCTTGCCTATGCTGAGATGCGGCTCATCCTCGCTCGTATCATTTTTGATTTCGACCTAAAGCTCGCAGAAGACAGCAAGGATTGGATCGAGCGCCAGAAGGCGTTTCCTTTGGTGAGAAGCTCATCTTTTGACCCGTCCTTGTTTGGCAACGGACATCTCTGTCGAACTGCCTACCGTTGCCAAGGCAAATTGAAAAAATACTAACAATTAATGCAGTGGGACAGGATACCCCTGAATGTGTACCTGACTCCTCTTGACTCGAGGTGATAGTGACGTGGGTGGTTTGGGGAATGAACATTTTGAGGCTCCTTTCTTATCGAATGTAATATCTTTGAATGATAATGATAGGAGACATTTGACCATCTTATTCGTATAAGTTCATTATTCATGGGTGCATCAAGGATATCCATTCAATTAATTCGAGCCAGAAGACACTAAACAGCCCAACCTGCGATGATTGATAATGCCATTTTACATCCCACTCGTAACCTGTAGTGGCCATAATCGCGTACTTCCAACCATGCTTGATGCTGTGTAGCCCTTATAATACACATAATTGTACAACCATCCTACCGTCCTGAGATAGCCTTTTAAAAGCTGGAGGAGCTTGAATTTTTGCCCAACTTTCATTTTTCTGCCGTTTCCCGGAAATTGTATGTGTCTGTCGTCTCAGTCGTTTCCGGAGCAGCGCAAGAGTCCACCACCAAATTCTTGATTGCAAATCTGCTTTCATGAAGGAGGTCGCCTACTCCAGATCTATTGCAGAATATTCCCACAATTCGATTATGCCTTTTCTCCATCGTTTTGGTACTCGATCGGTAAGTCCATGCCAACCCTCCGAGCCGTCAGTCTGACTCGCTCTTCCTCGTCCATGTTCATGCCTGGGTTATATCTCTCGACCAGCGTGACATATTGCCTTTGCGCTTGGAGATATTGGACCAATTGGTCTGCTTGCGCCAGTGATTTCTCGGTCGGTGTGTTGCTTGTGAATGTCTCTCGCAGCTTGGTGTGGAGCATTGATCTGGGCTGGGCAGGTCGCGGAGGCAGCTCCCGGAGGAGGGCGCGGTAAATCGATCGGGTGCGGGCAGCAGTAGCCATTGTAACGAAGGGAAAGTTGGAATGTGCAGGCGACGCTTGCAAACGAAGTCGTATAAATCAGCTTTTACATCAAGTCCCTTGTTGGTGATGCTCCCAATGATACGTACGAATGCACTGGATCAGCTTACCGCGATAAGATAAGAATTTCTGGAGCTTGGCTCTAGAGCTAGCGAGGAACGCGCGCATTTGCAGATGCGCGTCATGCAACAATTAAAAATTTCCGGTGGTAGCCAGGCCCCGTTAAGTGAATGCGCCGGACCTGTGAACCATGTGGCACGATACGGCACAAGACTCTTTGCTCGTATCGGCGGTACAACCGACGACTCTTCCCTTGTGACCCAGGTGCTATATACGGGCCGGTTCTTCTTGGGTTCTCAGCAGAGTCCTTCACAATGGTAATATGACGACATTACGTCAGGTAACGGCTCTCCTGGCTCTACCGGCAACCCTGCGTCCCTTGCTCTTTGCTGCACCGACGACGACGACACCCTCATCAGCTTCACAGGGGCGGCGATGCTTCCATGCGACGTGCCGGGCCTACGCCCGATACTTGAGACGGCCACTGTCGGTGGGCGCCTTTACTATCCCGCATAGCCCGGCCTTGCCTTTGTCAGAGATCCCCATCAAGGAGCTGCTGCAGTCTCCCAAATCCGACAAGTCTCTCGCGGACGAGTTGAACAAACTTTTTACCCAGAACCCCGCGACTTTCTACCATGGAACCTCCGACTTTTACGAGCTGAAAAAGAATACTCGGATACCAGAAATATGTATTCTCGGTCGTTCCAATGTCGGCAAGTCGACCTTTGTCAATGCGCTCGCAAATCGCCGGGAAAACGAGCTCGCGCACACGAGTGCAAGAGCAGGCCGCACAAAAGCTATGAATGCCTTTGGTTTTGGGCCCGCACCGACGATGAAGGAGCTGGCAGATACGGATACGGTCACCAAGCGGACGGAAGACTTGCCCAAACACAGCTTTTTTGTGCTCGACATGCCGGGATATGGACACAAGTCCTTGCAGGACTGGGGCAAACACATCAACCTGTACCTGACCAAGCGACAGGCAATCAAGGGTGCCATCCTACTGATTGATGGAGAAGTAGGGCCCAAGAGCGGCGACCTAATGGCACTAGAGCTTCTGCAGGCGGCCGGGCTCAAGACGGCGATTGTGCTGACCAAGGCCGACAAGGCCAAGCACGAGGAGATTCTTAAGGAAACCTGCAAGAAGATGTGGTTGACGATGCGTGACGTACACTCAAAGGATCCAAACAGCAAATGGGAATGGGACCAAGACTTCTTCGTCACCGCACTTGGTGCAACGAAAAAGGAGATTGGCATCGACTCTGTAGCCATTGCGAGGTTAGCAGTCGCACGACTGGCAGGCTTGGTGACAGAAAAAGAACGCCCAGAGATCGCGCCCGCCAAAGGCTACAGTGGAGCAGTGGTTTCTTTCGAGGATCTATTTGCCCAGAGCACGCCGCCGCAGGTATCCAGCGTCAAGGACTCGCCCAAGACAGAGACTCAGACGCCTGCACCCGCTATGAGCTCTTCGGAATCTGCTTTGGCGGCACTCGAACAAGCTTCGGGAGAACAGCACAAAGCCCGTCAGTCCGTCGGCCGCATGCTGCCCCGCAGAGCTGCTATATCTCGTTTGCGGCGAACCATTTCTCGATCTCCGCCGCTGACTCGCACAGGAACAGAGACAGGAAGGCAGTTCAGTACCTTGAGCTGGGCCAGCTGTCCGGCTACTTCACAAAAGTTGTGCCGCCCCAGCATCACCACTAGACAGCCATTATTTCGATCTCATGTCCATGTTAGAAATCTCAAAACACTACCAGGTCATGAGCGGTTGAATCCAGAGGAACTTGAGGCAGCAATCAAGGAGTTTGTGGAGGGACTCAAGGCTGCGCAAACACCCATGGATCGTGCACAGTCTTATCAGCTCTCAAGCCGTCTGGATCGCCCAAAACACAAGTTGTGGGATCCCACTTTCCTCCCGCCGCGCGAGACCAACGAGGAAAGGCAGAGCAGGATACAAAAGATGAAGGAGAAAAAGTTGCAACATTTGCAGATATATCGAGAACGCTTGGCGACGGAGAAATTCCGAGCCTCGCAGCAGAAAGAGAGGCAAATGAGGCGCCGGCATCAAGATGAGCAAAAGAAGAATCTCCAGAAGCAGCGATACGAGATGATCCGCAATGGGGACAAGCAAACCAATGACGAAGAAGAACAACTTGAAGATGGTCGGCGTCTGATTGCCGAGGCGCAGGATAAGGCAAAGGCTTTACGTGGCAAAAAGCTCAAGAAAGCCGTTAAAAATGCAGAAAAGCAAAGGAGGAAAGAAGAGAAGAATAAGAAGAAGCAGAGAAATGAGGATGAAGACGAGGCAGATGAGGATGACTCTTTCGAATCTAAATTTCGAAGTGTAAGATAACGGAAATTCAAGAAGGGATTTATCGTGCTGCTCAACACTCGCCACCTTGAGATCTACATGCATATTTCGGCGCATCTTATAGGGCATCTTTTCGGGCAGCAGCTTTATTCCTGCGAGCATATAGATGTCTAGATCTCATATCTCCACATGAATGAAATGTATTATACGAGAACATTAACGACAATCGATTGACTTTTGTAGTCCAAATATCTAAGACACACAAACGCTGCGCCAAGAGCGCCATGTCGTCAGTGGTCGGGCATCCTTGGGCGTCTGATGAGACAGCTGTATCACGTAGCAGCATCAACTATAGCACTAGCACGCGTCTCCTTTGGCTTCTTGCTCCGGCGTCCCCTTTCCTCATCTGTGACCAGCTCGTCGCGGAATGAATACCCAGGTACGAGAACGTCCAGCAGATTGTCCCAGAAACCTAGATCGTACAGGTTCTCAACGTCGCGCAAATGCCATACCCTCTCCCAGTCGCCCACGCCCGGCGCGCCCTGAGGGTCCGGCGGGCTTCCGTCTTCTGTCCGGACCAACACCTGCATGGTCTCGACTGGCCACCTCGTCCAAGTCGGTTCCCAGCGCGGGTCCTTTACACGATCGGTGGGCATTGCGCGCTTGAAGGCGAAACCGTCATCCATTTCGGCCTGCCAATCCTGCCATTTCATGCTCTCGTTTGTCGTCGTTCCACAATAGATTAGGTAAATGTGGTAGCCGAGCAATCCCCAAACCAGAGGCGAAGTCATCAAGGTAAGCAAGGTCACTCCTCCCCTGCCCACGTGGTCCTGGATGCCAAAGGTCAAAAGGATGAGGTAATCGTGCCAGCTAAAGCGGCTGGGCTTCCAAAGTCGCCAACCCGGATGCCTTGCCTGAATGTCTTCGCATATCATCCTGGTTCCGAGTACAGCACCGAAAGTAAGAAGCCAGGCCGTTGTGAGTAGTAACAGGACAAAATGTCCCTGATTTTCGTAGCCTACGCATGTATTGATAAAGACGCAGTGGTGGTCCATCTTGGCAACGCAACGATTGCAGACGGAGCAATGCTTTGATCGAGCTGGTTTGATAATGTTGCAGGTCCGGCAGACTTGTCCCGGATGGAAAAGTGCATAGTCGTAAGGATACTTGCTCATGTACTTTGAATGAGTCGTCGGAGTGATGACACCCGGGTCCTTGAAGGCGGCCAGATAGAGGAACCAGTAAGGCAGAATAATGGAGACGGCACCGATGATCCGGCTCAGTGTCGACATGCGGGGCCAGACACCAGGCAGATACATGACCTCTCCGACTGATAGGAGGAGAAAGAAGAAGATGAGCACCGTAGGATGGCGGCCATACATGAAGGTATGCGCAAATCTGCCCAGCCAGGCAGTCGCCCGCCCACCCGTCAATCGCTGATCCAAAGCAACGGCGGCATTTGGCATGTGGATCATCAACAGCCTATGAAGCCATGCGATAGGCGTGTGTCTGACAACGCACCAGAGTCAGCGACTTTCAACCCCAGCATCAAAAGGGAAGTGTTGGGGTTCTTACCGTAAAGCTGGAAGTCTACCAAAAAATATAATCAAAACCATGAATGATATAGCAAGAACGCCCGAGGCGATCTGCGATATTGCCCCCATCTTTGAGTATTTGGCTTTAGTGGTAAGAGATGCAGCCACTCGTGTATTGCGGCAGTCTTCTCAAACCAAAGACTTGCCTCAGGCCATGAAAGTGGACGATTCCTGAAGAAACGGTGCAGATCGACGGCCAAAGTAGATGGATGGATGGGCAGTGAAGGGGGAAAAAAAGATGAGTTTGGAGGCTGAACTCAGCTCAACTCCATCAGCAAAAGAAGTAGGCACGTAAGTAACAATACCAAAACGCAAGCGAATCACAGTGCGACGTCGGCCTCATCACCAGTTATTCAGGTTCCATGTTTGTTTGGCTTGTTTGGTAAGAGTGAGAGTGAGACAGCTGAAAACGGAAGATCCGCAATTGCCTGGTGTTGTTTGAGGCTGCCGCGTGGGCAGTAGGTATGCGTGTGTGTGGCTCGGCGAGGCTAGCGCCAGTGAATAGAAGACGCACCTGGCGACCTAGGAACCTCTTGAGGCCAGGCAGTGAGTGATTCAAGGGTCTCTTTTGGCCTGGAGCAGTCCCAGGCCTGACAGCTAAGACAAAGCAGTTGAGTGCCAGCGAACCAGCTGGGGCAATGCCCGCTAAAAAGGTGGCGCCTGTTGTCTGGAGCCGCCCACGTCATATGCATATAAACAGTAGTTTGTGCTTGCCTGGGGCCAGTTGATGGCCCCTCCACACCCCCCGAGCCCCCCTTCGTCGCCCACGCAGCCAGTAGTTTGACGCCCCGTCATGTGAATATTCTTGGACCCTCTAGTACAGACCGCTTCCACGTGAGGACGTGAAGTCAGAACCCAATCGCGATTTCCAGCATCACGCGCGTCGCTTTTCTTATGCGAGCCACGAGACTGCCGTAAATCCCATGTCGTGCACGGGGGGACTTTTAAAGGCATAAACATCTGCTCCTCCATCGAGGCGATACGACTGCATTCTTATACGATATTTTACTTTGCTTAATTTGGGCCTGGCTTTATATGACGCGACAATTGCAAGGACCTCGAAAGAAGGAACGGATTTGCAAAGCATATTTTTAGGGGTCCCAGAAAAAAAAAAGAAAACCCGCGCGCACCTCACCTAATCATCGTTGCACTACTCAACCTCTAGCGCCCATCAACAACCGTCATTCTGCGTATATCACGCTCAGGGGTTCGGTTTACAGCTCAGCTCTCGACTTTCGACTCATCCAAAGACGCAGAAACCTGCTATCCCGGCGCAACCCAGGGTTAGGGTTGGGGTAAAGCCAAAATGTCTGCCGCCATAGTCTATGAGGGGCAGATGGAGGGCCAAGGTGGTACTTTATTCAAGGACCTCAAGTTTTGGGTCGCGCAGCGCGTTCCTATGCGCCAAACCTGGTTACAGAACATTGAGGTAAATAGACAATGTTCATGCCAACTTACAAGTTCATGCTAAATCAGTGATAGAACAATGGCGGAACTATTACCAAACTCGAGAAGAAGGCTGATTATCTCATTGCCGATCACGCCAGGAAGGATAGCCCAGCTGGCTCATATTCCTGGAAGTGGATTGAAGACTCTGTAAAGAGTGGCCAGCTTATGGACCAGGCTCAGTACGCTATCAAACCTCCCGGAAATGAGACCAGGCCTGTGGGCACGGTAAATCAAAAGACTACGAGAAGAGCCTTTACAAAAGCAGACGATGAACTGCTGTCAAGGTTCGTCACCAGAAAGGAGAAGCAAGGCGTAGCTGTCTCTGGTAACGTCATCTATAAGCAATTTGAAGCAAAGGTATAATGAGCAATCCTAACATGATGGCGAGCAATACTGACTTGAGCAGTATCCGCATCACACATTCCAGTCATGGAGAGACCGCTGGGTTAAAAAGCTGCAATTTTTGGACCGCCCCAACGTCTCGGAGAATGAGCCGTCACTATCGCCACCTCCAGAAACTGCTCCTGTCGCCAGCTCAGCGCCCGCACGACCAACTAGAGGCCCCGGGCCACCCAATGCCAACAGTACTGACCCAAGCCGGAGGAAGAGAAGAGTTCGCTTCACTCCAGATGAAGACAAGTTGCTCCTTCAGTATGTTGATGAGATGAAAAATGCGGGCCACGCTGTCAAAGGAAAGACGATTTACGAAGGCTTGGCTGTGGACGTAAGAGCACCAACCTTGTCTCCCCTCCTTTTTTTTTATGTTGACATGTCTGATGTTTTCTGTAGTTTCCGCAGCATACCGCACAGTCTTGGAGAGATCGGTATTTGAGGTATCTCGCACCGCCAGACGAGCAGGAATCAGTCGAGGAGGAGCCAACTGAGGAGGAAGCAGCGCCTCCCTCTCCTCCTGTGACGAGATCACGCAGGAACGCGCAGAAAGTCGACCAGGCTGATCGTCCTCCACCGAAGCAAGACAGCCGTGTATCCTCAACTCAAAGGAAGACCAGGAACCATACTACTGATGTAGTGGAATCGGACGCGAGAAAGGAAGACATGCCACTGCGAATTCGTCCGAGTATCGAAGAGCCGAGCAACGTTACTCAGACGCCAAACGACAACAGCCCAACGCTTGAGGCATCAAACCAGCACGGACAAGATGAAGCTAGCGCCAGTGACTCTGAGCAACAAGCTGTGCCGCCCGATTCCCCAATGCAAACTCAGCAGGAAATACTCGAGACGTCACTAAAGACAAGAACAGGATTCCACGAATGTCTCGCAGCTTTCAAGGAGGAAAGTTCAGAAGTCAATTACTGGCCGACTATCCAGGGTCGTGCAATCGATCTATGGGACCTTTGGCAATCTGTACAGGCCCAGAAGGTCGAATTTGTAGAACGTGACTGGGAGCGAGTAGCAGAAGATCTGGAATTCGATTGGGTCGCTCTACCAACCGTTACAGATGAGATCAGGCAATGTTACGAATCTCATCTACTTGAGTTCGAGAAGATGGTAGAGAACTTCTTTGCGACATCAGAAAACGGAGAAGACGATACGCAGCAGGAAGTGACTGATTCCCAGGAAGTAGCGCAACCGATGCTGCTGCCGGTCAACACACAATCCGACAGCCACTTCAATTCATCTCCCCCGAAACAGCCGTCTCGCAAGCGTGCGCGTGAAGCGGAAACAGCTATTGCCTCTGGTTTGGCCTATCCGGAGTCGCCTAGGAAACGCACCAAGCTCAGGCGTGACAGTGAGATCCCATCGACGCCGGATGACAAGAATGGAACCGTTCATCTGCGCCAAGCTGCTAGAGGAAAGGCCTCTCCTCAACTTGGGGCCCAACCCGTACTTCCCAGGTCTAGCCATTCACTCATGAGCAAGCTATACTGGAAACAAATCGAAAGGGAAGTGCAAGAACAAATCAAGGAATCGATTGCTCTATCTAGCGCTAGGAAGGCCATGGTTGAGCCAGAGACGCAGGATTTTCAATTTGGAACTCAGGAGATGGATGATTTTGGTGAGGAGTTTTCCGAAGAAGACGGACAAGAGAGAGAAACCCAGCGAGTCACCCCCTCAGAACAACTGCGCAGCGAACTCGACGCAGAAAATCGTCGTCGAACACTGAATCGGGTTTCGCCACTTCCAGATGATGCGGCTGAATCATCTTTCTTGGATAATTACGAGCCTGATTTCTTTGGTGAAATGGACACGCCAGAGCCGAGCTTTGCTCACAGGCCCAATCCTGTACTGTCACGAGTCGCCATGCAACCGCCTAATAAGCGCCGGTCTCTTCCTGCCTCGTTTACAAGGGACAATAGGCCGTCCCCATATGGACGGATGTCAATGCCAGGCCCGGCTCGCATGTCTTCTGGGGCACCTACACCATTCCGGCAGTGGATCTCATCAACCCCTCAACCGCAACAAGCACAAAGACCGGAGTGGACCACATATACTCCACAGCCGCAGCCACCAAGAAGGTCGGAGTGGATGTCAACTCCCCAGCCACAAGCACAGTCAGCCAGAAGAGCGCAGTCCAAGGCTGAAGAGCTGGCCGATGTCGTGGAATATTGGGTCGCTCTGGGTTACTCTCCTGATATCGCTCGTCGCAGCCTGGAAGCAACGACCTGGGAATCAAGTCTAGCTGGTCGGATTATGCAGTTCCTCAAGGATGGCAATGCCATGCCCACAAATTGGGAGGGCGTATGGACACCTCGCGACGATGAGAATCTGATACTCATTGACTCTCCTGGACAGCCAAGGGATGACCGAGAAATCAGGAAACGCGCAAAGGCGGCAGATCGGTTGGTAACGAAGCACGGCGAGCAACGTATGGAACTGAGGCGGAAATGGCTTTACACCAGATCTACCCTATGAGGGTGACTTGAGGCAATTTTGCATATAACTACGGCATACCTAGTGATGGTTGTTTGTTGATACCCTGTTTTTACCGGCCCGTATGGATATAGACATTCAGATTAATTTACTTTGTCAAATTTCTATTCAAGTATTTTCTACGTTCATTGTAGTCGTGGCTTTTAACTCTGTTACATGCTCGGATCTTCAATGGCCACCTTGATTAATCTACATCATTCACATATTAGGAATATGCTATGCTCTCGTAAGAGGCGAGATATCAAGTTTCAAACACAATGTTGATCGTGTCGTACAAAGTACACTGTACGCTGTCAATATTGTTCTTATTATTATACATCGGGTGCTTGCATTACCTACTTCCGCTCGCACCGTCAACTATTCGATAATCATATCAGCTCATGCCAATCAACATTGCACTTTTCATCCCGACGCCGCCTGCCGAGCTGGAGAGAAATTGGAGAAATCGCGTTGCACAGCTGCGGGCTACCGTCGTATTGGTTCGTGATACGACAAGAGGTTTGGAGGACACAGCAGACAGGGCGAACAAGAGAGGACGGGTACACATGCATCGCTGGCTAGATAGAGAAAACGATTGAGCATGCCGTATGGTTCATCCCATGTAGGGTTGCGCAGTCCCAAGTGGAACTCATTTTGGATGAAAGAACGGGACACTACATGTACCTACATGATGCCGTATTCATGTTTCTGTGCGTCTCTCTCACTCCATCTTCCTGTTCGAAGCGATCCGACGATCGAGACACGCCCCTCCCTTTGTTGCAACGTGCGATAATAAATCGTAGTAGTACAAGAATGAAGTGAAATCGGATATCGCCCCTCCCTACTCGGGGAATCATCACCACGCAGAAGCACTCATTGCGCTGCCTTCTGTAAGCTCGAGTAGTCGCGCCATTCGTGACCATAATTAGAGCCTTGCAGCAGCAGGCTGCATACGTGGGTGGGTGGGTTAGAACAGCGCCAAGGTAGTAAGTAGCAGGGCTTTTTGGAGATAAATCGTTCTGCAGGTGTCTTCTATCATGTCACATCCCCAGTGGAGTTCCCCCTATTTGAGAATGAGGGAAGGAATGTGTTTTGTTTCGACGCCGTAGGAATGCATATCACCTGGGCCCTGCGGGCGAAAGAAGGATGTTGCGGCATAATCCGCCCCACGTGTTGTGTAGTAAGTTTCTTGCAAAGACGAAATGTGCCGTCCCGTTTCTGTTTTTCTGCTACCCTCCCGATTTATCGATCTAGCAGATAAATCCTTCGGTTCCGGTAGAAGGGGTCCGGGAAGAAAAAAGGGGAGACATGAGAACGACTTAGTCAGAAAATCCTCTTCCGCCCCTTCTTCTTCCTTCTTCCCCTCGTCCTTTCGCTGGTGATACAGAATTTGAGACATACACGGCTGCGAGAAGTAGGCAAGTCATTGGCCGCCAATCAGATCCTTTCCCCCTCCTCAGGATGATGGTTCAACAACGAAGGCAGTTCAATACTAGACGACAGGTCCGGACGGCAAGCTGACATGGCTGACTGCGTCTTTTTGCTGTGCTGCCACACTAATCCCGTTTTATTGGTTCTCGTGCAACTGCACACACACACTCTCTCTCTCTTACTCTCCGGTCTTGGTTGGCGGATGACACTCTTACTTACTTATTCGCTATGGAAAAGGAGAGGCGGGGTTTGCGAGGTGCCTCGTCCGTCTCTGATTTGTTTCCTAATTTCCAGAAGGAACTGGTGTTGCACCTGATGGCAATGGATGAGGTGATGGGCTCGGCGTAATAGCTCCGAGGCTTAGGTGCACCGTTTTTTTTTTCCCCCCTTGAGACATCAATGGGCGCATCTCAGTATGGTAATTACCGTTTCTTGCTCCTCCGTAATTGAGACATCATGGACATGTGAAAATAAGGGGGAAAAGGTTCGGGTTGGACGTTGAGAATGTCTTGAACAGTCCCATCCCCACGATCACACCAAAGTACCTGTGTAGGTACGCACAGCGGCAGCGGCACTGGGGGGCCAGGGCTGAGGACCGATGATGCGACCGTGGCGGGCTGGAGAGAGGGGCCTGAGGGGCTCGAGGGGTCCTCCGTGTTCCCGAATTACCAGAGCGGCAGAAGTGCAGGACGGGATCGGGAGGATTTCTGATGCGCGCAAAAAATAGCAGGCTCTGTCAAAAGAGCAAGATCAACGGCCATCAGTCACAATGGTTTAGATAGCCCCCCCGGCAGTGCTGTACAGAGGGTGTAAGTAACAGTCTAGCGCACATAGTGGAAGGATGCCAGTTCGCGCATCCAATTGGGGAGCCAAACGACTCCACGACGGGAATGATCCACGGCCGTCAAAGTCGCTATCTACCCCATAGACTCAGCCCATGACTGCTTACCCGCATCATGCATTGCAGCAACGATGAAAATAGCAGTCCATGGTCTCAGCACATAGAAAGATGGGAGACCAAAACGTGGGCTTCCTTTTGGCAGCATGCAAGTCAGACTGCACAAATCCGGCGCTGCACGAGTATGTAGAACAGTAAAAAAGATGATTAGGACTTATCTGGACCGACGATTATGGCACGGGTGTCGGCCACAGACGACGGCAGCCATGTCAGCCCTGCCCGCTGCTGCTGCTGCTCGCTATCGCTCACAGTACGACGATTCCATCTTTAGCAGCAGCTACTGCACGCACTCTATCTATTCCGAACCCACACAAAGAAAAGGTGTGGGAAGATCTTTGCGCGCTCCGCTGCCCCAATTAGGGAACCCCCTTTGTCTCCTCTTTAACGTCCCTCCACGGGCAACGAGATCCGTGCCTCCAAGCCTCGTGGACGGGTGCGGAGGGTCTCCTCCAAGCCGTGCGCGGGTGTAGGTGTGATCACGGGCAAAGCAATCACCTACCGAAAGTGCTCACGTCTGTGATTGGGTCCCTAGGCGCTCAATGGACCCCAACATGACGATTGTCTTTCTTTCCGCTTCATACTTTCTAGATGCCATGTTCTCTGAGAAAGAAGAAGAAGAAAGTAGGTGCAGGTATCTATTTTTGTTTGGGGCTGCGTGGAGAGGTGTGATTGAGAAAACAAATGCAACTTGGTGCGTCGCTAAACATCAACATAAACTGGACTTGTGACTCAATCTCAAGGTATACAGAGTATGGTTCCGACCAAACACAAATACAATAGTGTCTTTGATCAGCTAGGGGGATATGCAAGGGACGAAAGGCAAAAAAGATAGAGGAAAGTTTGCTCCAACAAGGGAAGGCCGCCGCTTCGATTAATTGGATACAAGGGTTGACTGCCACCAATATGGACGGTGGCCTGCTAAGAACAGGGAGGGCAAATTCAATTCATCCTCTGCACCGTGAACTTTTGTTCAGCCACCGGAAAAGGACCTTTGTAGGGGGTCCTTGGCAAAAGACGACCACCCACATGGGAACCTTGGAGGAAGGATTTGGGGGCTGTTGGATCGTTTTCTTTGTTTTCACACCCCCCCTCTTACCACTGGGTATAGGAGAGAGATTGCCCATAGTGGTGGTGTGGTGAACCAGCCACAAATTGCACAGTATGCGATACTCTTCATCCCAAAAGGCAGGGAGGATTGTGTTTGTCGTTTGAAAAGATGACTTTTTACCGGTCAATAATCAACCGATGGATGGAGATCAGTATCCCGCCTTCTGTGCCTCGCATGTATGTAGTCAGCTATACCTATGCCTTGGAAAGATGACATGCATACGTGAAAAGCAGCAAAATGCAAGTAAGCTCCCTTCAATAGAAAATGACGCAGTCTTGTGCCAACAAGATGCATGATGGTAATTGCAAAGAATGGTCATTGTAGTAGAGTGCCAGCGCAAGCAAGATGGGGGAAGAACAAACACCATCCCATGTTGCTTCCAGACTTTTTCGATGCGCGATCTTACATGCGGCTCAGCTAGAGAGCGGAGCCGTGCTCGATCAGCGAATGAGTTGCAAAAATGCGTCTCAGCCCAGCGTCCGTGAGCGGCATGAAAGGCTGCCGGGGATCGTCAAGAGGCCAAAACGCCCCTGACTGATGCTCCAACTGATGAGCCCCAAAGCGCAACTAAAAAGAAAAAAAAAGACATCAGGGAAAAAAGAGCCAAAAGACTCATGGAGCCGTGGAATCTGAATCCTGGTAACTTGATATCCCCGCCAGGTGTTCGTTTTGTTTGGTTGTACCAACATGTACGACAAGATAAGAGAGAAATGATATACACAGGCTCACAGTTGCGTGTCCTCTCTGCCAATATCATTGCTCGAGAGGCCCGATGGGAAATCCCTGGTTATATCGCATCACTCTGGCAAGTGTGAGTCGCTGATCCAGATGAACTATACCCTCCTGAGCCTCCCCCCTTCGTGCTGCATAAAAAGAAACGAAGAAAATGATATATATTGTCAGCTGTCAAGATAAAAGAAAAACAATAGCAGTAGATTCAGAATTTCTTTCTTTCGTTCTGCTGAAGTTTTGTGTAGCTGGAGGCTGAGACAACGAGGGAAGGTGTGAGCATAAACCAATCTTAATGAACCCGGGAAAGTGGCATGTAGTACAGTGAAGGGGGGGTGGTACCGTTGAAATTAGCCAGTCTTGAAAATCTGACAGGAGTGGAATGCCGACAGGGTTTCAATAGTCAACAATAATATTTGAGAAGGGACAATAATAACAGAAAAAAATTTTTACACAAACCCTGACACTCACCTAGGTCTAGAGATAATAGGAGGGGACAGGGAAAACGAGAAAGAAAAAAAAGGGAAGCACAGAAGAGAAGATTGAGAGGTATTGGCAGAATGATTGAGGAAGGCCGCGAGTTACCCCCCCTTTAGACAAGTGCCCAACGCAGAAACCCATAACTGCATGGGAGATTTGGAGGAGCAGCCAAAAACCACCCATACATAGTACTTGAACTGGCATGACATGGCCTGACCTCCATCTCACCTCACTTGTACCGGCTGCATGGTCAGGCCGCTACTCGGTGATGGATATAGGGCATCCATACATTGAAGAATGTAAACCACTGGTTGCAGACAGAGATGGAAAAATAATCCGCGGCAAGTCACCGAAAAAGGCGAGGGAATCAAAACAAAAAAAATGCAAGATGCGATGCAGTCGTATTGTCATGGGAATTGGGTTTGATGCCCAAAGGTAGGAGGGGAACAGGCGGGGTTGTAAGTGAGCGTATGGGTAGAAGGGGTCCTTCGGCAGTCCAGTCTCACCCACAATCTGGGTGCTGCCCACCGAAGAAAAAAAAATTAAACTTTGTGGACTGAGAAATCTTGGCAAACCCACAAGGAGCCCCTCTTGTGTATACTACAGAGTAGGCAGTAATCTATAACATAGTATCACGTATGGAAAATATTCACGTGTGAACGATAAGTTCAGCCTTGCATGAAGGACTATGTACTGTAAGTGTTATTATCATTTTGTTTATTTCATTTTGCATTCTAGTAGATTATTGACCCTGTAAACCGACCAAATCATTGCAAAGCACACGCTGATACCAATTCAAAATTTACAACCCATCATCAAACTGTTCAAATTTCAAGTCAGGACAAGAAAACATATAGTAGTAAATCTCAATTTCATCCAACTACACTTTGGACTCCGTGGTAGATCGTTAACCTACACGGGCCGCAGTAGCAGGAACAACGCCTCGCAAATCCACCCTTCCCATTGATTGCTACCATTCCTGTCCATCTTTGCAACTGTCATCGTGGACAGCCAAACCCATTAGCCGTATTCTCGGTAAATCCTTCGCCTCCCTGCCCATAAATCAGACGACTACGTGATCCTCTCTCCTGACACCTAAACTTTTGCATCGTACTTCTCCCTCTTACACAGCAGGCCTGGGTGCTTTCTCCAGCACGTCGACGATAAAACAGTGCGCAATCGTCCCCTGCTCTCTCCTCTGCCAGAAAGGGTATCTTTAAAGAAAAGCTGAAACAAAAAAATTCCGGTTCTTTTTCCACTGATGCATGCTCGGGGTCGCCCCCAAATATTCTGGATGCAGCAGGTCGATGAATATAAAAAGTCCCCAAAAGAAACACGGCATATCCCTGGTATCATGCGCATCGCAAGTCCTGTTAAGGCATGACCATACTCCGTAGGAAAAATGACCCCTAGTGTACAAGATGGGTCGTCCATTGGTTTTCCAGTGGCTGTCCCATTGGCATTCCCAGTGGCTCTCCATGGGTTGTTGCTGTTTTGTTTTTGTTTTTTTGTGGATTTTGAGTTGTCTTGTTGTGTATCATCATGCAAATCCTCGGGGCACCAGGGCGTCCACGCGGAGATGAAGAGATGGAACAAAAGAAAATTAAAAAAGAAAATAGAAAGAAAGATCCGGGGTTCTTTTGGGTGTCCTTCTATTGTGTGGGATATTTCAGAATTTCGGTGCAGTTAGCATCAAAGCGCAGGTTCCATAATCTGGTCTGTGTCATGAAGCGTTCAACCTTCTCAAATTCCCGGCCCACGGTGAAGAGCGTCTCCACGAATTGGCTGCCAGATCCTTTTCCTAGGCTGCCGCCGTCTCTATCACCGGCCTCCAACATGGGCGCCTCGCACCTTTTGAGGATTGCGCGAAGCTTGTCCTGGAGACGTTCGCCCGATACAATGAAGTCATCCAGAAGTTCCTTGTTTGCGGTCCGGCGGACTTTCTTGATAGCTTCCTCGGCTCGCTTGATCTTGCCAGAGAGCTGAATGAGACTAAGCCAAAGATCACCAGCAACGTTCGCAAGTGGGGATCCGGCTGAGTGGCAGCAAACAGTCCAGTCGTAAATCCATTTGCCGAGAGAATTGGAATCAAAAACGCTGCCGAGCAGCATGATTGGTTCCTCCGTTGGATCCCAGTGCTTCAAGGAGTACCCGAGTGGAATTCCGTGCTTCTCGGCATCCTGGCGTGTGGCCGCCCGTGGCTTTGGCGGGTGCGTCTGGCTTTGGCGAGCTCGCTCAGGCTTGACAGTCTGGGGTCGCTGAAGGGGAACAGTTCCAGAGGCGCGGCGGGAATGTGAGACGCGCGTGGCCGAGCGCTGAATGGGTTCATCGTAGTAGACATGTCCGTGAACATCATAGTATTGACCTTGATAACCCTGCTTGTAGTAATGGTAATCAGTGCCATATCCCGCAGCAGCATTATTATAGTACTCGTGATATCTACGACCCCTCGACTGCGCCGGCAACACATACGTGACGCCATCAACCTCTACAATCTCGTCCTCGTCGGAATCCCCATACGAGGTCCGATAGTATGAGTAAGAGCTGCGGCGCTCGCGCTTTGGTGTTTGATGATGCGAATGCTTTGGCTTTGAGAAACTGTGCTTTCGCGAACTCACTCTAGGGCTGGGGCCAGCGTCGGCTTGGGTGCCATATTCGCCTTTGCTATTGTACCTGGGCGAAGCATAGACACTACTGCTGACATTTCGGTGGTGAGAGTGAGCCGCGGTCTGCGGTCGCTGAGGGGGGATGCCCGAGAATCTCGGGTTGTGCATTGGCGACGGCGTTGGCGATGGAGTATACTGATCTCCGTAGTAGTAGGAGGCCATCTTGTTGATTCTTTCACACGATGTCCCCGATTCGTGTGGCTGCAAAGAAATAAGACGTCCCCTATCGACACGCAGGTCGATGCCGTAGAGTTCTGGTCGATTTCTTCTTCTTTCTTATCTCGCTTGTGTAAGTTTCCAATGAGCGCCTGTGTCGTAACGCTGGAGGGAGTGACACCCGTCACCTTGGTATGTGGTCGGTAAGAGGAGGAGAGGAAAATGTTGATCGACGCGAAAACATGTCAAGGTTTTGTGGTGAAAATCTCCAAGAGAGAAGGTATCAAAGCCGCGCAGTATTTACGGCTTCGATATTATAGTTTGCTGGAATCTGCTGGACGCTTCCGGATCCAGAGTGTTGGTGTGATGAAAAAGGCGTGACTAATCGGTGATTCGAAGTTGGTAGAGCAAGTGATTTGGCAACAATGCCTTGGAAGAGAGAGGAGGGAAAACACACAAGTGTGTGTTAATTGGGCCTTTGGAAGACTAAATAGTAGACTTTTTTTTTTCTTGGGATGTTTTTCTTCGAGGAGGGACGCGGTCGGGCTGGTCTGGGAAACCTGGCCTAACACCAACAAACCCCCCAAAGCAGGGATACCAGGGCCAAAGGGTGCCCAAAGAACGTGGGTAGATTTTGGCTGCTCTTATTTAGTGCCAGTCCCGCTCCTACTAGCGTAATGGAGGGGGCGTGTGAGGTACGTACCTGCTACTATGTAGAAGAGCCTAGAAGGGGGCGGGTCGGTTGGTAATCACACCCCTCCCAGAATTCCCCCCAGCCACACAGTTTTCCCTACTGTACAGACTGGTGGTTTCTTTTTTGTAGGACCAGTGAATGCGCCAATCCCAGCGCCCGTATTGGAGTATTGCAGTTATGAATCTTGCTGAGAAGGCTGACGATTCCTGGAGCGACTATTTCATTCGTTGTTGCACTGCGAGTTCAGCTTGTGCGGCTCTGGCATTTGCTGACTCTGTGTTCGTGTAGTACACAACTTCTGAAAATAGAGGAGAATAATTTGGTTGGTAGAGAGCGAGGTAGATGACGAGAATACCGAATTTTCCAGTAAGGCGACACTCGGAGAGGGTTGCTGGAATTTTCTTCTTCCTTTTTCCTTTGTATGGATATTCCTTCGTCTCCGAGATAGAGTGACGCCGCCAAAGACAGCACGGTCTCCCAGCCTTGGTCACTCGACTATTTTCTTTCTTCTGGCTGCTTCTATTGTCGTTGTAAGATTCCCATGTCCGCGTCGGTGATGGCGATATTCAAAATTGCCAGATCCTGGGAATTTGATGTGACTTTTCGAGGCAAACTAGGGCAGCTGGCTAGGGTCTCCTTGGAACGTTCAGGGTCTCCCCAATGTGCTAAGGTAGAAGCTCGTCGCTGGAAGATTGGTCCCAAGGACTAACCGAAATAACGTCGCGCCAAAATCGGTACGATGCTACCATGAGGGCCCGGCCACCGGGAGGCTCGAGAACAACGCGTTAGGGGCGAAAATTTTTTCTTCTCGTTCATTTGTTCAGGGGCCGGTTTTGTCGATTTGTTTTTGCGGACGTCAGTGGCCCATCGGCAAGTGGTCCCTTCTTGCGCTTCTAGTGTAATGTAGAGGATTTCCAGGTCCGGGGGGTCGTTCGTGCCGGGCGCAAGTTCCTGACGATGATGATGATGGAGACAAGACGATGGAGCGGGTACGAGAGGGGCGCTGGATCCTGAGAACGGATACTAGATCATAGATCCGCCTGGCCTTTTTCCTTCTGCCTCTTCCAGAATGGCAACTTGCCTGTGGAGTCAAGAAAATAATGGTCAAGTTGAATTCATTTGCAACCGCAATCGCACTTCTAGTATGATGGCGATTTAGATAAGCTTGTGGCACTGTCGCTCGTTTGACAACCACTTGCTCACATGTAATAAAACAAACAAGGCCGGTGCTGACTAGCTGCCACAATTGTATTGCGTCCTTTCGCGGGTACTGCCTCGGAATGATTGATGATTGGGTTCAATATGCAAAGAGCCGTACGAGTAATAATTTGACGCCTGGGGTCCTGGAGCTTTCGAGCCTCGTATGGTCTCACCGGAAGTACTCCTTACAGAGTAGTACTTTGCCCGCAGTAGTTGTCCTCAAGGAGTCGAGAAAATGATCTTCAACGCAAACGATAGAGTTGCATGAAAGAGAAATCATTCATCCCAAGTGCTGCTGGTGGTGTAAAATACCAGGCATATGGGACAATGACGACGATTGATCAATGCGAAGGCGGGGAAACCGAGCGCAAGTCATGAGTCCCAAGCACAGCAGGTGCAAAGGGCAGGGGGTGGAGCATGGACAACTGATGGAGATGGCCGCTCTGAAGGAGGTGGTTTATTATATTGAGAAGAGAGAGAAAAAGGTGGTCAGTTCGAGGAAGTCAAACGTCGAACCCCTCCCGCCGTGTTCACGCAACTTGCCGCAACTACCACCACCATACATATATACATACATGTATGTATGCACGATCTATGAACTAGCCGTGAGTTCAACTAAGACTCACCGGGAGGTACATTATCTATCTACCTACAGTGAGCGATATTATAATAGCTACTACTACCTCACCATTGCCCCCATGTTCACACCACGTTATCAATTCCAGGTAACAAGATCGGTGCGCGGCCATGGAATCTGTGAACCTGTGTGAACGGTGGTTGGTCAGAGAAGCCACACCATCACCATTCTCAACGACCCTGGTAGGAACAGTCCCGAGACTGAGAACGTGCGTGGTCAGGATTCTGTTTCTGCTCCTGCTGCTTCCGTGTTACACCCTACGTAACGTGAGCAGGACGAACGTGGTGAAGGGCTCCGACCAGCAGGGATTGATTCCCACCACCCACTATTACCGGTCAGTCTTTTTCATTATCTTGGACCATGACCATCGAGAAGACGCCACCAAGCCACTGTTCTTGCAATGTCCAGCGCTTGCATCGTCATTGCGATTGATTGCTGATTGCTGGGCACATCTTTTGTCCCCTGTCTATCCAAAAGGCTAGCCTGCATTGTAGGCGCTCTGACCCTGCGAACGAGCTATGTGCGAATGGTTCACCCAGGCGCATAAGTTCCTGATGATGGACGGTCATCTGCATCACACACATTGCGGGGTACAAGACGGTTGCTGCATGTCAGAGGCCACCACCGTGGTAAGTACATGATCAGAGTGTACATGACTCTTTATCTTGCTTCCCCTCTTTGTCAAGTGTGAACAGTATAACTAGGAAAGGCAAAGATTCACAGGGGGTGGTTGGGAAACAGCCAGTGATATCTCCCAGCCGCGGCATTGCCATCAAGTGTAGCATGTACTAGAAGAGTAACATTGAAGACTTTCATTAGCCCTTCCACTGCTTGCTTGAGCAGAAGGGTATGATTGATCAATGGACCACAGTCAAAATTCCATCGTTGATAGCTTGATCTTCCCCTCCCTCGAATCGCCACCTGCTGCTGGAGGTTTGTTCGCCTACTGCTTACCTTGTGGTCAGCAAAATGATCGGGTAGCGTGAATTGAAAGCGCTGTTGCTTCAACGTTTCCAAATGAATGTGGTTGCAATTGGCCGGCCTACTCGGCCTAGGTCCGGGTCTAGTTGATATGTCTCGGCTGTTGAGCTGCCTCCAGAACAAATGGAAGGAGGCGGCAGTTTTTTTTTAAGTTCAAACGTCTTTTTTTTCCCGATCGTTCCTCGCTTTAAGGTTGTTGGTAATAGCAAACAAGGCCGCTTCTACTTTCAAAGTGTAAAATGCCCACCCAGATCTCCAAAGAAGATTGCGTGTGCCTCCTGGATTTAGGCGCAAGGTTTGTCGATAGATCCCTCCATGAAAGTATGTTGAAGCGATTCATTACATGTAATTCATGTACGAGCCTTACTCGAGCCATGGCGCCGCTCTACTTGGATTATACTACAGACTAGATGCTGCATTTCAGTTCCGGACTGTCTAGGACTATCATAACTATGTACGGCTGCTACTAATGCATAGACGCGGCTCCGAGACAGCCAAAAGCTTCTAGCGGATTGTCTACGGCCCTGTCGTCCTTCTGTAAACCTGGGGATAAACGCAGGGCTCCCGTCTAGCCGTAGGCCGATAGCTCAAACGCCGGCCGTTCTAACCAGTCGAGCCCGTCGATCTGCCAATTTCCCACGCGACGATGCGACAGCTTGCATATGAGCCCCATACAGTACGTCGCAGACTGTCCCCCGGGGCTTGATCCAATTGACCATGAGGTTTGCAGGCTATCCATGGTCGCGGACGCCAACTTCCAATAGCAAATTCCAGGGTGTAAGGAAACCAAGCTACCGCTATAAAACCACAACCACGGGTCGCCCCAGTGGTCAAAACCCCGGTCGTCACGCTCTCTCACCATGTCTCTTTCCTGCATCATTACGGAGTCAACTCACACGAGCCTTGGTACGGCCATGCGGGCCCAGAATAGTGTACTGCAAAAACTGCACCTGTATGCCCATTACGGACATACAGGTTAAATGTACGCGGACCTCATGGCACGCTAATATTCGCTTGGAACCTTGATCTCCAGCACGAGAACGAAGGGGGGAACAACAAAAGAACTGCGGCATAGCCCTCCCCAGCAAAACCAGCCAAGCGGCCTCGAGCAGTCATGTACTCACACTCCTCTCACCTTGGCACACCTTGACGGGACGAGTGCCTAGGGGGTAGTCCCCCGAGATCCCGCCGCCCATTTCCTCCCCTGGCGCATTGCCGCAAGGCCCTTGTTCCGCCGCCTGTAAAGCTCCTGTCTATCACTGCATTTCATTTCGTTTGGCTGGCAGAATTTTTCTAGCTTCTAAATCACGGCCCGGGGGTGCAGGCGACTCTACTCTGTTCCATGCTCTTGTTGAGGGAGGCAGCCCGGGGGGGCGTGTATCTCTGTTTTTTTCTGTGGGCACTGGACTGGCATTATTCTCGTCATCGGCCATGGCTCTCTGCTGAGCTGAGTGAGTGACTCATACGAGAAGCCTTCTTCTCCTCCTCCTTCTT